ACCTGCGCCCTCCCCCTCTCCTCCTTCCCCGCCTCCTGCAACATCTCCGTCCCCTGTATGCCGTCCCTTCTTTCACCCTCTCTTCTCCCCTCTCCTTTCCTTCTCTTACACTCGTACCTCCGTCCACTCTCTTCCGCCCCACCTCCATTTCCTGTCTTCCGCCTCTCCTCCACCCTCCTTTTCCATCCCATCTCCTCCGCCCCTTCCCGCCTCTCATTTCTCAGCTCCTCCTCCTTCTTCCCCATCGTTTCCAACTCTGCCACCTCTCTTCTGCCCCTCCTCTTCCTCCGTCCCAATTTCGTTCCCGCTTTTCCGCCCCTCCTCTGCCCCTTCTCCACAGCTCCACCTCTGGAGCATTTACACAAGTTCCTTCTGGTAATAACCGTCTCCTCCACCTTTATCCAACTTTATCCTACACTTCCTCCTCCGCGCCGTCCCATCTCCTTCCCCACCTTCGACCTTCCTCTCCACTCCCACTTCCCACCCTGTCCTCACCCCTCTTCTCTGCTCCTACTCTGCCCTTTCCTACGCCCCCATCGGCATTGTACCTCGCCCTCTACTGCCTTGCCTCCTCCTCCTCCCCCTCCTGCTGTAGGACCACAACAAGAGGAGAGTAGAAGGAGCCCTTAAGTGAAGACGACTCGTGTGATCTGTGTTATAAGTTCATCAGCCCCTTATAGCCCGTCCTAGAACACGAGAACTTGACACCACCTGCCCCCAGATACTCTAACCTCCTACTCCAAGACTCTACCGCCTCCTGACCCCATATACTCAAACCTCCTGCCCCAACATACTACCACCTACTGCTCCAGGCTGCCACCTCCTCCCCCAAGACAGTACTGTCCCTCCTGCATTGTCGTGCCAGGTTGACATCCTACCCGTCTCCACTCGTCACCACGTCCTCCAACATCCTCGACTCACGCTAAAAAAAACTCTTCTTCATTCATTCCTGCCCAACACCCCTCGAGTCTGAGGTCTTCCTGCTGCACAATATTCACAATTGCATATTAGTATTTTTGTTTGGTATGAGACCATCCCAATACGTTCACATCTGGCCCCTCATTATAATCTCAGGCGTTAGGTCGCTCCTCAAATATGCACGCACGCACTTGCGCACTTATATATAAATAAATAAATAAATATATATATATATATATATATATATATATATATATATATATATATATATATATATATATATATATGTATGTATGTATGTATTAGGTTTTAAGCTATTAAAAATGGCACGAGAAGGCGCTTATCAAGGGAAGTGGTTGACGGACACTGGTGAGGCGAGAAATACGTGAGTGACTGTGAGGCTGCAGGCGGTGATGAGTGAGGCCCGACACCAAGACCCACACATTAAGTGATTGGTTTGGCTGCCTCTGCCAAGCTGCCACCTCTACCACACTCGCGAATTAAAAGTGTTTCGAGAGGCTCCAGAATTTATAATGGAATAAAGAAAGAGAGGAGGATGTTTTGGTTAGCGCGAAGTTGGCCAGGGTGCTCAGCTGGGAGGGGGGGGTGGAAAACCTTGCCTGCCGCCGTCTGTGTATGGACCATGACACACACACACACACACACACACACAGTAAGCATGAATATCTATACAATTTCCGGCTATTCACGAAATAATCTAAATCAAAGGAAAATTATAATCATGTTTCTTTCAACGTTACATGGTTCACATTTTGTTTGATTTATAACCAAGAGGAACTCAAGCATCATGGTAGTCGGACATCAACCCCTAATCTTGGAAGTAGTAATGTGATCTCTCCTCGTGCCTATAGCTAACAAAACCTTACTGTTATACTTGTCCATGTCATCAGCAACATCTGTGAGGCGTATCTTTGGTGGCTGCTGAATTTATCATCATCTCGGATCATGATTTCCATCAGGGCCACAGAATGACGACTCATGAATCGTGCGGGTTGTGGGTGGGAGCGAGGGAGCCGCCACGCTGTGATATATCAGTAATCAGCCGATGACAAACATTGGTCTCACGAGGACCTGTTGAGGGAACTTGAGGACGACATGAAACAACCCAACAAGACATACAAGACAGGAGAGGGAAGTCATTGACAAAGTAGCACTCGAGACCTGAGAGGAGCAGTCCGGCAGAGTCCGGGGTGGCTACAAGGCCGGTTTTCCTGATCCCTGGACCTGGCCTGGACGGCCTTAGTGAAGCGCTGGAAGTCGGACAGACGCCATTGACGGCCCTGCGCTCGAGTGCCCATGGAGACTCATCACTTTCAATTACTTCAACAGGGCTTTTATCCAGGAATGAAAACAAATGGAAGAATTTAAGCCCCTTGGTTGAAATATCCAATGAATCACGTCTCCCCGGGCTGGCCGTGATGGACAGATCTAGCAGCAAGAGCCCAACAAACAAACGGACAGTGGCCAGGGAGCGGAACACCGCCGAGTGACAGCTTAACGGACAGGTAAGCTCAAACTCTCAGAGAAAAAGAACATCAAGATTATTGACACACTAAACACGCCCGTTGCGAGTTGTGGAACGCAGCGAGGAAACTGGCAGGGGAAACATTACCACCACTGACCAGGAGACCGCGACGCTACGGAGATCCACGGAGACCACGAGACCAGAGACCACAAGGGGCCCTGACACTACCAGAAAGCTTCGATTTGGTTTAGACACCCGGGTATCATTGCCAGTGGGAATATCACCTCTGGTTTGACGACCGCTGGTGAGGGCAGGTTGCCATTGCATCGAAAACCATATTATACTCCGAAGTCCGCTGTAGCCGACCAGAGTTCACCATGTCTAGATAACCTTCGAAACCAATAGGGGGCCTCAGAGACCACGAACAGGGAAACGCGATCACTGTCTCAGCGACCCTGTATAGACTGGGCTGCAGCTCTGGAGACTGAGGTGTCCCTAGGTTGACGCCCCCACATCAGGAGGATGTGAACGTGTTTATTACATTTTAATCTCCGACAGAACTTAACACGTGCGGATACAGATAGCAGTACCGGTAGACATGTGTATAAAAAGTGTAGATGTAGATATTGGTTGTAGACGCATAAATGGCAGCCTTACCTTCTACATGGCTACTGATGGCGGGTAACAGCACGGTAGCAGTAAGATACGACACAGGGGAAGATAAGTTCTCTTATTCAGAAATTATGAAAAAAATCCACAAATATCTTAGAACTCAATATCCACACTGTAAAGAGATATAGAATGTGGATACGTGTGTGTGCATGTCCGTAATAAAAAAAAATGTATAGTCAAACATTTGTAAAATTTCAACGGAATCTCACGTAACTTGGTACAAATGGTGTTTATGGATTGACGGTGTGCACGCGACAAGATTATTTCGCTCCGAAGGTATTTTGCTGTTATGCTTTTTGGTTGTCCAGTGAGCCACAGCCGGGGATGTTATTTCACTCGACTTGCTGCTGTTGATCTTTATAACAATATTAGTGTAACAGTGTCAGAGGGAACATCACTGCCAGCGTTGTGGTAGAAGTGGCGAGATTATGCTAGAGGTATGGAGGGCCAGTTAAGCACTACGCCGAGGACAGGAAATTCATCGTCAGCTAATACTGTACTTTGTGATGGTCGACACAAGTTTATTCATCGTCTATGGGGGTTTCATTATGGTCCATCAATTTTCGTGATAGACCAGTTTCATAGGGCGAGGTAAGTTTAATAATCTTCGGAAAAAATATTATGAGTGTCGACCACAGTTCCATGATCACTCTGCTGAATTTTCAAAATTTGTTGTCCTTTTCTATATGGTGAATCTTGAAGTATTTCTTATAGTTTATCATTATCAATGCCATTTTCTTTGGGTACAATTGCCTGCAGTTGTTTCCACGGCAGGGTTGGTACGCCTGTGTTACCATGACAATGGATGTGACATGAGCTGTAGAGAATCTGCTTTTATTGACTCACTGTGACAACAAATCCGAGGTGATGGGAAGGTTGCGTCGTTATGCTTGTGTGAGCCTTGTGGACACGATAACTTTAATTTGTATTCCAATACTAGTGGCGACGACCATTCTTGATCCCTTAGGGCAGGTCAGGCACTTCATAGTTCTGTATATTTACAATACATTAATGTTCACTGTCACTACATATGTCAAATTCTCTCACTTAGAGTTTCACTTGTTTAACCCATACGTCCACCCATCTCATCACAGGATACAGTCGTCTCTCTCACCTTTGGTCTACTGTTAGCCTTCACTCTTGGCCTGTCTCTCACACTCCATCTTTTAAGTGGCTGTTTAGTTTAATTTAAGTTACAGATTAATGACAGTAATAATATAATAAGAGTAGTAATAATAGCTCGGATGATAAGAAAGTAGTAGTAGTTTGTGTGTGTGTGAGTGAAGACCCACGATAGGTGCGAGTCAGAGAGATCGACACTGCCAGAGAGATACCGACCTTCACGTGAAGAATACAGGTACTCAGGTTAAAAATGTCATTTATTAGTGAATGCAAATTTTAATGATTACATTCAAAGTGAAAATTTATTCATTATTTTTTGTATACTATATCACTGTATATATGACTGAATAAATTTGTTTTGAAGATTTGAAATATCATTTGCATATTTATTACCATGAAGATTGTACACTGGGCATGGGAAGTATTACCTGGATAGTTGGTGTTCTTTTTGGTGAGATAAAGCAATTTAAGCATAATGAAACACTGAATATACTGCCTCGACTATATAGCTTTGGTAGTGGTGTATAAAACCTCAAAGTTTTATATAACATAAATAAATAAGTAACCACAAGGACACAGACCACAGCACGGTGATGGTGTGGGCGAGGTTTATCAGTATCCACCCGGTACTATTTCTCTCATTGTTCTCTTATCGCTCACACCTCTCATCATTATTACTATCTCTCTCGCCGAGTGTTAAGGTACGACCACAAAAAGAGAAAGATAAGGTCGTTGGCCTGTGATGAACTTAACTTTCTGAGCGCCATTGTTCGACTGGTGTTGGCGAGGTCGTTTCACCAACGCTCTTCGCATCACGGTCGGCGTTATTAAGTTTTAATTTCCGAGTGAACATTGAGCATCAAGAAGAAGGATCGCTCTCCCGCGGTATACAGAGGGATATTCTGCGTGTACCTCCGTCACCATGAGTGCGGAGCGAGCAGGGATGACTTTATTACTGCAAATTCTGGTGATGGCTGCCGCACTGCAAGGTATAGTTGTCTTATAATGTGTGTGCATAAAAAAAGGTGTAATATCTTGGTTATTAGATCACTATTTGTATTTCTCTCTTCATTCTCGTAGGCTTAATAGTGATTTAATTAAGTTAGTCCCCTCAAGTCTTCTGTTAATAGCTTTTCTCTATTGATTCTCTTGATACACAGGCAGGAAGGAGTAGGCTGTGAGATCTGGCTGAGTCTAATTCTATATTCCGCATGACAATCCCTGGAGTAGCTGAGGCTTTAGCTTCATATAATTCAGCTCACAACTTTGAAACGGGATCCACTCATTACCTTTCTCGAGTCATTTATCTTTTTAGTTATAATTTTCACCTTTAGTGTCTGTATTCTTTTTAAGGGACTCAAAGGTTCTCTGTTAACGTCTAGAACTTTTACTATTCCCACGTGTATTTCTTTAGCTCCTGTAATTTTTTTTTTGTATGTTCTCAAAACTCGTATAATTTCTCTGTAAACAAGATCTCCCAATATGTCGATAAGTTCTCTGATGTGAATTCCTCGATGTTTCATTCTGTGTCGTAATATACTCGTAAGTCTTCTGTTAGGATTATATACAGTACAATCAGAAATTCGCACCTCCAATTTTTCACAATCATATAAATGTCTGACTTTTGCTGCTGTGATGGATAAAATGGCGTCGAAATTGCACAGCGACTGTACCGTAACTCGTGAACGTGTTTTCTAATCCTCGTGTAATGAAAATGATATAGGTCGAACCCTCCCTCACGAATCCGGGTTCTGATCCTTCTCTTGCCTCCCTAACGGAACAAGATGGCGTCGGGTACACTGGTTTCCGTTTTCAGAAATTAAGATTTTTTTGTTAAATATGTGTTGTAAATTGAATCTAATATTACTAGATTAAGGAAAGTAAAGAACTCCCCCTTGTTCTCAATTATGCCTTTCTAGCCTGTACTAAGGAGCCGGTGTCTGATGAGGTTATGTTTATCATCGCATAGTGTGAGGCTTGAACGAACGAAACCCTAAACAAAAAATAGCCACACCCTCCTTCCCTCTGCAGCAACCTTCCTGCCCCCCGAGCTGAGAACTTTAGATATATTTGTTTATTTTACATGCGTAAAAGACAGTAGTGTAATATAGTATATATCAGGTAAGTAAATTAATTATATGAAATTGGTTATCTATCTAATATACCATAGGACTAACCATGTGTCTGTCTGTCTGTCTGTCTGTTCTGGGCAGCAGAAACGGCACAATCGTTTTTCATCAAACTTGGTGGAAAATTCGCAAAAATTTCGTAGAGTGGAACAAACCTGGTCCCATGTCGATGGTTTCTTTAGGAAGGCATTAATTAACCATTTTATTTACGATGGAAAACGATGCAAGTCTACGGACTTGGTGCACCCTAATTAACCATGCAAGTCTATGGACTTGGCGCATCCTCATTCGCTGTACGCTAGCCAAGCATGAGCGTTCAAACTTTCACTGGGCACGAAGGTGCCCGCGATCACTTGTGACTTACTATTCAGAAACAAAAATCTATCCAAGAAGTGAACTCTTGTGTATTTTCACCAGTAGGAGCAGATCCGTGACACCTTTTAACCCTGCAGTCAACACTATAGATTTCAAGACCTGGGCTATGGTATAAGCTGGTTTATTCTTAGTGTTACTGTGTTAGCGTATGGCGAATTGATGGTGGGGTGAGGGGGAGAAAGTCCAATAGAATGTGTGATATTAGAGTCCACGTTTAACTGGATGTAACTCTTGTCTTCTAACTAATAGGTCAAGAAGGCTGCAATTATTCCACCAAAATTATCGTGGAATTTTACAGTGGAGAGGAGGATAGTTGAATGGTTGAGAGATAAATTAAAGTTATTGACACTGAAATTGTAAATAAAAAGATTAGGCAGAAATAAATGGAAGTTAACGTAATAACACCGTGAAGTAATTAGCCGGAGGATGTGTGTTTGGGGAAGAGATGGTATGCCACTTGATAATTAATCATCTATTAAATGTGTTTTAACATACCTTCTATCATTTACTAGAGAGTATGAATCAACTTTCAATATAAGTACAGTATTAGTTCCATGCAGTCGTCGCACTTGAGTGGTAAATAAATAAACCTACACATTTATGATTCACCAATACATTGTTTATTTTGACAGTGCGGGCGGCCCAGCAGGCTCAACAGCTCCCAGCAGAGGACGTTATAACTGCTACGGCGCCCCTCGCCACCACCGCACCCTCAGAGTCGTGGCACTGTACCTTCCAAGATGACTTCTGCAACATGACGACCGTGTCTTCATATAAGGGCCACTGGGAGCGTAACAATACTTTAGACAAGGTGCCCAGCGTCCAGGGTAAGGCTGCTTAAATCTATTTCATTCTCTTAAAGATATAAACAAGGAATAAATAAAAAATATGAACAAAACACTCGTATTAACGCATATTGCAGTCATAATATATTCTGATTCATATGAAACTTGAATTACTCTGAGTCTTAAAAGAAATACAATTTAATACATACGCCAGGAATGTTAAAACAATACTCAGGTGTTATTAGATATTATTGAGTAGTTCAGAGATGTGATGCAGTGATGCGTAGGGTAGTTGACATATACCCATAGATAATTTAAATGGAATAAACTTTAACATTCGTATGGGAGGTAAATCGTACTCGTAAATAATATGACACACTGGACTATCAATGGACATTGTTTCGTTGTCTGGATAATGCTTATGTACTGTTTAATTTTTTTATTGACTTAGATAACACTTGTGGCTCTTGTTTCACGATAATGTACTGCTGATATAAATTATTGACCTGCTTGATATATACAGTATTATAGTTTTTGTTTTAAATTATTCTTAAGAGTTCCTGTTCAGACTGCAGTCTACGAAAATTAATCAGTCTTTTTCTTTGTTAATTTGCCTTTATTTTTATTTGTTTTTAATTAATTATCGCGTGTGTGACAGACACATGGTACGTGGCAATGTCGGGGAATACCTCCAAAGGGCAGCGGGCAGGCCTGGAGACACCCGTGTTCTCTTCCTCCCCTGTCACCCCGCGCTGCCTCACCTTCTTCTACTACATGGACGGTGCTAACACTGGCCAGATCTCTGTCCTCCTCAGGTCAGTCGATGTGCTGAGGTCTTCTGCGTGTGTTCGGCCAGAGAGAGAGAGAGAGAGGATATACGTGCCTGTTTTAATATCTCCGTGTAACAATATTTCCCTTTTTAATGTCTCCCTGCTTCAATATCTCCCTGCATCAATGTCTCCCTGCTTCAATATCTCCCTGCATTAATGTCTCCCTGCTTCAATATCTCCCTGCATCAATGTCTCCCTGCTTCAATATCTCCCTGCATCAATGTCTCCCTGCTTCAATATCTCCCTGCATCAATGTCTCCCTGCTTCAATATCTCCCTGCATCAATGTCTCCCTGCTTCAATATCTCCTTGCTTCAATATCTCACTGCATTTACATCTGCCTTGCATCACTATCTCCCTGCATTATTATCTCCCTGCAATAATATCTTGCATTAATATCTCCCTGCATTATTATCTCCCTGCAAAAATATCTTGCATTAATATCTCCCTGCATGAATATCTCCCTGCAATAATATCTTGCATTAATATCTCCCTGCTTTATTATCTCCCTGCATGAATATCTCCCTGCATTAATATCTCCCTGCATGAATATCTCCCTGCAATAATATCTTGCATTAATATCTCCCTGCTTTATTATCTCCCTGCATTAATATTTCCCTGCATTAATATCTCCCTGCATGAATATCTCCCTGCAATAATATCTTGCATTAATATCTCCCTGCTTTATTACCTCCCTGCATTAATGTCTCCCTGCATTAATATCGCCCTTTATAAATATTTCTCTGTTAAATGAATTATAATGTGCCTGGCATATTTATCTTCAAGTCACTCTTGCTTTAACATATTCATATCATAAATGTTTTTATATTTTCGGGTCATGGGCATAATATTATGATGATTTGGTTGAGCTGTAAGTGGTTCTCAACCTTTTTCACCCCATTCCCACCTTGAGGAATTTTCAACATCCTCGTGGCCTCCTTCATTTTTCTCCCAGAACAGACAAACAAACAAGTGATAAAGACTAAAGAATGATAAAGAAGGACAGATAAATAGGACAAGAGTTAGAATGACAAACACACACACACATTCACATACATAACACGCCCATGCACTCACACATAAAGCACACATACAGTCATACACAAACATGCACACAGGTAAACATTCACACTCAAGCTAGCTAAACTGAAGTGTACTTCCTGTAAGCAAGAACACGCCTCCTCTGACAAGCACTGCCCAACTTGGAAGAATATTGAGTCATACCAATTATGCACTAAAAATGGTAGGATTATATAAGTAAAGAATGAGGATGAACAACAATGGCACCAATAAATAAGGAAATAATTAATAAAGGAAGTGTAGAAATATTTCACCCACGTAAAGCAGCGACCACATGAATTATGAAACAAAATAAGTAACACCAATTACGGAGTATATTATGCTTGAGTCAAGCTCAAACTCAATATATGGTTCAGAGACAATACACTCCACTGTTTTCGTGATGGTATCCCAGGCCAGACTATGATCATTCGGTCCTATCACCACTTGCAAAGGGATGACGCACGGACACGTACTGAACAAGTCAGTTCAGCAGCTCGGTCCAGCGCCTGTCACACAGACAGGGACTGGACCTGTGAAATCTGAAATAATCCGTAAAAAAAAAAAAAATAAATAGCACCAGAGTCTGTAAATATTAAAATTGTATTGTCGTTATGATTAAACAAAATGACAAAAAATGAATGAAAATTCTCTTCTGCCAAGTCAAAATAAGTAATACAAGTTTTGTTTAATTCAGATTCCCAACATTATTTGGAAACGTACAATTTATAACAGCTCGCCGTGGCTCCCCTAAATTCTTGCCGTGGCTCCCTTGGGGGCCATGGCCCCCAGGTTGAGAACCACTGGGCTATATCCTTGGTCGACTTGGCTAACTGTGTACCATTGTTTGTAGACCTACTCTGTTTATAAACTTGTTTGTATACCTACTGTCTGTACATTTGTTGATATATTTGCACTGTTTATTACATTGTTTGTATACCTGTTCTGTCTGTAACATTGTTTATATACCTGTTCTATTATATTGTTTATATACCCGTTCTCTCTATAACATTGTTTGTAGACCTGTTCTGTCTTTTAGAGTGGACAACCTTTTCGACGTGACTCACTGATCGCTCTCACTGACGAAAGAGTGAATTTATTCTGGCACAGCTATGTAACTGTCACTTGTAGTTGTTCTTATATGCGTGTGTTTAAAATGTGAATAGGGGATATTGTGGTGGAGTATTGGCCATTTTAGAATTGTGGTAGAGTACAAGTTAAATTATAGTCGTAGTGGAGCGGAAGATAGTATTATGAATATTGTGGCGGAGTAGTTAATAATTGCGGTAGAGTAGAAGATATTTAATTATACTTTGGAAATACAAAATGCTTTATAATTATTTTGTGATATAATGTTGATGTATTAACAGAAGAGGAGGTGATTTAGTAGAAGGAGCACTATGGACACAGGGGCGGCCTCAAGGACAGGAGTGGATGCCTGCACACGCCGACATTGACTTCAACACATCGGTTTCTGTGAGTCTACCCTCATATAGTTTACATTTTCTGTGGAATAAGTTGCTGACATCTAGTGTTTGCAGTGTTGCCATTTTAGCGGTTTTCCCGTTAAATCTACATGTTTTGACCCATCATCTAGCGGGTAAATTTACTGTCTAGCTGCTAGCGGTTTTTTTTTGCGGATTTAACTGATGTCTAGCTGATTACTAGCGGTTTTAGTTATATAATTATATTTGCATAAGTATAGACAGTCATTCGAAGGATCTCACTCTTGTGAAGTGGAATGAGGTTTCACAAACTGCCCTGTTTTGGAATGAAGTACATAACTACATGGACGCATCATAATGTAATCCATTCAAGGAGTTGGCAGAGTTTACTTTATCAGTCTCTCGTCATACCCGACTCTAATGCTGAATTAGAAAGGACATTCAGCCAGTTAAATATAGTGGAAATAAACTTCGAAAAAGAATGGGAAAAAACGGCTAATGCTCTTCTTGCAAAACGCGCAGGTTTGAAAAGAAATGAAGTCTTGTTTTGAATATGAAATACCGGCTGATATCTTGAAATTGATTGGGACTAGCAATGCATACGTCAGTGAACCAATCCTGAAATCAATACATTCATATTACTTTTGTGACATTATGCCCACCGGTGTGTTAATTAGCTGTACTTCTATGTACCATACTTTCTATATTTATCATTCTGTCCATATATATATAGGAGGTAAAATGATATTATCTATAGTTACAATCTAGCCTGTTAGGGGTCAAATCTAGCGCGTTTTGGAGTCTCATATAGCGGGAATGTAAATTTGTAGATAGCAACACTGATTGTTTGGTTGAGTTGTCAGCGTTACATATTATTTCTAGAGAAAAGGTTATGGTCATTGAAGACTTTACCATAAACTGTTATTGAAGAGTTCTTGATATGATTAGCCCCAACTTAATTCACCTGATATAACCCCACCTCTCTCCCCCAGTTACAGTTAGCGTTAAGGCGTATAATGCAGCCCAAATACATAAAATAGCTCGGAAAATGGAAGAAAATTTTGAGTCTTATAATATCACATTTCATTTCTACTATGTTTTTGGACCATTCAGTTATAACATTCAGTGATGTAAATAAGAATTATATCGTAAATGTTTTTTATTAGGAATACTGTATGTGTGGATTTTGAACCATTTAAATGTTTTCTTAATTATGTAAAATGTGAACAAGACAAATATCTCCAGTATAAATAAATCGTATTGCTGTTCATTTACTGGAATCGAACTTATAAATACTTAAAGAATTTCTTTGAGCTTTATATATATATATTTTTTTTTCTAGATTGTGTTTGAGAGTAAGAGAGGCAATAACGTGGAGGCGGTGTTGGCGCTGGATGAGATCACTATAGTTGAGATGTCTTGCAACTCCTTCCAGCCCACCGACGAGCCCGACCAGAGGAGTGAGTTACGAGTCCTATTCCTGTACTAATTTATCACTCCGGATACTTGTCTCAATATATACCGCTACTACATCAACTACTGTACTTGTGATATATCTACTACTATTGCATCTATTAGAACTATAAGTTGCAGTATTTCAGTGGTTTATCACATGTCTTCATTAACATCCCCTCTGTATCAGCTGAGGGCAGTGGTGTCTCCCTGATCCTTCGTACCATCAAGCATATTAACATACTCACAAACCATTTAGTATAGATAACAAAAGTTACCAAACTTGCTGTTATTCATATTCAGAAAATAAAAAGAATTTTCGTAGTGTTTACATTAGAAAGGGTCAAAATAGAACCATATTCAGGCATTATCTAGTAATACAGTATTCTTTATTCTCCGAAGTTGGTGAACCTTTTCGAGTCCATATATTGATAAATATGTGTACCTACAGCAATGTGCGACTTCGAGGACTCTTTGTGTGGATTCACTCTGGAGAATGAGAAAGGGGAGTGGCTATGGATCACCCCACATGACAAGGCCATCAACTTTCCTCACCCCGCTCATGACCACACCTACAGCACTGATTTCGGTAACCAAGCCATATTTTTGCTTTCCAATAAAACCATTTTCTTAAGACTTGTTTTTACAGGACAGTACTTATATTTAGCCAGTCATTATTGGTTTTTATAATGCTTATTTTTCAATTGCTTTGGTTAATGGACCAAATTCATTCACTGATACTTTACTGTACGTATTCCATTATTTTTCCTTCTCATGACAAACGTCCTCCTTGGAGTGTATTTTTTTTGTTTTTCATCTCACTCTTACTCTGTGCTATGACAGTTCTTATACCCCTGTTATATGTTCATATAATGTACAGGTACTATAATTTATAGGTGGTTTTACAAGAATATGTATTGTATACAGTATTATGAGGCAAAGTGCTCAATACCAAATCCAAATGTCTGTTTCAGAGGCACAGGAAAAAGGTTAAAACTGCGTGTGGGTTGTGATTGCTAAAATATATTTTACTGAGACTATAGGTGAGGATACATACCTCTATAAATGCAAAAAGCTATGCCTGTATTCATGTGTTAAGTTTCTGCTTGTGGTTAAACGTTAACAAATTGTCCAGATAATAATTCTAGTATCAATGCAGATATTTTGACGAAACTACTTGAATATATAGCGTCACTAGGTGATGTACAGTATATAACATCAAATTAAAGTCTTTGTAACATGTCAAGGTCACGGTGAAGTCAGAGATCAAAATCCCTCTCCAGAGCATAACTTACATCCAAATACATATTTTGACATAATTTCCAATGAATATTTATCATCACTAGACGAAATGTATAACATTATATTCATATATTTTATCAGTTATAATTCTCTGTCAAATTTGCTGTTCAGTGGAGGCAACCGTGTTAAAGACAATCACATGCATGATCTCGTTCGCTTAACACGTGTCTTCACTATTTACCTGCCATTCTTCTTTTCTCAGGATATTTTCTTGACCTCAGTAGCTTGAACTGTAAAATCTCTCCCCCTGGGGGTTAATTTTTTTCCCATTTATAACTTGAATTTTGAATTTGCCTTTCTTTCTCTTGGGACCCTCCTTCAGGTCACTACTTGGTGGCACCGCTAATGGACAACCGTGAGGGGCTGGTGGGTCGGGTTGTGACACCGGAGTTCACAGAGGAGCTAAACAAAACCCAGTGCCTTACTTTTTGGTACATGCACAATGGCCAGACCAACAAGGACGCGCTTACCGTCTCCATCAAGCATGACCTGGATATATTTGCCAGAGCAGTCTGGAGAGAGACCAGTGAGTTTCTCGTGAATTTTGAGTGGCGGAAAGTTGTGTGAGTGGGATGTGAATAATGAAAAGTGGAAAGATGTGTAAATGACTTTTTGAGTTTTGAGAACTGAAGAGATGTGTGAGTGGCTTGTAAAGTTTGAAAAGTGGTAACAATGGAGCGTCGATGCACTTTCGACTGTATCTTTGTGCATCTATTTTTGTCATACCTAAGGTGAACATCATCTGATGCCTTCCAAATTTTTGCAGCTATTCTTAATTTTGTTATTCATTTTATTCAACCATTCTCTTTCAATCCTTGGCATGGTCCTTGTACCGGTCAACTGCTTCTAGCACTCCTGTCCCAGTTGAATTCCTCATTTAGTAGACTATTGTAATACAGGTATTTTCTCCAAACTTTCTTGATTGCCTCATTATCAACAACCACATTTCCATAGTTTCCTTTGGCTAATTTTAGCTATCATAGTCAATTTTGTTTAGCATACTTTATGTAATACTGAAATTAAAGTAGTTTCTTTTTGTGGTTTATTATACGTGTACAGTAATTGCCTGATCCTGAGTTTATGTACAGTAACTCTGGCACACATAAACACAGTGCAGTATATAGTACTCCATATTTTGATTTGGGCTCTGATGATTATTTTATCTAAATAGTTTAGATTTGCTTCAAATTACTTGTTTTGAAAATGTTCATCTTTTGTTCTTTTTACAGGAAATTTTGATTATTGACATTTGTTTTTGGAGGATAAACTCATTTTATGATATCAAATATACTTTTGAAAGATACTGCAAATGCAGTGAAAATTTACATATTATTTGTGTACTGTGTCTATGCAATCCCTCAACCTATTTTCTTGAAATATTTCTGCTTATCTATTGTAGGAAATAATTTACAGAGCAAAAGTTAACCTTGATCTACCGTATATATTTGTTTTTAGTCCAAGAAGAAATAATTTTAACCCCCTCATTATGGGAATGTCACTTTTATTATTTTAATTGGCTAATGCCAACCGATTTTATTCAACTAAGAGGTGAGCCCGTACACAAGGGGTTAGTAGACTATCACCACTAATGATCTTGAACTTTCTTTGCTGAAGGTTGTAGGGGAGACTTCCCTGTAGTATTTACTTATGAATACTATTCCAAATACAGGGTATATTTTCATATTTGGCAAATGTCTTTGAATAGCTATATCTTATAAATGTCAAAAGTTATTGGCAAACAGTATACTGGGTCAGTATTCAGGATACATAAATATTTTGTTGACTCCCATTACTAAAGGCAAAGGTCAGGGGCAATGGTAAAGTATGGGTGGGAATGTTCAAAGATTTATATCTCTTGAACGACAGACTTTTTATGATAAATGTCTTTTTATCATGCCAGGCAACCATATATACTCGTGGTTGAAGGCCAACATCCCCATCCCCTCCAGCAAGAATAAGTTCAACGTTCTTTGGGAGGCCACACAGACAAGGAGGGACCAGGCTGGGTTTATGGCTCTGGATGACGTGGAGCTACTGGAGCAGGAGTGTCCCTCCATTGGTGAGTTCTTATCAGGATCTTGTATCAGCATGCTCTCTAACACAATTATTAATATATAAACTCTTTATTCAGATTTAGTATCAGGTTCGTATTCTTAAGTTTACTCTAAAGCATTTCAACTTATTTTGTTAACACACTCCAGGACCTTATATTAGTCTCACTATTTTCATAGTATTTTATAACCATGCACCTTGGGTCTATGTTCACGACAAAAATACTGATTATCTTTTATCAATCCACTCCATTGACCCCAACAGGTACCTGCAGCTTCCAGTGGGGGACATGCGGTTGGCAGAATCTTTACCTGACAGAAAATTTTACAGATGACACAGACTGGTTGCAAGGGTGCGGCGATGACAGCCTCAACAGCGATGCCCCCAACACTGACCACAGCGGAGATCCCTTAAGTAAAAGTCTCTAGTTTTAACATCCTGTGAAGACCATCCCTTTTGTGACTCTCTTTCTGTTAGCTTGCAAAAGATGATGATGTGTGTGTGTGTATGTGTGTTTGTTTGTGTGTGTGTGTGTGTGTGTAATAATAATAATAATAATGTGTGTGTGTGTGTGTGTGTGTGTGTGTGTGTGTGTGTGTGTACACCAGCATGTGTGTATTTTTGTTTGTTTACATAAAATACATATCAGTTTTAAGACAAAATGAAACTTTAGCATAAAAACTCATTTTACTCTTACACCTGCTAGCAAACAAATTCATTGAATTTTCATATCATTGATTTAATTAATTTTTAGCTAAATTAGGCAAAAGGTAAGCTAATCATCCTCTTATTTTATAGAAAAGTTTTTGTACATGGATGGATCAGATGGCACACTGGGGACAGCCACTTTAGAGAGTCAACTCCTTGTGCCTGAGCAACATAGTGACTTCTGCTTCTCCTTTTGGTATTACATACAGGTGAGAGTCAGAAAGATGGAGATAAAGAGAGGTAGAGAAAGACAAAGTGAAGAGAGGGAATTAAAACACTAGTGACTGAAATATTTTACCATTTTTCTTAAGGAAAATTCTACTTTATTAAGAATTTCTTATCCTCATCATAAAATACTCTCAATTGAAATAAATTTAAAAACAATCTTGTTTTTCATGTAAACAAAACCTTACTATACAGTACTATGATGCAAGGCGATGATCCCCTTGATTCTTATCATTCAGCACTTGATGGTTATTCCACTCCATTGCAGGATGCAGCTCCACCAGATGGTTGTTCCACTAATTGTATTCTTTAATGTTTGTTTAAGGTAAAATAAGATGGTGTGTGAATAAATGAGTACTGTATATGGCTCCTTTCATCTGCCTCTGACAGGGTGAGACCACTAACCAAGTCTCCATCAGTGCAGTAGTATCTAGTGGCAGTGAGACGGTGTTGTGGCATGAAGACAGGACTCCTGGTGGTGACTGGACACAGGGTCAGGTCCGAGTCAACGCCAAACAATTTCTCTTTGAGGAAGTTGCATATCAGGTATATACATGTCCCTGTAGGGTGATAATGAGATGAAAATAATGTTGCTTTTGAGGTTAACTTCTCCATGTCCCACATAATTGTTTTTTCTGGTATAAATATATCTCATAACTTTTCTGTCCATCCATACCTCAGACATGACATTTTATTTTGTTTAATGAAAGCTTTTTACATAGAGATAATACCCTAAATAATATTACAATTGGTGTATTACTTCTTCACTTGTTCATTCCAAAAGAAAAAAAGGAACTGAATATTCTATATTTGTTGTCTGTCTCTTCTACAGATCATCTTCAAATACAGAAATCTGTTCTATTTGAAACACATATACAGTAATTTAAAACAGTATGTAATGATTACTCCTCCACAATTTCATAAGAATTATCCAGTTTCCTGTTGTAAATCATAAGACATGATTAATAGAACCAATTTTTACTGTTGAATCATCCTGCTCCAGCTCCACATCCTTGGGACAAGAACCTCAAATGACTCAAAGATCGCCCTTGATGATTTCACCTTCAAAAGGCAACTTGAATGCAAGAGGATCCCTAATGTGCCTGGGACAACGACACCCATACCCTCACCAACAACACCATCATCTGTCCTGTGGAACTGCTACTTCAACAAAGATTCGTGCGGTCTGGTGATGACGGGCGATGCCTTGTGGACACCCACTATATATGTCAACACTTCCCAACACAACCATGGTATACACTGATCATAGTTTTGAGCAATGGGATTAAAAAACAGGTAGACTTGAGTAAAACTCATTGATTAATGAAGTAGCGAAGAAAAATAATTCATCTCCAAAATTGAGACTAAGTTATTATATTTTTCTCCATAACATGAGGTCGGAGGACAGATTGTTTATGATCGGAGCAGTATTGAGAACATTTTTGCCACAATACCTGTGCCTTAACTAATATGGATCAGAAAGAAATGTCTTAGCAATACAAATGTGAGCACTAACTAGTGATGGATATGCATCTCCTGAACAGACTTAACCTGCTTGTCGGTGATGGGTCAGGAGCACGAGGTAGCCACAGCCACCTTACCCCAACTTCCAACCCAGGACCAGCCCTGCTGTCTCTCCTTCTGGTACATGATAGAGAGTGCCAACCGAGGCGACATCTCTGTTATCATTGAGAAGTAAGTCATTGCACTGGCTGTATATTGGCCATTCTGAAAATTCACATCTTAGTGAAATTTTAAAAAATTCTTTGTAGGAATTTTGCACCTTTTTGAAACATCAGTTCCAAAAGTGGCTGTAATTGTGTTTTTATGTATGTTTATCCTTTCCGACTTTTGAGCCAAATTCAGTTACCTCTAAATATTTTGACTGAGATAGAAAGGTTTCTAACTCCATTTTGATGACAAATGACTGAATCATCAATTAAACACTTGATTGGAAAACAAAATCATTATCACCTGTGAGTTCAAGGACAATATGACCAAATAACCCATGAATCTACCTTTTTGACTGATTTCAGTTTAGTGGAGAAAGTGAGGGTGTGTGTGTGGACCCGTGGCATACCACAGGGACGCCAGTGGATATTTGGTGCCGTCGACGTCCCAATTAACAACAACTCTGTGGTAAGCATCACACAGTGCATCTTTTGCTATTTCTGTGGTAAATTGTATCTTCCTATTTATGCCTTCAGGAAATAAGGTTGATATCTGTTGGAGTTTTCTTTATGAACTCCTCATTTTTTTTTTTTTTAACGAAATAACGTTATAATGTAAAGTGGAAAGATTTATAAACTCATATAACTACATTCCCATGTACATGGAGAATTAATTTCAAGCTGTACAAAATAACCATTAGTATGAAAGCACCGCTCAGTGGGCAGGCTGGTATTTAAATTTTAAAAAGTCAGGTACAGTATTTATGTCGCACCCTGTATGATCCAGTCAGTTACACAGACCCATATACTTTTTCACCACATATTCAGAAAGTACATGACCCACGATACTAGTTAAAAATTAATTCATGAATACATACTGTACATGTTAAATGTTGTTACATGAGCAGTTAGAATCAGTTAGATACAAGACAAAAAACAAAACAATATAAAGTGTCTGATTATTTACATGCCTGGTAATATAACAAGAACAGTAGTGGATGTGGTGTTGTTCATGAAGCTTGTGACACATTTAAGGAATGGTGGGTTATGTTACAGATACAGTTTGTGGGTGTGATTGGTGCAAATGACCAGGGCGTTCTGGGTATTGATGACCTCTTCATTAGGTCTGAGTCGTGCGACAACATCCTCCCAACCCTTGTGCCCAACGATGACGGTAAGTGAAGATGGGGAGGTCTGTGTCAACACAAGACAAGGTTTTTCTCATTGTACTGTACTTAAATTCATTACACAAGGGTATAAATAAAGTACAGCTCCTCCCCAACTTATGATGGGGTTAGACACCCAAATCCAGGTCGTAAGTCGGAAATGCTTAAATAATTCATAGAAAATCTAATATGGGTGTCTCTTCTTCTCAGCACCACAAAACACTCACTTTTAAGCTTGCCAGCCATTTTAAAGTGAATTACAAACGAAAATTTTTACTTTGTACTGACTTTGGGACTCGAAAATACGTAATTTGACCAAATTTGGGTACGACTGAGGCAGGTCGTAAGTCGAGTAGGTCGTAAGTCGGGGAGGAGCTGTACTGTAATTTTTACTCTTTCAGATATCAGTGAGACTATGAAAATTACATATGATTTGTGCTTTGGACTAAGTTTACTGCATTTTGGTATTACCCAAAGTGTAGTTTTTACACTGAAGAAAATGTAACTGCAACTTATTGAAGAAAGAATGATATTCATAGATTTTGTAGGATGATTCAAAATGCAGCTGATTGGTGAGAAAGAGAGATATAGTTAGCAGCTAGTGAGGTAGAAGTAAGAATTTCTTTTCATATATTGATTTGGTGTTGTGTTCAGCTTGTCACTTTGAGGATGAGACGGTGTGCGGATACGTGACGGAGGGGAATTGGTCTTGGGTCTCCCCTGACCAGGACAAAAATCTTCCTCATGCCTCTGTTGACCACACTTACAACACTCGTTATGGTAAGTGTCTTGAGTCTTTTCGTATCACTATGTCAAGTTAACAATTAAAGAACATTGATGTCTTCTCAGTGACTTTACGAAAGTTCGTTATTTTGGTAACTCGTACAGTATTACATCTGGCTCTCTGCACCTAGGGATCATGTTGTTTGACACATGAAAATCACAAGGTAACCATATGAGTAACCTACACTCTGTCAATAGACATGTTGTTGGTGTATGGTGCTAGGTTGTAGCCTATGCTGTGAAAGGGGTAAACTAGATAGATATCTTGGGTCTTTGTTGTGGAAAGGAAACAGCCTACCAAAATATGTCTATTACAACAGTTAAAGCAAATGAATAGCAGGTACTTATAGAAATGTCGTTACTGTACTCGTGATTACAGCCACCCAGCATTGTAGTGGGAAAACTCTTGCAAGAGAGATAAAATAGAGATAAGTGTAAAGTGAATTGTGACAGCTCACCTCTTGCAGGTCACTATATGGAGGCATCACTGATTGCCACTGATCATGAAGGAGTAACGGGCCACCTCAGCACCCATGAGATGACTCAGACTGACGACATACAGCATTGTGCATCTTTCTGGTACATACACAATGGCGAACACAACAAGGATGTACTGTCTGTCTATGTCAACATATCAGGAAAGCTTGGTAAACCCCTCTGGCAAGAAAAAGGTGAGGATCACCATAAATCTTTTGTTACAGTACGTTGTTGTCATTGTGTGGTGAAATCTTAATATTTAAATAGGTAATGTAGGACATTATGCATTTTTGCTGCCATTGATATTAGGAATACAGGCATACACATACAGTATTAGCAATAAGATTTTTAAATGCTAATAAAATTTAGTGCTTAAGAAGAATACATTGGTGTCCTTTTCCCCCCAGCAAACTACATTGACACTTGGCTGATGGCCAATGTGCCCATACCTAAGACGGCAGAGGTGTACCGCCTGGTGTGGGAGTCTTGGCATAGTGCAGGGGAAGAGAATGGCTTCATGGCTGTAGATGACGTCCTTGTTACTCCCAAGCCCTGTGACACTCTTGGTAAGTTCAGGTTTACTTACAAGTCATCTTTTGATATTAGGCATCATCTCGAGCACAAAAAGTCAGATCTGTATGCAGTATGTTTCCTATAATTGACATGACTGTATAATGTTAATACTGCACTTCAACAACTAAGGTCTTAAAGTGTGTAGCAAGACCAGTAATTATACTATTCTATCAACAATTTAAAAATACTAAGAGTTAAAACTTTCTGTGCAAAACACATAATGGGTTCTACCACATCATTGGTGATGTACCCCATGGATGATATGTTCAAAGTGTAAGATGCTCCTTTTGACAAGCTCTGGTACTACTTTCATCTCTCCTCGATTCAGGTTTTCTCCTTCCTTTCCTACTCCTATCATATTATTCTGCTTTCAGTTGGTCATTCACTCTCCTGCTTGCAAGAGACAGTTTGATTTTATAAGAGTCAGTTCAACAGTTCAAATTTTATACAAAACTTTTTGGAGCCTATATTTGTACACAAGATGAAAATATTATGCCTGTGGACCAAAATTTCATTGTCGTGCCAAATTTTAATATGTATGATAACCCCTAAATATTGCTTAAAGGTCACTACAGATTCAAAGTTGGAATTATCCAGATATTTTGGTCCATAGATACTAATAACATCACCTGTACACACAGTTTTTTGTCAGCTTCAAACTAATTGGCTTCCCTTTAAAGGGCCCATTTACCTCTTTTTGTACTCATACTACTGTATTTCTTTTTTTGTGCACACATTTCAACACAAGTAAATATTTTTTTAAATACACTGTATATACAGTACAGTACACAGTACTGTAATGTATACTTTATATGAACTGTACTGTATACAGTACAGTACTGTATTACACAAAAAACACCTCAAGTACCCAGAGAGATTAGAAAGACTGCAATTACCTCGCTTATATTATAGGTGGGCAAGGGATGACTTAATAGAAGTTTATAAACACCTCAGACGATATGTCTCAGTCGAATGTTCATATCTGGAGCAGGTGGATGCCCGCTCCACTAGGGGTCACAGCTGAGGTTGAAGATGCCATAAGTTCAGAAAACTGTCAGGGCAAACTTTTTTGGAGTGAGGGTTGTGAACTCTTGGAATAATGTGTCATAGAGCATTGTGATGGCACCGAGTGTGAGTTCATTCAAGGCCAGACTTGACCAACACTGGTGCAGGCACAGATACATTCTGGAACTAGTACATGCCCATTGCTAGCCAACAGTGTGTAAACAGACATGACCGACTGCCCAGGCAGCTAACGAGCTGATCAGTGGCACAGAGGAAAAAGTAAATTAAAATAAAATACACACACACACACACACACACACATACATGTGTACACACTGTACAAACAAGATAAAATAGGTTTTATATAGGTAATTTTTCTTGAATTTGTCATAACTTTGTCTGCAACAAAGCAGTGTTTTGATGATATCTTTATTTATGAAGGTAATTCTATAGTGTCTACATAACCTTTACTGATCCCTTCATTGCTTTTGCTTTCCCTGCCTTCAGTGTTTATACTTTCCCTGCTAGTTTTGCCTTTAACCTTTCTTTTCTTACTTCCCTCTGTAATCTAATGTAACTGACTTGGTCACCTTTTGATCTTCCCCCAGGAACATGTGACTTCTCGAGTGGATCATGCGGCTGGCAGAACGTGGTGGCAGGAGACGGTGAGGATGATGACTGTGATTGGATCATCGGGTGCGGCTCTAACGGGGAGGACCTGGATGCTCCTGACACTGACCACAACGGTGATGATCAAGGTTAGTAACGCTATTTTAAAACTTAAGATGTAAATCTGAGGATAATTTGATTTGTATTTAGATGAATATTAGTTATAATTAAGTAAATAAGGAATCCATTTGAGGCCTCTCACTGTAAATGAACTACTGTATTTGTATAAATATAAACAGATCCCTCCTAAAATAAGCACCTGACACCTTTGTCGGCTCCTTGGTCAAGATGCGTTGTTTACCCTGGTTCTTTATTTGCACTGTCTCGGCACATAGGAAACTGTATACTCCCATGACCTATGTGCACTGTACACCTATACTGTATTGTCTATATTCATGCTGAACTATATACCCGGTAACTGCATAATTTATAAACATGCTTATTAGATTTACATGACAGCTAGCTAGGATTAAAGGACCCATTTTATGTGTTCAATATAAGTGAACTCAAAATCAGTTTTATATTTTAACCAGAAAATATTAGACTGTATTTCCATTAGTTCATAATTTTTATGGGAGAATTTTTTGCATTTATGAACCTGTAGTTTTTTTACATGACATTCAAATGAATTTTAGTGATACCTCTATTAAAGGTAATATTTCAAACTCACAGGGAAGTTCATGTACATTGATTCTGTGTTTACTGACACTGGCATGGCGCTGCTCCAGAGTCAGATGTTCATACCTGAACAACACAACAACCTCTGCTTCCACTTCTGGTACTTCATGCAGGTAAGTTCAGCATCACCTTGATGATCATGTACAGAAATAGTGTGAGTGGACAGGTTTCAGAACTTTTCAATCAAAGCCTAGATTTTAAAATAAGTTCATTCATCCTCCTCAATTCAGGTTTAAGATAATGAGACATAAGATATTTAACTAGCTCATTTAATATTATTTGTCACTAATATTTGAGTTCCATGATGTAACTTTTCTACACAAAATATTTAAATTTACCAGTATTGTATACAGTACCTGTATTCTGAAAATAATATCTGTAATTCATTATTTAAGGACATCTCCTTTTTCTCTTATTAACTGTCCATGTGTAATGTCCAGGGCACCTCTGATGACTCTCTCTGGGTTCAAACTAAGACGCTGGACCAGAAGTTTAACGAACTCTGGCTCCAGCCAGCCAAGACCGATAACAATGCCCAGTGGCTGGAGGGTCAGATCCACATTGATGCCAAGAAACTTTTTATTGAAGTTGCTTATCAGGTAATGTAGCCAAGGGTGAGGTATAAGGAATTGATGGATTAGTGGATGCAATGTAGTTATACCTGAGAGTCTTATCAGTTTTAACTAAGTGGTCTCCCTAGAGATCCAGTAATGGTCATTTCCCTCGGATCTAGTGTTAGTTCAGTGGATAGCTTTTGTGTCTGGAAACACCTGTGATGTTCAATAGGGTCACACTGGACATCATCTTTTTCACATCCAACTTAAGGAGGTATTGAACCCAATTTACACTGGGAAGATACTGTACATTGCACTATCACATTAGCACTCGTACTACAGCATAGTACTCTTCATAATAATGATTTCTTCAGTTATGTGAAGTGAAAATAGATACTGAAATTGAAATCCTTATTGACAGAAGTGCAAACTATATTCTTTAAATAATGTTTCTGAATGCACCTTATAGAATAAAAATAAATAAAAATATGGTCACACAAGAGGAGATGGGACACCATTGTTTTTGTTTGTGTTTACAGCCAGGAGTTTGGGACGATAGTTCTACACGAGAAAATGAAGAACATACGACCCTGGTTGTAGCTGTAGTAAATTTAATGTAAAAAAATTAATAAAAATGTTTTAAGTAACGTTATTTAATGTTAATAAATGGAACAATCGAAGTAACTAACCACTAATGGCAAAGAAAAAAAAAAGAGATGGATTGGGAACGCCAATATATACTTGTGCATTTAAGGATACCGCTTCATTTATCTTACGAATATGTACAAAAGATTCACTATTGTTTATTACTGAATATGTAGTTCATTGAATTAATCTTTATATATGCGAAATGAACAATACAATTCATTAATACGTAGAATATTAAAACACACAAGAGAATAAGAGACGACATTGTGTTCAGTGTTTGCACCCAATGCATATGTACGCACTCAAGGAAACATAGTCATTTATCTTAAGAATATGTACAAAAGATTCATTATTGTTTATTACTGAATATGTATTTGATTGAATAAATGTTTATATATGTGAAATGAACAATGCAATTCATTAATAATACGTAGAATATTAAAACACACACGAGGAGACAAGACAGCATTGTTTTCGTGAGTGACGATGGTTCTACATAAGAAACTGAAGAAAATAAGACCCTGGTTGTAGCTGTAGTGAACTTAATTTAAAAAAATTTAATACCTGTATGTATGTTTTAAGTAATGCTATTTAATGTTAATAAATGGAACACTAGGAGTAGCTAACCACGAATGGTAAAGAAATAAGGCGAGACGATTGGGAACGCCAACGTATGAACAGTACATGTGAAAACCTATCGTCATTTCTCAACATATGAATATGAAAGCAACACTTATTTGCTGTTCATATATGTTTTGAATAATATTTACGAATGTAAAACTAAAATTCTATTCACCAATGGCAGTAAAGTCTAAAACATAAGGACAGCCAATGAATATTGTGCGAGTTTTTACTCAGATGACGAATTCATCAGGTTCAACTCTGGCTGAAGCTGTAGCTTTCCATAAAGCTGTTGCTGAAACTGTTACTGAACCTGAAGTTGATGTTGAAGGTGAAGCTGCTTATGATGCTAATTTGATAGTGTAGCTGAAGTTGATGGTCTAGGCCTTCAAATAATAATTCTCTCGAAAGAACCTTTCACAACTGCTTTCTTTTCTCATTATACATTTTTATGTAGAGGTCATTTGCGTTTATTTAAATGTAAAGGCTTTGTTTTGTTAATGGATCCACTTCAGAAAATACTGTATGTTCATTGCTTGCTCCGTATAATATCCACAGACCTCTCACCTTTTTCATATCATTTTAACACATCTCAGCTAAGCTTATTCACTGTCTATTAGCTTTTGAAACAACACTACCATCACTTGCTCTCTTGCTCATGTTGAATAGGGATGCAAAAATGCTGTAAGAAACCTGAGAAAGTTTTCCCCAGTTCCTGTTCCAGATGCGTGAAAGCAAAAGGCCCGCTAAGCTCAGAGTGTTGTTTACCACTCATTAGGAAGGCCCTCTTCATTTTTTACAGTAATTTTTTTGTCATAATACATATCGTGATTTAGTTATTATTTATAGGAAAATGTAATTTTATTTTATTTTTATTATATTTTGGTCATAAATACGAATGAAATAAGGATGTAAACTGAATTGGGTTCTAATTTATCTAGGGTTTCAAATACGAAAAGTTGTTGGACGAATCGTTGTTATCCGAGGCTTTACTGTATAGTAATATTTCCATTAACTGGAAACCCTCCAATAGCCGGAACTGATATTTTCTCAGGAAATAGCTCCCAAAGCCGGACTTTTCCGGAAAATTTAAGCTTTTGGGGACCATTTTCCGAGGAGCACATTTTCTAGAAAATTCTGAGAAAACTTTCCCGATAACTGAAAAATTCTGGGGATGGGGGGAGTTTTTTCCGGGTTTAAGAGATGAAAAATTAACTGTTCTTTGATGAATATGGGTTGGTAAAAATTCCCCTTTACCTCTTAAACAATCTTGAGACCTTGATAGTTAATATTTAGCCATACTTAAAGGAACAGAACCAGTTAACTACACTCAAGGACAATACTGTATTGTACTGACTTTTTTCATGTCACTAACCAGATTTTCATTGGTGGGGTACGTGGATCAGAATTCGCCATAGTGTCTGTGGACGACTTTAACTTCACAGTGTACTCTGGTGACTGCCCCACCCTTCCACCGGCGGTTCCCCCGGTCACCACCACCACCATTCTACCTTTGACTACTACTGATGGAGGCGCTGGGGTAATGCTGTTGCTGTTTATTCTGTTTCACTTCATTAGCAATACAGTAGTTCTATATGGCAGTATCTAGCTTACTGCCACTTTGTTGACCCATCTGTCTTACTGTGGATGACACGCAGTTAGTTTCATTGACAGTTTTTTGCAATGTTGTTTATATTTGTTGTATAGGAGATACATACATTTTGGTAGGATTTTGATTATTTAGGTAGGATTTGAGTGTGATATATGGGGCAAACATCACTGATAGTATTTTGTCACTGCCAGTACTCCCCAGAATGTTATTATGTTAGCTTAATAAATTCAGTACAGATCCTTAAACTCAAGTTTGTTTCGATTTACAAAATTTCTTATTTTCACAATGTGCATCGTAAACATGTTGAAAAAATATAAACAGCTGGGGGTTCCAACTAAATTTTTCTGAATGCACTTATTTTTTTTAGTAAATATGTCATGTGTTTCAGATTTTTTAGATTATATAATTACCAGATATATAACTCTGTATCCCTGACAGTCTGTGACATGCAACTTCACTGAAGGAGAGTGTGGATGGATGAACATGGACTCTAAGGGCATCCATTGGAACTACAACAGTGAGTCACACAACTACATAAGTATTCCTATAGTACTGTTATGAGGTCCTGGGCTGGCACCATTTTACTCTCATACTTATTACCATTGGTAGCGTGACGAGAGGAGGCTCGTGGGTAGATGTAATGATAGTATCAAGCAATAGGGAAGAAATAACGGTAAATACTGTAGGTAAATAATAGACACAATATACAAATACAAAATTTATTTAAACAGTAATATGAAATTAGGAGAAAGAATTTATATGTACCAACAGACGAAATCTAGTACTAGGCCCTCAGGCTCAACATACTCACACCACTACTGGGTGGACATACTCAATAACACATAACTCGTATAGTCACTTAGCACCATAAAGACCAGAGCAACTGCCACTACAACACTCAGTCGTCAGGGGTTATACTCAAGCAACAGCCATGGGGTCCAGCCACCATGGAGTACTTTCCGACGAACTCTGGAGATCCCAGTGGATTAACTCCACCACACAAATAGCCCTACTGAGTTAGACACTCATCCACCAATGATGGGGCTGGTAGTGGTGTGTGGCTTGGTGATCCGGGGGTCACCTCGCAGGCCGAGCGTTAGGGCCAGACGAGCTAGCTATGGGGGCCATAGGTAGTCTGAAGTGTCTGACGGTCGGGTCTCACGAAGGTAACTGATCCTACTGGACCTCGGACATCTCCCCAGACATAGTGGATACAACATCCACGCTACAGACATGGCCTAGGCTGCGTTAGGGACCTGTATGGGTGAAGGGACGGGCACTTACTAACCGTGACAATGACATCACATTTCAGGGGACGTTAAAGACGTAAATATGACTTCACTTAGAGCATATCAACTACGTTACTGTAACACTTGCACAATCAACTATTAATTGGGTCAAATCACTTAAAGAAGGGCGAATTATAACACAGTGGAATGGCATACCTGTATGGGTGAAGGGACGGGCACTTACTAATGGGTGAAAATGCCCGCGGCACCTTCACTCAAAATAGGCCAGGGAGTCCACCTACTTCTATTCCGATGAATTAATTTACTGTACACTCTGACGTTGAAACTGAGACTATGAACTCAGTTTCATTCCCTACTATTATCCTCACTAACAATGCTCTGACTCAGCTATCAAAAGCAAAATTAAATTGATTACTAAAGGTTGGATGGCAACAGGTCCCAACATACAGCATCTGCTACTAAATCCGCGGATTATATTCAAAGTTCCCTTAAGACAAAGACGGGGAAACAGAGAAAACGGGGGACGTTTCCACTGGGGGACTCGGAAGGTTTTGTGGACGTTTGAGCGTAATATGAATCCTTAAGGTTTTCAGGTTAGCCGTCATCACGATCATGACACTGTACTTTGGAATTTAAATACTGTATTACCAGTATTACCAGTATTTGCATAATTGTATTTTAGCCAATTAATTTCAGTTGTTCTAACATCTAGCAGTTACTGTGTATTAGTTGATATATATATATATATATATATATATATATATATATATATATATATATATATATATATATATATATATATATATATATATATATATATATATATATATATATATATATATAAGTTCTCGTTAATCTAACTCTTTCCAACGTTGTAATCAAACCATTGTTCAATGGTTTGGTCCAGTCAGACTTAAATAAAGCACTCTACCAGTGATTCACCATAAAATTTACCTTTACAATTCTTTCTGACGATTAATATTGTCAATATATAAAATATACAATAAAAATTTAATAAACTAAATTCATACCTTCAATTTGTAAATTAATAAATACTATTGAATATTAAATTTGTATAATAATAAAATTTAACGAATGAAACCTCATGCTGAGCGTCGCAGGCGTTAATTTTTTGTTTCGAATTAATCAATCAAACGAGGTGTTCGAACAGGTCACTGTATATATATATATATATATATATATATATATATATATATATATATATATATATATATATATATATATATATATATATATATATATATATATATATATATATATATATATATATATATATATATATATATATATATATATATATATATTATACAAGGACCGCTAACGAATCCTCGTTAACGAAATTTCGTTAATCTAACTGCCTTCCATAAGGATCTTCAATTCGTTAACTAATTTAAACTAACTCAACATGTTTCATTGCACTGACCGGCAACCAGCTTTAGTATCAGTCCGCCAATACATTAATTGGTTCTAGGGCTTAAATTCCTTACTATTTTAGTAAATATCAAGAAGTTTATACTATTCAATTATTTTAAAAGTTTAATATTCAATTTTAGTTCATTTTAACAATTATTGAACATAATTGAAGGTAAAGTAGACTGTTTAATGTGTGGCATCCAGCTCTTTAACAGCAAAACAGGCGTTAGTCTCTCTCTTGTTTTCACTGGAGGTAACATCTTGCTTGAGGATCTCTTCAACTAAATGCTTTTTTCTGTGTTTCAAGCAAATTATTGGTCATTTTGAAATATATTTTACATATTGACAATATATAATGCAGTGCAGTGTTGATTTAAAGAAAATAATCTTGAATTACACCAAGAGAGCTAAATTTTATAGGTGAAATGGCCATGGGGTGACTTCTTCCACCCCAATGCCTTCTTCCTTCTCCTCCACCCCCATTCTAAATCCCATCATCATCATCATCATCCAGGAACCTTCTACATACACACCTCAAAGTAAGTGAACTCTTCTACCATTTTTGTTGAATTTAGGAAATTTTTGGTGAGCTGGAACCAATTACCCAAAAACCCATTGAAACAATGGTTTCGGTTAACGAACTTTTCGGTTAACGAACGACCTTCTGGAACGGATTGAGTCACTGTATATTAATGTACTTTATATGTAATTTAACATTTATGAAGTTTCACATTTATTCTATTCCATGGCACCTTTGTTTATCATGAAGGTGAGAAGCACCAGATGGAGCTAGAGGCGAATGGGACAGATCCACTCCAGTACTATGTGGGTCAGATGAGGAGTCCCACTTTCACCACTGACTCTAATTCAAATACCTGTTTAACACTAACTTGGTTCTTTGACACGGAGAATGAAGCACACCTGACAGTCATTATACAGAGGTTAGTTATCTTCTTGGCAGTTCATGTTGTATAGTATAGGCATGTATATTGTATTTGCAAGTTGATCATATGACGCAAGTAAGTTGTCTTAGCCCCTTCCTGTTGCTTTCTACACTTACATTTACAATTATGTAGCTCTGCTTTGAGGTTTTGGTACCTCTTGATCCATCCCATATAAAAGTGGGAAAGGATTAAGATAATAGAACTTATTTGGTTTTATGTTACATCCTGCCACCCATTGTTAGCTCTATATACTGTACAGTACTGTACATGTTCCTGATAGACCCCTCATTAAGTTAGTTCTTATACCCATGATGTTACTTGCCATTGATCGTTCTAGTGCCGCTTGGTATAATAGTTTTAATACTATAGTATTATTCAAAACTGATACCAGTGGTACCATATTTGACGGATGTAGAAACACTAAATTTTTGTTGTGCAGTAAGATGTAAAGGGTGATACTGTATATGGAGAGAGAATGTGATGTAGAGATAATTGTTCTGTAAAACTGCTGAAACACTACCGATAAATGTAATTCAGTCAACGTGCCACATAATTGTCTTTCAAAACTTATTGTCAAATTCTTTTTCAGTGCTGATGGACTAGATATTGATTTCCTGATGAATGTCAATGACGGATCAGATGGACAGTGGAAGACAACCAATATGGACATCACCAAGGAGGGCACCTTCAGGATAGCTATTGAAGGCACAGTGCTGAGTGGCTGGAAGGGCGTCATGGCTTTCAACAATGTTCTGCTGGTCAACAAGCCCTGCTCAGAAGGTGAAAAGATAAGAGCATTTATAGAATCCCCCACCTAATCTGACCTAACTCAAATAACCTATCTTACTCAAATCTCACTTGACTTGAAAACTGGGTTCTTTAGGCCTGACAGCCCATTTTGGACAGTATGGATACAGTGCAAGGCATATTAAGCTTTCCATGCACAAGAAGGTAGCATGGTTGGCACTGCACTTAACCATGATCACTTTCTCAATTATAAAGTTATGTACCTATTTACAGTTGGGTAGACAGAATATTCTAGGATGAAACCTGGAGGTGAGCGCCGTATCTATGCGGTCACTGCCCACCTCTTCTGACTAACTTAACCTAGATGGTAGGGGATTTAATAGTAATGGCCCATGATCCCTCTCCTACTATCTATTACCACTTTATAGCTGAATCTGTCTATCTATATCATTAGCCTGCAGGATGGGACATGTTAAACCTCCTCTGTTCCATTCTGTCACCACATATTTAGGCAACATATGTCTAGTTCCATCCACCACATTTTTAACCTAATATTAAGTGAGATAAGCTAGTACGTACATACCTGATCTAAAACTGATTGTTCCGTGGACCTAAATAACCTAATCAAAACAAATATGTCTATCCTCTAGTACTGTGCAATCTATGATGTAGCCAGTAGTGGGCATGGTCCCGCTAATTAGCGAAGCTAAGTTTCTCGTTAGCGGATTAGCGTTTTCGCTAACTTTGGAAACCATTAGCGGACCAATTAGCTTCCTCTAAATTTAGTTCCGCTAACTTTAAGTTCGCTAACAAAATTTATACATGTTTGTTCCTGTTTGTTGTAAGCGTGTGACGCCGCGACGCGTGTCTCCAACAGCCAGTCAGGCACGCTTGGCTGACTGCGTGTTAGTACGTGTAAACTTGACAAGACATGATTTGTCAACGCTGCGCTGCAGCAGCTGAGCAGCATTGTGTAATTCCGCAGTTCTGAGTTCAGTTCACTTACTATGTTGTCACATTACAGACAGTCTAAGCAGTCTTACAGTGTCAGTGACAGCAGCGTATGTTATCGCTTATTGTTATGGAAGGTGAAGAATTACTTTTCATTAAAGTTTAGAGTTTTCTGTGTATTTACATGACTAAGACCAACAATAAGTTATATAAAAATGCACTGGTATAATGTGTATATGGTTGGTATTGCATATTTACATGAATAATGAATAAGGCCAATAGGTTGTATGAGAATGCAAATAAATGCATATTTGTGAAATTGTGTACAGTGTACACCTTGATAAGTCAATCATCATCTGATCTTGGTATGATGCTATTCGCTACCTATGCTATACAGTACTTTAGTTTTTGGATTCGTTTAATACTTTCTGTCTTTTCATACAGTAAATAAAGATTATATAGTGTATGTTGAAACTTGAATGTAAACTAATGTTTAATTTCATTTGTTCATTTAATTATTTGTGTACACCTTGATCATCATCTGATCTTGGCATGCTATACCTTTTTGGAAAGCTCTATGTCTAAGCTACAAGACAAAATATGAAAATTTCAGCTCTCTAGGTCTGTTTTTAAGGGTTTTAGAGCCCCCTCCCCCCCAAAAAAACGAAGCTTAATTCATATAATAAAAGTTAGCGGGAAGCGTTAACTTCCGCTAATTTTTTTTAGCTGTTTAGCGGTTTAGGGTTAGCGAAGTTAACATTTTAGTTAGCAGATTAGCTGTTAGCGAAGCTAACTTTTCGTTTAGCTGTAACCACCACTGGATGTAGCTAGTTACTTGAGATATGCTCCAAGTTTTTGCTATTAAATTGATGACATAAAAAATTATATCCAGTGCACTGTGATTACTTCTATTGACAGAAATCATTATTGTAGGGAAGCCAAGTAAACTGTGTAAGACATCAATATATTATGAAAATGTTGAAAGAAAAAAGTTATATAACATAGATTGTGTATGATAAAATATGATTTTACGAATTGCAAGTCTCATCCAGTCAAACCAGAAATTAATTTTTTGTTCTTGTTCAAACACTTATCTAGTTTAGCACTTTAGGTGAGCATTGTATGCTGTTATCTGTGGCTGTCAACTTCATTATACTACAGTATTAAGTTTGCTGATAGAAACCAAGATATATTACTGTATATATTTAGACTGGAGAGTTTTATCTGTTATGACCTATGGTCTCTCTAAAGGTCCATGTAAAGGGTTCAGTGCTACTACAGGAGGAATAAGAAGGATCATGCAGATATATGTGAATGACCAGGTTAAAAGCTTTCAGGCACAATTCTATTAATATCTAATCTACAGTAAAGTATCCCATTTGCATTTACTTCACCAGATGGAAATTACTGTATCTGAAGTTTATATACCTAGATGACAAGATTTAGTAGTTTTTAATAAGCTGTATTAATATCAAGGTTAAGCACCACCTTTGTGAAGTGTCATCATTTGGTAATTAATGAATATGAACTTTATGCTGTACTTGAAGCTGTACTTGTTCAAGTATTTCTGATAACAAAATTCTTATTCTTATTGTGTGGCAGATGTGAAGACGGGCAGCCTGTGGTGTGACTTTGAGAGCCCAGAGGAGTGTGGGTTCCACACATCTTTGCCAGGGGACTCTACTGTCTGGACGTGGGGCTCCAGTGACATACCCCTCGATCACACCCTCGACAGTCCCATGGGTGAGTATGCAATAATGAGTGATTGTGTGCACATATGCATAATTTAGCACACGCATATTGTACATACTGTACGTATATACAGTACTGCTTTATGTGATTTACCTGTCACCTCACATGAGCTATATCGCCCATTAGCAAAACATCCTTCCTCAAAAGTCACTCAATGCCATGCCCTCCTTTCCTTTATAGTCATCTTTTTTCTTCTTCCTTTTAGTGCTGAATTATATTTATTTTAGACCAACTCCACTAATACAGTTTTTTATTGACTGGTTCAACTGATAATTGGGCTGCTTCACAGATTTCCTGGAACAAGATCTTTATTTGATAGTATATGATAGTAGGAAAGTTATCAACATTACATTGGTTTATCTCACACTTGTATTCATTTCATTACTAAGTTTGCTTTAGTTTCTCTTGTTTGTTTAATGATTAGAGTAGGTAAACCACAGTTTCTTAGCTCTCCTGTCTCATTATTTTTTTGACTTATTCCTACTCCTTGTGGAAAGATTCTGCTGACTTATTTACGTGTTGGTGTGGTGCCATCAGGTCACACTATGTATGTGGACACGGATAGGAAGGGTAGTCTAGCTCACCTGGTGACCCCCTCCATCTCCCCTGTGGATGAGACCTTCTGCCTCACCTTCTGGTTCTACATGTTGGGTGCAGACGTAGGCAGACTCACGGTGAGTGGTCCTGTGTGTGTGTGTGTGTGTGTGTGTGTTACTTCTATAGTACAATGTTCAGGATTGTGTCTGCAGGGATTTTAATATCTTTGAGTGCATATGGGTTGTGAATGTATGTGTTAATGCTTCTTGGAATGTGTTTCAAGTGTTTTGTGTTCGAGTCTATTAGTGGATATTTTAATGTGAGTGCAGGGTGGAAATTGGACACTTGATGGGGAAATATTGAGGTCTACAATTTGTACTGTGTACAGTCAACCCTCACTTTACGCGGTTAATATAACCCACAGGGTACCGCGGAAAGTGAGAAACGCGTAAAGTGAACAACATAACATGTGGGATTAATTGAAATAGAGACCGGGCCGACCCCCAAACTCCACTTTTTGACGACACACAACTATGTTGTAGTAAAAATTTTATCTTAACTTTATGATGGTATGCACAAACAATTAATATAGAAGAGGTTAGGTTAGGAAAAATAAAGGTTAAGTTAGGAAAAATAAAGGTTAGGTTAGGAAAACTAAAAGTTAGGCTGAACACTTACGTTAGTAGAAGAGATGGGTCGGCATATGGGGATGGAGGCTGGTTCTGAGGCAGAGGGCAGGCTACTGGCCCTCAGGTGAGTCACCATCACCATCGGGAGCAGGCGGGTGGGGCGAATCTAAAAATAGCATCAAGCCGGACACTCTCCGTGTAAAGGGGTACACGCACCGCGGAATGTGAGCATCCTGGGTTCCGGCAGGGCACCGCGTAAACTTGGAAACGCGGAATGTGGGATCGCGTAAAGTGAGGGTTGACTGTATTACTATGTAATTTGTTTTCAAAATTATTTACTATGTCTACATGATTATATTTTTAGTGATTTTAATTAATCCAATGTCTTTAATTATTTATGATACTCTATTGCAACAATCCTGGGGAAGGTTTTTCAGATAGGATAGTTTTTTTACCAGAATTGTCCTTTTAGCCAGTTATCATGTGATAAGGGTCGAATACTGTACATATTTAGAGACTGTTTACATGATATGGTAATGCAATCATTTGTCTAGCTTTGGTAGAAGGCACAATTTGCAGGAACACATTTAACCATCTGAATCTGACATTAAAAAAAAAAAGCACCTTGTCTGGATTGGGACAATAGTTGGGGAGAGATCAGACTCAGTTCATATCCACCCCCTCCCCCCCCACTAAAGAAAAAAAATGCAAACACCATTTTAGATAAATTTAAAAGGATATAACTATATCAGCTACAAAATAGTACTAATATTTATTTAGAAATTGTTCAACAATTTCTTGGACCCACATCAGACATCCAAGCTTTGCTGTGTATGGTATGGGACCAGACACCATGTTGGTAATGTTCACTTCTGTGTCTCCAAACCTAAGCTACTACTCTTATCAACTTTTCACCATTATATCTTCATACCCTGCTGTATATACAGTACAGTACAGTACAGTAAAAACAACTTCTGCACCATACTATATTTTGGTTAGTAATAATGTGCTTGTTTACAACAACAGGTGTACTCCATGCAAAACAACAACCCAGGTCTGCCTCTATTGGTGAACCACCAGTCCTACCAGAAGGAATGGCGGGGTGCCTCTGTCACTGGTGTGGTTGACATCAGTGCTAACTTCACGGTGCGTTGTTATCTCTTTTTATACCTCAGGCTTCCTAGGATTCTCAAAGCTGTATACACATAATTTTTTACCTTATCTAGTATTGAATGAGAAACACTCCCAGATTACAGTATACATATTGGTGAAAGTTGAGGTCATTAAGACCTGTGTATTTGTACAGTAAGCAAGGCAAGCACATTCATTATTACATTTAAGTGTCCTGTGATTGGAAATTTTAAGGCATAATCCTTTAAAAATCCATCTCTAGATTTTTTACTTAAAAAAAAATAGGTCAAGCATCACATATGAGTTATGGAATTGTTTTTAAGACATTGTGTAGTTCAGTACCATCATGGATGACCCTGGAGTTTGTGTGGTGCAGGCCCTTTAGTGGGGCCCTTTAGGTCGTGTGGTGTAGGGCCCTGTAGATTGTGTGGTGATGGGCCTTATAGTTGGTGTGGTGTGGGGTTCTTTAGGTTGTGTGAGCCCCATACAATTTTGACCAAGTGCTTTGGCAAAAACAGTTTTTATGCTTGTCCAGGTGATTTTTCTTTTGCTTTGAGTTAGGAACCTAAAATATGGACACAATGGTGAGTAGACTAATGGCCTTTTTTTTTAATAATTTATTTACTTATTACATCACCCTACCTCATTCCTTTGCCAAGTGTTGCATGAAGTGTGGAGCACATGTAATGTTCCTCACCTCACAGGTGACTCGGTACAGGTGGAAACACCGCAGTCAGAATACCCCAACTGTGGTTATGTCGATGACTTTACATTTAATTGTCCTTTAGATATTATAGTGTATGTCTGTGTTATTATGTTGTTAGGCTCTGTTGTCCTTCAGATAGAGCACTTTGACTATCACTATGCCATTGTCACATGTACAGAGCTGCCTGTGAGGCAAGGAACATTTTGTATGCAGGCAACTGTACCACTACTGTAAATGGAGGTTTTGGTTCCAGATACATTGTTTTATACAGGTAGTCATGTTCTATGTTCTAATTGGTTTTCTAGTCAGGGAGAGTTATAGTCACTTTGCTGAGTTTACTGTGTTTTGCAGATACAGTATCGCTAAATAACATCATGCTGGGTAAGAGTTTTAAAGAGAGAAAGTGTGGGAAAACAAAGAAAACACTGAGGTTAGCTTAGTTGGGAAAAGTTAGCTTCAGATTTTATGGGTTAGACTATAATTCAGTTTAAACTTATCTTTTCAAATCTAACTAGATTTTTTTGTATTGTATTTTTGTCAGTGCCACATAAATTTGTAACTACTGTACTATAAGTTTAAAGTGCCATTGATCGACTTTTTACGTATTTTGCATTTATTTTCATATTTACAGTTTTGCTTAGTATTTATTTAAATTCACAATACTGAAGACTTATCCATTAGAAATTACCTATCACTTGCATAAAGTATACTGACCACTCTAATTAATGCCCATTGTAAAATTATTTACAACGTAATCAGTCTTGGTACTTACTGTACCTGGATATTTTTTTAAATACCTGTATTTACATAATTTTCATATTAAATTAACATTGCATTACTTAAAATACACCGAACTATATCATGGCACATTTATTAATGCACTAGGCTTTGGGATCATAAAGGTGTGGATTTGGTTTGAACACAGCTTGATGCAGTTCCTTTTTCCGAGAGAAAAAATGCCAGTGAAATTTAGTTTGGAAATGTTACAGTATTTGAAATTTATGAGTGATTTAATGTTATTTGCTAATTGTTGACATGCTCTACTAGGTGCTGTTTGAGGCATTCACAGGGGAGGACAACTGGGGCTCCCTGGCTATTGATGATGTGAAGGTGACTCCTGGGTTCTGCCCTAACCCATCTACCTGCACCTTTGATGATGGCCTCTGCCTCTGGACACAGAGCCATACTGATGACTTAGATTGGGAAGTTGTCAACTCGGTGGGAGACCTTCATGATCACACTAATAGTAAGTATTATTACTATCTCCCAAATGAAAAAATTCTTCATGTATAATTTAGTAAACTACTATTTTGAAGAAATATTTCTTTTAAGATTAGTAGATTTTATAATGTTTATGTAATCATAAAGATCAGTAATATTATTACCATAGTACACATTAATGGAATAAATTCTCAAAAATAGTTGATTGGGTTGATAAGTAAAAAGAGGATGGAGAGAATGATAGATAAATTGGAGCAATATCACACAATTGAAAGTAATGCTTCATGTGTCGCCCTCTTGCATAACAGGAACTAGTCATTATTTAAAAACGGATGAATTGTCGAGGGGTTTCAAGAGACCATGCAGCACCTAGAGCTGCAATCATGTAATTGTGGCTAACTCATGCAAGCGTGGAAAATGGTTATAATAGGATGATGATGATAATAATAATGATAATGATAATGATAATGATACTCTGTACGATATAGTTAATAATATTAATGCATCATTCCTTAAACAGAATCGGGGAAATTTGTGACTCTAAGGACAGGCGATCCAGCAACCATAAGGAACACAGCAGCACTGGAATCTGAGCCTGTTGAATTACTGGAGATATCATGCTTCACCTTCTGGTGAGCCACACAACAGATACTTTAGTAAACTTGTACAGGCATCCCTTGAGTTACAATATTTCAATTTATTAATAGTAAAAAATTCACTTACAGTATTTTAAATAATTTATGGTAATAATTTTTCTTTTACAGTATCTTTTAAGTTACATTTAAATTTTGTTGATGGAAAGGTTTATATATTTTTTTTATACATTAGGGGATAATAATGAAAATTGCATAAATATGAATCAGAATTGATAATCTCACACAGTATCATCATTACTGCACTTCCTTTCTTATTAGAGTATATTTATTTGGTATTATGTGTTGTTCCTTAAATTCCTGTGGACACTGATGTAATTCGTAAGATCTCACATCATGTTCAATATTATTAGCCTTTTGATATACTGTATCACCAGAAATATTATTTTTCTGTCACACAGGTACAATATGTGGGGGGAAAATATTGGATATCTTCAGATTGAGAACAGTGACCCTACCTTTAATGAAATGATATTATGGCAACTCACTGGTCCACAAACCAATGCCTCAGAGTGGAAGTATGGCAGTGCTCCAGTCTCCCCAGCTGGAACATTTAATATAGTAAGTTTGTAATTAGTAATAAGTACAGTATAGGATTTTGCTTAGGGGAGAATAACTAACAATAAGTCCTCCATTGTCATCACAGTTTATATTAAAATAGGAACAACATGGAGGTAGAATACCATGGTTGTAAGATCTATATATGGTTGCCTCTAGTATGAATTATGAAAAAAAATCCTGGAATTACAAGTGGCTATAATTTGTAAAGTACTTACCAGGCAAAATGGTTAATCCTCTCCTTTTCCATTTAATGTGTCACTCTTTTATAATGTTGAAAAGTAACTTTTAGGTTGAGATTGGATATGGAGTACAGTACAGTACTTATTATTTCATGTATATTGTATAAAAATTATAGGCTCATTGATAAAATTCTTTCCCTTGCAAAATGTCTCTTTTTATCACAAATAAAATGTGTTACAACTACAGTTGTGATAATTTAATATATGGAAGTAAAATTTAATTCATGAACATTTCAGATCTTGGAATGTATATTGTATATCAAATTATACCCATAACTGGAATCCTCCTTGTTTCTTTCTTAGATCAGCATTGTGGGTGAAGTGAATAGTATCTATGAAACTGGGAATGGCACCATTGCTGTAGATGGTGTTGAACTTAAACAAGGAGTGAACTGTGACTTTGAACCTCCTGATGCAGAGGTTGGCACACCAGCACCCATGACCACCACTCCCATGCCTACCCCTAGTCCTGGATATGGTTTCAAATGTGACTTTGAAGATCCAGATGAGGCACTCTGTGGCTGGCACGATACCTCAGCTGAAGCTTACAAATGGAAAATTGTCAAGGTTAGATAAATGCTATATGTAGTGCAGTACAGGAGCAACCTGGTTATCGCAAAGAACGTGTTCCTAAAAGTCGGTCTGATAAACTTAAGGTTCCTAAATATTGTCAAGTTTCATCTAGGTCTTAGATTTTTTTTTTAATTTTTATGTCTGTTATAAATTTTTTGGTAATATTATATATAACCTGCTTTTAATAGCATTTTTAGCTCGGATTGTTTTTATATGCAGTAGTAGCAACTTATAAGTTGAAAAGTCATATCCCCATTACATACTTATCTGCTGTACTTATGACTATTGAACTAGTACAGTAGACCCTTGCCATTCATGAGGGATAGGTTCCAAGAAATAGCACGAATTGGCAAAACCGCGAATAGCAACTTATACTACCTTAGTGCACTACTGTATACCTATAAAGTACCAAACAACTGACCAGCCGCGACAGCACTCATCCCATCTTTTAACTTATTTTATAATTAAACTTTCTTTGTCAGGGTCATTACTGACTTTATCCTTTTACGTTTCACTCCACTAGCAACACTATCACTGACATTAGGCAGTCTTAGGAGCCATTTCACACAGAAACGCTTAAGTTTTGAGAGTACAACATGAGATGCTGCGTGAGGTGACTCGTTGTACTGTGGAAAAAGGCTTGCAAGCTAGCCACCATAGCCACCATGTGCTTACCACGAATTTTTGAAATCGTAAATTGCAAGAGTCTACTGGACTGTAGTATTCTCCATCTCTTGTATAGGCCACTTCCTTTTGTATTATTTTCATATACTGTACATAAAACATCATAGGTTTTGAACTTATATTTGCTTGTTTTTTCTAATAGCCTATAGTGTCTTCATACATGAAATTTTATGCAGTAAACATAAAGTACTGTATGTGAAATTTGGTGCTTTTTGTATCTCAACCTTAGTCTGGTCACACCTTATCATCGACAATCCATTTCCTTCCCAAAAGATTGTCACTCCCTTAGAGCAGGTCAGTAGGATAAAATGGATCATCTAAAGATTCTCTCCCCCTCCCCCAGCTTATTTCTCTTAAAGATAAACCACCGTAATGCTAACATAACCTAACTTCATCCTTCCAAATACTGTAGGGTGTTTAATATTTTTTTTAGGACTAGCATGAGAAGCAAGTACTGTACTGAATAATATGTTATTACTCTAAACAGGGGGCTTTAAACACAGAAGGCATTGGTCCTGTAAGTGACCACACCACAGGCTCGGGCCACTATGCCTCCTCGTCACGTAGTCCAGATCTCAACTACAAAACCACTGTTACCTCTGTCCTGCGGAGCCCGAAGATAATGAAGACAGAGCTCAGTTGCTTTGTATTTTGGTACTTCTTATGGGGAGACAACTCCAAACTCATAGTAAGTACAGTACATGATATCATCTTGAATCAACTGTGATTATTTAGGGTTGTGCTGATATAAATAGGAATTCCTTGAAATGAAACCGCTCTTTATGCACAGTATGTGGTAGAGAGAAAAGTATGATATGTGATAAGGCTTATGGTAGTAGAGCTGTATAATATAACCAGTATATATAGCATTTACAGGCATACCCCGTGTTACGGAAGGTATGTGTCCTTGAAAATTTGTCTGTAACGTGAAATTCCGTAATGCAAAACCAATTTTCCCATTGACTTCCATTATGTAATTGGAGATGCGTTCCCAAGGAAATATTATTGGAAAAAAGACGTAATACAAGCACATTTATGAATGAAAATAATTTTTTTTTAACACATACATTGATTATTTTATGATAAAATATGATAATAAATATACAAAACATTTGAATTTAACTTACCACAAACGATGTTGAGTGCTACGTTAGGTGTGGTGGTGAAGTAAGGTGGTGCAATCAGATTTACTGGAAGGGAGACGGAGGAGCACTACTGGATCCTGCCTTGCCCTGTACGGTACAGTATTGTAGCAACCACCAAGAAATCCACATGTAATAAATTTTATAATTTCTGTTAATTTTTTTTCTAATAGTATTGAAAATAAAAATTAAATTAAAAATTTACCCAATTTCCCTAAGGGCAATTTTTGTTTTCCGTATCCCGAATTTATTGGTCATAATTTACAAAATCCGTAAGAGCGAATTTCTGTAACCAGAGTTTCCGTAACCCGGGGAATGCCATATAATATTGTACTTATTTCAGATATGGAGGTATAAGACCTAATAATATTGTGAGATGATAACATTTATCTAGGATATTGAGGAACAGAAGCCATGAAATTTTTTTACCTGTGTTAATGTGTCATTCTGTTCTATGAATACCACAGTCCTGATTGATTTATTAAGAATTTTTTTATCAGCTTTTAATGTTGCATCATATGCTCAGTAATTAGTAACTTTTGTTTGTTTATAAATTTATATTGCTAGATAAGAAGCAGCATTGACAATTTCAGTATAGTATATTTATATACTGTACCTGTACTTAGTAATTTAGATAATTCTAATTCAAACATCATAATACTGTGTAGGCTTAAGTGTCATTTACCAAATGTACTGTATTTATTATTTATTGCCTTCCATGACAGCTGAAAGTAAACAATAAGAATCACTGGTCAAGACAAGGCAGTCAGGGAAACAAGTGGGTGCCAGCCAAAGTGAATCCTAAATTTAAAAATAATCACGGGAACCTTACCCTACGAGCTGTTCTCAAGCAAGATCATGAGTACGCCTACGTCGCTTTGGATGATATGTTTTACTACAATGTTACCTGCAATAAAGTAGACGTTAGTAAATTTTCGTTTTTTATTTATTTTTTCATAGGTAATATATATTGAACTGCTAAATGTTAAGCCAGTGGAGCCTTTGAATTAATGTTTTTAATCAACTTCGTAAGAATTTGATTATTTATTTTCAAAGTGTCATAATTTTCCGAGCATATATTATGTTTGTAAGCTAATTATATTGGGTTAATTACAATTTCCTCTATGTACTGCACACTACAGTGTGTGTATGTGGGGGACTCATGTGTGCATGTGTGTGTGTGTGTGTGTGTGTGTGTGTGTGTGTGTGTGTGTGTGTGTGTGTATACATCATATCTGACTATTATTATATCACTGAGTTTCAGGAATACTTAATGATATATAATAACAAGAAAATAAAACCAATCATTTTCAACAGCCTTTTCACCACCACTGAAGTTGTGTTACACAACCAAATATTTTATATAAATTATAATAATTTTCAACCCAAACTTTAAATATGCTGTACAGTATATGAATTTGCAGCTTTTAGCTTTTGATACTGGTCACCTTGTATCTTAACAAGGAAAGACTTAAAAGAAGGGAAAATGAAAATCTCCTGATGTCACAACTCCCAATAGTCAGACTTGTATATTGGTATGAACAAAAATCAAATGTGTAGAAATATTACAATGGTTTTCAACAAAAAAGACTGACATTTTTAGTTTTGGATATCTGAATTTAAAGAGTTCATATTTACAGGTTGGCACAAACACAGGTCATCAGTGTGACTTTGAAGATGAGGGCCTGTGTGGATGGATTCAGGTGGTGGAAGAGGATAACGCTGATTGGGATTGGGTTAATGGCTCCCAGGGAGGTATGTTGACTAGAACAAAGGAGGAAGAATAAATAATATAATGAGTTTTTTATGTATTTTGTTACATCTTATGTTTGGTCATATATGGGGCCATTTGTATAAAAGAAGAGATTAATATTAAATTAGTTGTATAAAAGAAAAATACAGTGTTGAAATGATTTCCCCATACTGTACTGTTGTTTCATTACATTTAACAAAGGCAACTTAATTAGCCATCTCACAGCTCAATGATTATATTATTCACACACTCATACACACACACACTTCTCTCTTCCATTGGTTTAATTGTTGCAGTATTATGTTTGTTTATGTTCAGGATAGTATTACCGTAATAAAGTTTGGTACTGTATTGTGTTATTATGTGTATTTGGGAAAATTGGTTTCAGTATATGGAATTTTGATGTACAGCAAGATATTGAATCTAACCCTTCCAAATATCAGGGGATGGCTTAGGACATAGAGGTATGAAAAGTGCCAGACTGAAAAAGAAGGTAGTGATAGGTAAGATTAACTCACCTTGTTAGTTTTGGAGTAATTAAACTTTAGGTTGATTAAGCTGAAAGTGAACTGAGAGACTACATGTTCTCTTGATTCTGGGCACCACATATTACTTTGGGAAAGGGCTTGTAAGAGTTAAAAAAAAGAAAATGTCAGTACACTACAAGTAAATATAGTAGTTATTGAATACTGTATACGGTACCTGTGACTACAAAAATTTATAGAAATTTGCTTCATTGCTTCATTTTATGTTCCTGAGTATTGTCTATAGAATATTAATATAATATTTAAGATACCAATAGACTATAGGTACTATATGCACCTGAAGAAATTTTAACTGCTTCTTTTATGGTTGTTCATAAAAATTTATCTCCAACTTACTTTACAGTTGAAGGCTCAGATCACTCTTATGGCACAGCTTCTGGTCACTACCTACAGCTGAGCTCAATTAAACAAGGATCAGGTGCACATAAGATGGCTCTTCTCCAGCTGCCCTTACTGAAAGACATGGCAGTGGGTGATTATTGCATCCAATTCTACTACGCTCGCTTTGGTGGGGTTCACACTGGCAACATCAGCGTCATAGTGAGCTGCTTATGTTTATCTTCATAGTGTCACTACACTCTTTACTACAATTTTCTGTAATTGGGTGACAAAAATCAGGGTTCCAAATATGCAATGAATGCTGTTACTTTTGGTGTCTATTTTAACATAACTCTTTGTGGTGAAGAAATTTGTATTCAGTATAAATTTTTAAGAAAAAGGCTTTTCTTTAGTTAAGGGAGTATTATAAGAAAGAGGAATTAGATTCTAAGATCAGAATTGATACTATTGGGATTTTAGGTGTCACCTAAAATGCCTCTTGCTGAAGTTTGTTTTGCACTTAATGTCAACAGATATGACAAAGCCACAAGTATTTAAAAAGTATTGTATCTTCCAGGTGGAGTTTGCAGGTGACATTACAACCATTGTGGAGGTAAATGATAGAGATGGTGCCAAGAACTGGACCCTCCTGCAGCAGACCTACACTAATCTTGCAGCCGATGCCACTTTTGCTCTTGTCATAAGGGGTGATGTGGGTGCTGCATCCCCAAACAATGGTGAATCAGTACTGGCTATAGATGATTATTCTTTCACCAACACTGGCTGTCCTGAGGTTGGTTTCTTGGGAACTATTAATTAAATTATGTGCATTACCAGCAAAAGATTTATTTGCATAAAACTTAGAATATATTGAAAGAATTGGCATAATCTACACTACTAGTAGCTTTTTAGTTAAAAATTATGCAAATATGCTCTATATATGATGAATTTTATTCCACAGCCAGGATCTTGCACCTTTGAGGATGCCCATTTGTGCATGTGGCACGTAGAGATGTCTGAGGATGTGTCCTGGCAGTTAACTGATGGTCGTGAGAGTCATAGCCGTGGGCCGCACTTTGACCACACCACCAATACTTCCGCTGGTCAGTTTGCTTTTTCTTGGATGCAAATGTTATTGTTGTTTATTACAGGCAGACCCAATTTAAGATAATTCAGTTAAAAATAAAAATTTGCCCCACTCTTTGACTTATTTATTTTTATTTATTTTTTATCATATTCGCCAATTATCAGCTTACTAGCCGTTTGGGTGGTCTATCCAGTGTTAGTACAGGAGGAAACCAGGGACTGGGAAATCTGTGGTGTTTGGTAGTGAGGGTCACACTGGATAACACCCTTCTCACGTGTGTCCGAGCCAAGGCTCGAACCCTTGATATATTGGTGAAATTTATGTGTGTTACTGCTGTACCGCCAACACCCCCCTATGATTGAAAACCCTTAAGTAAAAATAAAATAATAATAATAATCATTAGTACTGTATACAATACAGCATATGTTTTTTATTTTCTCCCAACAGGTGGTTATTTGATATTGGAAGACTTTGATGTGCATAGTGGAGTTGTCACTGACTTGGTTAGTTCCCACATCCCAAATGATGTTGAAGGCTTCTGCTTCAGTTTTTTCTATTCTTTGAGTGGAGATGATGGTGCTCGGCTTAATGTTTCATCACGAACTGATGATGGCACAAACACCCTGTGGTCTCTGACAGGAGACCAGGGACCAGACTGGTATTATGGACAGGTATGAACAATCAAATTTGTAAATGTTTTCTGTTTGTCATCTTTCCTATCTGCATTAAATAGCTCGAAGAATACCAATTTTTGGACTAATAGACCTTTTTGGACCTGCTTTCATTTGTCACAGCTTTTGGATATAACAATTACTTGTCCGTTTGATGTATTACCACGTACTCATTCTTGATGTGTGTATTTTGGGCCAGCCATTATACAGTAGTACAGTACTTCAAAAAGTAATGTAATTTGTCTTATCAGCCTTGGAACATTCATTTTCTTACTGTATATCTTTTCAGGTGCAGTATACAGCATTCAAAGAAAAAAAGATATTCATTACTTTGAGGTAGACAGTTTCCTTTAGACAATCACTAATTTTCTCTCCATGTTCTTAACTGGATCTGCTTATATTTGGCAAGGACCATAGCGAGGGGACAACTTCCTGAGGTAATCAAAGATTATCTCCCAACCTTAACAGAAGTATAAATTATTTTCAACAACACCTCCACCAGGTTGGTATTGCTGGATCATCCTCAAAGGGAGACTTTGAAATTGTAATTGAAGGAGTGACTGGATCGCTTGCTGAAGGCTGGATTGCCCTGGATGACTTATTTACTGTCATGGGTGAATGCACCATCCTGCCTCCTATAGCCACACCAACACCTATTCCGGTTACCACACCCCTTCCACGTAAGCCCTTGCTGTTTACTTGAGTAAATTTTTCTTATATGTTGTTTATTCCATGTTAGTTTTTTGTTTCATAATTTGAAGTGATAGATGATTATTTATTTACTTTTCTTACTATTCTGTTGTCAGCTTATTAGTTGGTTTGACAACTGGTAACATCACAGTTTCACATTACAATACACCAATTCCCTAATTTCTCATCATTTAGCTGGTGACATCTTCAACTGTGACTTCGAGATGGATATATGTTCGATGATTCAAGCTTCATCAGATGATTTTGACTGGGTTTATCATCATTCAGAAGACGAATTTGAGCTCCCCCCAGGTGGATATTTGTTACTAGATTCAAACGGACATGATCCTGGGAACCGGGCTGTGATCACAACTCCAGAACTTACCCATAAGGGCCTCCAGTGTATAAGTTTCCAGTAAGTTTTGTAAAAAGAAATAAAAAATTAGTTACTGTTCTCAGTAATTTTTATTATTTTTTTTATCAATAACAGGTGACAGTGCACTGGCAATAGAAAAAAATTACAGCATTCAATATGAAAAACTATAACAATGTGGCATTATTGCATTCATTATGGTGCTGTAAGTAAAAAAGTTAATGGTCCTTTCTATTCAGGTGTCTCTCTCTTCAATTACTTGTTACTCACCATGACACTGAAACCCTTGAGAACTTTTCTTAAAACTTTGCAGAATTTTAAAGGATAAATTATACAAAAATGGACAATAAGTGCTTTTAGTATTTGATTAAAAATAACTAACTGGCAGTAGATCAGAAAATGGTTGCCTGGCAGACTGGAAGGGTACATGAATTGATATGCAGTGTAGTTTCTTCTAGTTAGTAATAAACAGTCAACAAACCATTAAGGTGTCTGTTGAGTGGTGAGTTTAATATGCAAGAGTTTTCATTCATGTTTCTAAAATAGTGTTTCTTGACTCAGTAGCTTAAGTCTAAAGTGTCATTCATTGTAAGTCAATATCAGTTGCAAGTTCAATTCTAATTCTGATAGTTATAACCTTTTTGGTTAAGGTTCCTATATATATTATACATTTTCTTGAACACTTCCATGATAAATGATAAAATAAAAAGGATCCCAGAAATAGCATATACTTTCTTACAAGATTAAAAGTAGTACTTTGTTTTACTACACCAACAGGTTTAGGTTCATAGGCAGTGAGCCAGGGGTGTTGATGCTGTACTTCAGTGTTCGTGAGACCCGGAGTGAAGTAGTTTGGCAGCAGCACACCACCACAGCACTCAATTGGATCTTTGCCTTCATTGAGCTGGATGCTGGGGATTCCTATACGGTATTTTCCAAATTATATCTTGTCCGTGTCATCAAAGCATTAAAGAAACACACTACTTTGCTGTCACTCAGACTCGAGTATGACGATCATCCAGCTATGAGACAATGATATGAGTTATTAATGATGTCACCTTTGTTGGTGAGTTTTAAGGTGACTAAAGAGGCTGATATGGGAACGGCAGAGTTGTTCACAGATCTTGCACATGTGAATGGCTCCGTCTAGTGCAGGAGGGGCGGTGGCAGCATCTTTCCGGGGTTGCTGCTTCTCTGCCTCGTTGTGCAGTCAAGCTAACTTGAAAGTATTGACACCTTCTCGTGTGGTGCTCCTCCAAGCGTTGCGGTGTGTAGTAATTGTCTCCCAGGTGAGGGGGGTCGATTTGGCACTTTTTCAGGTTTGTCTTAAGACTATCCTTATACCTTTTCAGTTGCCCATCAGTGTTGTGTTTACTATTCGTTAGGTAACTGTAAAGTAACTGCTTTGGCAGTCTATTGTTCTCCATGCGGGTAACATGGTCAGTCCAACGTAGTTGTTCATGGGTAATGGTAGCCTCGATGGTCCTACAGTTGGTGTCATCGAGAATACTGGCATTTGTTCTCGTCTTCCCAGCGAACTCAGAGGATGGAACGTAGACTACGTTGGTGAAAGTTTTCAAGTGCATTGAGGTGTCTCCTGTATGTGACCCATGTCTCGCTGCCATATAGCAGGGTGGGGAGGACCACTGCTTGATATACGTACAACTTTGTAGATAATTTCAGCTCCCTACAGCTGAAGACACAGGTACGGAGTCTGCCAAAGGCTTGAGACACACATCTGATCCGATGTTGAATCTTTTCATCGATTTCCGCGGTGGTGGACAGGTGGGAGCCGAGATACCGAAAGTGGGTAACATTAGAGACGGTAGTACCATTAAGCTGGATGGATGGTAGAGGTGTGGCGGGCTGAAAGAGAATCTGGGTCTTACATACATTCACCTCAAGGCCGAAGTGTGCATACCCCGGTACGCATTTGCAAAGGTGTTCAAGATATCCTGTAGGACGTGTTCAGTGTGAGCGATAAGGGTGAGGTCGTCTGCAGACTCAATTCAGTAATGGAAGCTGCCGATACTTTTGTTCTTGCCTGGAGTCGTCTTATGTTGAAAAGATCCTTCATCCAGAACTGGATGTTCCACCTGCCGGCTAAATTGGCACTGGCATTAGTAAGAAAGGCAGCCAAGAAAATGGAAAAGAGAGTTGGCACCAGCATACATCCTTGTTTTACCCCTGTTTGGATAGGGAGAACTCAGACTGAGTGCCATTGTGCAGGACGCTGCCGTTCATGCCATCATGGGGTTGCCTCACAATGACGATGAATTTTGGTGGGCAGCCAAAACGGCAGAGAGTCCGCCAGAGGGCTTCCCTGTTGACCGAGTCGAAGGTCTTTGTTTGGTCAATAAAGGCCATGTATAGGTCACGACGCTGTTCTCTGCACTTTTCCTGTATCTGGCGGGCAGCAAATATCATGTCAGTGGTGTCATGTGATGGTCTAAAGCCTCATTGAGATTCCGGGAAGAAGTTTTCTGCCTCAGGAAGGAGTCAGTTTAGGAGGACTCAGGCGATAATCTTGTCAGCTATGGACAGCAGTAAGATCCCTCGGTAGTTACCGTAGTCTGAACGGTCTATCTTGTTCTTATAAATATTGACGATGAAAGCGTCTTTAAGAGCTTGGGGAATTTCCTCCTTTCCCCATATATTCTCCAGGAGAGAGTGGTGATTGCTAATGAGCAGAAGTCCTCCTGCTTTATACAGCTCAGCTGGGATTCCATCAGGCCCTGAGGCATTGTTATTTTTATCTGTTTGTTGGCAGTAGCTACCTCATCCAGGTATGGAGGATAACTGAGATGGGTCAGCTCTGGATGCTGAGGGACTTGCTGGGTAGTCAGGACATCCACAATGGTGCTTTGATTGAGCAGCGAATGGTAGTGTTCTTTCCAGCGCTGACGGATGCCTTCTTCGTTTTTGCATTTCACGTGCTTTATTATTAAACCACTAGTTCTTTACTTTGCGAAGTTTGTGCAGTACAACCGCTTTCTTCTTGCGGAAGGTATCAGCTTTAGTCCGAGACTGAGGGTTGTTCTGCCAGTCAGTTAAAGCAGTATGTTTATCATTAACGAATACAATGTACATTGATTTCCGGGTCATTTTCATCAAACCAGTCCTGGTGTATTCTTATGATCTGGCTGAGGGTCTCTCTGCAGGTTTTTTGTCATGACAGTGTTGAGAATACCCCATTCGGCACTGGAATTTGGGTTGGTTGTTGTCGGGTTGTTTATCAACCCATGTTCGAGCTGCTCTCTGAAAGCATGTGCCACCGCTGGATTCTCCAGACGCTTAGTGTTAAAACCTCTTCTGGAGGCTTGTTCCCTTCGCCATTTTGGCACACACACACACACACACACACAGAGGAGAAAAAGGAGATAAAGTAAGATGTTTTTGCTCTGGTAACTCAATTCCTCATATCTTGTTTACTCCTATCACTTTACACAATCCAGTATCACATAGTGTACTTCTGTACAGTATGCTCATGTTCATCCCCTCATGTCTATTGAATCTTTTACCCCATCTCTCCACATGTTTTTTGGTCTTCCACTCTTCCCCTTGCTTTCTATTTTTTATTTAAACCTCACTTTTTACTTATTGTACACTTTTCATTCTCTTGATGCTCCCATACCACTTATTGCCCTAAAGCACTTCAATTCTCTTGCTTCTTATTTGCTCCTTCCTTTCCATCCAGACTTCATGCTTCACACCCACATACTGTAATACTGATGGCTCAGCAGTTCCCTTTAACATGCCAGTCTTTGCCTTTTAAGTTATCACTCTATGCCTACTACTTCCTTCCTCAAATCTGTGGTTCAGTTCATCATTCATTGTTCTATTTGCTGACATATCCACTCCCAAATGTCTACTGTCGAACACCCCTGTATATGCAACTTTAATACAGGTATTTTGACAAATCAAATGATAATTTGTCAGTTCAAGTCTACTGAGAAAACCTACTAAACAGGGTGATTAAGTACACAATATTATTATTATTATTATTAATAGTAGTAGTAGTAGTAGTAGTAGTAGTAGTAGTAGTAGTAGTAGTAGTAGTAGTAGTAGTATCAACAACTATTGTAGAAGTAGTAGAATTAGAAATATTATTATATAATTTGTTAATTTATTATTAAGGGGCTTTGTTATGGAAGAGAAGTGCCATAGTGGAGCACATCTGTTATATACTGTACTGCAGTAAGAATGTTAGACTGAAAGAAGGATCTCCATGGATGTTTGCTGTGGAATCTAGCTCCACTAAAGTATTTGCAGGGAGTGTTGAAAGAGTGAAAAATATATGTTGTACAGTATAGAAAATTATTGGCATGAGAATCCTAGAGTTGAGAAATATAAAATTATAATTGACCAACAGTTGGAGTGGGAAGTACAAGTACATGGTGAAGATTCCATCATCCTCGTAGACAATATTAAAGTCCTCTCGGGTGGCTGTCCAGTGCAGAGCAACACATGTGACTTTGAGTATGAGAGTGATGACGACATTTATTGTGGAGGTAAGTTATAGTCTTGTGGCAAAAAGTTATATTTAGAATGTATATGGTGTTCTGAAGACACCTTTACAGATAACCTTCTATAAAATTACCAGTAAATAGATAAACTACAGTATATAGATTTTCTTAGGGAGGAGTGTTAAGGCCATAAACATGAAAGCTAATACATTCTTTTTAGGTGAGGGAAACACTGAAATATACCTGAACCTTCTTTATATGACACCTGAACCTTCCTTGTATTGAATCGGCTGCTTGTCCAATTAACCAGTCCGTTCACATATATTTATATTTGGGTTTTAAGTAACGAAACCCAAACGGTAGTTCCTTTGTTTTATTATAAAAGGTTGTATATAATTCCTGAGTGTAGATCAACCGTAAGTCTCACTGTCTAGGAGTGAATGAGAAGGGGACGGCGTTTATGTATTATAAACGTTAGGTCACGTCCTTACGATATAAGTTGAGGTGAGCTACTGACTGTGACGACCTCGCAGTGCGGGTTTACAGAAATGCTGAGCTATGGGTTTCGCCCTCTTGGGAGAGTTGCCCGCTCACGTGTCCAACTCATGTCTTACTCATAGACAGTGGAAAGTTACAGGGGGTGAATCTGAATATAATCTCAGATGTATTGATCCATTTATATAATATGTTCTGTTGATGAGACAGGGGTCTATTACAGTATAACACCTGAACCTTCCTTATATGACACCTGAACCTTCCTTATATGACACCTGAACCTTCCTTATATAACACCTGAACCTTCCTTATATGACACTTGAACCTTCCTTATATGACACTTGAACCTTCCTTATATGACACCTGAACCTTCCATATATAACACCTGAACCTTAATTATATACCAGGTAACACCTTAACCTGCCTTATATAACACCTTGGCCTTGTGTAAGTGAAGTACCTATCACCTCACCTAACCTCTTTGACATCTTCAGGGTACCAGTCTGGTAAACCTACAGACTTCCAGTTCTACCGCACATATGCTGCGGAGAGTGCACACAAGTATGGAGATGAAGATCACACTTATGAGTCTGCTTATGGTAGGTGATTAAGTTCTTCCTAATTTATTGTTGTCAAAAGTGTCCTTTTGGTAGCAAATTATTTTATGGCAGTACAGATTTGTGATATGAATACAGTATATTTATTTAATGTCTTTTCTTGCCTTATATAAGATAAAACTGTAACTCGGCCCTTAAAAATCTTTTGATTTATAATACTGTATAAGATAAAATCTGAAGATATCTCTCTAAAATCTTTTAATTATAATACAGGATATTACATAGTAGCTGACTTCACCAAGGCTTCGGAAGGTGGAGAGTTGGCTACCATGGACGGCCCAGTTGTTACAGAAAGCTTTGAATGCCTTACTTTCTGGTACCAATATAGTACTCCTGACACTACTTTATTTCGAGCCATATGCAATGGCACTGAAGATGAAATTTTCTCAGTTGAGGGTGAGTTATCATGACTAGATTCCTAGTTTGGGATGATTACGCAGATCTTGTCTTAGAGAAACCTGCATAATGTATAATCCGAGATGAAGATTATTCACAAATTTCCTTTCAAATTTATTCCTTGTTTAAATTTCTTGCAATATTTTGTACTAATCGAAAAAATTTCTAATCTAACCTACTTTCTGGTGACAGTGGGAACTGGTAGTGAGTGGCAGTTGGGTGCTGGATTTGTACCATACTATGAAGGTAGTGTCCATGTAGTCTTCCAGTCCTACTTTGGTGGTACTCCAGAAGGATATGTTGCAATTGATGATATCAAACTACATGATACTCATTATCATTGTCCTGTGGCTGGTAAGGATATGAGTTATTGTAGCATTTTTTGATTCAGTGGTAGTCCAGTCTATTTGTTAAAGGATCTTTACTTACTCTGCATTGGATTCAGAACTCTTGATTATATGTGGTGTATATTTTGCTAAGAAAGTTTATAAAATGCATTTTCGGTTGTTGTTTTTCTATTAAGAAATGAATAACTTCATTTTGGTAAAAACTTAATAATTTTGAAATATTGGTAGATTATTAAAAAACTTAAAACTGTAGTTTTTATATTTTATACAAATTATTATCATCAACAAAGGCATTTCTCTCCCTTGCTAACCTTATGACTTGTTCCAATTCAGGTGATTGTGACTTTGAGGAAGACACTTGTGGATGGACCAACACTGGTGACCTTGAGTGGGTGTTCTCAACTCTGGAGGATGGGGAAGTTGGACCCCTTACCTTTACAAATCTTATGTTTGTCACACCCACAGATGACCTCGTGGGCAAGACTGCTACTTTGTCTTCACCTGTTCTGCCACTTGTTATCAATTGTGTTCAGTTTTGGTAAGATTTGTTGTATGCTTGTTGCCTTAGTCTCTTGTTAATTTCTTCACTTGTCATGCACCCTTCTCTCTTGTCTCCCAATTTTTCAGAGCATTTTGTATTTCTCAATTCATACCTTATAAAAATAACAAAGGATTAAAGATAATAAGTAGACAGATTAGATATTTTTGTCCTTGTACTGTACTTTAATAATTCTCAGATATAGAAGAAAATGCTTGTAAAATAGAAGAGAATGAATTTATCAGAGTACACTTCCTACTAACTAACTGTAATGCTTGTGAGGAATTTGCTAAGAATGAGCTTTCTTAGATATGTTTGTCTTACAGAGAAAAATTGCTTACTCAGTCTACTCTTGTATCTTATGCTTCCAAACTTGGACAGGTACAAGGAGGTGCTAGATGCCCCAGCCTCTTTAGTGGCTTTTTTGACTCGGAAATCTAAGATGTTTGGTGAATTGTCTGAGGTACCACTTTGGCAGATGCCTCACAGTTCTACTGGAGGATGGAAACTAGGACAGTTCCCATTACCAGAATTGAATTATAACACTAATCAGGTAAGGATATCAGGAAACTTATATTAAAGGGTTAAACTTGAAATTAACAGTATTTTATTTACCTGATGACTTATTTTTTACTTTCTTTTACTGTATTTTGTCATTCTATTTCTTCTTTCGTCTTTACTTAAGTGATTTTAGATGCATATAAGGACTTAGGATATGATATAGTGGGATTTTAAACATTGTTATGTAAGTACGGTATGTACATATCATGTGTTCTGACACGCACAAATCTGACTTAAGAACATCCTCAGAAACGGAACCTGTTTGTAACCCGGGAACCCCCTGTATATATATTATTAAGTACAAAGGTAATTTCTAAATAATATCTGACTGTTTTAGTCATTCTGTTGATTACCATGTATTGGATATGCTGTATTTAGTTTTGTCTAATGTCCTCTCTCAAGGAGCACTCTTATTTAAAAAGTTTTTTTTTTCTAGATTGAATTTATGGCAAAACGACTTGAGGGTAGTTGGAGTTTGGGCCACAACGATGGCCTGACATATCTGGACGACATAGATATAGATGTTTTCCAAACGTGTACTTATGTTCCTCCTGATGCTGTCCCAACCACCATCCCTCCAACAATGTCTACAGCACAACCTACTGGTATATATAGTGTTTTGTTTGTGTTTCTTCAATTGATATATTAATACTCTACAAAAATTTTAAGCTATGAAATATTTCACCTAACTTCAGAGTTTGTTTATTCTGCATTTGTGTTGATAACCCATCATAATTTCAGTATGGAATTGAAACACTCCAGATGTTATTCAATTTATAACTCAACTGTAAATGTAAGATTTACCTGAGATTGTTTTGGTGTTGAAAGTACAATAGAATTGATGGCTTGTTATTACTCTATGGAAGTTGCTTGAGTGCAATTTTGAAATATAATATGGCATGTCCCTGAGTGCAGGGCAAGTTAAAATTATTCATATTTTTACATTGCAGCATTAACAGATATTGAATGAGATATAGATGAGCTTGAATGTGAGGTCAACTGCCAAGAGGCCAGGAGAACTGTGGAGCTGTTACCTTTCTTATGTCGATAATATAAATATCAATATGATAGTAAAGTAAATTCCAAGTATTCATTTAGTGAAACGTACAAAATAAAAATTCTAAATCAAAATGTAAGATGTATTAAATTTTCAACCTGTGACATGCAGTATGTCCACATTTGAACATAGAAATAGCCTCACCAATAATAATAAAAAAATAATAAGGAAACCTTTGCTTTTCAAGGCTTGTCAACAATTTCTCAGTTAAGATTGTTATGTAATCAGTTTTGTGAAGTGAATAGTATTTAGAGAATATGACCTGCATTAAGTAATCAGGTATGGAAATAAAATAAATGTTGGACAAAGAGCTTACCAAGGTTTCTTAAGGTGGTTTAGATATACAGCATTGAGAGAATGGAAGTGAAAAAAATGTATTAAAAAAAAGAAAGAAAAGAAGTATAGTTTAGGGATGGATGTTAAAGGGTAGGGGGGAAATCAAGACAGGAATGGAAGGATGGGGTGAAGAAAGTAATAAGTGAGAGGGATGTACATACAGGAAGCAGCAATATAAATGGGCTGGCAGTGGCATAGCAGTAACACATGCATTTCTTACCACTACTGTATATCATAGATTCAAGTCCTGGTCCAAGACACATGTGGGAAGAGTGTTATCCAGTGAGACCCTACCAACCATGACAGGTTTTCTCCTATATTAACACTGGACAATAAAGTTCATAACAATGTAATAAAAGAACAGACCAATCACCTGAACAGATAGTAAACTGATAAAGAGCTGAAATGATAAATTAAGAATCAACTGGGAGATTAAAATAAATGATAGGAAAGCATGAGGTTGAGTGGTGTATGGAGATGTCACAAGAGAGTGAATGATTTGAGGCAAGTGACAGTAGAGTCTGTGTTTACTCCATCCGTTCAGCACCTGTTTATGATATATGCAATTAATTTTCTTTGCTCTATTTCCAGTGCCACCCAGCATAGCATCTTGTGACTTCTCAGATAAGACTTTCTGTAATTGGGAAAACATACCTGGAAGTGTCACCTGGAGTATTCAGAATAGTTCATCAAACACTCATCATGTTGGACCCTTAATGGATCACACCACAGGTTATTTAGAAATGTGTTCAACTCTTTGGTAAAATTTAAATACATTGTTTGCTTAAATCATTTTCACAGATAATTTTTAATGGTACGATATTGATTGTCTTTTTCAGGTAATTTTATTCATGGTTTTGATAAATTACAAATACTGGGGTATACTGTACTGTAAAATTCCCCTTACCCAGATTAATTGGTACTGTATATGGTCAACCTTGATAATAGAGAATTGCTCATGAAGTTTCCCCTAACTAGACAAAAATCTCCTTAAACTGAGTATTTTTTGTTATTCACATAATTTTCTTGATTATAGTTACACAACTTTAAAATGATGGGGAGATTAAACAAGACTGTATTCCTTCCCCATCACAGTAGTTAAAAAAAATAAATCAAAGCAAGTTTAGTTTTAATCAGAAGTTGGGCCCATTGGTTATCATACCCAAATAAGAAGAGAAAATGAATATGGAGCCATATTCTCAATGTGTCATTAAGTTTGGCCCTTGAGGAGGAGAAAGGGTCTTGATCCCCATGTACAGTATTAAGACTTTTATTGGAATATGAAGGTATAAAGTAGTTCTAATATCATTATACCTGTAAGTTTGGAGCACAATAGGACCTGTGTTTTAATTGGGCTTCAAATTCTGATGGGCTCCATACTTGATAGGAGTTTGAGATTTTAATTTTCCCTCCATTGAAATTGGGATTTAATCGAAAATGGGAGTCAGTAGCCACTAGAAATTAGGGTACAGTAGCCCCAGACTCAATGCCACAAAGATTTGGCCTTCTTGATTATGGGGCCTGTGCTAATGAACCTCAATGTTATTAAAGAACTACCTTTTAGGCTCTGTCATTATTTTCTATTAAGTTTGAATCTTATTTGGAAATGGGGACTTGTGGTTCTTATATCATAATGGGCCACAGATGGCACCAAGTTGTGGTCATTATACATTTATCATGATCAAGTAGATCTCTGGGACATTACCAAAGTACTGTATCTAAAAGTCTCATTCACTCTTGTTTCTTATTTACATCCTGCAATCATTTATGAATACCATATTTATGATTTTATTTTATTTTTTCATTTACAAATAACTTGATAATTTTGTGATTACAATATATGAATTTTTTAGTAGCTGCCATATTTGCAGGTGACGGTTACTTCATGAGCCTAACGCCAACTTCAAGCAAATCAAAAGGTGTTGCTACTGTTTTCTCCCCTGAACTCACTCCAACAGAGGTTAGATACATTAATGAACTCTTAAGTAACAATTTATTGTTAGATGAAGGACTTGAATAGTGAAAAATATAATGGCAGTGGAACACGAGTACCTGTACATCCATACTGATTATATCGGAGGGTGTGGACAAAGGAGAAATCAGGATAAAATTGGCTAGAAAACATAAAATTTTGGAAATTAACCAGTGAGAGAACCTTAATTCTCTCACTGGTTAATGATACAGGTAGCATCACTAAGAGCCAGACAGTTCTCAGACCCTCTCCTGCTGGCTCATTTCGGGCAGAGCCACAATCATCTGCCTCAGGCACAGATGAAAAATGTTCATAAATAAAATACAATATTTTTTATGCTGCAGCTTGATTAAACCAAAAAGCCTATATCCAATTAAGCTAGGAAGAGGGTGAGACTTGTCCAACTGTCAATAATGCAAAAGGGTTAATAGGATTGGACAAAACATAAGAAAATTAGATCCTAGTTGAGGCAGAAGAAGTGAAGTGAAGAGATGTAGGTAGAGTAATTAGAGGAGCTGTATGGGAGGGGGTACAGCGGTAATGCGTGTATTTCTCACCAATATGTCAAGGGTTCAAATCCTGCTTGACCCAGACATGCATGAGAAGGGTGTTATCAAGTGTGACCCTATCAAACACTGGATGGACCACAAACTCTCCCACTGGTCATATTCTTTGGCCTCTGTAACTGCTTCACTGGATATATTGTCCTGTGGTGTCCCCATTTCTTAACATGGTTCCAAGATATTCATCTGGTCCTTCCTTGTCACTTCTTATAACTGAGCATCACGCCAGGAGCACAACTATTCATTCTGAATAATCCCATTTCTGAATTTCTTTGTGCTTGCAGGAATTGTGTATGCGATGGTGGTACCACATGGATGGGTCAGACGTGGGGACTCTTTCAGTCCTCCTCAAAAACTTTGGCCTCAACACTTTGATTTGGACGAGAAGTGGTTTCCAGGTACAGTACATTAGAATTAAAAATTTTATAAATATACTGTTTTATGGCATTGTTGATATGCTTTAGATAACTTTTATCATACAGGTATTAATGCTGTAGAGATAACTTAAACTTCAATGAAAATGTGATAATTTTTTATATATCCAGCTGTATGTTAAAGAAAATTATCATTTATAATATATGGAGAGAGTAGAGATACTCGCAGTACATAACTTTACAGTGAAAGAAAGTGAAAGCTCAAATTACCTGGACTCGTGACTTAATTGAGCTTTTTAATTGTGAAAAGTAAGAAAATTTGTCCTTAACATCTGGTTGGCATCATTTATACCTGAACATGGAGTCTCTAATTTCTTACTTTAAGATTTATCTTTGTTCCTGTAGAAACTTCCTGTAATGAGGCTTCCACACACATATAATCTTCCTCAAACTTACCAGCCACCTGCTTCCTGTGTTAGATATCTGTTTTAAACAAACCCTTTTAATGTTTTGCTTTAAAGTGTGATAATTATCGGTTGCTGAAATGTTATGAAAAATATCACATACAGTATAACCAGTCCTCAGTGGAAAAGGGAAATTTTCAGTTAAAGTGTAACATTAATGAAATAAAAGGTAAACAAACTGAGGAACTGTGATAGACAATAAATTAATGCTTGTTGAGAAGTGAGCGTTTAAAGCTGCATAAGTGGAAGAAAAGCATAGTTGTGTTTCACTTAATAAGTGAGGTCCACTGAGTTTCTTAACTGAGTAAAACTGAACATAATACGGTACAGGTATTTATAATTTTACTGGATAATTCAGCTACTTTCCTCTCCACAGACTGCTGGATGGCTTGAAAGCTACATTGGTATCAACACCTCCAGGACATTCCATATAGAATTCCAAGGTTCTCAGGGTGATAACCCTCTTGCAAACATTGCTGTAGATGACATTCTCTTGATTCCAGCTGTCTGTCCAGGTTGGGAAATGATCCGTACAGTTATAATTTCTATCTTTGCATCATTCCTCATTCTATTCATTATCTACTCCTTTCCCATTTTTCTGGATGATATACCTGTACTGTACTGTATCTCTTTATAGTCTGCCGTTAATTTGTAGCCATTATTTGCCACAAACTATTGTTTATTTTCTGTACATAATAATCCAGTTCCAGTTATTATGAAATGTATTTATAGGGAAAATGTTAAAAAAAAAAAATCAGATATTCATTTGCATCATTATTTTTTTAAGATAGTACCACATACAGCCACCTGTCTAAATAACAGCTCCCAGAGAAAAGATGTTAAGATTTATTTTTAAAGTATGTGAACTATACACACAGAAAACTCTGGAGTGCTGGGCAACAATACTATGAGCTGCACCTTTGAGCAGGGAGGCACATGTGGGATGTATGATGACTCACTCAATGGCTGGGCCCTTGTCGTGGCTGCCACCATTCCTGATCATACAACATTTACCAAACAAGGTAAAGTTACATTATATATGGAAATGCAGGCCTAAAATGAGAAACTTTTTCGACTGTTCTATAGTAAAGTTCGGCTATGTGCAACAAAGATGAAGTGTATTTTAAATACCTGTACTGTAATTTAATTATATATTTGCTGGGAAGATTTTTCTTTTTCATATATATATACTGTACTAGCAGAATCGCTGCCCTCTGGGCGGCTCATCCGCTAGACCACATTAGGACACCACCCTCCAGGAGGCTCCACATTGTCTCACTGTTCAGTCCCCAAAACTTCTTCTTCCATCAATAGTTCATTAACGGTGTATGTAAGTTCCACCATGTTTTTCACTACAATGGTACAGCAAAGTATATTTTTTTAGCATTAAACTGTTATTATTTTATTGTCTAATCATCACTACATATAACACCACCTATCATCATTACATATAACATCACCCATCATCACTACATATAACACCATCCATCATCACTACATATAACAACATCCATCATCACTACATATAACACCATCCATCATCACTACATATAACACCGTCCATCATCACTACATATAACACCACCTATCATCATTACATATAACATCACCCATCATCACTACATATAACACCATCCATCATCACTACATATAACAACATCCATCATCACTACATATAACACCATCCATCATCACTACATATAACACCGTCCATCATCACTACATATAGCACCACCATCACTACCATCACTACTACCACCATCATCATACCACCACCATCATCACTACCACCACTACTACCACCATCATCATTACCACCACCATCATTACCACTTCTATCAACCAGTATCTACCACCACCACTATCACCACAAACATGCCGCTATCACCATCACCACCACTACCACTGTCACTACCATCGTCACCACCACCACTACATATAACACCATCCATCATCACTACATATAACACCATCCATCATCACTACATATAACACCACCCATCATCACTACATATAACAACATCCATCATCACTACATATAACATCATCATCCATCATCACTACATATAACACCATTACTCATTAAAAATCTTCTCTTTCAGGTCACATTTTTGAATTGCGTGGAAGAAGCACTCGTGTCACAGCCTCCCTCAGAACACCCACACTTGTTGTAGAGTCACATAGCTGCCTCACCTTTTACTACCGTGCAGAAGGCAGAGAAGATGCCACATTAACAGGCAAGTTTTTTCAAAACAGTTCAGTAAAATATTTTTCAAAGTACACATATCCAGTTAAATCTAATTGTTTTATATTTGAGGTATGTATCTCATTTTGTTATTTGTTATTTAGTATATGTATCTCTTTCATTTCTCATGGATACAAGAGGAAGAAGCAAGTTAAAAGTGACAAATATATGGGCTTGAGAGCAGTGCTTGGGATAAATAGGATGCATAGATGAAGCAACATGAGCTATGATTGACAGAGAGAGGTGGCCAGGGTTTGCTCAGGTGATACGGACATATTGGAAGAGTTTGGAAGTTAGATATTAGTATAAAGAGTATGATTCAGAAATGGATAGTTGGAAGAAAGTACAGTATAGAAAGGAGGGGATGAGGGAGACACCAGATAGATGGGGTATAGACATCTAGTAACCAGCAGCTTTGGGGAAGGTCATGTTACTGATGTGTAATTCTTGGTTGTTTGTAGTTATTGGGGGTAAACCAGATGGCTAATTTGGGGGCCATATTGGGAAAGAAGAACAGCTTAGCAGAAGATGATTGTTATGGCAAATAGAGCAAACGGTATCTTTGTTTGCTGTTGATTTTGGCCATTTTGCATCATAGTAGGAAAAGTCTTGTAAAAGTTGGAAAATAAAACTACAGAATATGTAGAGGTAGTGGTTTAATACTTTCTACCTTTTTACTTTGAATATGTTGTCTTTCACAGTGGCTGTAGAGAAAACCTATGGTACTGTAGTGAGTGACAAGGTGATACTCGTGAAAATGGGACAACCACATTGGCGGGCTGCTCAGATACCTATCTACAGATTCTTTGGAGATAAGTTAATGGTATAGATTCAACTGAAGTATTATTTATTTATTTAATATTATGTAAGAAACTTACCAGAAAATAAGGCTGTATTAAACAGAAGAGTATTTAATTTTGTGGATGTATCATGTACAGTGAAGCACCATCTTTGTGTAACCAATAAGTGTGCAGTCATTCCCCACATACAGTAATAGAAGGGCTATATTCTTGAAAAATTGTGCATTTATCTTATCTAGTGAAACTTATTATGAAATCTTATCTGATTGGGTCTTGTATTAAAAAGGAGAGATATTTTTCACTGCAGTTAAACTGCATCTGTATTTGAAACTATTTTCACTGACATAGTCAGTGCATAATGAATGAAGTATACAAATGGAAATATATTTAACCCACTGAAATTATATTATAAATTGTTGCTGTTTTTCTTTGGCTTGAAATTAATTTCACACCTTGTTTACAGTAATCTTTTTACTTTTAAAAAATATGTTATACTATTGCAGGTGGTGTTTAAAGGAGAAGTTGGACCAGATAAAGATACTGTGATATCACTGGATGATTTAACACTGACAGAAGGAGGTTGTCCTTCAGGAGCTGCTACACAGTGTGACTTTGTTAATGGCACTCTTTGTCATTGGACAAACAGTGATACTGGTCTGCAGTGGTTTGTGTCCGATGGATTTAGCAAACATACTTTGAATGGGCCACAAAGTAAAGGTGGTTTAGAAGGTATGCAAATAATAAGTAATACTGCATATATTTTTATTGGCTTTCCTTAAATTATTATATTTCATATTGTTACCCCTCTTCTATAGCACCACCCCTTCTAAATTTTATATTATATGCCAGTAGGTATAGATTATATTAATACAAGTATCCTTCAGAGATTTTACAAGGAATGTGAAGAATGTGTCAGGAAGAGGGATGTTAGTTCAGTGAATGTAGGTCTATGTCGTGGTTGTTGATATACCCTTGTTATATTGTTCAATATCTTCATGGAGAAGGTAGCTAGAGAGGCAAAAACAACATTTTGAAGCAGAAAGCAAATTTGGTAAATAGAAATAGTTGGACCTCTCTAATCCGGAATTCCACGGTCCGGCACCACCCGTGGTCCGGCATGAAGGATGAGCTTGCTTGCTCTTGAGTCCTGACATCCTGCATCTTAATGGGAAAAGGAATGTAAGAATATATAAAGACACTTGTGCTGTCACATACATCCTCACTGATGCTTTATATATTTTATAATATATAATATATATATATTTATATATATATGAATATATATATATATATATATATATATATATATATATATATATATATATATATATATATATATATATATATATATATATATATATGCTATAACGAACGTAATTGGTTCCAGAACCTCGTTCGTTATAGCATTCGTTCGTTATAGGATTAATCCGTTCCAGGCCCCCAAATACAACCGCTTAACACTGAAAAAATTCTGTGGAAAATGTAAAAAATACGGTACTTTATCTTACCTTAGTGTTATTCAGCATGCAGGTACCCCTAAACACTGGCACATCACTATCACTTCCACTGGGAGTCTTGGCTTTAAGGTCCTCAAACAATTGTTTAGCCTTCTCACAAATTATAGCTTCACTAATGTTACCACCTGCCATTTCTTTCTCCTTTATCCACACTAAGAGTAAATTTTCCATCTCTTCAATCACATTACACTTTGCTTTGCTAAGTCTAAAGATTCCCTTAGCCACTTGCACAGTTTTTAACTCCTCTTTATTCTTCAAAATCGTACATATAGTCGATTTAGCCATCCCATATTCATCACTAAGTTTCGCAATGCTTCTTCCATTCTCACGTTTCTTTACAATTTCTTTCTTAGTTTCAAGGGTTATTAGCTTTCTCACTCGCTTTGGACGACTCATTGTTACAATTGTATACTTGTATAACAAAATAGTTATACAAATAACGCGAATTTCCACATCAAAAGACGAAATTTCAACAATAACAGTGGTGCACTGGCTACACAATGAGACAAAGATGGCGCCTGACGCTCTTGTTGTGGGTCGCGGTACAACAATATTCATGCGCCAGGCGAAATAGTCCCGTATTCATCCGCGTTCGTTGTAGGAGTTGCGTTCGTTATAGCATTCTCAATTTTATAGGTAAAACCGTTCGTTATAGGAATATTCGTAGTAGGATCCGTTATAGCATACCCCACTGTATATATATATATATATATATATATATATATATATATATATATATATATATATATATATATATATATATATATATATATATATATATATATATATATATATATATATATATATATATATATATATATATATATATATATATATATATATATATATATATATATATATATATATATATATATATATATATATATATATATATATATATATATATATATATATATATATATATATATATATATATATACTGTAGGGTTTACTGCCTTAAGAAACTGTAGGTTATGGTGAATTATTAGCAAAGAAAAGAAGTTAAGCTGTATGTAGCGATGGAGAAAAGTGACAGGCACAGAAGGTTTGTAAAACTCGACAGGCATGAGTTATTTAGCTTTTTTTTTTTAAAAGGGTGCAATTTAAGGTTCCGATAACACTAATATTGATCTTCTATAAGTTAGTTAAACTAAAAAAGTTAAAAAAAACAAAAAATGCTAGTGTCGATAAATATCAGCTTTAAATTTTTATAATTGCTCACATCATTTATTTCCTCTTTCTCTATATTCACCACCAGACCACTATGCCATATTTGAAAGTGGACCTCATCACTCACCAGGGTCGGTGGCTTTGCTGACAAGTCCCACTTTAACTAGCAGTCAATATTTGCATACATTGTGCTTTACTTTCATCTTTTCGGTAAGTAAAAATAATATATCGATCTAAAAGGCATCAAAGAGACTATAAATTTTCTTATTTGTTGCCTTTTAATATTATTCCGATAATAAAACAATATTATGTCAAAATAATAAATTAATGAGATTTTCATTATTCTCTAGGTGAGTGATTCACAAGGTGTTGGTTGCTTGGAGCTATTTCAAGTTGACCCAGAAATTAACCCAATACAGTTTAGTAAGAGAATAACAATATGTAGCGGAAATTATATTTTCTTGCAGGGATGTGAAACCCAGTTTTGACTTGTCGTTTGCAGTTGCAGTGTTTAGAGTTAGGGCAAGTGGACAAGTGATATTTTGATCTCTGTGAATTTTACTTTTAAGTTGATTATGTACAGTACGGTATTTGTTATCACAGACAGAATGATAAATGTCCATAAAATTTAATAATGCTATTGTGTGTATAAAGGCTTGTTGTGAACATGGAGGAGTATTGTCAGTGATGATCTCAGATGTTACCCAAGCTGCTTCTGAGACTTGCCTATGGCAACTGCCAATCACACATCAGCATGCAGATTCAAACTGGCATGAAGGTCAGGTGACGATTAAAGTAAGTACTGCACAGTACATCCTTTTTTGTTTATTCCTGTGGTATACTTGTCAACATTGTGTAGGTGGTGTGGTTTTATGTCATGGCAGGTGTGTATGTGGTGTGAGTGAGTGTAATGAGAACTGTGTGTTAGTGTACAGCACTGAGAGTTGTGTGTTAGTGTAGTGATAGGTGTGAGTGTAGGAGACAAGGATGAAGATGAATATGCAGACCATGACAGTAAAGTTTCCAGATTGTTATAAAGATGTAGAGAGTCAGGGGTAGTGCCCAAGAGTGACAAGACTGAGTTATGAAGCTATGAAATTTAATTTGTTGGTCATGGGATTCTTAAAGATGGTCTAAAGCCTGATCCTGAGAAATTAATGTTTAAAGTAAATATGAATCTCCCCACAGTTGTGACAAAGGTGCGAAGGCTAACCTGGATGGTGGACTATTTAGCTAAGTTTTACCTAGATTATTTGATGTTATGGATCCTATTTGTTGACTGACAAATAAAGTCATAGTATGGCAATGGGGAAGTGACCAGAAAAAAGGCATTGACCAGTGTAAAACAACTGGTAACATCCTCTCCAGTGATGTCATACTGTACTATGATCAGAGAAAGCCATTAGCAATTCATTGTGATGCAAGCCAAAAAGGATAAGGAACAATACTATTGCAGGAAGGTAATTGTTGTATACCCCAGGTACAAGTGTTATTAATCATCTAGCTGTGAAGTGTTAATTATTGCCAAAGTTTTACAAGTTCATTCCATTACAGGATCCTCCAGCGAATTTTTTACTGGTTATTCAGGCTGAATCCTGGGATGGTCGGGAAGGTTTTATTGCATTCATGAATCCAGACCTGAAGGAGCAAGGCATTTGTTTGAGTAAGTTAAAAAACAAAACAAGTACTGTAATTGGAAATATAATTCTCTTGCTCATACAGGTACACCAGCGATTTCCCTGCAACTGATGGTCCAGCACCTCCTTTAGTCCAGACAAAATTATGAGAGGGCACTTAATTTCCCTCCCTCCCTCCCAGCCAGGGTGAAGCTAGCTTTAGAACTTAAATTTTTGATCTTATAAAATGTAGCTGACTAGACTTAGCAGAATATAAATTGCATTGCTGGAATCCTTGTAAAATAGTGATTAATTTGAGTACAAACATCACCCACTGTACTTTGCACAAGAGATATAAATTTTAGTTTAGTGTAGTACATTTGAGTACAAAGTGTGTACTCAAAATTGCTCAAAATTATGGTTTTTTCACATTTAATTTACATTTATTATTTGTTTAATTTAGGTTTCTAGCAGTTCATGGTGCTTTAGAGACACGGGAGGTGTATAATTAGTGGGTCAGAGGTGTACAGTATTGTTGAATTTTTATTACCTGACCTCGGTTGGTCCAGCAAACCTTATAATCTGGCAAGGCTTTGGAACCAAGGGTGCCGGAAAGTCGGTGGTGGACCTGTACTGTGTATATTATGCAATACAATGGGTCCTTGTTATTTGTATGGGTTCTGTTTTTAAAAGTCCCTATGTACTGTACTGTATAACGATTATAAAAATAACGAAGCAATTTTTCCCATATAAATTAATGTAATAAAGGATTGTTCGATTCTTAGCTGGTCAAAATAGGTTTCAATTGTTTGTTAATCTGAAATAAAAAGCACAGAAGCACAAGTGTTCATATAAATAATGTACAGAAATAAATAAAGCACATTCGACTCATATTAAATACGTATTGGATTTTATTTTTTTGCTTGGCTTCATTTTGCGCATGTGTCGACACTCAGCTTTTGGGTAATTCAGATTTCAGTCAAATTCGTATGTAACATCATAGAAACATAGTTGGTAATGTCAGAAATCAGTGAGCCTGTCAGCTTTATGACAAGTTCATGAAATGTCACATTTTGATAAGAATCATAATTTATCGTATTCCAGTAACTATGTACAGCGAATGAATGTACAGTATGTGCAGAATTCTACCTGTTGATATAATCTTTTTTCTGTCAATTTCTGCACTTGTTTTTCACCACATTTCTAGTTTCTGTACCTCTTGATCTATTCCATACAAAATGGTAGTGGCATAGAAAGCAGATGGTCTCAATCAATTTTACTTGTATATGTGTGTTTTTTTTTCAGCTATACCTCAAGATGCTGTACCAGTACCACCACCCACTGTGTCGCCTTTGTCAACGTCACCAAAACCCATTGTAAATGTGGATATTCAATGCAACTTTGAAAATGCTAGTCGGCCTATATGTGATCTTAAGCAGGACACAGGTGACAACGTTGGAACATGGGCACGAGTAAACGCCTCTGATCCGCCATCATCCAATCACCCAATATCTGACCACACTGTTCGCAATAGTATGTTGAAAATAATTCTTGCAGTTATATAAGTTTAAGTTCTATTTGTAGAGAAATGTTCAAGTTTTCAGAAGGGTGAAAATTCCTCTGTATAGCCTCAATACTTCCTTTTATTGCTAACATATTTGGTTGGTATATTAACTTGCAACTTTCAGTTATCTGCCTTTTTATTTTATCTCTGTTTCTTCAGAATTTCATTCTCTCTCTTGAGGGGATATTCATGATGGGAAAGCTTCCAGATCACTCTATTCAAACATGTCTTGTGGCCTCTTTAACTCCTTTTCCAATATTTAGAGACCTTTTTATTATTTGCTCCTCTCCTTTCCCACTCTAGGATGCTGCTTGTTTTCCCACAACAGTACTCTATTTCCCCTTTCCAAGCATATGTGCTTGTGTTTACACACTGTAAAGCTCTTATACCATTTTTGTAATTTTGCTTTACACTGCCAACAGTGGAGCTATTGAAAACAAGGCTGGTAAGGACAGACCTTGTCTTTCCATATACGTAGTAACATAAACACACTCATAAGTATATACTGTACAGTGTATTTGTCCCTATTTTGCAGTCCATCCATACCACTGCAGAACTTAAACATCTTGCAGACTTACACACTCATCATTTTTCCTCTCTGTAATAACCAAATCTTTATCATGACTCTCCTGTAGTAGAGCCATTAATACTTTTTTGGGGGATGGAACTTGTAAAGATGTATAGGATATACATTAGAATAAGTGTGAACATACTAAACCTTGTTTTTATTGGATAATACTCAAATGATTTAGCAGTTACTTAGATTATGTGTGATAGGTCCAAGTATTATTTATATAATCACATATAACTAAATAAAGTAGATCTTAATCTTGTATATTTAATGTCACAAAACAAAATACAATAGACATTATTGTTATTAATTTCTTGACACATACTTTTTTCCATCAGGTTCTGGCCACTACATTGCTGCCTTACGACATACAAATGATGACAGCAAGGGAGAAGTAACGGCACGGTTAAAAACTCCCACTTTAGATCCTAATCTTGACTATTGCCTTACCTTCTTTTTACACCATGTGGGAGACAGCCCTCCACCTGTGGTTGTTAATGCTGAGGTATTGCAGTTACTTAAGATTATGTGTGATAGGTCCAAGTATTATTTATACCACATAACTAAGGCCAATTCACTTCAAGTAATGTCATCAAATTATATCGCTGGTGTAGTGTAAACACTAGTGACGTCACTGAAGCGTGGTGGGATGACTATTTATCATGTGGTTAACAAACCACCGTATTCTAATTGTGATGTTTCACCAGTATGTACTTACTACATACATTTATTACACATATATATATATATATATATATATATATATATATATATATATATATATATATATATATATATATATATATATATATATATATATATATATATATATATATATATACTGAATATACTATGTACAAAAAATGAATGTTCAATGAATTATTTATGGTGCATTAGGGTACTAGCCACTTCTGATGGGCTATAAATAGCCTTCTTTATCTCCCCTACATCTCACCCTGAGCCAGACGGAAGGGTCTTGGTAAATAACATGTTTGCTTATTTTCCATTTACTTTAAATAAATTTACCGAATTATTTGTTTTATTTATTTATTTATAATATACTGTAATATATTAAACACACTGTAATTATTTTCTTTAATTTATAAACTGTTTTGCGACAAAGGAATGTTCTCCAGTAGTGTTTCATTAGGATTTGAGTGAAAAAATATTACGTACTTACACAATTGTTCCTCTTACTTTGACAACACAACATACATACAGTATATTATTTCTCAGTTTTGATCTTTTTTTTTAATTTTTGTATTTATTTATAGTTAGTTACTTAAAATAAGGCCAATTCACTTCAAGTAATGGCATCAAATATTACCAGCTGGTGTAGTGTAAACACTAGTGACGTCACTTGAGCGTCTGTAATTAAGTCACTTTTCCTTTCTTGTCTCCTCACTGGCAAATGGGTGTGGGGAGGGGTGTGTGATGATAGCTGTGTTTATTACAGGGGTATAAATCTCTTTTACGGTATGTTAGACAGGTTTATAATACATTTTTATTATTTTAATATACCGGTAATCTTAATTTGAATCCAGCTTGCCAAACGTAAGTTTCAGTATAAAATAATTAGTGGTAAGACCTTGTGAGTGGCTTACGATGTTTTCATCACCACTCTTGACACTAAACCACAATATTTAAGAGGTAAGAATTTTAAACTTGGTGGTTTAGACGACCCCCTAACTTTGGGCAGATTTTTTTAATGTTCAAATTTCGTCTTATAGGCCGTGATATCGCTATTGTTTTTTTATATCTGTTGGTATGTTAGTTACTACTTAATCCTTGATGTGTAAAATACAAAGGGATTGTTTTCAAGCCCCATCACACATGAAGGAGACGTATATTGTATTTATTCTGAGTGATATACTGTAGATGAAGTTTTTCAGCTCTTAGAGTATTTTGGAGGAAGATAATACTGTATATGCTTAGTTTTATCCCAAATAGAGGATGTAATGTCTAAACCACTTACAGCCTTCCATTACAGTACAGTAATGTTTTTGTTACAGCAAGTGGATGGGCCATCAATAGTGGAGTTGCTGCATCGTGACTACCCTCTAGAGGATGTGTGGGTGCTAGTACAGAGGGACGTTCTATCTGGTACTATGGATACAGAATTTATAATTACCATTGACGCTAAGATATCCGACGGTCAGGACGGAGATGCTTCACTTGATGATTTTAAGGAAAGTATTTTTACATTATTAACAGAGATAATTTCCATTGTGGATCTACATGAAATATATACAGGGTATATATATATATATATATATATATATATATATATATATATATATATATATATATATATATATATATATATATATATATATATATATATATATATATATATATATATATATATATATATAAAACAGTTTAAATTGTTTAAAATATTTTAACTCAACAGGTTACGACATCAAGATGTCCAAGAAAAGATGACCTGTCTTGTTCATTCACTGAAGGGCTTTGTGGATTTAGGCAAGAGGAAGTTTATGATAACATAGACTGGATTTGGCATGATGCCAATGGGCATGATGATCCTTACCTGCCTGATGAATCCAAAGCTCATGATTATTACGTATACCTCAATACATCTGCCCCAAAAGTAAGTACTACTGCAGATGGATATATTAATGTGGAATATTATTTTTTAGAATGAAATGTTCTTATGGTATATATGTACCATATGTTGTGTTTGTTATTTAATTGCTGTACAATGTGTACTTTCTTTTCATATCTTTTGTACTACTTAAACTTTTTTCTTCATTGCTTTGTCACATGGCTTTGCAGTGTAATAAGAACATTTGTGTTTGCATTGGTATATTCAATATTTATAGAATATGTTTGTTCATGAATGTGTCTTTACACAGGGATCTAAGGGAGTCCTCTATACTACCAATTATTGGTTAACAGAGCCTCACTGCCTAACATTCCAAGTCCACATGCACTCTGAGATGGGCCAGGATGCTGCTTTGAATGTCCTTAATATTGGAGAAGGAAATATAAAGGATGGAGAGCTTCTTTTGCATGCCAGAGAAGATTTTGGCTCAGATTGGGTCACATTACAGGTATGATAGATTGAGTTAAGGGACCACTGTCTTGTTAGGTGTTATGACTATTTTAAATGTACAGTAGAATCCCAGTTATATGGCACCTGCGGGGATTGAGAGTTGCCGGATAAAGAGTTTTTCTGGTTAGTTGAAACTCACTTTTAGAATCCCCCAATAAATCCTACAATGCACAGTGCTACAGGCTGACCTCGTAAATTTGTGTCTCAGAAAAACAGACTTCTTTAACATTTATTTAACTCCATACTCCTTCATCAACACTCACAGGCACATTCTTCTCAAGTTTGTTGAGAATGTTTAATTTTTCCTTAACCCTTAAGCCCCGAGTTAGGGTGGTGCTGGCAGTAACCCCCCCCCCCCCATGGGAATAAATAAAAAAAAATTCAACTCTTCCAAAAATACAAAAATAATTTTTAACCCTTTATAATGATAAAGTAATAAAAAATAAGTAAGAAAGACTATATATTGACCCTCTAGATATTTCCCTGGCTGCTCGGAGGGAGGGTGGAGGAGGGGGAGTTAAGGAGACAGTGTTGGTTTGACAGCTGACGCTTGTGGTCCTTACACACTTAGCAGCTATTTTTAGCTCGCCTTTGTGTCCGAGGTGGTCACTTATTCATATATTTACTGATCTTAATAATTATTTGCTATAAATAATTCATTTAAAATATTTTATTTGCATTATTTTTCATAAAAAGTGCTTGGCAACACTCACCAGTCAGTTGCCAGTCTGCCTGTCTGTCTTTGTGTTTGATAGAGCAAGTAATGCATAGAATAATAATAATTCCACAAATAAATACATTTATAACATAATCATAGCATTTTTTTACAGTAATACAACACTACAATACAACTACACTACTTTTAGCAATATTACTTTGATACAACATGATAAAAAAGACAAACAATGAAAATGAAACAAACAAACGAAGGCAATTATGTTCAGGAAGCTTCCCTGTGGCCGAGCATGTGGTGTAACAGGCAAATAGTCACACTGGAACCTGATAACCCGTGCTGGGCATTTAAACAGTGGCGGGAATAGGTAGACATTCTGGAACGACACCCGGGGCGCGCTGGTCGGATGTTCTGGAACGTCACCCGGGACCTAAGGGTTAATGGACAGTCTTTTTACTGAGCCTCTCCTCAATCCCTTTGTTTTTTTTGTTTTTTTTAGTAGCTTTCGACACCATACGTGCGGTGCTCACACTTCCAAAATGAATATTTACAGTAAACATACAGCAAGAGTAAATATGGAATAGTACTGTACTTCTGATATGGGGTTTAGGGCCACATCACCCCAAAGACTGAAGAGGTTAATCCTCACAGCATTTAAATAAATTTGAAAAACTACAAAATTTTAACGAACAAATGACAAAGTGTGAAATATACTGAGCCAGTATCATTTATATTGTTTCCAAAATTAAGTTTTCTTGCAGATATGTATAGCAGTAATATAAATAAGTTGCTGTGTTTATTCTTGATGGCCCAATTGGAAATTAATGAATGATCACTAAAGTTTGCAAAATTTTGATGGTACACTCTATATTTTTTATCCTGTCGTATTATTTACTCTCTTTTGAATTACCACCCTTCTTCACAGCTTAACTTGGAGCCATCACTGAAGCCCTTCCATCTAGCATTTGAAGGCATCATGGGTAATCACATGAATGGTGTGTACTCAACTTTTGCCCTTGATGATGTGAAATTGACCCCTGGAATGTGTAACAGTCCTGCATCATGCTCATTTGACAGTAACCTGTGTTCTTGGTATTCTAATGAGAACTTAGGTGATGATGAGTGGCAATTTGCTGGTCCAGGGGAGGTATCCATTAACACCAGACCTTACTCAGATTCTACCCAAAGAGATAACTTGGTAAGTTTTTAATTACAGTATAACCTTTAAATACTAGATAAATTCATGCAGAGGGGGTTCACATATCTTTGATAGCATTACAAGAAGATATTAAAATTCCACAAACATGAAGAAACAATATTAGAAACAGATTTTTCACACATGTTGCCTACTGTAATTTTAATGCTAATCATCACGCTTATATCTTAAGTTTTACTGTACAGTATATAACTTAATTGTTAACTATATCATCTTTGAGTATTTAACCTCCTTATCTGACTCCTCTTATTTCAGTTACTTGTTTTAAAATTGGAAACCAGAATTCTGCATCAGTGAAAAGTGGTGTTTCAAATATAATTTAATATATTTTTTTATTATTATTTCCCAATATTTAAATTCTTCTATAGTGCCTTTAGTGGTACAACAGTAGCATACTTGTCTCTCACCACTGTGTTCTATTCCCTGGGCAGATGTGATATGGGTGTTGTCTAGTGACTCTGCCAAACATTGCAGGTTTTCTCTGGGTTCTTGGGTTTCCTCCTTTACTAATACTAGACAGTCAAGGTTATAATAGGAAACAGGTATTACTTTTACTTTATCCTCTTCACCACTGATCGGCTCGTTAGCCGCCTGGGCGATCGGTCACGTCTCTGATTACTTTTTCTTTTCTTTTATCCTCTTCACCAAAAGATCAGGTCGTTAGCCGCTTGGGCGATCGGTCACTTCTCTGTTACGCACTGTTAGCAAGTACTGGGCATGCACAAGCTCCTGAATGCACTTGAACCCGCTCCAGTGTTGGTCAAGTCTTGTCTTGAAAGAGCTCACACTTGGTGCCGTCACAGCACTTTCTGGTAGATTGTTCCAAGAGTTCATAACTCTCACTCCAAAAAAGTTTGCCCTCACAGTTTTCTGGACTTGCGGCTTCTTCAATCTTGAGCTGTGACCCCTTGTGGGACGAGTGTCCGCCAGCTCCAAGTAAGGACACTCGACTGAGTAGTGCCCCTTGAGATGCTTATACACCTCAACTAGGTCCCCCCTTGCCCATCTGTAGTATAAGCCAGGCAAGTTCAGGCGCTCCAATCTCTCAGGGTAGCTGAGGTGCCGAAGGGTAGGCACCAGTCTGGTGGCCCTCCTTTGAACATTTTCAACCAACTGACAGTCTTTAGCATATCTCGGGGACCAGACGGGGTGACAGTACTCCAGATGGGGAAGCACTTCACTCTTGAAGATCGTTACGAGGCACGGACCGTCTAGATATCTGAACAACCTTCTTATAAGACCCAATAATTTATTTGCCTGATTTACCTTCTTTTCGCAATGGCCCGAGAACTTCAGCTCATTGTCAACATACACACCTAGGTCCTTCTCACATTCAGTCTCAAATAGTGCAGTTTCTTCATCCCGTTGGGACATATGATACGCCTCCTTACCATTGGTATGCCCCAGGTGCATCCTCTTGCACTTCGTAACATTGAATATCAGTAGCCATTTCTTTGACCATTCTTGGAGCCTACAGAGGCCCTTCTGCAGCTCTTCACAGTCCGCTTGGTTCTTGATTTCCCGAAATAACTTGGCGTCATTGGCAAACATTTGTATGGAGGAGTGTACAACTTCAGGCATGTCATTTATGAAACAAACAAACATCAGCGGACCCAATACAATGCCCTGTGGTACCCCGCTTGTGACAGGTACAGGTGATGATTTCGTGCTATTAATCACCACACACTGCTTGCGGTCATGTAGAAAGTCTTCTATCCACTCTTGGACATTTCCCCGAATTCCGTACCCTTCCAGTTTGATTTTCAGCCTTTCGTGGGGTACACTGTCGAAAGCCTTGGCAAAATCTAGGTAAATATTGTCGATATTACCACTTGACTACTTGACTGGCTTGTGTACAGACAATTGGTGAAAAAATTAAATAAAATCATAAGGAAATGGGATATTCTCTCTCAGTTGTGGGAAAATAATATGGAAGGTAATATATCTGCATAGGTGTGTTATATTTTGGAACAAAGCAATGCATCAAGTGCCTTCTTCATTATGGTCGAGTAAACATAAAGAAACCAGACAGTTCATCTTCATATGTATGTATAGCGAATTGATAAGAACTGTTTAAATCAGAATGAATGTTTAGAAATAATTTTTATAAACTGAATATTCAAGTCAAGGATCATAGCTAGTATTAGGATATTTATACAGTACTTATTTTCATAGCCCTTTCTTGTGGCTTGTTAGTCTTGTCAAGTATGATCCCTACAGTTTCCTCTCCTTCTCTTTCTTTGGTTTATGTATCTCTTAATCCACCCCATACAAAAGTGGGAGAGGAGTAAAGATGATATAACAGGCAGACATATTTTTCATTCAGTTGAGATCCTACAGTACAGTATGTTAATTTTACATAAATAGTTAATGTGCCTCCTCTATGATCATAACTGACATATTTCTTCTTTTCATTGGGTTCCAAGGGAGGATTTGTGTTTATTGAAGCAGATGAGAACCTGTCAAATAACAGAGCATGGCTTATGAGTGAAAGACTGCCACCAATTGTATCAGCTGAACGTTGTCTGACTTTTTGGTACCACTTGTAAGTATTGTGTAGAATTCTTTATTAACCTTTAATCAGCGGCTATGGATTCGCCACTTCTTCCCCCCCTTCATATGTACAAAAATGGAAAGCAAACTGCTTATATACTTATATACAGGGTATATATATATATACAGTTATATATATATATATATATATATATATATATATATATATATATATATATATATATATATATATATATATATATATATATATATATATATATATATATATATATACAGTATATATATAAAAAACTGAATAACTAAATCTATTTTATTACAGGTATGGGGCAGAGGGCACTAAGTTGTCAGCACTTATGTATGATCCAAACTCTGGCTCACTTACTACATTATGGAAGCTCTCTCCATCCACTCCCATATGGGACCCAGGCTGGCAGTATGCTGCTGCCCCATTCTCTGCTTCATATATTCATCAGGTGGGTTACTGTAATGAGCATTATTATTTACTTGGAATAAATAACCCAGTACATCTTATTTAGTTAGTTATTTGTTTCAAATGACTTACCTTCTTGTAATTTTGAATTTTGAATTACTGTACAGTTATATAATTATTGTTATATTATTGCTTGGCACTGCAGTATGAAAAGTGAATATAAGTTCTCTGATTCTTTAATCTAATTTTGTCTTTGAACAGACCTTAGAGGGCATTATCATATCTGAGAAGCCTGCATGCAATTTTGATAGATACAGTACACTTATGTAAAGTTAAATGTACAGGACAGGTATTAAAAACAACAGAAGCAATATTGTTGCTCAATGCCTTGGCAGCACATTATTTCTAATAATTAGGTCTCTCTTTTGAATGCTGTCCAATGGTTTTTAATGGGAGAGTGAAATATGTTCAAGTGTTTATTGGAAGAGAGAAAGTGGTTCCAGGGAAAATAGGTCTTAATTAAGGTTGTACAAGATTGTCATGGTTAGTGACTATGGGGTAGTCAGAGTGAAGGCTAGAACAGTGGAGAAGGATGCAGGATGCAAATGTGAGATGAACCACTTGCTGTTTGCAGATGACAATGCTATCATGAGCTGTTCAGAAAAAACTTAAAATTTCAGTGAATTATTTTGGAAAAGTGTATATATACAGTACTAAGAAAAAATGAAAAATGATTGTGAATAGAAGTAAAGTGATGAAAATGAGATAATTTGAATAGAAAAGAATGAAATAAGTGTGGTGTTTAAGGTACCGGTAATGTAAATATTTAGAGAAATAAGTAATAAGAGGGACAATACAACAGTAAGCGTAATGCGGTAATATAATATAAAAATTAAATACCGTAAACAGAGTACAGATAATATATACCGGTAAGGGATTTAGGACCAAAGAGGTTAAAGGTCATCATTAAGAATGTGATTGGTCCATAATTCATGACTATCTGCCTTTGTTACAGGCCATTCTTAAAAATCTGATGGGGCTGGGATTCTTAGACATATGTATGTGTTACAGGTCATCATGGAGAGTGTGATGGGGACGGGATTCATGGGTGATGTTGCTGTGGATGACATTGTTGTAGCAGCTGATGGATGCATCATCCAACCAAGTGAAGCCAATAATGGGGTCAACTACACTACACCGGTCATTCCTACGTCTGAGCCAGCTACCAGTGTGCCCCCTGGACTTTATGACTGCTACTTTGATGAAGACCTCTGTATATGGAAGAGTGAAGCAGGATCAGTAAGAGCTGAATATTTTTTCTCTCCTCCTGAGTGTTAGTTCAGGGGAGATATAGAAGTGATGCTGTCTATCTATTTGTTTGCACTAAATTTTATCTGCTCAAAAGCTGTCAGTAAGTCAAGTGAATTGTTTTCAGGTTTGGTGTGAAGTTTTAATATGGCAGGATTTTGCTTGGAATCGTTGAGCATATTACAAGTCCAAATTACTGTATTGCCTTGGCTCAGAAACAGTAATTTTAGATGGATCATAACAAACCTAGCTGTCCCACTCCTGTCATTTTAGCTAAAAATGCAGTAGACACTTTAAAGGCATTTTAACTTGGGTGTTTTTCTTGATAGCACAATGGTTAGTTCACTCATGTGGTGTATGTTGCCAAGCATTGCCACTGTTTTACCATTTTCAGGACTTTTAGTATCTCCAACTTAGTTTCTAGGTTTAACATCTTTTTAGACTTTGTCATAAGGGGATCTTTACTTGCTTGAAAAATAAATGAAATTCAGGTGTAGAAAGTTATCTGTGAATGTAATTCCAGTTATGAAATTGTATAAACAAGGTCAACCTGTACCTTAGGTGTTCCTATTACAAATGCAATACAAAAGCTGATGGAAAATAAGAGTCATGAGAATAGTTAAGTAATTCAGTATTATGTATCATTATTTCTTTGTTTAATTAAAGTTTCTTTTATATTATTCAGGATACAGGCAATGAGATGAAGTGGCAAGTCCATGTTGCAGATAATAGCTCTGATGGTGAGTTTTTTTTTATAATGTTTACAATGATAAAGGTCATTTCAGTGAGAGTTAATTATTATCTGAGGACTGGTACTTCAGGGATGAATTGCTTTAACCCTTAAACTGCACACACCCTCCCTGACTCTCTACCTTATATGCACAGAAAATGAGTTATTTAGAAAACATTATGGAATGATAGTATTCTATGTAAAAATAAAATTATTAAAAGGTAAAGGATATTCTTGCCCTCCATATATGAGTGCATAGAACATGTAGTAGAGAAAACCCTGAAACAGTGACCATCAGCCTCTGGCAGCTGGTACATCAGACCTGATAGTTCCATCCTTCATTACTGCTGAGGAGAATCTTTTGGAACATGCTTGGGGTAATAAATTAGGGATGATTCCATTTCTTCTGAGGGGTTGGAAGGAGGTGCTAGGCAGTATATCATCCATGGTGGTTAGAGTGTAACTAAACATGTGACAGGAGTAGGCTCACTTATCTCCCCACTTCGGTATTGTACTGACACCTATAGGCACCTGGACCAACCATATGTCATCTGTGGCCTGGAATGTTGGTGGGAAAAGGTCTAGAGTCAATTTCTTCTTGGATGTCCATCTATTCTCACTTATAATACAATAATACAGTACTGTATTTTCTTCATCCTATACTGTACTTCATCTTCCTTGTGGTTTTCCTTTTGCATGGCTACTAATATATTAGTTTCTAAATATATCAAATAAAAAAAATGGTCTTGACTAAAACACAAGGGATTGTGTTGATTATTCAAGTGGATATTATGTCCCATCACTCATTGTATGCCTTTACGTAATTACAACATTCCTTAAAGTTTTCTACAATTATTGTGTTGTTACTATTTAGACTACAGTATTAGTGTTAAAGTAGAATAGGTACAAGTTGATAATAATTGTATGACCTTTATCCCTGCAGGTGGTTTTGCTTACCTTGATATCACTAAAAATTTAGAGCCAGGTGCACATGGTGTCATGAATTCGACGGAAATCTCTGCAACTCACGCCTCATGCTTTGCCTTTTCATACATGCTGGATGGTCCCCATGAACTCAATATCCTACAACAGGTAAATATTTTTGTTTATTTTGGTACAGAACCTTTCCCTATACAGTAGACTGATTTTATACATAAAAGTGTATGTTAACATTTTTATTTACGGGAATAGCCCATCCAGGCATGGGTCACTGACTCACAACGGGGCCTGGAGGGCAAAAATATAAGAGTAAAAAGAAATTAAAAATAGAAGAGAAAAAGACTATTAATCTACATCACAAAGATGCCAGAAAACCATCTTTTTGAAGTGAGACAGATTGTAAGAGTAAGGAAACACAGAAGAAGGCAGAGCATTCCACAGTTTGGCTGTGTGAAGAAAGAAGGAGGTACTATACTGGGTCATTTTAGTGTGACCGACATCCACAGAGAAACGTTGGGCACCGTGGGCAAGACGAGTGTTACGAACCCACAGCCTTGCCGGCGGTACACAGGATGCCAAATCCACCAAACATTGCCCGTTAAAGTACCTGTAAAAGAGAGAGAGTGAAGTAATGTTGTGGCGAAGAGAAGGGAAGAGAGATTATCAACTAAAGGAGGAGAGTTAATAAGACGAAATGCCTTTGATTCCACCCCATCTAACAGTTGGACAGAAGAAGAGCCACCCCAGATATGAGAACAATACTCCAAGTTAGGATGAATGAATTTCTAGTAAACCTGATGCAACTGTTCAGGAGTGAAATAGCTACGGCGTCCGTACAGCATTCCCAGCTTTCGGGAGGCTTCTTTGGCAATGTTGTGGATGTGTGGCTTCCATGACATTTTAAAGGAAATTGCGAGGCCTGGCATATCTATTTTAGAATTTGTCAGAATGATTGCCCGTTAAAGTACCTGTAAAAGAGAGAGAGTGAAGTAATGTCTGTGGCGAAGAGAAGGGAAGAGAGATTATCAACTAAAGGAGGAGAGTTAATAAGACGAAATGCCTTTGATTCCACCCCATCTAACAGTTGGACAGAAGAAGAGCCACCCCAGATATGAGGACAATACTCCAAGTTAGGATGAATGAATCTCTAATAAACCTGATGCAACGGTTCAGGAGCGAAATAGCTACGGCGTCCGTACAGCATTCCCAGCTTTCGGGAGGCTTCTTTGGCAATGTTGTGGATGTGTGGCTTCCATGACATTTTAGAGGAAATTGCGAGGCCTGGCATATCTATTTTAGAATTTGTCAGAATGATTGCATCCTGAAATGTGATTGGTGGGAGATCTTCTATTTTGGAAAGTGTAATTAGTAAATACTGTGTTTTATTACTATTGAATTTAACCAAGTTTCTGCCTCCCCAATCGGAGATGCTTCACAGATCCACATTGATAGATGAAATGATATCAGCTCTAGAAACAGATCTAGTTTGAGAACTAGGGGGAAGGAAAAAATGTGAAGAAGAGTCAAGAGTAGAATCATCAGCGTAAGAATGGATAGAATTAGTCGTAGTGTGAAGTAAATCATTGATAACAAGAAGGAAGAGAGTAGGTGAAAGAACAGATGCATAGGGAGCGTTACCATTTTGAAATTGTTTATATCCTAATAAATATTATTGCTTTTACAATGAATACAGGTATTGTCTGTCTTATGCTAAGAATGAAAAAAATGAATAGTGGAGGTGATTGGATATGGAGAGAATAGCTATATGCATACTGTATAGCAATGTGAGAAAGTGGATATATACCAAATGACTGATCAAGTTGTGGCTTTTTGACTATACAGTATACACTAATAGTAGAGTTGTGTTATTCTTGACTCCAGTCACCACGTATCATAGCAGAAAAAGACTTACAAATGAGAAAAAACTAATTTTAAAAGTGAGTTAAGGAGTTGGAAAGGAATAAGTTTTCTTTGTATAGTTTTTAATGTCTCTAATAGAATTGTGTTTGGAAAGGATTTTTGAATTTTATGTAATTAAGGAATATATATTTTAAAAAGGAAGATGGTGTGTTAATTGTATCTTATTACTATGAATTTAACAAAAAAGTATTAATGACAACTAAAGAATATGTGTTGTGTTCATAAATTTAATGAGTGAATTGTCTATAAAGGAATTTTGGCAGAGAGGGCTTCACTCTGTGTATTGTGTATATATTCAGATTCATATTGTATTAAAATGTGTTTAAATCGTGAAGTGAAAAAAAAAAAGTAAATATAAATTTTGAAATATGTAGTTTGCCAGTTTTTGGGAAATAGGGTTGAGAAATAAGCTAGACAAAAACTTGAATTTGTGTCTACTTGTGTACTTTAATATATTTTAACGTGCATACAATATATTTGGACTTAATAAATATAATTATGACAATACCTGTACAGTAATATCTCCTTTAGCTGGAATCCCTCAAACCCAGAACTCTCCGATAGCCAGAATTGAAATTTTCTCGGATTATCGTTCCCAAAGCCGGAATTTTACGGAAAATTCCAGCTTTGGGAACGATTTTCCAAGGGGCACATTTTCTGGAAAATTCTGAGAAAATTTTCCCGATAACCGGAAAATTCTGGGGATGGGAGAGTTTTTTCCCGGTTTAAGAGATGAAAATCAGGCGCATTTTCTGGAAATTCCGAGAAAGTTTTTCCGTTGCCCCGAAAATTCTGGAAAATTCCGGGATGAGGGATACTTTTCCGGGTTCGAGAGACGATGTAATGGGCAATTTCTGGAACTTCCGAGAAAATTTTTTTACCCGGAAAATTCCGGGAATGAGTGTTTTTTCCAGTTTTCAGACAGTCGTCTCGTTACCCAGAAATCTCTCATTCCCGGAAGTGCTCTGCACCAATTGTTCCGGCTAATGGAGATATTATTGTTCTTTGATATTCATGAATCAGATTAGTAATGAATAACTTACAATATCATCAGAATGGGAGAACTCTGCAGTCCCTTTGGTTTCATGAAGGGCCACAGGGAGCTGTATGGGTGGCTGTTCAGATAACTGTATCATCAGAAGAAGTATTTAACATCCTTGTGGAGGGAGTGAGAGGTGACTCTGCAGATGGTCATATTTCCGTAGACAGTGTTTTTCTTACTCTTGGACCCTGCATTATTCCAGGTAAGGTGAAATATACTGGGTCCTTTCCTACAGTGCATTCATTTGTGTTACGATATTGTGATGATTTTTTCGACAATAGCATGTTTTTTGACAGGAAATATCTTTTTTCTTTTATCCAATTTACCACTAATCCTGATGAAATCTTGGCAGAGGATTCTTGTGACTTTGAAAATAAACAAATGTGTGGATGGCAGACTGTAGGGAACCCTGGTCCCACAGACCCCCTGTGGGTTTGGACTGATGGCCAATCCACCACTACTGTGGATCACACAACTGGGACTGTCAAAGGTCATTTCTTGAAAGCCACCAACAACTGGAATAGTAGTTCATTGAACACTGCTCTCATGTCCTCAATACTGTATTCATCACAAGGTGCTTCATATGTCAGGTAAGAAATATATAGTTATTTTTCATTCTCCTAACCCTTCTCCCATCCCATTGTAGGATGACCAGAATCAGGAGCAGAACAGACTCCCTTCACTTGCTGTCATTTAGTCACTGTCATTGCTGTAATACTGGGTAAATGTGTTCTGCTATGAAGTTTCCTTGCCACAACAAGGCCTCAGAGATCTATCTAGCTTATCCCAGGGTTGGCCAATTTAAACCAATGGTTTAAACCAAATGATCAGTGAACCATGTGTCAGGGACATAATAAAGCATCATACCCATATTTTTTTTAGTATGCTGTAGTTGCACAAAATTTTATCTTTCTTTGGAGGGGGGCTTCAAAGAAAGATAAAATTGCTAATGGACAATTAATGCCTCATTTGGAATTTCAAATTTAACCTGTAGATAGAGTTTCTAATATCTCAGGTTTAGATGTGCATGTCACCAAAAACTCTTAAGAGATCCATAGAGCCACTGCCAGAGTTGTTTGAACACGTTGTTGAAGCTTTTATATAACCATCATTAGACCTACAAAAAGTTTTAATTTACTAAAATTAGCATTGATTATAAATCACAAGAACATGTTACTGTGCAATGGAATTTTAATTGTTTTCTTATGCAATTTCCTACAGGTTCTATTACTTTGCCCATGAAGGAACTTTAGCAACTCTCAGAATGTATTATGTTGAAGATGAGATTGATGACACTGGAGATCTTGTGAGTACTGTACTTCATATATTGTGGATAACAAATAAATAAGTGATCAGAATTACACAAATAGTTCTTATTAACTTCAGTAGTGTAGTGATTGAAAATCAATTGAATATCAGTATAATTTTCTAAATACCTGTAATCTAATATTTATTTTTATTGTAAACCAGATCATGTAAATATATTGTCCCTCTTCCTACTCTAATCTTCAGTTTATCACCTAAGAGTGTACAATATCAGTATGTGAATGCACTCATATTCTCTTATATGTACTTTATTTACACCAAGTAGAATGCTTAACCCTCTCATGTCCTTTTCTCTTATCATGTCCCAAAATGACTTTAATGACTTAAAAACTTGGATTATGCTCAGTGATTAATAGGATGTGTAGAGACCTTCAAATTTTACTTCCAGGCTCCAGTGATTATATGGGAAGCACCTGTAGGCAAAGTCTCGGAGTGGATGGAAGGTCGAGTAGATGTTACTGTAAGCTTCTTCAGGTTACGGTTGGAAGCTGTCTTTAAAACACCAGATAACACTTCCTTTATAGCCTTTGATGATTTTAGTATCCATCCTGGCACTTGTGGCAGTGCAGGTATGTTTTAAAGAAATTACTTGATTAGTAGTGTTCATGTGTACTGTATATAAAATATGGGTTAATGATATGTCCAAGTGTTAAAGTTACATTTTTGTGGAGTATATGCATGACCTTTTAAAACCAGTAACATTAGGGAGTATGTGATAAAATAAATGTTTTCTTTTAAGCTGAATGTAATTTTGATGGCCTAAATTCCTGTGGATGGACTCGCTCGCTCACCGAAAAAGCTTATTGGGATATTATCAGTGGCAGTGATCACACATATGGAGACCTTGGTAAGACCTCCTTCGATCTGGAAACTTAAACAGCATAATTTTGTAAAGACAGATTACCAACACTAGGAATCATAATCCCTTTGTTTGCTCTTTGTAATCACATTTCTCCCAATATTTTTAGAATTATTGTTGACTTGACATAAAGTTTTATTTTGCTTAATTGTCATGGAATTCATAGTTAAAGCTTATTTTAATTTACATCGTAGAAAAATAATAAAGAAAAATAGTCTCGAAAGAAATTTGACCTAATGTTATAAATTATTGTATAGTAGTTAAAGGTGTTTTGTGTTGTCATGTAATTTATGCAACCTATAGAATATCTCTGAAGTTGATAATGTGGAGAAGTACCCGGTAAGAACTAAGGGAAAAACAATCCCAGTAGAAACATGTAATGAAGTCTACAGATTTGTTTCAAATCAACCCAGGTGGTGGGATGCTGATGTTAGAACCAACTAGATATGAGGCAGGAGATGCAGCAGTGCTTCTCAGCCCTCTAATGGAGCCTGCTGAAGCCATATCCACCTGTCTTCAATTCTGGTTTCATATGAATTCTAGTGTTGAGGGCAGTATCAATTTCTATATTCAGGTAAGGTATAGTCAAGGAGTATTATATTCTGTATAAGACTGTATACGATTTAAAAAGGTTAGATAATGGTTCCATGACTCTTTAGTAGTGCTATGGTCTTCCAACCAATGAGTCTCAGGTTAACTCTTGTGCCAGGTAAGGTTGGTGGAGCATTAAGAAGTTGGAATTTGCACCAACCATGGCAGTGCTCTAAGCAAAGGAAGCCTAACCCTCCCCTCCTGGGCATTGCTTCCCTCCTCCACAAATTATTGGAAATGGTATAAAAAGTTCACAGACAAATGGATGGAGACAATTTTTATTTATTTTTTTATTTATGTTTTATTTTTTTTAGTTTTTTAATAATATCCACAGTATTAACTGCAGTATTTACCAATGTTTCTTTAATGTACTTTTATAATCCTGTCATTCATTGTCTGTTCCTTCATCCCTACCTGTACACACACTGTTGTACAATATAAACTCACTGACTCTCATATTCCTTAATTTTTGGCTTAAAGAAGAAACATAACAAAAAGCTTAACTTTATTGTGATATTGAATCAGATAAGGCCATTACACAGATGCTAGTGTTTGGTTTGTTGGTTTAGTGTGGATGTACTATCCTGATTGCCTGCTCTTTCCTTCCTCCTCACTGAATTTACTGAACTACAAGAATCTTGCTGTGCCTCTCAAATTACACTTAGGAACTTGTGCTATGCCTTTGCTTATTACCTGCCCTTAATCATGGCCTTTAAGTTTTGCTGGATTATACTCATGTTTTGTCACTCCTACAATTTGTCATGGCAGTACTGTACTTTTAAGATGCCTTTTTTCTGTGGATTCACAAGGTTAGAGAGAATATATATAGCAAATACTGCATATAGCCCTATATATTTTATATTATTACTCTATAGCCCGTTGGAGAGCAGCAGGTGTTAGTTTGGAGCATGAGCAGTGCCCAAGCAGGGTCATGGAATGTTGGTCGTGTTCCACTGTTTGGACTTACTGATAACTACTTCTTCATACAACTAGAAGGTGTTGTGGGACTCAATCAGCTACAAAGAATTTGTGAGTACTTGATGTTTGACCAGTATGCTTAAATGGTAGATTTATAACATGCACTATTTTAAGGATTGCTTTATTTAAGACTCCACTGCAATGCTTTTTTAAGATTCCACTGCAATGCTGTTTTAAGATTCCACTGTAATTTAATTAATTTGGACACATTTTTTTGTTTCTATTTGTTAAGAGACTTGTTACAACTAGACATAGGCTTGATGCCACCATTCAGAATGAATATGAATAGAGCAGTTATGCAGTGCTGAATTAATATAAAAAGTACTGTACTCAGTAAAGAAATTTCCATATACAGCACTGAAGTGGTATAAGGAGGACCTTTAAGGATTATTTTTCACAAGTTCTTGTTAACAAACAATCATCAGAGGCGGCCATGCTGAGGGAAGGAGGCCAGTGGCCTGTGTAGTATCCCAACATTGTTCTTGATAGTTTTGTCTCGGGCTATTTTCAAGCCCAGTACTCGTCTTGATTCCACAGCCTGAGCCAGTAGACTTCCATAGATCACCCACCCTGTGTGTGAAGAAATTTTTCTTTATGTATCCTATAAAATTTTTGTTTGCATTAACTATTGCTATGTACAGTATTTGGCTACAATTATTAGAGAATACCTAAACAAAATCATGTTTACTGTAGAACTATTAAATTATATAAAAACAACTAAACCAGCAACAATTGTGTGTGATAACTGTTGACAGGTGGGAGAGGATATCATTGCTAAAATTTACTCACTGTTTTATCTACACTGCTATGAAAGTAAAACAAATCAAATATTACATAAACTTAAAGTATTGAAGAATAATTAAACAAAAGTGTTTACTGTAAAAGTATCTTGAAAGCATGAGACAGGAATTGGTGATGACGGGTTTTATAGAGTATCTTATGTTGAAAATTATTGTGTGCTGTCTTGCAAAAGCTTCAGAAGCTTGACACTGCTCAAGGTGGAAATATTGAGTTAGTACTTAAAATGTACTTTATATGAATATTAGAGGTGTGACAGTATTTACACTATATTCTGTATTCGTAGATTGCAGCTGGCAATAGTCACCTATTGTGCCAAGTGAATTAGGGCTTAGTTACACCACAGCAGCTGCAGAGAGTGAATACGGTATGTTCAGTCTGACCTGCAAACGTAACCCCCTTTTTCCCATTGAATCAAGGTACTGTACTGTATCCCTGTTTGTGAATTTTGCCTTTAGAAGTTTTCCAGGATTATAACCTTAGTGAGTGGAGGGCTTACTACATTTGGTTGTTCTTGTTATATTATACATACAATATTGTCATTTCATCTTTTTATATATACAGATATTGATGATTTGCTGACATTTACTGGTCATTGTAACATCTGGCCTGTGGAAGCTCAACCCAGGAATGGTACAGATTTTACCTCTACCACCATTCAGGGAGGCTCAACCACCACACCGGGTAAGTCTAAAAGTTTGTAGCATAAACGTGCCACCATTGATTATATAATTTACCGGCATATCTTTGAACTTGGTCACCATATTCATCAACCTTGACGCTTTCCACGCGACGGCTGTACCCTGCCGAACACGGAATGCTCACTTTCCGTGGTGTGTGTACCCTTTTACGCGGAGAGCGGCGCAAGCAGGGTGCGCACAAGGTCGCCCAGTCATCAAAACATTACCTAGTTCTTCACCCGCCACCTACCACAGCCGCCCAAGTCAGTGATAGTGATAATGACAGTGAGGATATGAACTTATATGGAATTTGAGGGGTTTGACAAAGAGGCCCTGCAAGCCTCTGTGGTGGATAGTGATACAATTGATACAAGTGATACAGGTGAGGGCCAATAATCTGCCCTCTGCCTCGGAACCAACCCCCCATCCCAGTGTGCCCAGCCATCTTTTCTACTAATGTAAGTGTTAAAAAAACCTAATATTATTGATATTTCTCTTAATTATTAATTGTGTGTGCATACCATCATAAAATTAAGAAGTTATTTTTACTACAACGTAGGTATTGTGTCTGAAAAAGTGGAGTTTGGGGGGTCGGCCTGGTCTCTATTTCAATTAATCCCATATGTTATGTTGTTCACTTTTCGCGTTTCTCACTTTACGCGGGCCGCCGTGGGTTCAATTGACCGCGTAAAGTGAGGGCTCACTGTACTGTATATTTGCCATCATATATATGATGCTACATACATTTAACTATAATTACAGTGGCACATTATGTAGGTGTACTCTTGGGATATTTGCTTGTCAGTTTATTTTCTTTAAAACCATGAATGTCAGTATGCCAACTTTTTTTTTTGGAGGGGGTGGGGAGGAGATAAGAAAATATTATATCAGGTTAAAATATGATATAATATCTCCACATTGTATTTTCAGAACCTCTTGGAGAAAATGATTGTGATTTTGAGGACATAATGATGCCAACATGTTTATGGGAGATGTCAGAGGACAATGGCACAGTGCCCTGGACTTGGTGGCATGGACCCCCAGATACTGTGTCTCCAGGTCCAGCCACAGATCATACAATTGGCACAGGTAGGTTTTAAATTTTAATTTATTGGTTTGATGGGGGAAAGGAAGCTGTTATCTTCTTTAATCCCCACCATTGTTCCTGGTGAGTTTGTCCTTTATTGTCCAGTGTTGTGACGGCACCGAGTGTGAGCTCTTTCAAGACAAGGCTTGACCAACACTGGAGCATGCCCAGTACTTGCCAACAGTGCGTAACAGAGACGTGACCGATCGCCAAGCGGCTAACGAGCCGATCTTTTGGTGAAAAGGATAAAAGAAAAGGAAAAGTAATCGGAGACGTGACCGATCGCCCAAGCGGCTAACGAGCCGATCAGTGGTGAAGAGGATAAAGTAAAAAGTAATACAAGAGGATATCAGAGTACAGTGTAGTCATACCCCACTTCCACTTAGTGCTAACCTATTTAATGCTGTTTTATATAAAAATTGGGATTGTCAACCACTAAAATGGCTTTTAAGAACACAATCAAGATGAAAACCTCTTCCCGGTCAACTACTTCATTAACTGCAACAAATTTAATTTGTTCAAGGAAGAGTTTGTTGGAGAAGATGGAGAGCTGGTTATAAGCATATGGGTGGAACATGCGACCCAGCTCCATATTCCTTTAAGCCAGCTTCTGGAAATTATCATGGAGAAGGTGCATTGTCTTACCAGTTGAAGCTGGTCCTACGGGTATAAGGATTACAGTGATTTACACAGCTCCTTCATCAGTGGCAAAGCTGCGAGAATGGACACTCTGACAACCCTTCAGTTCCTGGACATACTCGAGGCTATCATCAAGGAAGGCAATAACCCTTCCCAGCTTATTTTCAGTGTTGACAAAACGAGCCTTTTTTTGGAAGCCCATGCCATCACGCACTTTTATCTCCCAAAAGAATGGCCTGTAACAGGGTTCGAGGCTGTCAAAGACCACATTATATTCTTGCTGGGCAGTGGCACATTTGGTAATTTGATGGTGAAACCGAAGCTCGTTTAATATGCAGAAACACCCTGAGCAATGTTATCCTCTGATTTATGCTCTTCTTGATGTTGTTAAATGTTTACCATCTGTATTGCTCAACGTAGTCCATATATTGCTCTTGTGGTATGGTCGGTAACGTTCCCTAGTCCCACGCAGTAGGTCGAGGGTTCCAGTCCTGGCTGGTGAGGTAGTTGATTATACTGTACTTTATATCTGATCATACATAAGAGAGAAAACTTTTGGAAATGTATCTCCATGTAATCTCTCATAATGACCCTGATTAGTGTTTGATTCTTCTGGATTGCTTCCTGAGCACTAAGTGTGGTAAACCTGTACCTGGAAAAAACTTGCGATATTTGGTAGATTCGCACTGGATAACACCTTTCTCATACTTGACCTAGGAATTGAACCCAGGTTGCAGTAGTGACAGACAAAGGCACTTCCACTGTACCAACAGCACCCTTTTGTTTATTGAGTGATGAACGTACCACAACATGATTTCTTTTTGTCTTGCCAAACCCTTAATCCTTTGACTGCTATGTGTACTTATTTTTTCTAGAAACACCTGTATAATTGAATTAAATTTAGATCTAAGGAAAATACTGAAAAAAAGAGGTAGTAACCTGGTCAAAACAGAATCTTTTGGATTGATGTACATTACTGTAAAACTTGGGCTGCTTAGGCGGATGGAGCGGCTGCCCAGGAGACCTGGAGCAGTCTAAGGGTTAAATGGTAGCCATCATCAGTAGACATTTCATGTACCATTTTGCATCTATGGGGACAGAGTAGGGAATCTTTATACGACCCTTCCCTATTATTTTCCCCCATTTTTGCAGTTTTAGTTTCTTAGCTCTTGATCCACCTCACACAAGACTGAGTGTGTGGCTAAGTGTATACAGTACAGCACTCTCATCATGTACTAAAGGTTGCTAGTTCAATCCGAAGGCACTCCCTGTCTACCCAGCTATAAGTGGGTTGGTAACTTTAAAAGTTAGGGAAATGAAGGTAGTTGAGTGCAGTACTGGCTACGCTGCCTACTTTTGCATGTACCAAAGGTTTAGTGCATATACTGTACTGTATTAACACAGTCCCTAACCAGCAGTCATGCCCATGAGACCCATTCTCAGTTTTCACAGAAGAATGGGAGAGTAATAAAGATGATAAGGAGAATATTTAAACTCATTTTGTTGAATTTCCTTTATTTAACTAAAAATGCAGTTACAGCATAAATTTGTAGTGTGGGCAGATGTAAAATGTCATACCTTGAACTTGTGTAATATGCATACCATAGCATTATACTGTCTTTCATGTTTTTTGTAATTTTGACTCCAATAGTGATCACCCCACAAACTTCTGATTTTTTTTTATCCTAGTTTAGGTGAAGGAAATTTTCATTAAAAAACATTGTAAGAGTACATTAAATGCAGTATATAAAAAATATATACTGTATTACAGTATTATAATTACAGTATACCTTTCTTTTATGAAGTGCTTTTATGAAATGAATCTTCAGGGCATTGATTAATTATCTATCATTTCTTTATTTTCCTTATCAATTCATTCTAGTGATTCTATTTTTCCCAATCAATTTTATTGAATCTCTTTGCCTTACAGATGCTGGTCACTATCTGTATGTGGAAGCACAGTGGTCTTACCCCCCAGCCTCTGCTCTGTTGTACCGGGGACCTGTACAAGATGCCCAGTGCTTCAGTTTCTGGTATTATATGTTTGGTGAAAACACTCCAGACCTTATTGCCACCACAAGAGCCGAAAATAGTGAGATAAACGAACCAATCTTCTTTAGGACTGGTTCACAGGGAGACTTCTGGCATCCAGCTACTATGGATTTGGGAATTGATGCAGCCATGTATAGTGTATGTATTACAATGAAACTATTTTGATTAATGTCTATGATATATCTTAGTAGTGTTAAGCCAAAATACAGTAAAATACCAATTTTATAGAATAGGTTGAAACCAAACTCATTCTTTTAAATAAATTTTCCCAAAAATCTGTATACTACTGTATATAAAAAGAGTTACCGGGTAACACTGGTTTGCTTTTATATATATATATATATATATATATATATATATATATATATATATATATATATATATATATATATATATATATATATATATATATATATATATATATATATATATATATATATATATATATATATATATATATATACTGTATATATATATACCTGTATATATATATATATGTATATGATATCAAATATAGGGGAAATGTGTTTGTGTGCATTCGTGCAGTATTTGTTCTTGGATTTGGTCACCCTGCATTAAATAGGGAAAAGCTTGGAAGAGATAAAAAGAAATATATTTATATATTCATATTTATACTTTGTTAACATTTTCAGGCCATTATTAAAGCTGTTTGGGAAGAGTCCCGTCAAGGCATTGTAGCTGTGGATGATCTTCGACTTCACTCAGGTCATTGTCAACACCATCCAACTGATCCTCAGGCTCTCCATGACTTTGAAGAGAATGGTTCCATGTTTGATATAGTCTCTGGTAGCAAAATACAGTGGAACACCATGAGTGTGGAAGATCACCCTGACCACACACTTGGCACTCTGAAAGGTGAGATTTATTTGCATATTAGTTCTGGGAATATCAATCCTGACTGGCTGTGCAACTCACTCTCTGATTGAGAAAGCCTTTAACTAGCTCATGTTGTTGCACCACATGACCATTTCTTGTTTTATAACACAACATAAATTGCACTGAGATATTGGTGTAAGAAAATGTCTCATTTCTTTCCTAATACTGTTTATGAAAAATAGTTTTGAGTTTGTAGTTTTTACTTTGAGGTACAGTACACCAAAACCCACCTCTTGCTAAAATTCTTCTACCTGTTTACTTTCTCATGTACAGTAGTCAATTCATTGAGTGAGGCATCCATCTCTATTCAATTATGCATTTTTAAAGCTTATAAGTGAAATTCATTTATTCCCATTTCATATTCAGTGTAACATAATTAATGAAAACTCTGGTATAGCTTGAGTGCTTCATATCTGTTTATTTTTATCACTGAAATTTTCAGGTGATTCATTAGTGGGAGCTGCAATTTCTGTTATATTTTCCATTTTCCTCAAAAAAATTTCATCATGGGCCATTGCCCATGATGAAAAATTAGATGGGTGGAAAATTTGAGTGTGGTGAATGAATAAGATATGTAGAGCAGTGAATCAAATATGTAAAAACAATAAACTTATAGAAAGTACAATTACAAAAGATAAATAAAACTTGCAAAGGTGTAAACGAAACACTTTAGTGCAGTAAATGTGATGTGATCAGATGACTGAGTTTTTGCAGAGTATGAATCAAATGCTATAGGTAAGAGAGTATGATAAACAAGAACATCTAACTGTAGATATGACTTGTCATAGAATGTAGCAGCTTAAAAAGAATTTGATGTATCAATATAACTAAAATGATTTCGTGAACAACAGAAAAGAAGAAACTGAGGATTTCAAAGTAGAAAATGAAAGCTAAAATGTAATTATGTTGCTTCTACAGGGCACTTTGCTAGAGCTGATCTGCAAAAATACATTGCTAGAGACTGGGGGCAAATAATCTCTCCAGTATACCAGACCCAGGGCAATATATTTGGGTAAGATTAAGATTATTTTGTATTTTCACGCCACTGTAACAAATAGTTACCATGGCATATGGTATTACTTGTAATATTGTTCGTTAATGTGTCCATCCGTCTATGTATCACACATTCATTTCCATGTGATATCCTCTATCATGTGAATGAATCACAACCAAACCTGTTTCACACATTTGCCATTAGCCAAGAATGATATTTATTAGTTTCCAGTTTAGTTGGTTAAAGACAAAGGCCACTATTGCTAAAAATCTCATACCTCACTACAGCCTTGTGAAGTGGCTTTATACTCTTCAAAAATTTGCTCTAGTCCTAGGTAGGTGGGTGGTCTTTGATTATCTCAGGAAGGTGCAACTCTGGCTTGCCAGCTGTACCCACCTTGTGGGTTGGCATTAATAAGGATATCCAGCTATACCTAATGGCAACTGGGTCCCTTGATATCTGCCACATTTCTGGATTGGCACCCTGGGTCTGTGGTGGTGAGCAGGGGGGGGGGGAGACATCCAGCTCTGGTTAATACAGGGAAGTTTGGAAAATGGCCATAAAACATTGATGATAATGAGTCTTTGTGTGTGTATGATTAATTGTTTTGTTGTATCTTGAAAAAGATCATATAACATTGTTCTTAATTCAGTGACATGTTTAACATTAAGTTAATTGCCCATTAGACAATCTATGTCCTTAATTGTATATCATCTCTATCTTGAAAACTTGATTGTGTAACTTTGTCAGGGATGGTTTCCAATATTTTAGTAACATATATTCATTATATTTTTTTTTAAGGTTTAATTAACTTAAACTCCTGAACTAATGTTTTCAGTCAAAGTATATAAAGAACACTGTCCTTTTATCAGTTTGTGTGCAGTAATAATAAAATGTGCTTCATTTTTTAGTATACTGTACTCTACTGTATTGTGTGGCATGGAATACACTGCAACTGCTAATGATTCCTTGGAACTTTTATGATTTTTTGGTTTGTGTCTGAATACATTTTTAGGTAAAAATTTTGATGGCTTGCATGACAACCGAGAATTTTTTCTTTTTCATAGGCATTATCAGTTGCTCAGTAAATCAGCACAAAAGCTATTTTGGGTGATCAAGAGTGAGAAAAGCTAATGTGAAATGAAACCTAATTGATTATTAATGGTATCAACATATTATTGTATTTCCTAACTTGAGTAAGTGTCTCAAAGAGGAGAACAATGACAAAACATTTTCCTCCTTTTTCACCAAAGGCCAGAAACATCCCTGCATAATTTGAATTGTATGTATGATTATGGTAAATTCTTTCTTATGCTGTATGTATGTTTCTTATTACTTGCGAGTAAATTACAATACGTACAGTACTCTTATACTCGAGGAAATAGGTCACCCTTGTGCTCTCCTCACCCGAATTGGTATTCAGTTGAGGAGAGCGCAGGGATAATCTAAATGAAAGTGGCAAACAGAGTACGTACTAGGCGTGATCTATCATTTCAGTTGAGCAGCTTTTCTGCCAAGCGTGCTACCTCCCCACAATCTTCGTCTTAAACGACACCTGTACGTGAATATGTGATGTTTACACTTGATTCAACTCTTTATAAAATGGTCATTATTATCCTTTGCTTTATATGTTTGGTGTCATTTGTCTTGATATGCATAATATTTAGTGAAGAGATGAAATAGAGGCAAATGTGTTCTTTGAAAGTGTGAATTTGTTTGTGATTTTGATGGTAAATATTCTTTATTTAAAAGTTTTTTCACTTGTATCTTGAAAGTTACTGTTTTCAAGTAGTTACTCTTTATACTGTATACATTAAATTGGTATTAAAGCGAGCCAGAATTGGGTCAATGAGCTACAAGAGGGTAAAGTACTGTCAACTAAAAAGAAACCCACAATATTAGATTAGTCTATATAAACTGTCCTTTTACCTTGGTGTTTATAGGGCAACTGAGGTCTATAACTTTTTTTACTGGTGATTATTACTGCTTGTGAGATTTACTAAACAGTATATGGGTAAGGAAATCATTGATTCCTTCAAATGGACATGAGAAAATTAAAACTACAGTATATGGCATACATTATTAGTCCCTCCTGAACACCAATACTTTTTAGGTGAATACAGGAAGTACAAAAGGTTAAGGATATAAAGCTAGTTTTAGCACAGTACAGATATTTTCTTTGAGTTCATCAGATACTCATGTGTGTAGTACAATACTGTACTAGTACAGTACTGTATAGTACTGAAATCTTATTGCAAATTTCAGAGACATTTGAAAAAGGAACAGTAATATTTATTTATATCCTGTACTTTCATTACCAGGTGTCTGAACTTCTATTATTACCTGTCGGGCTTGTCAGGCACAGCTGAGCTGTCAGTCTATATGCAGAAACTTGGGAATGGTTTTTCAGCAGATGTATCTAAGGAGCTTCTCTGGAAACAGAATGAAAGCCAAGGAAAGAATTGGGTAAAAGCTCAGTTATATATCTTTGAGAAAGACAATTTCCAGGTAAGATAGAAAAGCATTTTTTTTTAATTGAGAATTATCCAATAAATGTTATCTTTATCCCTTCTGTGTATAACTTTGATCAAGAAACTCCAAATCTTATTATGGTGACCTTGATGAAAAGAAGATTTTCAGGGGGAAAAGAGATAGAAGTGAACACTTATAATTAGGCGAATCCAGTTGTTAGTGATAAGTATACTGTAGTTGGAGGATATTAAAGAGAATGCATATAACAACATAATTTTAGTTTTTGAGGGAGAGGTAGCATGAATTTAGGAGAATGGGAACTGGCTGATGAGATAAGGGCTTTGTAGTCATATTCAGCACCATACTAGAACACACTAGTTACGACAAAATATAATCAAACATATTAGGTATAGCAGATGGAAAGAATGAATGAAAGGAGAGTCTATGTTGCTCTTGATTCCAGCCATTCTGTTCTATTGTGGGAAAACACTTTGCTAATACTGTACAGTATAGGGAAATTACAAGTTAAGCTGTAGAAAAGTTGAGAATACTGTAGTGTAGTGGATAGAAGAATTCGAGCTAGTCTGTGAATCTTAATGAGTGGAACTAAAATGTAGGTCATATGAAGAAGCCTGCATGAAGTACTGTAGTATGTATTTTCTTTCTTTATTGTGTTTATTTTTAACCATATTTTATTGCTACACTGTCTTATGGAATTAAATGTTAGTTTCCAAAGTACAGTACAGGTATGTTGATTGGTAAAAGAGTAGATGTTAATAATTAATGTGAAGTATACTAGTTAATAAGAGAATTATGATATGTGCATGATCAGAGAGCATGGTGTTGAGTGACTTTTGAAGGTAGATGTGATACTGTGGTGATATATGAAGCAACAGGCATAATCCAGAGAGAAAATCTTGGACTTTGTTGTGAAAAGGAAACATGATAGCAAAGTGCAACTGGTAAGGCAACTAGAATAAATGAAAGTGAAGGAGATTCTATGTTATATCATAAAAAAATGGTGTTTAATATTAAAAAAGAGAATCAAGGATACATAATTAGAAGATAATGGCAATGGTATATAAATGCGAAACATACAAAGAATGGAAAGATAATGAAGAGGATTTTGGATTGTGGATTTGAAGGCAGTTTTGGACAAGAGAGGTAGACTGAAAGATAGACTGAGTTGTTAAGTTCTAAGATTATATAATTAAAATATGCCAGAAAAATTACCATATACCTTTCAATATGAAGACGAACTGTGTGTGTGGCTTAAAGTGAATGGATATGGGAGTCTCACAAATGAATATATATGCAGCATTCAAGCTAACTGAAACTGTTGATTCACTTTCATTTGTTCTGGAAATGACTTGATGATGAGTGGATGTATTTATTTATTTATTATACTTATTAGCACATAAGCTCAACCACATTTTGTTGGGAATGAGTTGTAGTTGATAGATGGATGGATATTAATTTATTGAAATGCCCATTACTTCTCTCCAACAGCTGATCTTCGAGGCACAAGTTTTGAAGAACAACACAGACGCTGTAATGGGGATAGATGATGTATACACTGATACACACGAATGCCAAACTTCCGTTGGGTGTGACTTTGAACATGAACTGTGCACGTGGACAAATTCCCTAGATGATTCTGCTGACTGGCTGTTGCAGAGCCCAGCTGATGCTTTGCCAGGACCTGTAACTGACCATTCCACTAATTCCATAAAAGGTTAGCAAATCATTGTTACATGTTGTCATTACAAATATTTATTAATTATCTTTGAGTTCAAGATGGAAAATTCTCCTTAAAATTATTTTTAGTAGTAAAAGGGGGGTTGTGTTTAGAGTTTATTCTTGTAGGTGTAAATTGAAGTTTTATTTATGTACCAAATGAAGTACTGTACATGAACACCCCAATTCACAAATGGAGTGTTATTTGAAATCCGAAAGCCATTATCCTATAGGAATAATGTGATTTTAGGGGTCAGGTTCCAAACCACCTCTCAAAACACCAATATTACTAAGATTTCACCTACACTCGAGATAAGCATACACCTTTGACTTTCATACCATGCTTTCCAGTGTGTAAGATTTTTATATCCTACAAAACTGTTCCCTAAAATCACCCTGCCTCTTATACACCGAAGGTATAAGATTAAGACCTGTGACGCTTGGTTAGTTGTATGAACAAGTCAAGCATTTTAAAAAAAGTATTGTAGTAGTACTTTATATAGTACCTAACATAACTCATATATTTACTGGTTATAAAAAAAAAAAATCGTGTATCATTTCATTCTTTACAAATGTAATATTCGTGTATGTTAGTGAGGATGCAGCATCTCACAGGTGAGTCTGTTTAACCCATAGCATACTGTAGGTGTGACATCATCCTGCTGTATGTTTAATTGGAGGTGGGAAACTTGTATAGTACAGGTACTGTACGTATTCTCATAACCATCTGTGGACTTTGTGATATTATCATTTATTCAGCATAACAATTTCTTTTCTTTTCTATTCTCATTTTCATGTTGCAGGTCACTATGTGATAGTGTCTGGATATTTGATGCCAGATGAAGGAGGTTCTGCTAACCTAAAGTCCCAGTATTACTCCAACAGCTATTCCATTACTGGGTCTTGTGCTAGTTTCTGGTACAATGCTGCTTTCACAAATGGATCTCTTACGGTAAATACATATTAAATATGTCTTAATTTGTCATCACAAGTACTTGACTTATGGTAGATTTCATATATCTTCCTATGGGTGATGGTTCTTTATTCTGCTTGTTGTATTTTGTAATATTTTCTAGTTTGAATTTTCCTTAATATTATATGCAGTGCAGTACAGTATACTGTATAGCTAATGGAAATGCAGTTAGAACACTGGATGTGATTGATAAGACAATCTATGTTGCTCTTGATTAGGACCACCCTGCTCTAAGGCAGAAAATGCTTTATAAAAATCCAGTAAATATTATTGATATGTTTATGGTACTTTACATGTGACTGTATTAAAAGGATGAAAAATAAGTATTTAATGCAGGTATCAGCTTCAAGAGAGGACAGCTGGCAGACACTGTGGAGCCTCCGTCATGGGACTGATCCACTGTGGCATTATGCGAAAGTTACCACTGATCAAGATGATTCATTCAGGGTGAGTTTTTTACTAATATATACTATTGCAGATTATATTAAATGACTTTTGAAATTTAGAATGATAATATGTAAATTCCAAGAAAACAAGAGTGGCCAAGATTGATCATGGGCTGCATTAATTAGCTGGAAACAGAACTCCAGATTATTTTAAGGATTTCTGCTGTGAGTTTAATAAAGAGCTTTAATATAATGTGTTTTACTCAACTATGTTTTACTGCATAAGGAAAGTTTATTTACATTAAAATCTCCCTTAGAATGTTTGCTTTATGTATTACCGCATACCTGTACAGTATATCAAACTTATAAAATTTTGCTCTTAATATAAAAAAATATACCCTTCAGCTCTCTTGGTGTCAATGGGAAATTTAATTTATACATAAACTCACAAGCCTAAGAAAACAGTTTTTTTTCATTGGGAGGGCAGAGACCTAAGCAGAAAAGATTTCATAGAGAAAGATATGAAAGACAACGAACTCGTAGAATAGGACACATGGGATAGAATGGTATAGAGAAGGAGGAAGAGGCTCTTGTTTACCAACCTTAAGGGAAGCAAAAAATGTGGTGATATAAGAAAAGTGAGATGTTTTGAAAAGTTAACCAATTATGTATCATCACTTTTACCATGATAGAAGGAATTTAATTCTAGAAAGTGTTGTTAATGTTCTTTGTATTTTTTTTAATGCCTCATTCTATTTTGTTTAGAAGAATCCAGTAAAATCTTTCAAATCTCATTATCACAATTATTATTTGCAGATTGTTATCACTGGTGTCCTGGACCATGACCAGAATTCTTACATTGCTCTTGATGAGCTGATCTTTGATCAGCTTTTCAAATGTAGTTATGACTATATAGTCCCTAAATTCGCTGACCCTACTACTCTAGGTAAGTACAGTACTGAGATTAGTGTATCAGTCTTTAGATTATAGTTTAAATACTATAAATTTTCTAAAAAATATTGAATACAAGATAGGAATTAGAAAATGGGCGATAGGAATATAATTGAAATAAAGTGTCATGGAGTGTAAGTTGTTATATCTACCATAAGTGGATGTAGTGTTGTTAGCTGAGTCTGGCGATACTTTAGGGAGAAGGTTAATATATTTTCATTAAGCTTGTGAGAGAAAAATTTTGGAGGCATATGTTAGTAGGAATCAAGTTATGATGTTTGAAATGGAAGATCAGCCTCATTGCATCATGGAAGAAGAATTCTTGTAACTATTGTGTTAATTTAGATATTTGAGACCATTGTATAACAAAGGCAGAAATTGAAAAGTAGAAATTCTTACTCTACTGTTATAGGGAATTCAAAGAACACAGCATAGAACTTAATTTTATTTATAAATGAAAAAAGTTTGAGTTCAGTTGTACAAAGAGACCGAATGAATGAATGTACAGCTGCTCAGTTGTTTGAGGACTATGAGAAATTAATACTTTAGGGCAGTAAAGATTGACGATGTTGGATATACTGTGGATTTTGGAGGATTGATAGGGTAAGTAATGAAGATCTAAATTTTTTTCAGTTGTAATGTGTTATTAGCACATGTAAAATATAGGGGAGATGAAAATTTAGTAAAGAATGTAAGTCTCTTTTTGACTAATGGTAAAAAGTAAACATAGTTGATGAGCACCTGTCTCATACGTATAAGATAAATACTTTCTTAATGAGTTACAGTACTTGATATACCATAAGTACAGTAAATGAAACTGACTATAGTACTGTACATTGATAAAGTGTAATGTTATGTTTACATCTTAGCAGCTCTTCAAAAGTAAATAAGAATTAATAAGAAATATTTGTAAAAATCGGCAGTCCATATATAAACATTTGTGATGAAGAATTGGAGGAACTGTAAGAAAACATTCATATCATTCACAAATATAAAGATAAACAAAACGAGGATATTCATGTGGTACAGGTATCCCTGATATGTTAACAAGGTTGTCTTTTAAAACACTAACTTAGGAACTTAATTCTAATGGGAAAATTGAGTTACTTTCTGTGTTGGCTTAAATTATCCCTACTCCCCCCTCCCACCTCTTTTTCTCTCTCAATATTTTTGTCTTACAGATATGCTTTTTTATACATTTATAAATAATCTATAACAAAAAGTAACAATAAGTTGCACAAAACATAAATAATTAATCTTTCTTATTAAAACAGCTCAAAGTGCTCACCATATTCTGATGGCTGGCAATTTACTGGTACAGTATCAACAAGTGGGAGATTTAAAAGAGCATCCATTGTCTTTTGAGAATTTTTCCTTAACTGACACAAAATAGGTTAAATTAAAAATATCTCCCTAACTTAAGAATTACAAAGATACAGATAACTAACTATTGGGGGACACCTGTTCATGTTATTTGTCTGTTAGTTGTAGTTAATATAGGTATTTTGTTATGTGTTCCGACTTGGAACATCATAATCATTGAGATATCTTTGTGTCAGGAGTTGTATCATGGTAGTAAGTCACTGACATTTGTCTTTAAGTGGCAGTACCAGTTCCTTTAAGCATAATACTGTACAACAGTTTGCAACCTAAATTAGCTTCTGCCTTATACTTGAAAGGATTTAAAATAATCACTCCAATGCAGAAAATTTTAAATTTGCATTTTAATAAGATATCTGTACTGTATATTGTAATGCAGGTGTAATATAAAAATTTTACTTTGTGTTTTACTCCTATTCTCAACTTCCAACAGCTACGGAGGATATAGCTTGTGGCTTTGAGACTGACACATGCAAATGGAAGGCATCAGAGCAATTTCAAGTGGGAATAGAAGATGGAATCCACTCAGACAGAGGCGGAGGGAACTACCTTTATGTATCCATTAACCAGTCCACCCACATTTACCATGTTGTTTCCCTTCAGTCCAGACGTCTAGCAGAAAACCCACATGGTTCACATGATTATTGTTTCCATTTCTGGTAAGTGAAAAGATTTTTTTTATTTTGCTAATGCTATGATGTGGTTAACAAATAAAAAAGTGAAAGGGTAAGTGTCATAACAGAGAACAGACTGATGGACCAACTGCCCAAATGGCTGTTAAGCCAACAAGTGGTGAAAATAATGAATTAAAATATGAGGGGAGTACTTGTCCCAATTATTTGCATACATAAGACTAGTCCAGATAAATCATAAACAATAATGAATCACTGGAGTATTACAATTTCAGGAAAAGGTATTCACTTATTTATTACTAGCATTATTATTGTAGTTTGGAGATTTGCTGTTGCAAAAAAGAAAAACAGGAATGAAATGTGATTAAAAGGCACATAGATGACAGTGTGTTGTAATAGACACATGGAATGTGTGTTGAATAAGTGTTATGATACCATGGTATACTGTACACGGCATTTGCTAGGGGAACGCAATGTAGCATCTAGCATAAATTATTTTAAACCATTGGTTTAGTTTGACCAATATTAATTTCAAAATCAATGTGAAAAGAGCCGGGTTTTTTTCTGAAAATTAGGCAATAATATTTTATTAAGACAACTAAATATAAATAGAGATAATCACTGAACTTATAATTTTTTCTTCATAATTTTTTGTTTTCAAGTAAATGGGATTTCACAATTACTTGAACTATTTAAGTGCACAGTTCTTATATCCCTCTACATCTAATAAGACATGAACAAAAGTCTATAGATATATAGATGGGTCATATCTAACATGCTTTTATGTATTGTTCAAAGCTCACTTTTCATGAATAAGCATATTTAGAGAATTGCAGTAAGTCCTCGCTTAACATCGTGGTTCTGCTCCTGAAAACCGCGACGTTAACGGAATCAATTTTCCCCATAAGAAATAGATAAAATACGGGAGTTACATTCCCCAGCCTCCCTTTGCCCCATAAAATACATTACAAATAGTGTACATAAATTCAATGGAATTTTTGTAGAAAATATTAAATGTTATACATCCAAAAATATAAATAAACTAAATCATTTTGTATTGTACTCACTGATGGGCGGAGGTGGAGTGAGTGTGTGGTGGCTAGTGGAGAGGTGGAGGGTGGCGAGTCACTGAGACCCGGAGGGTGGCTCCTCCTCTCGCTCTGACTGGGGTTCCCTCTCGGCTGCTGTTCACTCCTCCTCACTTGCAGGCTGTTGTGAAGATGCTGCTTCTGCCCTCCGACGACGAAAAAAAGAATCCAGCGTTGACTGCTCAGTGCTCCTCTTCTTTTTTTCCTTGCAGATCTCATTATAACAATAAAAAGTTTCCTCCATGTTGCGTACAATCTTTGAGCTACGTTCTCCAGTCATCTTAATATTGTGGAAGTTATAATGATGCTTAAACATTGAAACCATCCTCGGCTGGCCGTAAAGTTGTCAATCTTCGAGCCTTTACCCTCTTATGGCCTTTTAGTCGTGATACAAGGATAACCATAAGGCTCACAGGGGCATTGGGTTGATTCTGGTCCTCCATCCACAAAGTCAGCATCTTCTCAATCACAGAACTTCGAGCACAACTTGTCTTTGTTGCACTCATAGAAGTACCACTTCCACCACTGGCCTTAATCTTCTCAGTGCTGGTCCAGATAGTACGCACTGTTGTGGGGATTAGACCTAGCGCAGCACCAATGTCCACCGCACATTCACCTTCTCAAAACGGTTTCAAACCTCCATTTTCATAGCAGGGCTAATGGTCTTGCATTACTTCTTCACAACACTAGTATCACTAGCAGTTGATGGGCACTTGGAAGCCATTTCGAATGGTTACAGTACAGTATTTAGAGCAAAAGCACTTAAACTTGCACGAACGCTGTGGAAGCCTAACAAAGACTGGGAACGCTTGGGGACGCTGTGACGCTCCACGAGAGAGTGTAGCACGCCAAGATGAGAGAAGGTGATGCGCCGTACAAAATAGTCCGTGCCGACATTATACCGAATCAGCGGGACGTTGTCCGAATCATGGGTATCTAAAGAGTAGCGACGTTATAACGAAACAACCTTGTCGGGGGCAACGTTAAACAAGGACTTACTGTACAGTAAAGTACAGTATTTAAGCAAGCACAAATGTTTGAAGAAATAAAAAAGCTGATTAACAAACAGAAGGTTGACTACTTTTTCATTCCCACATATAAAAAAAAGCTAATGTAATGAGTGTAACCTAACTTTAATCTGTTATACCCTTACAGGTACTATATGTTTGGCATAAGCTCCCCATTTTTGTCAGTAAAGCAAATTACGCTCATGAACCAGTGGGGTAATTTGTCAACCACCGATATCTTATGGAACAAAGAGACGGGCATCATAGACCTGTGGCATGATGTCAGGGTAGAATTTTATACATCTAAGGGTGACTATCAGGTACAGTACACTGATTGAATTTGTTGATTTATACAGGGGTAGTGTAATACATCATTTGACTGTGGTTCTACACATTTACTAATGATTAAGAGGGTTGGAAAACCCAACATGAGTTAACTAAATGGATATGATTTAAACCATGGTTTAAATCCGCTAACCATGCTGTAAACAGAAGAGTTATCTAACAAGTGAAAAATTCCCTGCAAGTTACCTCTTTATGTTCACCTTTCATCATAAACATGACTTAATAACCAATCACTTTGCTACTTCCCTCACAGTGAATGGATCTGTCTTACATCCTCAGTTTTCATATCCAATATGAAGTGAAAGTAGTAGAAATATATTTTATTTTGCATACTTGAGTACCACATGTATGACAATTTGTTAATTTTTATAAAAAAATGAACCGAAGTCATCTTAATCATAATTATAAGGCTTAAGCTCTCTTTGCAGCTTCAGATTGAAGTAATAGTGTACCCTGAAGCAAAAGGAACAGTTGGCTTTGATGATTTAGAAGCTGAGGTTGGCTCATGCAAGACCTCCAGAATAGATTGTGACTTTGAAGTGGATAACTGTGAGTGGATAGGTGAACCAAGCAGTGGACTAAATTGGACCAGAGTTTTGGCAGAAGAAGGAGCAGAAGCAATGGGTTATGATCACACCACTAACACTCAGACAGGTGAGATTCAAAATTAATGGGTATTGCAAAAATAAAGATTTTTAGTCAAACTCATCACTTACAAGATTTTAAACTATTGTGGCAACTTCCTTCACCAGTTCCATCAATTTGGAGTGATGGAACAATCTTTTCTAGGTAGTAGAGTATTGCTAATTTTCAGCTGGTAAAATGTGTGAATATAATAGTGATAAAAGAAGCCATGTAGTGCAAATTTGCTAGCCATCTTGTCTACGATATATGCATGACAAAAAATAAATTCCCTTAAATCACTTCCCTTAGGTGTAACAATGATTATTTTATCTTGTGAAAGATTTCTTTTTTACAGAAAATTGACTAACCATTATAACATTATGACATGAATTATTATTTCACTATTCTGGGGTGATTTTTGAGCCATAATAACAGCACACAAACCAGACTCATATTTCTGTGCCATATCAAAGATTATGTGACAAACATACCACATTAAACATATTGCACCTTATGGTAATGCATTTTTATTGATAGTTGACCTGGAACTCTGTATTGATGACTACCTTAAATTTTTCAGGACACTACATGTACCCAGAGCCAGGTAAATGGATACCCGAAGGCTTGTCTGGCTTATTAATTGGACCACAGTTAACAGCAAATGGTGGTGATCAGTGTCTTAGTTTTTGGTACAGCATTGAAGGTGAGTTTTTATTTTTAATTTGTTTTAAATATTCTGTTCTGCAAAAAATTTTTGTACCAAAAATTATTTATACAGAACCAACACTTTGTAGAACTCCTTACTTCTAACCACAATCAGTTCAAATCATTCTTCTTCAAATGTCTTCAGTTGCAAAGGGATGCCTTGGTGAATAGACTTGATGAGTCTGATCTTTCCCTGCATTTTCTATTTGCTAATAAAAATTTAACTTTTGTATTATGTGCACATTGCACATATCCAAAATATATCTTGTATATTTTGCTTCTGTACTCTTCTGATATTTCTTTGCCTTACTTTGTTAATATATTTAGAACACCATTTCCTCTACATTTTTATTATGAGATTTACAAAGCAGGATTTTCTTATCATACTAAACCTATTTAAATTTTCTTCTCTACTGACAGGCCAGAGCTCGCTTGCGGTATTAACAATTGATGAAAACAATACCCGAACAGAGTTGTGGAACCAGTCTGGAGGTTTTTGTTATGGCTGGGTACTTGGTCGAGCTGATGTCAATATGAGTAAACCCTTAAAGGTCAGTTATAAGTATTGTATATGTTAATTGATTTTTTGATGGTTATTACAGACTTTGTTTACTTAAAATGAAAGGATAAAAGGTACAATTTCCTTGCAGTACAATATATGTTTGAAGTGGATGTGATAATAAGTAATGGATTTTAATTGGCTTTGAGCATATTAAGATAGAAAGGAAGTAGTCGCTTGATGACATTTGGGGGGAGTCCTGACAGCAAATAGAAAAGGAAAACTAATGATAATGTGAATATGGCATAAGATGTAGTTAGATGCTTCTTTTTACCTGTAATTAGGGTTCTCATGATCAAAGAAATTTTGGAATACTGTAAACAAAAAACTTATAATGGAAAGGCTAGGGAAGTGGTTGAAATTAAAAACTTTTTGTGAATTTCATGATATTTGCTGAGGATGCTTTTTGGCAGATTATTAGTGTTGTTTTGAAATATAAAGTTTTCTCTATCAACAGTTGGCCTTCAGAGCTGACTACAAAGTGCAGGATGTTAATGATGTGGTCTTGGATGATATCACCGTTGTCCCTGATCACTGTCCAAGCAGCTCTTTATCGTGTGATTTTGATGATAGTCTTTGCACTTGGACTAATGTGCTATTGAGCAAACAACCCTGGTTAGTTGGACGAGGCTTTACCGAAGATCCCAGTGTTGTGTCTGGTCCTTTTGAAGACCACACAACTCAAGATGGACTCTATGCTTATGTTGACTTCACTACTTATGGTCTCCCAGGTATAATCTGTGTCCCTCACTGTTTTTACACTAACAGGAACTTTTTCATGTTGAATGTTTTTAATGGTTCATATTCATTACCATCTGAAATTTATGTAATTAAGTACAGTAAAGTTGGTTGGTGTTTTAAGGAAAGAATAGAAACTTAACATTCAATAAAGTGTTACTAATTTGAATGCAACATAAAAAACTGTGATATATATTGAAAGGTATTGTAGTTTATATAATATGTCCTTTTTAATAATAAAAGAACCAGAAATATCATAGTGGATGGAAATTTTCAGGTGAAGTTTCTCGATTGAAGAGTGAAGAAATGCCACCACAAGCAGTTGCGTGTCTAAGTTTCTGGTATGTCAAGTATGGAGAGAGCAGCAGATCGGGAGTACTGACAGTCAAGTGGGTAAGTATGAAAGATATTTCTCTTCTTGGCTACTAATTTTCTGTTGCCAAATATATGCTCATTAATGTTGTATTTTATTTCATTATGTATTTAATTAATCTTTTAAGGTAATTAAGTAATAGAAGCTGGGATCAACCACAGCAAGATGTTTGTCTCTCTCTAACCCTCCCCCTCCCCTCCCTTCTGCTCATCACCACAAACCCAGGTACTGGTGCCATAACAAAAGTAGTCTAGTGGCCTTGGGGCGACCCATTATGACTAACTTCAAGGACACCCTTCCAAGTGCAGTATGGCACTAAAGCTGACTGCAATTTTATGTGCTTTATGGTTGAACATCCCCTCAGAGTGTTACCCCTAATTAAGCACATCATAATTGATGAACTTTGTATTATTTAACTCAGAATAGGCCAAATCTCTTCTGTTGGTATTGAATGGCTTAAGATTAACTAGTGCTCTAACACAGCAAGGAAGGGGTGCAATGCTAGGTGAATGAATAAGATTACAGATCTTTGTGTAGAAACAGTGAGGGCTCTTTTTAATCAGATCCATAAGTAATTGGTGAGTAAATGGCCCTTGCTTCAGCATTACATTGTAAAGCTTCAAACCTTTACCCTAAAGACGATGTTTATAATGAGCAAACAATTGAAAACACTGAAAAATCAAGATTTACTTTCCCCGCCTTGTTAAGTTGCATTCTACCTGCTGCATCCCAGTCTGCCTCCCGTACATTAAAAGTAGTGTACAGAATTAATTAATGATAGATACAAGACACAGTTCAATGTAATAAATATGTTAGGCTTGTACCACAAATGTAAAAATGTAGGACTGAACAAGAGATATATTAACCTACACTAAGCTGCTAGCTTTGCCATTCATTCACACTTGATTCTACTAATAAAATAATTTACTTTTACTTTTCATAGTTGAAGTTCTATAGAGAGAGGTATGGTGAAACATTGCACAAACAATAAAAAAATAAGCAAATGAATATGAAAGTGGGTCTTATAGGCACACTGTATTTACAGTAGACAAGGTAAAGTATGTAGTGACCCAGCAGGAACAGCCAATTTGGTGATTCTTTCTCAAAACATGCTGTATCATTTTCTTTGGCAACAGTGACATTGAAAATTCTATAAAATTTGTAGATTTATCCATATCATGAATTTATGAGATATTGGTAAAAAATTTCGCATTTTCTGGCAATTTAAAAATGAGGAAACATTTTCTTTCTTTTCTTTTTTTATTGGGGGGGGGGGGGCAACACTAGCAACTGTCTTTTTATTACAAATATTGCATTAAGAAAAGTAACTCTCTTTACAATATTCTAACTCTAGTCTAGACTTAATATCTATCAGCAGAAATAAAGCACCAGTTACATACTTTTGGTTTGCTCATGTAGATCGGGAAGCTTTTGCTGTGTGAGTGATCACTCAACAGAAACATAGTGTTGTCATGTAATAAGCAATAATTGACCTCAAAATTTCCCCTAAAATATCTGATGTATTGGAAAAACATTATTGAATCACAAACAGGAACAAACTTTCTACAGGTATTTTTTCTTCATATTTCAGGCAGCATTGCAAGATAATGGAGACCAACCAGTAGCGCTTCTGACCTTGGACAACAATGTTAATGTCAGACAGTGGACTCGGAGTGTGGTAAGAAGTATTCATTGTAGAGTGGAGTCACCAAATGTAGTATTATAAGTATGAATGAAATTGATGACTTCAACATACGGTACTTTACTTAGTGGTTTCGTATAAAACTTGGTCATCAATGTGGTGATGATTAAGGTGTCTCTCCTTTTACTTTATATACAAGTTGAGTTTATGGGTGAGTAATGATTCAGTGTTTATTGCTCTCTATACTTTAGAAAACAACTTCCTAGTCTCATTTCCATCCTTTCTTAAAGTTCTGGCTTCCATTATTCTATGCCATGTATGTGTGAGTAAGGGAAAGAGAAGTTGAATGATTACCGTACAGATGAGTAGGTAGTTGGCAGCTATCAAACAGGGAGGTACTACCGCCTGGGAAGATATTGGAAGCATAATGTGTTGTCTAATGGTAGACCCTGCTGCTATATGGCATCACAAAAATTGTGACTAATCCCAGGTTGCTGATCTGTCTTTCTGCCACATTTATACACAATTGCAGGGCCTCAATTGTCCTTCTTACTATTGACAACACAAAAAATATAAACATACTCACTCTTGATCTGCTCTATTCGTTCTATTTTATTCTCCTATGTCAGTTGACAAAAATATTTAAGCGGGACCTTCTCGGATGGGTCCCACTGGTCGGGAAGGGCCACCTGATCATCATCAAACTACTGGGGACTCTACTGACGCCACTGCGGTTGCAGGGGGATCGGCTTTTGTCACACTTCATTTTTCCAACATTCGTGGCCTGAGATCCAATTTTGCTTCTGTGGAGCACCATCTATTAACCTCTTCCCCCGACCTCTTACTACTTTCCGAACCTCAACTGACCAAAGCAGCTTCACCCAAACCTTTTCAAGTCTCCTACTACAACCTTTATACCTCTTTCCGTTCTAAGGGAGGTGTGCGCCTACTGCAACACACGTACACCTATAGCTCGACTCACAGATCTTGAATATTCCCTTTATGATGTCATCTGGCTCAAAATATCTCTGCCAACTGGTAGATGGGGTGGAATCAAAGGCATTTCGTCTTATTAACTCTCCTTCGTTGACAATCTTTCTTCTGTTTCTCTTCGCCGCAATGTTGCTTCACTCTCTCTCTTTTACAGGTACTTTAATGGGCAATGTTCAGTGGATTTGGCATCCTGTGTACCGCCGGCAAGGTCGTGGGCTCGTAACACACGTCTTGCCTGCGGTGCCAACCATTTCTCTGTGGATGTCGGTCACACTACAATAGCCTGTTATAGTACATCTTTCTTTCCTCACACTGCCAAGCTGTGGAATTCTCTGCCTCCTTCTGTGTTTCCACACCCATACAATCTGTCTCACTTTAAAAACCTGGTTTTTCAGCATCTTCGTGGTGTAGATTAATATAACCTTTTCCTTTTCTATTTTTTATTTCTTTTTATTCCTATTTTTTTGCCCCCTAGGCCCCGATGTGGGTCAATGACCTATGCCTGGGTGGGTTATTCCCCGTAAAAAAAAAAAAAAATCTAGCTATTATGTATCTCTTGCCTCAGTAAGGTTTATTCATATTATTCAGCAATATTACCAGTAAGTTCTGACTAAAAATGTCTTGAGTAATTGTTCCTTGTTATTTTCAGTTAAATGTCACCAGCCCAAAAGAAAGATACTTTATTTTGTTTGATGCCCAGAGAGTAACACCAGACCAATTTATTGCCATTGATGATGTGAACCTTTTACCTGAGGATTGTGCTGCCATACCCACAACCACAGCATCTCCTTCACAGCTGGGTAAGAGCTGTAGTGTATGTTGGTAATAACTATAATAGTATGTACTAGTAATAGTTGTCTGTGTTAGTATGCACTGGTGACAGCCGACTATGTGTTACAGTAGTATACACTAGTGACAGCACGACAAAATGAACAGTTATGGCCAGACTCTTAGTCAGTTGCTTAGGTTTGGAAAGTGATCGGGTTGACCTCTTGTACAGCAAACTACATTTTATATATTTTCACTTCCAAATTAAATTTATATACACTTGAGTACAGCATCTGTAGTCTGAAATGTTTAGGACCAAGAAGCCTTTGAAATGTAGGTAATTTTGGAAATTGGATAAATGTGCTCCTAGAACCCTTTTACAGTACTGTATATTTAATGAAATTCATCGATTTTTCTTTAGACAAAGTGTAGCCTGTGATTATTCACTGGTACAGGATGTGCATTTTAATGCAACAAAAAATGGCAGTATTGTATACAGTATGAACAGTAAGATAGAAAAATATGCATTAAGCAAAGTTATAAACAAGTAAATTGCATTGCATTGACAGTTGCATGATATGATGCACTTGGATCATCTACTTGAGTAAACAATGGGACTGCCAGCTGCTCATTGTTTTTAGCCTCTAATTTTGTCACTGGTTTTGCTATTGCACTAGTTTCATCTTCACTTAACTTACTTTCAGTACATAGATACATTTTGTAGCAAGACAAAAGTATTTCCCCTACAAATATTGTACTCAAAGTGATTTAATTACAAATGTCCAGTGAGTGGTAACCACGTGAACACTGTCCATTATTGATGAGACTTTTTCCCAAGCTGCGGGACACGCTGCACAATCAGTTAGGTCATCTGACGAGATGTAGAAGGCATTTTAAATTTGAAAATACATTGGAAAATTTATTTCCAGAAGTTTGTTTTTTTACACCCGATACTCATCTGCATTCAGTATAGCTTAAAAACTAGTCCATAAAGTTTTGTATCAGTAATCATATATTTCTCTTATTTCAGTCATATGTGATTTTGAGGCTGATGACCTGTGTGGTTTTGCTCAGAGACAAGATGACAATTTTGACTGGACCCATGGAACTGGCAAGGACAATGAACTTCTTCCTAATGATCACACTACAGGCAATATATCTGGTAATGATTTCACTATGTTTGTATTATAGATACTTTTTAAATTTTATTGAGTATGATAAATCTCTTTATGCTTAGGCACCTGCTTTAGACTAAATATAAATCTTAGCCCTAAGAATAAGCCCAAGTATTTTATCATATCGTTTTTTATTAGCAATGATGAAAAAGCAGTTACAGTATCCTTCTTTGTAGATGGAGACCTAAGATTTGTCATGCAAATTAGTGATCCAGTTTTAATATATTTTTATATGTAAGATTATTACATCCAGGGCACTACATGTATGTAGACCCAACACACCGTGGCATTGGAGCTAGTGCCAGCCTGGCTGCCCCTGCTGTCTACGATTTACCTGAAGCTTGTGTGGCTCTCACATACTTCACAACTGGCAAAGCTGGCACATTAAAGGTTTATCTTCACACACAAGAGGATCAACAAGCTATCTTACTTGGAAACTTCTCTGCTCCATTTAATACATGGATTGGTGTAAGGTAAACTCAAAAACAATTTTAGAATAAAATGGAATAGTTATTGTGAACTATTTAGTCATAACATAAATTATGAGTGCATGGATATTTACAATATTTGTTATACACATTGCATTTTTATTATATTTCATTATTCACTTGATATTATGCATTACTGTATATTAATGTTCTACGGCACATTACAGCACACACAATTCTGCACCAATTGGAAAATTATGTTTTATCAAATAAGGGAACTTAATTTGGTAAAAGATAGTTGGATTAAGAGAACTGAGGTATAACTTATTTGCTCTGTTTATCTTATGGCATCCAAAACAAGTATTCTATAGCTCCAGGGTCCTATATCTGAGAACCTGGGTCTAATTTTGTTTTGGTTTTCACATATTTTAGTTATTATTACCTAAGCTCAGTCTAACCTAATACAGGCCCTGAGCCAGATCACAAATCTGAATGATGTAATTTTTTACTTGTACTACTGCTTCCTGCCACTTGAATAAACAAATTTACAGTAACAATTATTTCACTTTGGTATTAACCAATACTTTATGTTTGGGTAATGTTTGAGTTAGCTTTTCACTATCCTATATTATCAATGTAGAGTTTGGTCAAGTATCTTTATCCATTCTCGAAGGAACCTATAATTATGTGTGTTCATACTCACATACAGTAAGGTTCATTAAAAAGAAATTAATTTTTGGGGGATCTTTTTGGATTTTTGACCTTGTTTAGGGAAGGTACGTAGCCTGTTAATAAGGGTAACTCCATTCTTCCCAGTAATCTTGTCCAGGATCTAGAAAGAGGAACTTAGATGTACCACTAACCAGATGATCAGAAAGATAAAGAAATTTGTATCTTTTTCAGGATGCCAGTGCTTGTTACAGGGGTCTGGCAAATAGAGCTTAAAGTTACAGTTGAGCCTAACAGTGGATTTATCGGGATTGATGATTATATTATGAGTCCTGGAGCTTGCCCTGACCCAGTGTCATGTGACTTTGAAGATGGTACTTGCTTATGGCAAAATGTAGAGAAAAGTAAATGGAGCTATGGTAAGTATTTTAAGCAATAACTATTAAAGAACCATTGCTGAAATATTTTTGTTAAATATACTGTAATAGGAAAGTTTAATTTTTTGTACTGTGTATGCAAGTTGATGATATTAGGAAGTGTGCTGGGAGTATTTCTACTTCTTGTGTCCACCCTTTCCTGCAGTCCTATTTGCAGTATCCAACTCCTTTCTTTAGGATTTTGTAATTTTGCATATAAAAAGAATCCTGTTATGCACAGTCTTTTTGACATACTGTACTTTTTGTTGACTATGTAACAAATTTTTAGCACTGAAGTGACAGCCAAAAGAAATTATGGAAACTACTGCCTTGTAGAGTGAAACAGGAAATTATATTAAGAAAATTTGTCTAGGAGGATAGTAGTGTATGAGTGATAGAGACTATACACAGTGAGAAAATAGATGAAGCAAGACTAGTCAGAGTGGGGATCTGATCATAGAAAAGCATTTGAGAACCTTGCCATTCTTCTGTTAAAGCCCAGTAGTATCTACACTGAGGTTGTAAAGCAGACTTAAAAAGATACATGCTGTACAGTAAACATTTCATAGTATGCTGGTATTCCCTGTCCATGTGTTGGAATAAATGAAGGATTGTCAGTGAATAGATAACTTATAAAAATATATTTAACTTTACAAATACTACCTTAGCCTTTTTTTTTTCTTTTCTTTTTTTAAAAATTTCATGTGAAGGACCCTTGTGATTTTTTTTTTTTTTTTTTTGGGGGGGGGGGGGCAGGACACCGTGAATTCATTTTAATAAGACATAATTGCTGGAGAAAATGAGAAAATTATATCGAGTACCTGTACATTTTAATGGAGTGACATGTCTTTATGAAGGCTACAGTTTCTTGTGATGATCAGAAATATTTGGAAAAAATTGGTAGTCTTTTGCTATGACTGTTCTGCTTTATTCTTTTCTGCAAAATAAGTTAAAGTGTGACCCAGATGGCACAGTTGAAGAAATAAAATTTGAGCTTTTATGCTCCCAAGTATGTGTGCTGGAAGTATAGTAAGTTACGCTTGTTCATTCATACTTAATTCCATCCAACATAAATTCATGAGATAGCTTATGCAAAAGCCTCCTGTTCTGAACAAAGACATTGTGTAAGCCTTGCTATTTACATTTTTAATTTCCCTGATTTGCTTTCTTAATCTGTTTTATTAATTTTTGTTCTAGTGGGTGTATGTGTTGTACAAACACAGCTTGAATTACCATTATGTTATGATTAACTTAGTATTCTACTGGTCCTTTACATAACTTTTCCCATTCACTATTCAAGGTCGTGTGACAGATGACCCGAATCAAGCTGCTGGATATGGTTTTGCACCTCCATTTGATCATACAACAGAGACACCATATGGACATTACCTTTACTTTTATGATGCACCAGATGCTGCTCTTACCGCAATAATGTTATCAGAAACTTTCACCTCCAAGAATGATTCTTGTATATCATATTGGCTTCACATGTTTGGTGAAAAGGTATGTAAGAGTTACAGTAAGGTAATACTATAAGATGTGTTTTTTATGCAATATATGTACGGGTATAAATGATATCCAACTTGTGAAACTGCAGACTGTGTCTTATCTTGGTCTTATTTTCAGGTGGGTAGACTACAGTTAAAGGCTATACAAGCAGGAGGCACAACTGTACTAAAAACACTAACAGGACTACATAGTTATACCTGGCAACGAATTGAGGTTAGATAAATAACATGTTATAACTACTTGACCCAATAAATAGCAATGTACTGTAATAATTAAAAACTGTTTTTTTGAAATTTTTGTTTTGTTTTTTTAAGTGGGGTGTATATTACTGTAAGTATGTTAGATCATGATCTTTTGAAGTGTGTGCAGACCAGGATTAATAATGGTATTTATCTTTAGTTTGTTTCTCTATTTTCTTGCACTTATTTCAGGGTTGTGCTTTGTTTTATTCTCTTTAGCTTATTCTCCAAACTTCAGACCTCTCTGTTAACTTCTTCAGATTCTTAAGCACTTGTGTTTATGATGATTAATTTGATTGTTTATTAATTTCATTATTTGCACTCATACATTACAATGAATTAGTCACTACACCCAGCTATAAATCACTTAAGTTTTATAATCACAGCATTTGCTCAGTCATAGGGCATATGATCTTCCCCAGTTCTTTGACATATCTTTCAAAATGGAACGGTATGCCACCTCATATAATGAAACTCTGTCTTCAGAAGAAATATTAAAATTATTTAATGTGGAACTACTGGGTTTAGAAAGATCTTATGAAAAATTCTATTCTGAAGATAATGACTACAGCTGACTGTCTTTTTGTGTTTAGTCATTTTGATCTAAAAATGGATTCTCCTTTAAAAATACTCTTCATAGAACTCCTTTATTACAGGTATTCTTATTTATCATCTAGCTATATTTATGTTATGATTACCATTTAGTAAGATTAATTTTTTTTTTTTATACAGGGTATTAAAGATTTTTTATTGATGTAATGTTTTGTTTTATGAACATTTTGCATTATTATTTAATTCTTTGGAGGCTTCAAATGATATTGCAATAGTGCAAAAGTTGTACACCTTAGATAAAGATGTTTGTATTTATCTACCATTAGATTTGATTCATACCAGGACAGTTCTTGTACTTAATGAGGTAACAGTCTTTGAGAATTTATTTATTATTTCAAGGCTTATCAGCTTATTAGCCATTCAGGAGGGTGGTCTATTTTTTATTACTTTATTGTCCAGTGTTAGTACATTGGATAACATTCTTGTCACATCTGTTCCCTGGCTGGGAATCAAACCCAGGACACGGTATGAGAGATACACCTATTATTAATCTTCAAAATGCTACATATAGCCAAACATATGTTCTGAATCTTTCACTGTCATACTTAGTTTCACCATAGAGGGAACTTCATTAAAATTTTGCAGTTATATCAAGTTTATTTTTAGGAGCAATATCTATTCAACTGATGTATGATGCATTTGTAAATATATGAAGTGACAGGCATAAACCATATGAAAATCTTAAGGCCTTGTTGTGGAAATGGAACATCACTTACCACATGTCATAAGGTAGTTAAAATGAGTGAATTACATTGAAGAAGAGAAAGGCTGTGTTGTTGTAATTCCTGTCATGTTATGCCACAGCTGAAAGGGTCTGTGAGAGAGAGAAAAAAGATTATACGATACTTACCCATTCTTTAACATCCATTCACAGGTGGATGTTAGAAAATCTCCTCAGCAGTGGTTATCATTCAGTGTAGAGGGTGTTGATGGTAGTGTTAATGTGGTGGCATTGGATGATCTAGAATTCTCCATTGGTGCCTGCTCAGATAACTCGAGTGTTCCAGATTTCCGTTGTGGCAATGGTGCCCTCATTCCCCAACATGAGGTGGGTACCTTTCTCTTTAGGAATAAGATTTCTTTTAAGTAAGTGATAGTTTCTAGTTCTTGCTTGATACATAAAATGGAGTAATTTTTTGAATACTGACTAACTCTGATTTTATAAGTGTCATGTGATTTTCATGATTGACTGTCTTTTATATGATGATAAAAATAATGATGTAAATGGTGAATTAATGGTTACTAATTAAAGCATTGAAACACAGCAAAACAAAATAAAGGAATCTGTGTGAAACTGGTGAAAACAGATGCTTGTATAATTAAATGAGTGTATTTAGCTAGTCTTGGAGCATACGAGGACATTGTCAGACACTTACCTTGGCTCCCATAACTTTGGTTAATTTTTGGCCATTAAAATAACAATAAATGTTGTATACTTCCTAAATATGTTAAAGTAGAGTAACTTACAATGCTATATACAGAACAGAGAAGAATTATAGTATTTTTCAACTACTTTATGGCAAAACTACCTTACATACAGCAAAAACATGTTAAGTGAGCTTTACTTGTGTTGGTTATTTCGTAAGGTAGATCTATTTTATTTTATTTTATAAAATCCCCGGAGTTTTATATGAACTTATTTGTGAGAAGGTCAAATGAATTCTGTAATTGTTATAAATCACTTTGAATATTGTAATTTTTTTCAAATTGACAAAAAGGAATAAATGACTAATTAAATGTTCACTCCTCTGAAATTTTCTGGATGAAGGATTTTTTAAGCTTTGGGATACAAGTTAGGTAAATTCTTGCTCTGATACATTCTCAGTTTCAGGCAAATTTAGCCAGATTATTTTGGAAGGTTCAGGACCATTGGCTTACTTTTTTTTCTTTTTTTTCCAATTAAAGAAAAAGAAAAGAACAATAACATTTCATTGCTGAATTGTATTTACATCAACTGAAGACTTGTTTTAATAGGTATGTGACTACCTAGTTCAGTGCCCAGATAAAGAAGATGAGAAGTGGTGTGCAGATTGTGCTTTCTCAGAAGATACCTGTGGCTGGCACAGCATAGAGACCCCACAGGACAGCACACATCTCTGGTGGCAAAGACTTCTGGATGGTATGGCAGATGTCTGTTTAACCCTCTCGCCGCGTTTCACGCACTTGCCATTTTATTCTGGCCACTGCCAGACAATTTGATTCAGCTTAGGGCACCTCCCACTGTGAAAGGGTTAAGCAAACTTGTTGGAGTAACAGCTCTATATTCCTCAGATGATATGTATCATTCTTATATTGACTTGTTTAATATTTGCTCTATATTTCCTATTAGAGGATTACATAAATATGAAATGTCTTTCACATAGCTTTATCTTTGAGACATTAGATTTCATGTTTTTAAAGTATATATTTAGTTGGACTTTTGAGTTACTGTGCTTACAATACTTATGCTCTTGTCTTTCCAAGGTACTGTAAGCCAGGTGGACCCTCATGCATACCACATGGAAGTGAAGAGGAAGAAGGGTCCTGTGGTCAACCAGCCACGAATTCTAACCCACCTACTACAGCCAGCACATCACACATGTGCATTACACATGGACTATAAACTCTTTGCCCCCACAGCACCAGGTGACAACACTTTGTACAGGTTCTCATTGGCCATTGTCTTTTAATGCATAATATTAGTGTGGAATGATATGGGAGGTCTTGGATCATGCTACACTACAAGATTATTCAGTTCAATAATTTTGTTTGAGAATAGCTTATTTTTAACATGTACATATTGTATTTACTGTTCCAAGTGAATGGTATAAATCATGTTTCTAAATATGAGTACAGTATTAAGGCAATATTATTTCACAACAAAGAGAGAGGATGAATAGATTAGATATGGATTGAATTGATATAGGAGTTTCCAATGTTAAGGAATGTCAGGAAAGTTCACCAGATGCAGTGGAGTAGAATTTTGTCTCATTGGCATTTAAGTTAGTAGGCAATGTAAAATGCTATAAAGTCTTCCAAAACTGTAATGCAAAACTCTTGTTTCATTGTAGTAATCTCTCCATTAGCCGGACTCTTCAATCCCTAGAACTCTTCGATAGCTAGATTTTTTTTTTTTTTTGTATCCTGAGAAATTCCAGGAATATCTCTCCATTCCGGGTACAATATTGAACAAGTTTCTGAGAGATTGTATCATTTTTTCGATACAGGGATGCGTGCACCTACATCAGCTAAGATAGATAGTGTAAAGTTAATAAATACCCGACAAATATATACTGTACAGTTGAGAGTTTCATGAATCATAATAAAATTTAAATTGTAGTTTCGTGTCAGGAGCTTCTGTACTGAGTTTGATAATTAAAGGTTTCCATCTTTTTACTCGAGTTATGGTCCCAGTCCTTTCGGAGAAATTATGCAAGGACATACATCACCGTCACTGATAGCCTAGTTTACATACCATTCTTCAGAATAGTTTTTTTGGAATTGAATTATTAGTGTTTAATTATGTCTTGTGTATAGTAAACATTTCCTGTATGCACATTAGTATATTTAATGTAAATTCCCTCATTACTTTTTCTCTGTAGAAGCTTCACGATTTGCACATTATTTTATGTTACTCTCTTTCTGTCATAGGTCCAAAGCTGAATGTGTATATGGAACATGGAGGCTCAGACCTTACCACACTGTTTCAAGCCCAAATGCACTTGGAGGAATGGCAGACGTTACAACTTCCTCTTGGGCGTATTCCTTCCTCATACCACCTTGTGGTTGAAGCATCAAGTTCAAATGATCCATCAGAGATAATAGCAGTGGATGAGTTGATGCTGTCAAACTGTTTTCCTCCCAGTCGGTGTGATGATCTCCCTGATGGTTACATATGGTGTGAGAATATGGTCTGTTATCCAAGTGAAGTTACTTGTGACTTTACTGATGACTGTGGAGATTATTCTGATGAGGCCAGTTGTAGTAAGTATGGAGAAAATCTTTATTATATATATTTGATGCTCTTTTGTTTCATCTTTTTCATTTGTAATTAATTGCCACTGTTCAGTTTAACTAAGTAGAGAAAACTAGAATTATTGAAAGTTTTTGAAAACAATTGACATTATTCATCTGTGTAGTTGTCGAGCAGTATTTGTGGGTGCTGTTATTATTATATGAAAAATGTAGTAGACATAACCCTAAGTACTCAAAAATATTACAGTTAAAGAAATATAAACCACAGTAATAAATACAAACCAGGACTCAAACCCAGAACATAGTTGTGAGAGAGATGATTGTTACACTGTACCACCAACACCCCATTTTGAAGTATTGTAGATTTACACAAGTTACAACATGCTCTAGAGAATTAGAAAGTATCCTACCTGTTCATATTGTAATTTTCCTGTAAAAATGAAGTTAAAGTATTTTACAGATTAATTTGGGTTGTACTGTATTCTGCTTATATTTTGGTTTTGTACCTCAGAAGGAGTCTGTTTTACATGGATTACACATTTTTTTGTGCTGCATTTCAGTGGGCCATGGATTGGATGGAATTTAGTCTCTCTCTTTTGTGTATATATACTGTGTACAGTACTGTATTTTCTGACCTGTAAGATGCATCCCAATTTTACAAGGATTTTTTCTCTCTAGAGTTTAAGTAGCTAAAACTGCTTTGTTGAGCGTAAATACCATGAGACTGGTATTGATAACTGCAGCTATAATTTTTCAAGAATTAAGTACAATAGAGAGCAACCACATATCTAAGGTTATTAACATCTTTTATTTTACAACAGAAGAATATCCTCTAAGATGCAGTTTTGAAGATCACTGTCTGTGTGGTTGGGTAGCATCAGAGTTCTTCAAATTGACACAAACACGAGCTAGTGGTAAAGCACCCTTCAGGGACCACACTCTCAATAGTGGTGATGGCCACATCATGCTCGTTGATTCACGTTCTCCTCGCACTGCTACTATCACCAGCCCAAGTATTTTGCCCTCTTCTCAGTGTCAGGTAATTAAATAAGAATGTTAAAGTTGTGGATTTATTTGTGTGTTCATAATAGAGACCAGTACTTTGTTCATTTAGTTAACTTGCAGGTGTGATGATTCCAAGATAATGTAAACAGTGTACCAAGTGTCAACACAAATTAATATTTTCTAACCAGATGAGATGATCCTAAGGTTAGATTTTTGTATTTCAGATCCGTTTCTACCATACTGTTTTTGGGGCAGGAACTACATTATTGAATGTACGTGTACGATCATCTGAAAGTGAAGCCATTTTGTCTGAAATGGTAATAGTGTCCCATGAAGAAGAATCATTCTTCTGGCAACGCTTTTCAGAAGCATATACCTTCAACCAGAGTTTCTATGTAAGTAGAACTGATCCAACACTTTGTGGATAAATTGAATGATAAACCAGTAAAGAATAGACCAAATTTATAGTGTACAATAATTTATATGATGTAATTCACATCAATGTAGTGAACAATTACAGGAGTTTTATTTACATGGGTGTCTCATTATCAACAAACTTTTAATACAAAACACCTGCCTGATTGTCCCAGGTTGACAGACCCTAATATTTCATATCAATAATTACTATCTCAACTACCTGTACACTATATTATGTGATGTGAGGTAAACTGCTGGACGTGACCCTGTATCATACTTTTTTTATACAATAGATAGTAAAACACAGAACAGAAATAATGTACTTTACTGTAATACAATACTTCTATTCTCAGATATTTAATGAAAACACTTTGCAGATTGAATTAGAAGGAGACATCAGAGAGTGGGGATCAGTGGGCATTGATGACATCTCTCTCACTCCTGAATGTAAATTAAATTTTGTAACACCATCACCACTGCCTCCTATATCCACAACGAAGAGTCCCTGTGAGGATGGCTTTTTCCCATGCAAATATGATGAGGGCCACACCCTTAAGTGTATAAGTCTTCTTCAGGTGAGTCATACTATGTGGTATAAAGCCAAGTTCAATAGATATTTTGGTTGCTCTGTTTTCATACAGCTTTTTTCTTGTTGCACATTCTTGCACTTGCAGTGATTTTCAAAATTCAGGGTACAAGGTTCTCTCTTTCATTTGTGTAAAGTTCTTTTTTATTATTATACAATATTGGGTCAGATTGTTTTAAATGATAAGGTAATTATTTTAATGCACAATGATAATGTTTGTTTAGATACTCTAATTATAGTTTATATATTTCCTTTGTGTTATATGTTACACTAAAACTCTATACAGCAATTTATAGTTCCATGTCATAATTTGACATAATCCAAACATTTTGTTTTAATTCCAAATCTCAAAACTCACTTCAACCTTTCCTGAATTATAGCAAATACAGTACCTTAAAAAAAAGCCAAGTGGTACATAGTGTCTTAGACTGTTCTTAGAGTTTCACTTATGTACTGTCTAGTATGTGCACAGTATTTTATGCAATGCTTTATCTTTCTTGTATCCTTAACTATGACATTTAGTGTTTTATGTAACACAATCAAAGTTGTTTCTTACCTTTTCATTATTACAGTACTGTACAGGGTGTTCCCGACTTACGAACGGGGTTAAACTTGAAATTTACAGTACAGTACTGTATTTTATTTACCTGATGACTTATTTTTTACTTTCATTTACTGTACTTTGTCATTCTATTTTTCTATTCTTTTCTCTTAAATTTAGTGATTTTAGATGTATATAAGGACTTTGGCTCTGATATAGTGGGATTTTAAACTTTGTTCAGTAAGTACAGTATGCACATAACATGTATTCCAACTTATGTACACTTCCGACTTAAGAACGTCCTCACGAATGGAACCCGTTCATAACTCGGGAACCCCCTGCACTGTACAGTGGTTGTAGATTGAAAAATTTATATTTCAAAATATGACGATTATCAAAGGAAGTCCAGAAAGTGCTGTTGAGCATCACCATTATGCATTGCCACTGTTTGGTTTCAGTATCATAAAAGCCTGATGGTTATGAGGTATAAGGCATTCATTTAAAATTCAGTATCAGCATTAAGATTCTTTATCTGTTTATTTATTCTGTCATAGTAATACTCTTTTCCATTATTTTATGCATTAATTATTACATTTGGTGTGTTTGTAAAGTTTTATGTAATCTAAAAAAAATTCTGAAGCACCTCATTCATGCACCAAGTTTTCTGACAAACTAGTGTGTAATTTTTAGTGCACAAATGACCAAGATAAACCTTACTTAACCAACCTAATTTAGATTAAAGGTTAGGCATGATATAGTTAATGTCATTCTTAATACAGTAATGGGTCAGTGTCGTAATGTAACAGCATGTGGCATGAAGCTATAGGCTAAAAATAGCTTCCTTATTTTCTTAAGAGTACAGTACAGATTGCATTCTTATTCAACTACCTGGCATATCCATTGTAATTATATTTGGTAATTTTAAAGGTTATTCTCATAAATTCTAGTGATGTTGAATTATAGTACTGTACCGTACTGGCAATGTTTCAGAAAGTGTCAAAGGTTTCATGTGTCACAATATCTCATAAGGTGTCTAGGTATCATAAGTTGTCACTATACATCACAAGGTATCAAAATGCATCATGGTATCATAAGATGGCACACTTTATCACAAGGTGTTACAATGTATCATAAAATCATAAGGTGCAACAATGTTTCGCCTTATCAGATATTGTGACACGTAATGACACATTTTGAGACCTTGACACATTGTGATACCTTATGACACATTGTGACACCTAGTAACACATTATGGCACATTGCTAGTATGGTAATTCAGCTTCTTAAATGACCAGGCAATGGTCTAGTATGTAATTCATAACTTGTTTGTTTGGATATCCACATGTCAAGAAGTTATCATAGAACAACAATTCTGGTAATACAGTATTACTGGTAACAATACATACAGTACCATTGTTGCCACACACACACTTCTTTTTTTCTTTTTTTTCTTTTTTTTTTGCAAACTTTATGTACTGTAATATGAATATTGATTGCCCAACTCTTTTTTTTTTCTTTTTTCTCTCTCAAGGTGTGTGACTTCAATGTGGATTGTCCATTAAATGATGATGAGAGTCTTTGTGGTAGTACAACATTTGAAGACAATTCTGGTGGCTGGCAGGACACAAGTGACACTGCTTATGCCTGGTCCCGGATCAAAGCTGGTGATGCGCATTACTCTAATTGTACAGCTCCGGACTTCGACCACACCAATCCAAATACTGGAGAGGGATATTATATGTGGGCTCCTGCAAAACTTGCAGGTACTATATATAAGAACTACCTTTATTTTTTCTCTTTGAATTTGAAGATTTCCATAATTTTAATCATAGTGAAAGAAATCTGCTGTCAGTTTCAGTTTGGTACTTTTCCAAGTACCGTATATGGCCTTATTCTGTCACTTCTTAAAACGTGTAGTGGGCTTTTATATATATATATATATATATATATATATATATATATATATATATATATATATATATATATATATATATATATATATATATATATATATATATATATATATATATATATATATATATATATATATATATATATATATATATATATATATATATATATATATATATATATAAATTGGTGGCCAGGTTTTCCCATAGTCAAAATCTAATAGTTAATTTAGATACATGAAAAAGGGAGTTGTGGAAAATATCTAAAGAAAAGTACAGTACAGTGGTTATTTCAATATCTACTGTTTAAGGTAAATTTTTTCCTTATAAATTATACTGGGTATCTCTTTACAGATGTACCTGAAGCAACAGCCACAATGGAAACTCCAATTCTTGGGCCCCCTGGCCTGGCCTGTACCATGTATTTATGGTATTACTGTAAAGATGATGAGCCAATGTTATCAGTTATGGCATGGACAGCCGATGAAAATCATGAAATGATATATGGTACTGATTTATCATGTTCTCACAATCAAAAATGGCGTGAAGGTCAATTTTTCATTGGGGAACAGAATACAAAAATCACAGTAAGTATGAAACACAAAAAAACATGTCTATTATATTTAATATTTTTATTATTTGAACTTCTTACAAAAGGGAAAGGAACCTCAATAGAGACATATTTTGATGTAGAGAAAATTTTCCAGTGATGTTGTTTGTCGTTGTTTCACTCTATGACAAATTCCCTTGTGCAGAGATTTTCCCAGGTACTGTATAACAAAAGTAGATAAGGGCATAATTTAACTTATAGACACCAATAACTGATATATAAGAATGACCATTTATCTGGCATGCTTAGAACCTGAGGGTTGCTGGATAGGGTTTTTCCGGAATTTGAAGCATCAGGCCTAAAAGAGCCGGTTTTTTTCTAAAAACCAGTTTTTGTGATATAGTTCGAATGCGACGATCAGCAATGCTACCTAGGTATGTTAATTTCTAGCCAATTCACCAGGCCAACATACAGGCAATTAAAACATCTAATAATTACTTAATAAGTAATATTAGGAGGACACGTCGCTACCTGGCATTTAATTGCTATTTTGAAAGTCCCTCCCTCAACCAGCCTCCGTGCGCCAAAATGTACTAACTTAAGTTTGTCCAAAGGCACATCACTTTCCTTTGTCAAGGTCACTTTCCTCCTCGGCCTGTCTCTCTAGACTCCACACTTCCTGAATTTTCGCGTCTAAACTCATGGAAAGACAGGATTTCTTGGGTGTAGTACCTATTAGACTGTTTGCAGAATGTTGTTCGGGCATGGTGATTTTTTTTTTAATGTTGGACTCAAAAACAATCCATGGAGCAGCACTAGTTGTTGTATCCAAGGTAGAAAGCGTGAGACTGAATTTTGGTGGGCTGGGAATGGGTGGGTGAGGTGAGATTCAAAATGACACGATATCAGATTTCAGCAGCTTATATAAAATATTATTCCCTAAATATTAAACGACTTTATATCAAAACGACACTGTTTGGCATGATTTTTTTTTTTTTTTTTTTTTAATTGGGCACCCCCCTACATCCTTGTGTAAGGTGAAGCGCAGAAGCGTTTACAGCGCCCAACAGGGAAGCATGCTAAGTTCATGCTTGACTTTATGTCTCACGAGTTAAGGGCGTAGAAGCCTGAAGAGTCAGTGGTTTATGTCATGAAGTTATTGGAAGCTCCAACAACTTTCCCTGAATACGAATTCGCAAATTTCGATTTACACCAGGTACCTACTTTACTGCTAGGTGAACAGGGACGAAAGGGGGCTAGGAAGTAAGTCCAAACAACTTCCACTGGCCCGGGAATCGAACCCGTGACATCTCGCTTGCGAGTCAAGAACGGTACCGCATCTACCACCGGTCCCCCTTGTTTGGCATGATGTAAATCAGCGAATGTCTGTAATAGATTTCAGAGGTGTACATATATAATATAGTTAAACCTAATGCTAAAAGAGCTCGTCTCAGCTTGAAAAAGTTACTCAAACTAAACAATCCTTTTGTTTATTCTATAAACAGGCTGAACTGAAGAGTACCAAGTTTTCATCTTCCTTCACCAACACCCAGTACGATATAGCTGTTGATGACATCACCTTCAGACAATGCTCAGTACATGAGCCACCATCTTATGTATGTATATTAAAGAAGCATGGATGCTATGATTACTGTACAATTAAAAGTAATTGAAGTTATGTAGATTCTCTTATATGTACTTCAGGGAATAATTTGACTTTATACATTATTCAGGGAGCCATTTTCTCACATTTATGTTGAGTTAGTAGTCTCTTCCCCAGACACTGAGGTTACCATAAATCTCATTTAGTCTTTTCTGTCATATTTTAACATATTCTCAACCTTTATGGATACAGTAGACAACAGATTTTATGATTATTTTGATATCATGAATCAATTGTATAGTATATATTAAAAAAAAATTTGATTATTAGAATTAGGATTCACAGTTGTTGCTAATGCTACATGGTTTGTCAGATACGTACAGTATAATGACATAAATCTGAAATACCCCATGATAGGGGACCAAAAGGATTTAGTTTGCATAAAAATACATAATACAATACTGGCTTTTTTTTAAGTACTGTAATTATATTTGAAAAGTGTTAATTTTCTATTTTGTTTTTATTGTTGAATATATTGTTCCATTTACTATGTTACTTCAAGATTTTAAGTTTTAAATTCTGTATCAATAATTTGTTCAGAATAGTACCGTACAAGACAGCTTTATAAAGGATGTATTATAATACGGTATGTGAAATTTTACAAAATTCCTAAAAATACAGTACAGTACAGTGATTATACCTTTTATTCTTGTTGGCAGGGAGATATATACTGCACATTCTCCCAGCCCTGTGATCTTTATCAGAGTCACAATGATGACATGGATTGGGTACCACGAACTGAACACATTAGTAAGTTTAACTTTAATGTTTGTTGTAGGACAAATCAAATAATCCGTATCACCCAAGTTTGAGAGTAATTCCTTTTATAATATAAATAAGCCTGCTCGCTGCCACCCATGCAGAGTGCAGAAAAGTTTACAAACAGTTTAAGTTTGGGATGTTATTTTTTTGTCATTCAATTCTCTATTTACCTTGTATTTGTAAAAACATCGGCTAGATGGTGTAAGAGCAGCCACTCCTGCATACTTTTTTTTTACATTTTCACAAACACTACCAACGAAAACAGCATGCTATTGCGAGCTATTTAAGCCAAAACCTAAGCAAATTGGTTCGTTATTTGATTTTTGGCAACTTTTTAAAGTGAATGCCGAAATGCTTAGCAAAGGAACCTCTTCATAACTTCTTTGGATGCTAAACATTTCAGCATTGGCTCCGGAAAGTGTTAAATAGTGAATGTAGGTTTGGATGTTAATGAATGATTGATCAAATTCTGTAAATTATGGTTAGTGTATGCATTTGTTGTAAGGGCAACAGTATCATTGTCTAGGACAAGTTCATTGGAATAAATTCGGTGATGTAAAAGTGCAATATAAAATGCTGTTAACATTGATAGTCCTGTGTTAATATGTATTGTTAGCTCTAATATACAGTATTTATTTTGTGTGATTGTGGATATATTAATACAGCATTTCATATTCATGTATAAAAATGACTGCATTGTTCTCACATCACAGACACTTTCTTGGTTGCTAGAGGTGGTGGAGACAACCGTACAGCTATCTTGCAAACTCTGTGGCGCAACACCCATAATGGATTCTGCCTGTCATTCCGGTAAAAGATTGAATTTTTACATGACATTATGATGCTTGGATAATTATTTTCATCTGTATCCCATATTATTATTATTATTATTATTATTATTATTATTATTATTATTATTATTAGTCTAATCTTTTCCTTTCCAATCCCTCACATGTAAGTTGTTTTAATTATAAAAAAGTAAATTAATCAAAATCTTATACTACATAGGTATCTCATCAAAGGAAAAGCTAGCCTTGAGATCACAAAAATGGACACACAAAATGAGACAGTATGGACACGTGGAGGTGGCATGAACTACTTGGATTGGTACACACAATACCTCTATCTCTACAGTTACCCTGAGTACCAGGTACTGTACTATTACAGTCTTTTTAATTCTCTACTGTGTACTGTCATTATGTTGCAAAATCCATATATATTCTCTGTTTCCACTTCTCAGGAGGGTGACAAATGCAATATCTTGTCCAGTTACTATACTTTTCATTCCACTAACCCTCTCAGTAGGTAGTACACTCTAACCCTGGTTATCAGGAGTCTGGGTAACTAACAGGTTCAACCAACTGACACCAAAATTATATAAAAATAATAAAAATAAAAAATCCTCCTAAATCAGCTAGACTTGTAAGTTTGAATATCGCTCACAATGGGGATGAACTGCCCTATTTATTGCTATGATAAACACTAAAATTGATACAAAACATATCATAAAATACTATAGCACATATTTTATGTTTTTATGTACAAAAATAGCTCCTTCCACATTCAAACCATCCTCTGGGTGACATGACACAGTTCAGCCAGGCAGTCACCCAGCTGATTCACAGATGTGTTTTATCCCGTGACGTCACATCGGGAGGGAGTGTGGCCAAGCAGTTATAGCCTAGGCCCATCGCCTCCACACACATTCGCTTCCCACATATACACACTAATGACCTCTTTTGCAAATTTGGGGAGAAGCTTCTGCACCATCCTCGACACTGTCTCCTGGTTCCACCTGAGATCTCTCATCCACAGATTGTTGTTTGACACTGCAATCGCATCCAGCCCATACTAGCATGTAATGATCACTATAAGAACAGCCCAATCCCAACCATTGTAAAAATTATCAACAACTCATAGTTTACCAGTGTGTTCACTCCCTGCCAATCTTACTATTGCACTGTTCAATCAATCAAGCAGAGTGCCATCCTCATATCTGAGGGTTGGCAACCACAGTCTTCCACTCTAAACGTTTTCAGGCTGTTTTTACCAATCCTCCGAGGTTTTGTATCTCTCTGGGGACCCACTTTTTAATTTAATTCATCCATCCCAATCTCTGCCTTCCCCTATCCCTTTTACTCTCAACTTTGCCCATTAATATTTCTCTTTATTATTCCCTCATCCATAATTATGTGACCAATGTATCACTTTTATTTTTCTGTACACTTCAAATATTTCTCTTGAAGTTGTTGCTAATCTTAGTACTTCTTCATTTGTTTTCCTTTCAGTGTAGCTTATTCTTAGCATGTGCCCATAGCACCACATTTCAAAGGCATTGTATCAATGATGTCAGTGTTCAAGGTCACACACTGTCTCACTTAGGAGATTGTGTAATTATGATGCAAGATATGTTTTCACTCAAAACAAAATACACGGGAGTTCAATTATTTGTGTATTCTGGTTTGAGTGAAGTATCCCTAATACTGGCATCCTGCTAGTCTGTGGTTCAAGCCCCAGTCTAACTTATTTTCTTCCCACTTATAATATACAGTATTAAGATTAACATTCATTCCTGCAGATTTCAATTATTGCCCACACTGGTGACCTTGATGAAGAGATTCAGATAGATGACGTAGATATCACTGAGGATGTGTGTCCGGCATCTCTTACTTGCAGCTTCGATGAAGTGACAGAAGTTTGCGAATGGGATAATTATATTAAGGACAATGATACACTGCCATGGAATATTGGCCATGGTTCTGATGGTTTACCAAGTGCTCCACCGTAAGTTATTTTTGTTTAAGGAAGATGTTGTATAGTATTTCCCGACTGCATATTTTGTTAGACCACAATCTTTCTCTTGATTTTCACCTTATAAGACAAATTCTATTCCCATTTTTTTTTCTCTGTACTCAAGCCACTACCCTAACGCCTCAGCATCTTCATTTTGGTCACTGAATGTCTTATGATTAATATGGATTTGTAATCTTTTTTTGGTCCACAGTGTTGATCATTCATGGGGAACAAAGTATGGACACTACAGATACATTGATCTGCAAGTCAACCAGGAAAATCAAGTGGCTTACCTACGCAGTCAAGAAATAAGTACCACTACTCCTGATGGCGATTGCTTCCAGTTCTGGTTTTATCTCTATTCCAGCGAGTATGTTCATTACCTGATGTGTTACATTACTTTCATACAACTAGATGTATTGCTAATTATACAGATGGACTTGTGTTTAATTTAACATTTTTCAAGTAGATTATGGTAAGTAATCTTAGACTGTAGTTGTATTTGTTGTAGAATAAGTACCTTGTGGCAGGTGCAATACGTAAGGCAGTTAAAATTTAAAGATTTTGAAATTGATATAACTCGTAAACTAATAAAGATATCTTTATAATTTTTGTTTGTCTAGATACTCTTTTGCGGACTGTACAATCTCACCTATGAAAAATGGGTAATGTTGACAATTATCATATGAGATTAGCATCACTGTGGTCATACATTATGCACAAATTCAGATTGGTAATCACAAAAAATTCATCAAAATATAACAGACTCTTATTGCCTAGCCACAGCCATACTAGAAGGAAGACAATGGTATTCTGATTGGTCCATGAGAAATGTCTCGGAGACCATAAATAATCAAGAAGTGCTCAAAATTTTGCAGTGGTAGGCTATGCGTCCCATAATTGGCTGAATGAGCTAGACGGTACTTGCTTAGGTTCTGGATTTAAATTATACAATGGCACACTGCTGAGTACCTACATGGTTTAAAGGGACTTTTGACCCAATTGCTTATGTCATACCCAGTTATTTACTGATTGGGTCTGAAAGATGAGGGTTTGGCAAATGTAATGGTATAAAAAGAAGCTATCAGCTTCGGTGGTTCTTAGACTTTTCTCAAGGGGTGAAGTCATATACAGTACTCTTACGTTACTCTCTGGAATTTGTATGTGGAAAATAACTTATTTATCAATACAGTATTAATAATATTTTACTTCTCCAGAACTGGGGAGGATGTTGGTGAACTAGGAGTGCGGTTATTAACTAACGAAACCACTTTGTCGAAACGCATTTGGCAACAGAAGTTCAATGGCTGGAATGGTTGGCAGTTTGGAGAGACAACCATAAAAAATGACAAGAATTTCAGTGTAAGTTTTTTTTATTGTTATCTGTTTATCACTACATATTTATTACAACACAAATTTGCGGAGCTCTCTTTTGTGTGTATTTACAGCTGAATCGCCAGGCAAGAGATGAAGATCATGATGCATATGGTAGGGGGTGAGGGAGGGAGTTTTGAGAATTGCAATAAAATGCCAGTAGCAAAATGCCCTCCTAATATTACTTACCATATTAAGTAATTATTAGATGTTTTAATTGCCTGTATTTTGGCCTGGCGAGTTGGCTAGGAATTAACATACCTAGGTAACATTGCTGAGCGTTGCATTCCAGCTTGAACAAAAAGAATGGTTTTGGCAGGACTTCAATACTGTATCTACATTGAAAACTTTATTATGAGAGTTAGGGTATTGGCAATGGAGGATTTAAATGCATAAGATAGTAATAGGGAAGTAGCAGGATTGTGGGATTGAATGGAGTGCCAGGAATGAAGGGAAATGGAGAGAGACTGATGAAAATATTTGCTAGGAGAGGGTTGATAGTGAGGAATACTGTACATGGTTTACAAGAAAAAATCCTGTAGGTGTTTATGGAGGCAGCATAATGGAGAAGATAGGAGATTGTTAGGCCATATGTTTGTAAATACAGTAGAAAAATAAAAGTTAACCTGGTTTATAAGAATCATTAGTGGGTGAAGTAGTAGAACACGAAACTAGAGTAAAATTACTGTTATTCTGAGAAAAACACTCCAGTAAAATAAAAGTATTCTTTCATCATGTTATTTTAAGTAAAAGTAAAAAAAATAATTTTTATTAAGTTTTTGAAGTAGAAGTATCAATGCGGGATTAAAATGAATAGAACGTTCGTGATGAAAGAGATTTAAATATTGGCGAAGAGGGTGATAAAAATTGTTGGGCTAATGAATGAGAATGTAACTAGAAGATTTAAAAATTTATTAAGACAATTTGGGCAGTGGAGGAGTGCTGTGTTTTATTGTAGTTTTTGGTGTTACTAAATCTATAAATAAACTCCTAATATATTGTCATTCTCCTCCAGTCACCATATACTGTACCTTAGTCCTCACTTATGTGAAGATAAGTTTAGTGATATCCCCGTTAGCCGGAACAATTGGTGCAAAGCACTTCCGAGAATGAAAGATTTCCGGGTAACGGGACGACTCTCTCAAAGCCGGAAAAAATCCCTCATCCCCGGAATTTTCCAGGTAACGGAAAAATTTTCTTGGAAGTTCCAGAAATTGCCTATTACATCATCTCTCAAACCCGGAAAAAACCCATCCCCAGAATTTTCCCCGTATCAGGGAAAATTTTATCGGAATTTTCTGGAAAATGTGCCCCTCGGAAAATTGTTCTCAAAGCTGGAATTTTCAGGAAAACTCCAGCTTTGGGAACAATTTTTCGAGAAAATTTCAATTCTGGCTATTGGAGAGTTTCGGGTCTGAGGGATTCCGGCTAACTGAGATATTACTGTAGTAGTTTCATCACTCACACCACCACACACAGTACTCATATTTTATTCAATAATAATGAAAGAAGTTTTGTAATAATTTATATGATTCACTGAAACAGGTGGTACTGGAAGGCTTACGACTACATGGCGCGCTAGGATACATGGCTTGGGATGATCTAACTGTGCGTCGAGGTGCCTGTAGTCCCCCAGGCACATGTGATTTTGAAGAAGGACTTTGTGGCTGGAGAGATATTCCAGATTCCAGAAACAATAACTGGGCTTGGCTTAAGGCTGAAGAAGCAAGTGATGGTGTCTTAGTTGATCATACAACAGGCACTGGAGATGGTAAGTAACCTTTTCACTTTTTTCTCTGCAGTGTTTCAGACCATACACAATGTCCTTATACTGTCTATTGTTACGTCCTTTGGATAAGTCCCAATAAATTAAATCTTCAGTAACTTGATATCCTTTCAGAATCCCCAATTACACTACGGTATATTTTATATCAATTGTTAAGACTAATCAAGTGAATTGAATATTTTATAGTACTACTGTATTACCACATTATCTACAAGCCAAGGTCCATAAATCTCTATTATCAGCAAATATATATTAAACAAACAACATCCTTAATACAATTACCTCCCTGTTTGGTAGCTGTTGATTGATATGTATGATTCTTTTTTGCCAGCTTTGTTTATTTGTTTATCTCCTCAGGCCACTACGTGTCCTTTGATCAGTCCAGATGTAATGTTGGGTCAAGTTGTTATGCTGACCTAGTGAGCAGTACCATCATCCCCGAAGACAGCCAGTACTGCTTTACCTTCTACATGAACAACCTACAAAGCAACCGTAAGTGAATGATTTTCTCAGGATTTTATTTTTGAAAGAAATTTATTCAACATTGTGTTAAGTGATTAATAAGGAGGGACTTGCTATTGATGATGACTGCGACCCTGCCAAATATCACTGTGCCGGCAATATTACCTGCTCTAATGCTGTAATAATTTGTGGAGTCCTGTAAGGGGAAGAGGTCCAGATGAGGAGAGCGCACTTGAGAAGCCTAGTCCTGGTCCAGACTGCCCTTTTATAGGCAGTTGCCTTGGCATGTGGGATTTGAGCATCCATCCTATTGGTCAAATAGGCCCACTGGGAATATCACAGCCATTCCATTGGTCAAGGTGCTTGCTGTGCAGGAGGGATACATGCATGAGTAGAGGGTTTATTCAATAATGACAGTCGAGAATAGGGGTAGTGGCAGGCTGCCCTGCTGCTACAGCAGTATTTAACTTTTTTCTACTTTAAGTATGTATGCAACATTTCTTATTTTGTTATTTAAGATGTAAAACAAAAGTTAAACTGAGTTTTGTGTGAGTGTGGGAAAGCAAAACTCGTCTTAGCAAGGGAAGGGAATTTAACCTAACCCAGGGAAGAAAAGGTCCCCTTTTCAGAAGTCCAGTTTTTATGGTCTCTACTGTACCGGCATTAATGCCATTTCTGGTTGATTAGTATTTTAGAAGAATATCAGTTTTACAATACATTGTTAATACAATGAATATTTTTTTAATGCACCTGTGTAGGAGGGGATATTAGCATATTAAGCGAGATGCGTTAATGTATTTTTTTGTTCAATCCAGAATGCGACGCCTAGCTTATACCTAGGTATGTTAATGCCTAGCAATAACTCGCCAGGCCAACATACAGGCAATTAAAACATCTAATAATTACTTAATACGTAATATTAAGGAAACGTCGCTACCTGGCATTTGATTGCAATTCTCATTTTATTTTATATTTGTTGAACAGAAATAATAATATATAATGTAGAATATTAGTTTTCTTTGGTGCAAATATACAAGATTTACAATGTGGTCAATGAAAGCAGACAGGTTACAGATTACCTTCTGCCTTCTTTCCTGATGCTTATTGAAGCTATGCTAGGGTGTTTTACCATTTTGAAGGGAATGGTTGAATTTTGAAAGAAATAATCATAAATCAAGGCTGGAGGCAACATGTACAATGAACTGTGGATACCCTTCTCTTTACAGTATTAAATTAATAAATGCATTGATTGTACACTAACTGCCTTAAATTTAACTTCAATTACTGTACAGTTTACGGGGTTTTTACTGTACGTATATACTTTTCAGTAAACTTAAAACATTTTTGAGGATAAATACTGTTACTAATGTGAAATAATTGTGTTCTATGCAAAATAAATCTGACATTATTCATGTCTTATCACTGAAAATGATCTTTAACTCCTGCTGTTAAGAGGAAGGCTAAGTTAGTGGAATGTGAATATGAAACTAACTGTCTTCAGGCATTTTGAACAATGTGATTGTGTGATCAGTACTGTATTGAGCCTTCACTGTTTCAGTTATCTAATTAATACCATTTACCACATTTTTTATTTTCTCTGTCCAGTACCTTTTTATATTTGTCTCTAATCTCTGTCTGTTTCTGTCTCTTTACACATCTCTCAATCTCTCTCTTTCTCTCTGTATTTCTATTTCTCTCTATCTCTTTCTGTAATCCATCTCTCTCTCATAGAATATATACAATATAGGATGGCAAATTCACAGATATTTAGTATTCACCATTTATTCAGTTATCTTACCTCCTTGGTAGGATGCAACTTTCAATTTTGCTTGTATGAATACATGCCAGATAAACATTAGTTTGCTTCTTAGAAAGTAGATTAAATTAAGTGACCCTCACATCATTCTTTTTCTGCATCATCAGCTGATAAAAATTCAGTGACACTTGAAGTGTTGAATCCAGAGGACAATACGACACGGCTCATAGCTACTTACTCAAATATGGATGATAACATTTGGACCCCCTTCCAACAACCCCTAGACAACCTGATTCACACCTTCCAGCTTCGCCTAAGATCTAGCATGGTCACAGATTTACTTAAAGTAGGAGGTAAGTGTTTACATTTATACACCATTTATAGCCATCACATCTTTGAAGTAAATAAATGATTTAAATATGTTATTTTACAACAAAAAAGGATTTCATCATTTAGAGTTTATGAGGTTTTACATAACATCTCAGATATTAAATTACATTTTTTTTATAAACTATTCTCTTGTGGTGTACCTAACAGCATACAATGCACTGGATGATTTGGACTTATATTCTGGTGAGTGTAAGTCACATGGCACCACTTTAGAACCTACTGCAACACCACCACCCGACACACAACTAACTTGCACATTTGAGGGTGGCACACTTTGTGGTTGGCTTCAAGACTCTACGGACGGACGAGATTGGACCTTAAGTACTGGTGAAATTGTCCATTCTAAGCTGGGCCCTGAGGTTGATCACACCACTCACCTTTCAGGAGGTAAGTACTCAAATGTGGTTGCAAGTACTGTACCTGTATATCTATATTAATTAATAAAGTATGTTGCATGTTTTGTGTTTTTTTCTTATAGAAACACTATACAGTACTGTATTGCAATAATGCAGATTTGTAATAAAGCATATAATTGCATAACAGTATACAGTAATTGCATAACCATTCTCGTATAATTACCTTTCCTTAGTCAGTAGATATAACATACAGGATTTCTCTTATTGAGCCAGCGAGTTGTAATACTTAATTTGTGTTTCCATCAGTTTAAGCTTAACATTATCCTGTTGTACCACATTTTCAAAACCTTCACTCTCCCTCTGTTGTCTGCTAACAGTATCTGCACCTCTGGTCCATACAATAGTACTGACCACATGTAACCAAATCAGTAGCCTCTTTAGCAGAGTAAATTTACTTACACTTTTTATTAGGTCCCTTAGATTATAAAAAGCAGCATTTGCATGACTTTTTCTTGTTTTAACTTTTCTTTAACATCTACCATCACAGCTTATGTTAATTTGGAAATCTACAATAATTTTCACCTATGTAAGTTCCTGGTTGCTATCTTACTTCATGTTTAGGATTTATTCTTAATTTAGAAACAGGTCTTTCTTCTGTAGATGCCCATATTCTTTAGTTTTTGACACTGATCTGGTAACCAGTTTTTGTGATGCTTCTGTCACTATATGCATTAAAAGCATTATCACCTGCATACTGAATATTTAATATTTCTTTACCATTAACTTTTATATCTTCAACGCTACTTACAACTTCTCTCATTAATAATTTTGATTAGATATTATATGATGCTTGAGGTCTGGTGCATCCATATCAAACTCTGTCTAATTAAATCATAAGCATATTCTGTGCCGTAGTGAATTTGCTTACATGCACTGTAGTGTCCTGATGCCAGTCAATTTCTTTGGATTCTAATAACTTCATCATTAATGCCTATTTTTTCCAAGACATCTGAAAGTTTATCATGTTTGTGATTTGTAATCCCATCAATGTTCATTTGTTTTAGATTTTTTTCTGGAAGCTGATCATTCCCTAAACCTTATATTTTATTTTGTTTGCAGTTGCCGTTTTGTATACTTGGTATCTGATTTTGAAATTGGTGGCTTGAACTTTATTTCCTTTTTGTTGCTTACATCCATTCTTTCATTATTATATAGTTGTTCTGCACACTCCTTCCACCTGTATCTTCTTCTGCCTCAAGTAGGTCCTATCATTATTATATAGTTGTTCTGCACACTCCTTCCACCTGTATCTTCTTCTGCCTCAAGTAGGTCCTATCATTATTATATAGTTGTTCTGCACACTCCTTCCACCTGTATCTTCTGCCTCAAGTAGATATTATAAGTTTTACTTCTTATACTCCCACTCTATTCATGTAATCTGTTTTGGTTCATTTAATTTTTGCCTTTGTATATTCCTTTGTAGTAATGTCACCTTTACTTATCTTCAATAAATTACATTTCTGCTTTGAAAATCTCCTTAAGCTTGTCTCCATTCCTTTTTTTCATTCCTGTGTGAAGTTCTATGTAAGCCTCATTCCTAGTGAAAGATTAGTTTACCAAAGAAATATTGTCAATATAAGTTTTCATATTGTATGCACAGTCGGGGTCAAAAGTCTTGAACACTTGACAGTATTTGGCATGTACCTGTAAGTACCCGAAGATCTTGGGTACAGTATTAAGGAAAGTTTTATCCCATTTTGTGATTCAGGCATAATATGTGATGACAAGTAGTGTTATTAGTATATCCCAATCATATACTGTATATATAACCCAGAAGTAGGTGCCAGATATTGTGAAGTGCTCAAAACTTTTGACCCCGACTGTACATATACAGTACAGTACATCCAAAATAGTTTTTCTTGTGACAGAGATTTCTCATATTTCATATTGCTTACTTGAAGTCCCTGTTCTTGAGAATTTTGACATTTTTATCTCTTATTTTGTCAACAGGTCATTTCATCCTTGTCAAGTCTGCTGGTCTTATTAGCTCTGCCAATCTGTTGTCTGAGACCTTGAGATCCAGTGAGGATGGCCATTGCCTTTCGTTCTCCTATTACATGCATGGCAGTGCACCTCCTTTCTTGAAAATGTATATTCTCAAAGGTAATTGTTCCTTGTCATAGTTTGTTACATCTGTACTATGAAATTTCAGTGAACTATTAAGTGTTTATGACTAAGCTAATAATTTTTTTTCTTTTCTTTAATACTATTTGATACTGTATATGCAATTATATCTTAAGTGTATACACCTATAATTTTCTTCAACAAAACTGTTAAATTGTGGATACATTAGGTATAGATAATTTAAAGAATGCAGTTTTGTAAAGTTTGTGATGAACATTAATGCAAATTAGTTTAAGATATGTAAATGTATTTTGATAGTACCTGTATTCCTGATCCCACAACTAAAATATGACCATCACACCTTGAGTGTAAGTTTTTAGTCCATGCAACAATATCTTCTCTTCCTTGACTCCCTCTTAACTCATGTTTTCCACCTAGCCCAACAGATATGTCTTGCTATGGCATTCTCCTGCCACAACATGGCCCTAAGATATTCCTTTGACAAGAAATTATGTTCATACCTATGTAATAAAATAACAGATGTACATTTAGGAAGTAGACACTGACAATAACTGGGCTATTGGTTGTTGTTTTTGACAAGTTAAAATTTCAACCTTGAAGACAGCATTTTAAATCAGTAGTTTATGCCTCAAATTAAACTTGAATTGATGATAATGTATCAAGCATATCCTTAATGCTGTACAGCTGCTCCTCGAATTACGACTGGGTTAGGGACCCAAATCCAGATCGTAAGTCAAATTGGTCGTAAGTCAAAAATGCTTAAATAATACATAGAAAATCTAAAATGGGTGTCTCTTTTTCTTCTCAGCACCACAAAACTCTCACTTTTAAGCTTGCCAGCCATTTTAAAGTGAATTACAAACGAAAATTTTGTCAGTACGCAGCGCAATCACTAATGTTGAGACTCAAAAATACGCAATTTGACAAAATTTTGGTACGACTGAGACGGTCGTATGTCCGGGTGGTCGTAGGTCGAGTATGTTGTAAGTCGAGGAGTAGCTGTAATTGGTCTGGTTGAAGGGAATGCCATTGCAGAATTCATCTGTTATGGCAGCAAGAGTGAATGAATTTTTTCATCTGTAGACAAATTGTTTTTGCACAAAAACTAGACATTTTGGGGGAGTGATGTAACCAGACTAACTTAACTTACCATTTATCTATATCAAGTAGGTAAATTTGGTTATTTTTTGTTTCTGTCTGGAGGCTTTGTCATTCCTTGATGGCTCTCATTGTATACAGCTGGTGAGAAGCCTCAGGTATCAGATCCACCTGACTGGGACCATCTTCGAGAGGTCGGAGAAACGTGGCAGCAAGTTCATCTCTTTATTCCAAAACAAGACTATAGCCAGCATGTGGCACTTGTTGCCAATACTCAAAATAATAATGGCGATGATGGACACTCTGCAGTTGATGACATATTGCTGACAGATGGATCTTGTGATAGCCTAAGAGGTATTTGTACCCTTTTTAGAGCAAATATTTTATTTTAATTTATTTATTTTGCAGGAGATCTTACAGATATAAGTGTTGTAATGTATATACATTTAATTTTAACGTTGATCATAGTTTTTTACTTTGCAGTAACTATTACACATATTTTCTCAGGAAACAAGTGTGACTTTGAAACATCTGATCTCTGTGAGTGGCTGCCATCTCAAGACAATGGAGTAGAGTGGATTTGGAATTCTGGTCAAAACTTAGATCATAACAATGGACCAGATTTTGATCACACATTTGGTAATGACATATTTTTTTTACTTCTGTTACCTTTGTTACTTGTCATTCATATGTGCCTTTCAGTTCATCACCAACTTCTCAGTCTAAGTAGTCAGCAGGTACTAGAACATGTACAAGTTCTTGAACATTCCTGAACATTTGTCAATGCTGGTCTAACTTGGCCTTATAAGGGTTCACTTTTGGTGCTCTCACAATACTGTACAGTATTCTCAGGTAGTTACTCCCCTCCTCCCTCTCAAGTTATCTCCATACTACTCACCAGTTGCTTCCACTCATAACTATTCCCACCTCTTTTTTGATCAGGAATACTGTACATTTTCTCATTCCCATGTGGTGCTCGTGTACCATAATTATTATTATGTACTGCTTACAACAACAGTACTGTATAGTGTCATTTTAATATAAACTTAACTGCATAATATATTAATGGGACAGTGCAGAAATGCATCAATCTGTACTGTACATGTTTCTGCGGTAGTAAATTGTCCCTTATTATTGTATTTGTTTCTGTCTGTAATTTTTTTTTACGTGCCCCTATGTTCATGGAGTTTTATACCCTTATTTATATCTAAAGAATATGCCCTCAGATTAAGGAGAAAAAACATTAATTTATTTCAGATAGTAGTAAAACAAAAGCAGAAAACGGTAGAGTAAGAAGGAAGTGAAAACAGAAAGGTGGTGTTGAAAATGAGTCACTGATTTATCTTTTATATCTTTCTCATGGTATCACGATTTTTTTTTGGCCATTTATAGACTTGCTCATATTTTTTACTTATTCATCAAAACTGTTTATATCAATACCTCCTACTTTTCAGATATCTTCAACCAACTGGAATTTTAATATCTTGTTACATTCTTCAGGTTCATCTGAGGGCCACTATGCATCCCTAAAACACTCACTAGAGTTCAGCCAGGAGATTGCTTACCTCACAAGCAAAACTTACCACAGCTCGGGGAAGATGTATGTAAATTATGAAATTTTTTTATATATATTTGTGTGTGTATTGTGTATATGTATGTGGATGTGTGTACATACATATATATACTGTACAGTATTTTTTTCTGGGCCACACTTAATGTAGGCTGGCCAGAAAACAAAGTACATACTGTACATGTACATATATTTTACCTTTATATGTTGTTATTCAATCCATTTGTTCCTACTGCATTACTATAATCATATTTTACAATAACAATCTCATTTCACAACAAGGCCCCATATCTGTTTTTTTTCATGTCTCACAAGCCATCATCAACCACCAGCATCAATCCTTTCTCCTAATTCACTCAGTGTTGTGATCTTTGTTCACGCACACCCACACTGCTGCTTTTTTAATGTCCATCCCTTCTCCCACCTGCCATCCACCTCTTATTATAAACCCTTTCTTATCACCACGTGAAGTAGTGCAGTTGACAATGAAAATTTAAGGTCGAGGAGTGTCTTGTTTGAGTGATATGGCATTGTACGAGGGCTCAAAAACCTCCATGAGAGTAAATGGTAAGTAAAATGAGGAATTTGAGGTGAAAGTAGGGGTCCATTAAGGATCTCTCCTGAGTTCCCTTCTGTTTATCATGGTGCTCAAATCACTGTGTGAGATTTTAGGACTGGTCAGTCCTGGGAGTTGTTGTATGTTGATGACTTTGTGTTGATAGCAGATAGTGTGGAAGTGGTAGTAAAGAAACGGAAGGATGGAATATAGTCAAAGGGTATGAGAGTGAAGCTGGCAAAAACAAGTAATGATTAGTGGTTTGGGTGAAGGACCTGTGATAAAAACTTTGGCCATACACTGTAAGAAAGGTACTGTACTGTACAGTATAGGCAAAAATTAAATATGTAGTGAATATGGTTGCGGTACACAAGAAGGATAATGATGTAAATGGCAGACCGCAGGATGTAGCTGACTTTACAGTAAGTGTGCTGAATGTGCAGGTAATCATGTACCCTTAGCAGGGCTGAAATATTTCAATTTTAGGGATACAGTACAGTACCGTATATCTCGGCCTACAAGACGGAATTTGAACAACAAAAAAATCAGCCCAAAGTTAGGGGGTCGTCTTAAGCACCAGAGATAAAATTCTTACCTCTTAAATTTTGCGGTTTAGCGTGTCAAGAGTGGTGATGGAAACATGGTAAACCACTCACAAGGTCCTACCACTAATTATTTTATACTGAAACTTACATTTGGGAAGCTGGATTAAAATGAAGATTACCGGTATATTAAAATAATAAAAATGTATTATAAACCAGTCTAACATACCGTAAAAGAACAATATACCCCGGTAATAAACACAGCTGCTATCATCACCCCCCCCCCCCATTTGCCAGTGACGAGAAAGGGAAAGCGACCTTGACAGTGACCGCCTGTGGCTATTTTTAGCCGTCCTTGTGTTCGGAGGTGGTCAGTAATGCATATCTGTATATTTACTGATCATAATACTTATCTCCTATAAATAATTAATTTAAAATTAATTTTTTTACAAAGAATATTCAGTAAATGACTGCGTTAATTCTTGAAACTACCGACAGTGGTAAATTTAGGATGAGAATGATTAACAGAAGTCACGTCATGGATTCGGAGTTTGGTCCTTAATGATCATAAATGTCTGGTCAACTTCACCTACCAGGTATAATGGTAGCCTCCCTTTTTCGCGAAACAAGTATATAATTAAAGAAAATACTTGCAGTGTGTTTAATGTATTACAATATATTATAGCTAAATAAATAAACAAATAAATCGGCAAATCTATTTCAAGTAAATGGAAATATTTTACTCACACCAACATTAGTTCCAGTTAAATAACTGACGCTTAAGTGAGTCACTAGTGTACAACAGCGGGTAAAATTTGATGCCAATACTTGAAGTGAATTGGCATTATTTTAAATAACCAACCATAAATAAATGGAAAAAAGATCAAAGGTGAAACATTATATTGTATGTATGTTGTGTTGTCAAAGGAAGAGAAACAATTGAAACTCATTAATTGTGTGTAAATGAGGCAGTAAGATAAATCAGCAACCTAAGACTTGGTCACAATTTTCGTGATGCCATATGGAAGTAGGGTCTACCATTAGACAATACTGTACATTATGCTTCCAATATCTTCCCAGGCAGTAGAATCTCCCTGTTTGGTAGCTGCCTAAAACTTTTAGTAATATTACTTTGATACAACATGATAAATTTGACAAACAATGAAAATAAACAAACAAAAGTTATTTACCAAGACCTTCTCTCTCAGAACAGAGGGGAGATAAGACGGCTATTTATAGCCCGTCTTTGTGTAGGAAGTCGACCACACTAGAAATAATTCATTTAAAATTTATATTTTTTACATAGAATATTCAGTACATGACTGCAATTATAAAATATTGTGAATATATATATATATATATATATATATATATATATATATATATATATATATATATATATATAGTGTAATAAATGTATGTAGTAAGTATGTACAGTAATCTTTTTCACTCAAATCCTAATGAAACACTATTGAATTAGAATACTGTAGCTCGCTGAAGCAAGCTTATAAATTAAAGAAAATACTTCCAGTGTGTTTAATATATTACAGTATGATATAAATAAACAAATAAATCGGTAAATCCATTTTAAGTAAATGAAACAATTGTATTCGACACCGACATTAGTTCAAGTTAAATAACAAACTTTTAAGTGAGTCACTAGTGTTTACACTACATCAACCGGTAACGTTTGATGCCATTACTTGAAGTGAATTGGCTTTATTTTAAAAAACCAAGGATGTGTAAACAGCACTGGTCAATGGGATGGTTGGTAAAGGACTACTGGGTCAGTAAGCTCCCAATGGTAAGTGTCACATTTGGGGTACCGGTCTTATACAGCGAATAGGGCTCAAAAGCTACTTTTTAAATGGAAATTTTGGGGGCCGTCTTATACACCCCGTCGCCTTGTAGGCCGAGATATACGGTATATTCCTAGATTGTGTTGATGAATTCTGCAACCTTGGTGACATGATCAATAGCTTAAGGGAGTTTAGGAAGCTATTACCTTTATTGATCACAAAAGGACCCACTTTTGTTTGAAAGGAAAGTTGTATGCAGTTGGTATGAGACATGTGATATTGTATGGCAATGAGACATGGACTGGTAAAGAGGAGAAACATATGTAAGCTTGAGGTAGGTAAAATGACAATGGTAAGATGGATGTGTAATGTGACTACTGGTATGAGAGATGGGAACCCTGTTCGGAGCTAAAAAGACAGTTGAGTATGGAGGATATTGATGAGTATTGATGCATAAAAGCCACATCTTGTTACGATGATTTTTTTTTTAATACCACCTAGGTGCCTGCAGTTCTATTACTACATGCAAGGAAGGACCAGTTGGACAGGGTCACTCAGCGTGTATGTAAAAGATCCAGCTGTGGATATCACTGATGTTGACCCAGTGTGGAATATTGCAGGTCCTCAAGGTGATGTTTGGAACTTGGCTCGAAATTCTCTGAGTTTTATCAGTAACTACCAGGTAAGTTTTACCACAGTGTTTGGAAGAATCCATAGTTTTCAAGCTCAAGATAGTAGTTTCTTGTGAGGCTTGATGATAAAGAAGATTTGTGTCCCCTGTAAATCAGAATTGTGCATGTTTTTCAACTACAACAGGGCTTGTCATTTGTGTGTTTGCCCTTCATGGCTTTACTTTTTTGTGATGATGTTATTGATGCAAGGTTTAAGGAATGCAGTCAAATTGCTCACCTATTCATAGGCTGCTGGTATGAGAGAAAAGCGTTCCTGCTGAGCATACACTGTTAGTATGGTGTCAACGAATATGTGCACCATATTCTCTTTCCCTCCAGATTATAGCATCAAACTATATGTGCTCAACATCCTACAATGTAATACAGTACACGTTCACTGTGTAAGGTACAACTATGAGGAAACCAGCAATATGAGAAATCAATACTGTACATTTTCACATGGTTTGGGCATGTGGAGAGAATAGATGAGGCCAATTGGGTGCATGAGCCTAAATGTGGGGGGGAGAAGAGCCAGGGATAAATCTTGAATGACATGGAGGAGGGATAAAAAATGACGTTAAAATTGGGAACCTAACAGAGGCTGTAAGAGACTTTGTAGCAAGGAGAGCTGCCATCAGGTAACCGTGGCTAACCCATGCAATGATAATGGTGAGTCTGTGTTGTGCAATCATGCAATGGGCCCAAGCCAAACCTGCAAGAACTCTACCCATGGGACCCAGTCCTACACAGTAAGCAGGGACTCCCTAAATATTTAACTAATAGCTATAACAGAGACTGCAATGAAATGCATAAGGGCTGCAATAAGTTGTATTAGCATAGATAAATGCAGTTCAAGTCTGCAGACCAGCTGCTTAGGCCAGTCAGCTGATCTGGCTGCCACTCTCTTAACTGTCTTATCCTGTAAGCCTCAAACTTGTCTGTTCACACTACAATATTAAAAGATTCCCAACCAAAATCATGTTTACTGTAAAAAAAAAAAAATCCTAGAGTGCATGAATACAATTTAACTAGCAACATCTGTATGTGGTGAAAGTTTATGAATGGAAATAAGTATTTTGACTTTCTCTGTTATCCTCAGAGTTCCGTAATATGTAATTTATGATATATTGCTTTACTCATCTTTTATATCATTAAACATGATGATGATTATGATAGACATGTGATGAATTTCTGACACAATCTTATCTGTCTACAATAGTCCCAAGATAATTATACTATTATGAAAAAACTAAAAAAAATTTATAACATGTTAATTAAGAATACTGTACAGTTTGGCAAAAAAAAGTGACAAATTACCCACCAAGTTTGTGCTTCGCAGATTTATGGATCATAGGGATTTTCAAGAACCTACGTTAACCCCAACGAATGGCAAGGCCCTGCTGTACTTAAATACTTGATTGTGAAAATACTGTAAATGAAATGAATTAAGGAAGAGACTTTTTTTGTAGCTTAATAAATTTGTTCTAGCCTTACAGATACTTTACGTAGTATGTAAAATATCTGTTTACTGTACATCCAGCTTGTCAATGATAGGCTGTATGAATAGCCCTCAGTAATTTTGTGGAAAAGAAAGATTGGGTGATTTTACTTTCATAAATGACTAGGTTACATGTGATTGTGTGGAACATACAGTATACATTGATCTTATGCTTTTCTTCGTATGTTCCACCTAATTTCCCATTTCCACACATAATTTTTTTGTGCTGTCTGTATCTTAGTTTCATCATATGTTTTTATGTTGCTCTTCACAGACTGCGTTTGCTGCAGTTGTAGGCAGTGATGGTGACAACAGCATCATAGCAATAGATGATTTCATAATGTTAGATACAGACTGCCCAGCAGCTGCTACATGCTCATTTGAAGATGGCTACTGTGACTGGAGTAATGTTCGAGGCACTGATGAAATGGACTGGGAGATGAACCAGGGCCCAACGCCAACAGAAAATACTGGACCAAAATATGATCACACTCTTGAGACAGTGAAGGGTATGTGCAGTTCATTGCCAAAGATAGATTATGTTCAAATACATGCTGGTAAACAGTATTGCGTATTTTTATAACTACAGTAAAAATATGTATTGAAATCTACCTTCATCAATGGGTTGTAACACAGGAATTAGACTGATACCATTTAATACATGCCATACAGTTTTAAAGGGTTATCATTATTGCCTCTTAGGTCACTACTTGTATGTGGAGGCAGACGATGGAATGATACATTCCTCTGCAATACTGGAATCACCTCTTGTACCTGCTGGAACTTATTGCTTTGAATTCTATTATTCTATGTATGGCAGAGATATTGGTGGTAAGTAATTTTAGAACTATTTTTTAACCTGTTGTCTAATAATGGCAAGTAACTTGTGTCCTTAACCAGTCCACTGTATCAAAACTTATTTTTGTTGATGTCATACAAGATCAGTTAATGGCAGTCATGGTTAACCATTGTTGTATATCTGTTTCAGGTCTTGCAGTACAAGTGCAGAATAATCACTCAGCCCAAACCCTATTCCAGAAATTTGGGGATCAGGGACCAGACTGGAAAAAGGTTAGGGTTTTATATTTATGTTAATTGAAATTTATATTTAATATCTGTGCATTTCAAAAAGAAAATTATGAACACTTTATTACTGTTGAACATACTGTTTAGTGTAGATTTACAACTGAATTTCCATTATTACATGAGAATCTATATGATTTTGGTTGCTTTTGTAGCATGGCTGATATAATGGGATCACTTTGTTATTTTATATCATCTTTGTAGTTGTTGGTGCCAACATTGGCATCATCATCATGACACTTCAGCTGTAGATTGAATATACATTCAGGTGTCATGTCTGTTTTAAAGAACAACATCATTTTTGTAATAGACTGTAATATTTATGGTGTCAGTGACGGGACTGCATCTACTTTTCCCTTTGAGTAACTCATATATATTGACTAATTAGGTTGAGGTGCATTGGATGGAGAGGATACAAACCATTTGTAATTTTTTTCACAGGGAAAAACAACAGTGATTGAAGATAAAGATTTTAAATTCCAAGTGATAACCTTGCATGGCAAAGAGGGTGATGAAGGAGACATTGCTATAGATGACACTTGGACATCTAAGGGTCCTTGTCATGATAATCCTGATGAGGTAAGAATAACACCTTCATGTATGTTCTTGTTATGACAATCTTTCTGATGTAAGAATGACGCTTGAACATCTAACGGTCCCTCTCATGACAACCTCATATAACCCCATCTTTGCTTGAGTGTAGGGAAAGCATATATGATGAGGATGATGATGATGGCATATGGTTCAGAATAGTTTTTCGTGTAACCTGTGGGCATTTAGCAATGGACAATAATTTTGGTTTATTTTAAAAGCCATTTAATTGACTTTTTTCTTTTATTTTTTTTAGTTCGTTTGCCCTGATGATGAAATTATTCCGTATTCCCAAGTGTGTGATTTTATTCCTGAGTGCCGTGACGAGGATGATGAAATGTTGTGTGGAGTGTGCAACTTTGAATTTGGTAAGTTTTTACTGCTGTTCCTTTTCAAAGATATAAATATGGCAGTTAGAATAGATACTGACAAATTACAGTCAACCCTTGCTTGGACATAAAATGATGGAGTTAGGGGAGTGTCTTTACAGTATTTGTTCATGATTCCAGTCCCCTGCATCACAGCATAAAATGTCTTGCTAAGAGTTTACAAGAAATAATTTATCATACAATAGTTTTTGTTTCCTTAATAAAATCTTAAACCAGACTGGTACAATACTTATTTATGAGTGGTTCTTTTTTATGAGTAACTGGTACGTTACAGGGTACTTGTTAATGAGAGACAGGATGCCTTTACAAAACTATCCTTCTAGAAAGGAGAAAGACTTAACTCTAGTTCCATATGGAATTAAAAACAGATTACCATGTCCCAATACTCTCAGCTGCCTCCATTGTGTATTTTTTTATTACGTAAAGGCTTATGTGGATGGATTTTCTTGATGGATAATGACTACATTTGGGCAAGAGGACGAAATCTTAGTGATGATGAGAATTCCTGGAACGTCCCTGACCACACTGTGGGAACGGGTGCTGGATATTACCTCTACATTACCAAACATTCTAGTGAGCACTCTGGGCCGGCTGTTATGGTAACAGAAACACATCACAATGCTTTTCTTGACTGCACCATGAATTTCTGGTAAGAAACTTAGTGTACAGTATATTTTTTAGTACCCTGTTTAGAAATATAATTACAGTACTGTATACACAAATAGCCATAGTATTTTACCAAAAATAGATGGATATCATAGGAAAATATTTAAATACCTGTAGATGGAATATTTCTTTAGTTCTAATGCTATCAGAGTTCCAGAATTCTCTAAATACAGTACTGTATACTGTACAGTAGGGTTTCAGAGTATGCAGGGTTGTGTTCCTAGAATTCCCGCATAAGTGCAAATTTGTGCATACATAAGAACATAAGAAAATAAGGAGTCTGCAATAGGCCGGTTGACCTGTGCATGGCAGCTCCTGTCGAGAGTTACTACCACTCTTTATCATCCATGAATCTATCTAGCCTCCTTTTAAAACTTTCCAGCGTTCCAGCACTTACTACAAAGTTGCTAAGCTTGTTCCACTCGCCCACCACCCTATTTGTGAACCAGTTCCTTCCTATCTCCCTCCTAAACCTAAACTTATCCAACTTAAATCCGTTGCTACAAGTCCTATCCTGCTCGGATATTATAAGAACTTTATCTTTATCGCCCTTATTGATTCCCTTCACCCAATTAAACATGTCTATCATATCTCCCTGCACTCTTCGTCTTTCTCGGGAATGCAAGTTTAGTTTCTTTAACCTATCTTGATATCGAAGGCTTCTAAGTCCCGGAATCATTTTCGTCATTCTTCGCTGCACCGACTCCAGTGAATTGATATCCATTCTATAATATGGGCACCAGAACTGAACTGCATAATCGAGGTGCAGCCTGACTAGAGCAAGATATAGTTGCAATAAGACCTCTGCACTCTTATTACTTACACTTCTAGATATAAAACCTAATACTCTGTTTGCCTTATTTCGAACATTAACACACTGTTTTCTAGGCCGTAGGTCTGGGCTTACAAGTACCCCAAGTCTCTGTCACAAGCTGACCTCTCTAGGTTGATGTTGTTAAGGCTGTATACATTGACAGTATTTGTTCTTCCAATATCTAGGAAAGATTCGCTTTAAATTAAAACATTGTCCTTAATTGTGGGTGTCACTTTAAATCAATAATCTTAAATTAAATCTCTTTAAATCGACGTTCTACTGTAGTATTATTTGCACTTAAGTCAAGGGGGGGTGATATGCTGTAGTTCCTGAAACCACTTCCAAAATTCATTAACATCAGTGTAACAAATCAGTTACTTACATTATAAAAAATTCATAGAATATTATTGGCCCTAAAATGGACAAAAGTTGGTGATTGTAAATCTTTTATATTTTTTGTTTGAATTCCTTCATTTTGTCCTGGTACTCAGATGATTCATCCTGCAAAATTTTCAGGGTACGTGAGCGCTCTGACAGTAATGAGGGTTTACATACAAGAGTGGCAGTGAATGTGTTGAGGGATGGCCAGGTGAGCCCAGTCTTCTACCTCATTGACAAAAGCAACAATGACTGGCAACAAGCAAATGCTGTTCTAAAGGGTTAGTGGTATCATCCATGTCCTATTTATGAGGATTGTAATAGAGAAACAAATACAGGTACAGGTATTACAATGTTCCATCTTGCAACGATTAGGACCTGATCTGAGTTAAACTGATGTTCACTCTGCCCTCCTTTTTTTTTTTGTTTAAAAAAATTTACCCTATTTCCCACCATATTAGGTGTACTGTAATTTAATAGAATATATCTAGTGAAAAAGTACTTTATTTTACTGGTATCCCTCGCCTTACGAATGAATTTGTATCCTTGAAAACCATTCGTTAATTTAATTTCCGTATCTCGAATAACAGAACACATGAGAAAAATAGGTTTCGGTTCCCCAGTGACAAGAAAACCCCAATATTATACAGGGGGTCCCCAACTTACCAATGTCTGACTTACGAACGCCTGCTGATAGGGATGGGGTTTAACTTGAAATATACGGTACATTATTTTTTGTTCAAGTTGGAATGCGACGCTTCAACTTCCTTTGGGACTTTATTTACCTGATGACTTATTTTTTATTTTCATTTACTATATTTTGTCATTCTATTTCTTATTTTCTCTTAAATTAAGTGATTTTAAATGTATATAAGGACTTAGGCATTGATATACTGGGATTATAAACATTGTTCTGCAAGTACGGTATGCACATACAGGTTGTACCTCTGTAGTCCGGCATTCTGTGGTCCGGAAACTCCCGTGGTCCGGAACGATTTTAGTTTGTCCAATAGGTAGATAGGCAGCCTTTTTTTTTTTTTTTTTTTTTACTTATCTGAATTATTATTATTATTACAGGAGTATTAAATTTTTGCCCCTCAGGCCCCAATGTGGGTCAGTGACCTATGCCCGGGTGGGCTAATCCCCTTAATAAAAAAAACAAAGCCGCAGGAAATTAAGGTTTGTTTACATCCGGCAGTTCGGCTGCTCTCTCTCTCTCTCTGCTTGTCTATACAGAGTACAACATTTAACCCTTCAATATATATGAGCAGTAAATAAGTGTTGCTTTCATATTCTTATGTAGAGTAATGACGATATGTTTTCACATGTGCGCACTTACATACGCGCAGTCTCACTTTTTTTTTTACCATTAATGGTTAGCTACTTATATTGTTCCATTTATTAACATTAAATAACATTACAGGTACTTCAAACAACCATATTAATTTTTTTACATTAATTTTACTACAGCTAAAATCAGGGTCTTATTTTCTTCAGTTTTATATGTAGAACCAATCAGTCACTGGTTTCGTAAGCTTTAACATAAACAATGCCGGCAGCCGTCTCGTCTCCTCTAATATTCCACGTATTATTAATAAATTGTATTGTTAATTTTGCACACACATACATTAATTCAATAAAAACAAATTCAGAAACATTAATTAAAATATATATGAACAGTAAATAAGTGTTGCTTTCACTTATGCATATGTTTTCTTGCGCAACATACGCGATCTCTCTTTTTTCTTTACCATTATCGTTAGCTACTTCTATTGTTCCATTTATTAACATTAAATAACATTACTTAAAACAACCATATAAATTTTACTACAGCTACAACCAAGGTCTTATTTTCTTCAGTTTTATATGTAGAACCAGTCAGTCACTGGCTTTGTAATCAACGAAAACAATGCTGTGTCATTTCCTCGTGTGTTTTAATATTCTACGTATTATTAATGAATTGTATTGCTCATTTTGCACACAAACATTAATTCAATAAAAAAGATATTCAGTAATAAACAAAAATGAATCTTTTGTACATAAGAGAAATGACGCGGTTTACACGATTTTGCACGTCGTCTGCACGTTGGCGAGCCGTTCAAACCCGTCGAAATTCAAGTTTCCACCGTCAAAATTTTTATTTACTTAGTTTTTGTGTGTCCCAATAAAATACGTTAAGAATTAAAAACTCGCGAAATTTGAGAAGCTACTATACGACATTTAACCCTTCAATATGTCTTCAAAGAGACCATGATGCAGAGAAAGTGGTGCTAGTGCTTCCAAGCATAAGCACAAGTCAATATCTATCCAGGAAAAGGGTGAATTTCCATGGTCCGGCAATTTCCATGGTCCGGCAATTTCCATGGTCCGGCACCGGTCAGGTCCCGAGGTTGCAGGACTAGAGAGGTACAACCTGTAGTATGTGTTCCGACTTACGTGCAAATCCGACTTAAGAACATCCTCAGGAACGGAACCTGTTCGTAACCTGGGGACCCCTGTACATAAAAAATGAAATACAGTAGTTTCACAAAAAAAAAATATATATATCCTACCTACCTATTATAATTTAGAGCTAACTCATTAAAAAATTAATAAAATATAACTTTCATTCATTACCTTAAAGGACCATATTCGTATAAGCAAGAATAGCTTTCATATACACGTAATAAGAAAAAGGTGTAAGAATAGAAAATTTGTATAAGTTTAATTTTCAGAACTCAATAGTTTGTATAGTGAGCGATACCTGAACTGACTTTAACAAGCAGTACAGTGGTGTTCTTGTCAGTGCCACCAAACCTAGCATGCCTTACACCTAAAATTACCGTAGAGTAAACACTGTAGTTTCCTATAGTTTTCTCTCTAGAGGAGCAATTATGATTGGGATGGAGGCTTTTACCCAATTTGGGGAAAGGTTGATGTAGTTATCATAGTAAAACTCACAAATTATTAATGAAGTGGGACAGACATTGATAACATGTGGATGTGTTTATCAAAAACCTTTTATTTTCTATTCAGCTTGAATGGAGCATTGTAAAAACACACACTAGTAAGGGTTTAATCTTCTTCATGACCGTAACCAATGGCATAAATGACACATTCTTAAAAAAGATAAATAAAAAATGTATCCAATATGGTGGGAAATACTGTGATCAAAGAATGTCCTCCAAAATGCAATGCACTCTTTTGTGGTTTAAGATGGTGCATTATGGCATTGGTTCAGTCAACCATTTGTTCTTGTATTACAATAAGAGAAATTTTGAGAAATATGTATTCGATAATGTTTACTCGAGCTATACCTCTTCATCTGCCCAAGTGCACTTCTGTATCCTGTTTATACATTGATTTTAAGTACAGTATAATCTGCATTTACGTGGTCAGTTGAACCTGTGGAGGCCCGTGTAAAACGAGAAACGCGTAAATGAAATAACAGAACATATGGGATTAATTGAAATAGAGATTGGGCCGACCCCCAAACTCCACTTTTTCCGACACAATACATACATACCTTGTAGTCAAAATAACATCTTAATTTTATGATGGTATGCACACACAATTAATAATTAAGAGAAATATCAATAATATTAGGTTTTTTAACACTTACGTTAGTAGAAAAGATGGCTGGGCACACGGGGATGGGGGGTTGGTTACGAGGCAGAGGGCAGATTATTGGCCCTCACCTGTATCACTTGTATCAAGTGTAACACTATCCACCACAGAGGCTTGCAGGGCCTCTTTGTCAAACCCCTCAAAGTCCATATCTTCACTATCACTATCACTGACTTGGGCCAGTTGTGGTGGGTGACGGGTGAAGAACTCGGTAATGTTTTGATGACTGGGCGACTTTGTGCGCACCCTGCCCGCGCCGCTTCCTGCGTAAATGACCAAATTTACCGCGTAATTAAAACATTTTATTCTGGCAAGGCACCGTGTAAATGACCAAATGTGTAAACAAAAGCCACGTAAATGCAGACTATACTCTATATTACAGTTTGTTTATTGGTGATGGATGTGTTGCTTATGAGTTATTGTATTGGTAAACCAAATAGATATCCTGAAGCTCTTTTATGAAAGGGGAACACCAGAGCAATTCACACCCCTTGAGGCAGCTAGACTAGGTGGATGACAGAAAATGCAGGAGAATTTGTGATGATCATGATTTTGTCCTCTAGTGTTTTAGCTAGGAGGATGTGGGAGAATAAGGAAAAGGAAACCTGTGTAACAATATTTATTCTCTTTTTTTCAGACTGGATTGGAGACTTTGTCATCCAAGTTCAAGGGCAGACAAGTGCAGGGCCCTCAGATCTTACCATTGATGATATCACCTTTACAGGATGTGCTATGCCATTTAGTACTGAGGAGTGCCCCATGTATACTTTAAAGTGTTTACAAACTGGTGAGATTTCTTATTTGTGTAATTCTTGTTTTTTTTTTTAATTATCCTTGCATTTCTTTGTACTTTCATATATATATATATATATATATATATATATATATATATATATATATATATATATATATATATATATATATATATATATATATATATATATATATATATATATATATATATATATATATATATATATATATATATATATTGATAAAATCACACAGGAAAAGGGAAACAACGGAGCACCTTAGCTTTCGTCTTTTTTTTTCTTTTTTTTTTATGTCCTTGATAGTAAATGAGGTAACATATCAGTTTTACCATGTGTCTGTATGTATGGGAGGTGTGTACAAGTGAATTTAACATTATCAGAGGTAGATATTACTTGTATATTTTTGTGAAGTATGCAACTATGTTTATGAGGCCTGAACAGTGATGGGAAACTTTAAATCCCTCCTGGGTCTGAAACTCAGCCATAATTCTTCCTTTTTCCTAAATGTTAGACTTGTAAAGCTTTATAAACTGATAAATTAATCTGTGAGCTAAGAAAAATTCAAGAGTTGATAAAGATGCTCTAGAGATATTATTTTTACATATACACCTGTAGTCTACTTTCCTTTTGGGTGGTGCAGATATTCTTTCCAGTCTTGGATGTATAATGTATAATTCATGTCATGATGATTAAGAAAATATTCATGCATCTAGAATTTCATCTCAAAACTTGTAATTTTATAATTTTTTTTTTGTAGGGTCATGTTTGTGTTTAGTTTCATCTTTAATCATTGTAAAGCATAATGAGTTGATTGGTTTCAGGGTTGTGTGTGCCATATGACTTCCTGTGTGACAATACCAATGACTGTGGTGACTTGACTGATGAACATAATTGTGAAGACTTCTTGCCCATTTGTACCCTAGAGGAAGATGAGACCTGTGATTGGGCCCAAGAGCCTGATGATGATGATATTGGTAAGTGCTGTATTTCATTATGTACCTGAATAAAGTTTTAACGTGTTTTACAACATTTGAAGGACAACTCTCTATATCCAACACTTACTTCACAAAATTCAAAAGAACTTTTGATTTCTTTTAATATAAAATCATGTAGTGTATTCGGATAAAGTTCTTGTCTTCAACTTGAGCTCCAATGTAAACATTGCAGATGCCCATTTATAATAATTATTATAATAATAATGATAATAATTGCTGGTCTTTTGTTTGTCAAAAGTGCCAGTTCTAAAGAATTCACTAGCACTCAAAACAGAAGAACGTATCAACAAATAAGCGCTACCACTTGAAGCATTATTTGTTGCTTGTTTCCTGATTGTCGCATTCAGAGCATTGAACAAAAAAATGCTGTACAGCATGCCTTTCAAATTTTTACTCGTGTGCAAAGAAATGTATATTCCCTTTATGTGTTTGCCCTTAGGACAATTATTTCTTTTACCTGCATTGTATGTGTGTGTGTCTACACACACACACACACACACACACACACAAAACACTGTACAAATAAATAATAATGGGAAAATCCTCTCACAAATAATCAGAAAGAAGACAACAAATTGTATCTAAATGTAGAAAAAATATGAGAGTCTACCCTCAAGTCAGCTCCATCCTTTGTTATTAAAGTTGAGTTGGTTGGGTTGTCATACAGCAATTTTTTCTCGTAAAAATTACTGTCTCTAGAACGAATGGCTCCCTGTCCCGGCTGTGAAAATGCCGTCAACTTTAAAACTACCCGCAGACATTCTTGGGTACTGTATGTGTTCTGGGTATCAAGTTCTATCTACAGGAGCGAACACAAACACCCGTAGAGTTTTCGTAGGTTCTATTTACTGGATAAACAGATATGTACACAAGGAAGGTTGCGCTCCTTTCTCTGTCTGGGGGGTCAACTAGCCTCTAGGGCGACATGTGGTAAGTGATACCTTAGCAGCTTCCATATGTCGCCAGGCACATTAATTAAGCATGTGGGACATGGTAAATACATTGCCACACGCTGCTAGCTAGGCTGAATAAATAGTGTATATAAATGGAGCACATACATAATATACATACAGCATACATAATATACATACATAATATACATACAGCATACATAATATACATACAGGTACATCCAGGGTGTCATCCGCAAATAATCGAGGACTGCGAATATATTAAAAGTCTGCGAATTGTCAGGGCGTGCTGTACGATAATAAAACATCACAAAAAGTGACAGTGACAGTTCAACTTCTGTCGTTCAAATACCCTTAAGTTTTAATACTTTCTAAATCCTGTAATTTTCCTTTACTGTGCTGCGCCCTGTTCAGGATCATGAGCTGTAATAAAATAAAGGTCTTAAGTTGTTTCTTGAAGGCCTCCACAGAAGTCAGCTGCTTCATGGATGCAGACAACCAATTGTACAATCTGGGTGCGTTCCCGTACTGCTCTAGGCTCCTCAAGGCGTGAATGATTGTCACTACTATGCATAATAATTTCAGAATGTGTAATCTGTGGAATTAGTAGGTTTGCCAAACATTGTCTAAAAGTGATTAAACAGAGTTTGAACTCTATCCCGGCTTTAATTGGAAGCTATTGTAATTCAATCAGGAATGAGGTAGTGGGAGAAAAAAATGGAGGGGCAACCCTGTTCAAAACTGTATGAATTTTCTTCAGTAGATAATTAGGTAGGTAGACCCATAAAGAGTTACAATAGTCAACCCAAAACAAAATAAGTGAATGTAATAGTGTCAGAAGTCACTGTCTATCCCAAATCTGTTTAACAGCATACAGATTTCGAATATGAATGTTGCAACTCTTAAATACAGATTTTATATGCTCTTTAGAATTCAGCTTTGAGTCAAAGCACACACCCAGATTATGAATAGACTTAACAGGACTGAGTTATACTTCCGCAAAGTTTAAAGAGTCAAAATTATCTGTGCTGTTTCCCCTCCTCCGTCCTTTAAATAGAGTCTATGAGTATATCTCATGGACCGGGAGTCCAGAATATTATCAGCCAAACTTTGTAGTTGTAAAAATAGATATTGTACTGTACAATTATTTTCATAGTAAGGGTAGCATTTAATTGCTCGTCTCTTTCAGACTGGGTGTATGGCCAAGGTCACACAGTAGCTGGAAGAACCACCTTCCTGACAGGGCCACCAGTGGACCACACATTACGACTTTCTGGTGGTCATTACATTTATGCCACAAGTCCTACTACTTATGCTCAAGATGAGAGACAAGGCAAAGTCACATACCGTGCCTGGTTCGTTAGCCCAGTGATAAGGGCTGATGATGATTCATATTTCCCATGTGAGCTACGGTTTCATTACTACATGTATGGACAAAATATAGAGGAACTGAATGTATATACTCGGACAGAGCGTCATGGTGACATGACACTCTCCTTCACAAGGAAAGGGGAGCAAGGTCAATTCTGGGATCGTTCTGTTGTTCCAACTCCCTCAAATAAGCCCTTCCAGTATGTTATTGAGGGAGTAACTAATAACTTGGGCTTGTCTGACATTGCCATTGATGATTTATCATTCACTGAATCCTGCATGGAAACCAATGATACACTCCCTGGTGGCAACACTCCTGAGCCTCCATACAATCCATGTGCAAATGATGAGTTCTATTGTAATATTGGTGAAGATTGCATAGCAAATTACATGGTGTGTGACTGGAAAAATGATTGCTCAAATGGTGCTGATGAAGATAATTGTGGCACATGTAATTTTGAATATGATATGTGCAGTTGGTCTGATGCCAGCAAAGGAATATTCCATTGGCGGCGTATCACTGGTGCTGACTTTTCCCAGTACAGTCATCCATTTAAAGATCACACATCCCAACAGTCTGATGGCCACTTCATATATGTTGAAGGTTCAGATGGGACTGTTGGCAAAACAGCTGTGTTAGTCAGCCCAGCATTGAGCCATACAACAGGATATTATTGTGAAATTCATTTTTGGTTGTTCCTTGAAAATGGAATGAATGCACACGTAGGTCTCTATTATCACAATAATTATCAAAATAAGGACCACCTATTATACAATTTGACGACTTCAGAGATACAAGAAAAGGTTTGGTATGAGGTTCTTGTTTCAGCCAAATTAGTACCTTCAACAGATTATTTCAAACTGACAACTACACCAGTGTTTGATCAAACCATCGATTGGGCAGACTCTCACTCATCTGTGAGCATTGATGATATTAGTTTCTTCAACTGTAATGAGCGTTTCCTTGATCTGGCTTGTGACTTTGATGATGCAGGTACATGCAATTGGCGTCAAGCTCAGACTGATCAGCAAGATTGGAGGAAAAGTGATCCCAGCATTCCACTTCCAGACCACACATCTGGGACTGGGCATTATATATACATCAACTTTTTGCAAAATTTTGCCGTGAAGGGCGATAAGGCAAGACTCATAAGTACAGTTCAGTCAAAGCCTGTTGGAGTGAGGAATGTCTTTACACTCTGGTATTACTTATATGGCGGAGACGTTGGCATATTCAGAATTATTGAGAGGAAACAAAACACAAAGGAGAATGATACTCTGTTTGAAATTGGGGATTCCCAGGATGATAGATGGATGCTCTTTGAACAAGAACTGGATGCTGATGATGACTACTCAATAGTTCTTGAGGCAGAATGGGGGGAGATTGGATCTGGTATGCTTGCTGTAGATGATGTCAAAATTACATCAAAGATACAGAATCCATTTTGTGATTTTGAGGAAGATTTTTGTCAGTGGCAACTTGATGATAGTGATACAGCAGTGTGGGCCAGAGGGCGTGGAAAGCAAAATAAGACTGGTCTTCCTCCAGTAGACCACACAGATAACACTAACATGGGTCATTATGCATATCTGAAAGAAAAACCTATACCTGGAAAGACTGGCACTCTCACTTCCCCAGCATATCATTCTGTAGGTGTGCAGTGCCTCAGATTTTGGTATCACATTTTAGGAGATAATGTTGGTGAATTATCAGTTCAAGTTGCAGACCAAGCTGGTTCTGGAGTATTCACTCCTTTTTGGTCTCATGAGAACAATACTTTTGAAATGTGGTCTCTTGGAATGGTGACTCTCCCAAATTTACAGAAGTATGTTGTTCGCTTTGAAGGCACAACTGGCAGAAACAATTTAAGTGTAATTGCACTTGATGATGTGGAATTCTTGCCTGATGCTTGTCCAAAAGTCCATGAATGTGACTTTGAATATGATGTGTGTGACTGGTTCAATACAGACGATGAAGACACCTTTGACTGGGAACGATCATCAGGTAGTGAAGGTGGAGGCATATCAGTAGATCATACTCTCAATTTTGACACTGGTCACTATATGGTTGCAAAGCTCCAGGACAAAAAGAAGGGTGATAGTGCCAAGCTCTTTGGAGGTACTGTTCCTAAAAACCTCAGGTGCATGACATTTTGGTATTCAATGCAGCACATAAAAAATGCCAAATTAAGGGTTATCTTACTTGAAGGAGATGGTATAACCCTGATGGAACTTCATAACTCTACTTTGGATTATCTCTGGGAAGAAATAACATTAAACCTTAACATAGTGACTGATTCCTTTGAGGTACAGTTTGAACTTCTTGTAGCGGAGGACATTACATTTTCAGAGTACTATGCTGTGGCAATAGATGACACCGCCTTCACAGCAGATTGTAAAATACCAACATTTCCTCCACCTGTTACTACACCACTACCCACCCACTTGCCTTCCATATATGACTGTGATTTTGAACAAGACGATAACCAGATGTGTGGTTGGACACTTGGGGAAAATGATGGCCTTCTCTGGCAGCGTTGGCAAGGACAGTCTTCATCTTCTGAAACAGGTCCAAAAACTGATCATACCCTCATGACAGATGATGGACATTATATTTATGTTGGTACCACATTCAAGGTAGAAAGGAATGCTACATTAATTAGCCCACCTATAGACATGGGAGTCAATGGGGCTTGTCTTTCCTTCTGGTACCATATGCATGGCTTTGATATTGGCATGCTGCAGGTGCTGCTGCAAGTGGTAGGCACAAATTCTACTACGTCGGTTTGGCAACGTTCACATGAACAAGGAGACGACTGGATACAAGCTAAGGTGCACCTAAATGGTTTGCAAAGCAGCCATATGATACTTGAAGCTATACCAAAGCCTTATGGGAAGGGGGATATTGCCCTAGATGATATCACACTAGATTTTGGTTTCTGTAACACTGGAAAATTATGTGACTTTGAATCTGGAAATATATGCCAATTTGAGCAATCACTTATAGATGATTTAGACTGGGAATTGGTAATGGTTTCGAGCTCTCGTGTAGTTGGTGAAGTAGATCCAGAAGAAGATCATTCCCAGCAGTCATCACTTGGCCATTACCTCAAATTGTCAGGTGAAGGATCAGCAGTGATTGTTACCAATGAAATTCATCCTCAATATTGTTGTGTTGAATTCTGGGTGTATTTGGATGGATTCTTTGGGTATTCTTCATCAGATCTATATGTCTATACATTAATAAATGGAGTTAAAGCCTCTAAGATTAACATCACTGATGTTTTAGGCCACAATTGGAACCACTATCTGTTACCAGTAACAAGTTCTTTCTATTATTCTTTGGCATTTGAAAGCCATGTTCGAGGCAGTGGTTACACAGTTGGCCTTGATGATGTGCAGCCACTGATATCTTGTGAAGCAATGGAAGAGTGTAACTTTGAATCTGACTTGTGCATGTGGAAGAATTCTGTGAAGGAAAATCAATTTGATTGGTCAATAACAACAGGTAATGATCTTGATTCCATTTATGCCCCTACTGTAGATATCACTCTGGGCTCTCCTTATGGAAAATTTGCATATGTTGATACATACAGAGATGACCCTGCAACTGGAAAACCACATGCAATCCTTGAATCTAATGTAATGGAACCAATGGAACGATGCATTAGCTTTTGGTTTCATATCAAAGGTGCAGGAACACAATCCCTGATTCTCAGTACCAAAGACATATTGTCGGGTGTAGTATCAGATATATGGGAGTACAGTTTATTACTTTTCGCAGATTGGGAATATAAACAATTTTCTATTATGAAGTCAGAGCGGTACACCATTCAGTTTGAGGCTGTGACTAGCAATGACCAGGGAATGATTGCCTTAGACCAAGTGAAGGTGGTGGCTGATTTATGCTCCAACCATTCTGTGCCAGACTGTGTCATTAAATGTGATGAGGGTGCCACCTGTATTCATGAAGATCAGATGTGCAACTTTGTACAGGACTGTATGAATGGGGAGGATGAAAATTTTTGTGGCTACAACTGTACCTTTGATGAAGATTCTCATCACAACACACCATGTAGTTGGGATACTGATAGAGAAAATGGTGATATTTTAACGTGGCTGCCACTCTCAGGTCAACTAAATGATTCGTATGGGCCACCTGTGGACCACACTTTCTTAACTCCTTTGGGTCACTATATGGCTGTGATTCCAGTAAATGGTAAAGTCAGAGAAGAGAAACCAGCTGTTCTGCTAAGCCCACCACTGAAAAACTCTGGTGGTTATTGCCTTATGACATTCTGGTATGTCATGTATGGACGGCCTGATAACACCTCTTCTTCTTTTATAGGCTCCCTAATTGCAGTATACCAAATGGGTGACTTATCTACTGAATTACTAAGCATAAATGGTAACAAAGGTGATGAATGGCTTCATGGAGTAGCCTATATTGGAAGAGTTACACCTGAATTCTACATTAGATTTGAAGGAGACCGGAATCTAGACATTGATGGTTATATGGCAGTTGATGATATAACATTTGAAAACTGTTTCCTTCCAACGCCTCAGAAAACACCTGGAGACTGTAAGGAGTATCAGTGCACTAATCTGGCCTGTGTATCAATGTTTGATCGTTGTGATTTTGTTGACGACTGTGGTGACTACTCAGATGAGGTAAACAGAGTGGCTGGGTGTAACAAATTTGTTGGACGTTGCTCATTTGAAGATAATACCTTCTGTGACTGGGAACAAGACGATTCTAATAATTGGTATTTAGGATCACCAAGTGTACAAGACATCATTCCAAAGCGAGATCACACACTTAATTCAGCTAGTGGCTCCTTTATCTATATTGATAATACATTTGATTACAAGAACACTACTGTTGCTACCATACTTAGTCCTGTAATAAAATGGGATGATAAAATGATATCTCCATGTATTCTTCACTTCTTCTATTGCATATATGGACCAGCAGCACAAAAATTAACTGTTTCATCAAGGGATGCATCTAATGGACCACTGAACATTCACTTAGTGATTACTGATGCTGTTGGGCCTTATTGGGAACAAGCAGAAATCTCCATGGCACCTCAAGATATCATACACAAGCCTCTACAGTTTATCATCACAGGAGAGAGAGATTCTCTAGGAAAACAAAGATCAGTTATTGCCATTGATGATATATCCTTTACTGAGTCCTGTGTATTATCAGATGATATATTGCCAACAGCCTCACCAAGTATACCAACCACTACATCAGGTGCTTGCCCTAATCAATTCCAGTGTAATGATGGAGAATGTATCCCATTGGACCATGTCTGTAATTTTATGAATAACTGCATAGATGGGACTGATGAAGCTATGTGTGCAGAATGTTCTTTTGAAAACGGTACTTGTGGTTGGCGGGATATAAGTTATGGTTCCTACTTTTGGACTCTTGATGAACCTAATGCTAATAACCGTTCTGGACAAGTTATGATTGTTGAGGGAAAGTCAGGCAGCAACTCTAAAGAAGCAAATCTCATCAGCGTCGCCCTTGGACCATCTGCTACAAACTGTATTATGAGTTTCTTTTACTATAAACATTTGGGAGAAGATGATAAGACAAGTCTGCAACTTGACCTCAAATCACATATTGGTAATGAATTCACAGTTTGGTATGTACTTACTGATATGAATGACACTTGGCATCAACAGTTTGTAGGCATTGGAGAACATGAAATGGGATGGAGCCTCCGCTTTCAAGCCAATCACTATGACACAAACGGATTAGTAATGATTGATGATGTGCATTTTGAAAATTGTTCCAAACCAAATTCAACTATATGCAAGCCATATGAATATAGATGTGACAATGGTGTTTGTGTTACTAAAGACAAGTTTTGTGACTTTAATGATGATTGTGGTGATGGCACAGATGAAATACCAGCATTATGTAAAAATTACCCTGAAAGATGTAATTTTGAAGACAGCTTTTGCAACTGGAAGCAAGAAGTTAGTGAACTGGAATGGATACGTAAAACCGGTGATATGATGTCCGAGGATGTTGGCCCAGACTTTGATCACACTTATGGAAATGAAACTGGGTATTATTTATATCTGGAGAGTGGAGAAGGAGATCAAGGGAAGATTGGCAGAGTGTCTAGTACTGCCTTTTATCCATCTACAACTGAGTCATGCTTCTTTAGATTTTGGTATATGATAAGAGCTGACAAAAGTGCCTCATTAACTGCTTTTGTTGAAGAGACTTCCTGGAATTCATTTGGATATTCTCCATCGGTTCAGATTTTCCAAACAAATGGAACTGCTGAATATTTATGGACAAGAACTAATGCTCCTGTGATTTATACAAGATACTTCAAGATCTTGCTTGAAGCTAAGGTGGGTGAGAAATTCGATGGAGACATTGCAATTGATGATGTATCTTTCTCACTAGATTGCAAGCCTACTAACAGCCTACCAACTGTCTCACCAACTCCAGGTCCATGTTCAAATGGGCAGTACTTTTGTTCATCTGGTGAATGCATTCCCGACTCAAAAGTTTGTGATTTACGATATGATTGTAGGGACAACAGTGATGAGCTGTCGTGTCCCTCTATTTGTAATTTTGAGGTTGATGTTTGTGGGTGGCAGGAGGCAGTTCCTGATAAACTTGACTGGATACGTGCCAAGGCTGATGATAGTAATTTTGGTACTAATACTGATGGACCTCTTGTTGACCAGACAGGAAATAGAGATGGCCATTTCTTGTTTTTGTTCAAAACTACTGATAAGTTGATTGATGAAAAAGGTCTTGCTTTTACCCACTTTTACCAGAACACAGCCCCTTACTGCCATTATCATTATTGGTTCTTCAATAAGGGAATTCTTGGATCTGATATTATTCTCAGACTTAATTCTACACCATATGAATTCACCAATTTAACATTCTTCACAAGTGAGTCTGGGATAGATGAGAGTCATTGGATAGATGGAGAAGTAGGTATTGGAAGACAGAAATACCCCTTCCAACTTTCTTTCTACAAAGAACCATCAGACGATTACTTTGGAAAATTTGCCATTGATGAGACACTGTTCGACCAGGGTTGCCACTATCCAGATCCCGTAGATGGCAACTGTGCCATTAATGAATACCATTGCAGAGTTACAAAGGTAATTACTTAGTTTCAGTAATTAATACTACCTTTATTGTAGTATTGTATATACTTGTACACTAAAATGTTTAATAAATCATTAGAAACAATTATGTATTCAACATGAAATATAGGTGTAGCTTCTGTAATATCATAATTTATATCTAAAAAATTTTTTTTACAGGTTTGTATACTGGCTGAGAATATGTGCGACTTAAGTGATGATTGTGGAACAGGCGAGGATGAATCTACTATTGCATGCCTTGGCTACCACTTTTTAACTCTTGAAGATGATACCTGGATTAAATGGTTCTCTCAAGGTCAAAATGGTGTTGACGATGACTTTGACTGGACGCTATGGAGTGGCAGCACACCTACTGTGGGTTAGTATGAGTACAAATTTGATTTCTTTAATTTTTTTCTTGGACCGGTTATACACACCATGACTGTCACTTCAACCTCAACCATAAACTGTTGGCTTCAATCCACAATTCCAGTCATGTACAGATGTACACAGTTTACTTTGTACAATAGTATTGTATATTCCAACTTCCCCATGCATAATGCATCATGGGAATCTTGGGCACCACAGGAACACAAGCCATTATTCATACACCATTCCCAGAAACCCTTGGCATAATGGATCTTAGCTGCCATGCTCTACTTGTTCACTGGTGAGCCAACAAAAAATCCTGGATAGTAGCACAACCTTTTGAAGACTAGTGTCTGAATTGTTTGCGTGTGGAAGTAAAGCAATACTGCCATGATTAACCTCATTTTTAAGGCCTTATACCTCCATGAAAAGGCTTCAGTCACCCTTTGCACTAAAATGACTTGTACCCTTATATTTTGGTTATATTTATTCTGCCCATCACCATTTCCTTCATTCAACTAATGGATCAGAGAGTGATATCAATATTTGAAATGTTTTATTTGAGGCATACTTTTCTCAGTTTCTGTAAGTTACCAATGGACCCTGTAGTTATCTACACTTACCGGTACCTTTTGCCAGCCTTTCCTTATACAGAAAATGATAAAACATGTTGATGAGTAAAGTATAGGGTACTAGCAAACCTGATGCCATAACAAAAGCAGTGCAGTGGCTGTAGGGTAACTCATCATGATCAGCTTCCATGTGCAACATAGGACCAATGCAAACTGCTCTATTGTAAGCTTGTTGATAGAGCAACCTCTCAGGAGTCACTTATCCCTGACTTTGGGCGCTTTTGTTGTCAAGTGAAAGTGCCAGCGTGTAAATTGCACACAGCTTTAGCTTCATAGTTACCATCAGGTAGATTTGAAGCAAATCTTACCAATGGATACCCTTCCTATCTCTAACCCCTTTTTACAAAGTGAGAACTGGGCATTATATGTAGGATTTCCTGAATTATTGACATAAAATTTATTAGCGTATCTTTATCCTTTCACATAGGATACCTAGAATTATACCTGTATGCCTTCATATTCACATACAGAAGGGTCGAAAACAACCCATGTTCAATCAATAATCTTTCAATACCTGTATTTGGAATAGCTAATCCTTATGTGAAAGGTCAAAATCACAGCTGAAGGTCATAGGTCAGGTGTATTACTAGATGTATTATATACTGTTCCAGTTTTGTTTCAAAATCAATCCCAAGATTTTAGTCACTAAATACCCAGACAGTAAGAATATAAGAGACCTGAGAACAATGTCATGAATATTTTTCCAAGGAAGTAAGTTCGCTGGGTTTTCAGAGTAAGAAACAAAGATTCGGTTGGTGAGTTATGAAACTTGAAACATTGTAAAGATATGACGATGTACAATTTAGGGTATTTTGAGAAAGGTTTAAAGTAAAATTAGGAATTTCTGTTTACTAAAATATAGAATGATAAGTACTACAGTACATTACAATACCCAATAAGAAGAATGGTAATATTATAAAAACATAGAGGCTTTCAGAATACATTTTAGATGATAAAATTTGCAAAATTGGAGTACAGTACAGTACAGTACAGTACAGTACAGTACAGTACAACATAAACAGTCTAAAAGAAAGATTATACAGTACTTCATATATTTGAGGATAACTCTCATCAACAGGTACGGGTCCTAACTTTGATCACACAACCTCAAGTTATGAGGGCCACTACCTTTACCTTGAAACAGCTCATCCTCAGCACCATAATCAAAAGGCCTGGCTAGTAAGTTACCCTATCATAGCTGGCCCGGACTGCACCTTTACCTTCTATTCCCATATGTATGGTAGAGATACTGGGTCTCTTTCAATCCTGTTGCGGTAAGTTGAAACAACTCATCCATATTATGTCTTTCATTGTATGTACAGTATAAATAAAATCTTGTCCACGATCAAGTTTAAGGGTGACAAATTATATTTATTATTGAATATACATACAAACATTCAGTTTTAAATAATTTGGCTAATATTGGTTTTTGTAAATAAAAAAGTGTAATACATATACCTGTATAGAATTTACTTTCTCCATTTACTGTACTGTACTGTATATATGTTTCACAATGAACCCATCCACTCCACCTCTTTTCAGTGTAGCAGACACATGCTTTAAATGTATGTGGCCGCCAGGGTATGACAAACAGTATACTGTACAGTACAGTGTATGTAATTGAAGTACGAGTAGTTTTTTTATTAAGCTTCTTAAATATATATGCCTTACATTTTCAGAAATGAGTCACATTCAAACTTGACAAAAATATGGACTATGAACTCAGAGATTGGAAATTTCTGGGTGAAGCAGGTTTTGACACCAGACTTGCTGCCCCACAAGGTACCTTTCCAATTAATATTTGAAGGCACAGTTGGAGATGAGCAACTGGGAGACATTGCTATTGATGACTTTGTCTTCTCCTCAGACTGCAGGTAAAGGGTATTTTAAGCATCACAACTTACTGATATTAAATGTCCTAATCAAATAATATAATTTCCCGTGAAAATACTGTGCAGTTAATATATACTCCTCAGGGAGATTACATACAATGTTTTTAATTTTACAAACCAATCAAGTGGAATTTGGTGATGGTTGAATTGCATTACTTAAACATGAAAATGCCAAATAGAGTTCTCAATATGGTGTAATGTAACTGCTTGAGAAAATTCTTAATTTTTATGTAATTTATAGGCACTACATGTAGGTGGAGTTGAATTGGAGAATAATGTGAAAAAATATCCCCGAGAGAGAGAGAGAGAGATCAATATGAGTGTATAAGAGTGCTTTAGTCTGTCTGAACAAACAGTAGTGAATTAGTCTCTGAGTATACATGAATGTGCTGTTCCGAGTGAGTGTACAAGAGTTTGCTAGTCTGAAAACAAAACGAGTGTGTTTGTCTGAATTAAAATACAAGCTTGTGTAATTCTAAATGAGTTGTTAAGAACATGTTAACCTGAATAAGTATACAAGAGTATATTCTGTATGGTTATGTAAGTGTTAGTCTGAATGAGTATGTAAGAGTGTTTTAGTTTGATGTGTAATCAAGAGTACTGTACTGTACTGTACTGTATATTAGTTTGAATAAATATGCAAGTGTGTTTTGAGACCAAGGTGTCTGAATAATGATTTACAAAAGACGTACCCAGTAGTGGTACAGTGAATTATGCTAGCAGGCCATTGTTGGATGGCTTTGAGCATACAGGGAGTGTATTACCTCCTTGTAACACACCCATCACCATTCAGTACAGTATTCGGTGTCAGCTGTGACATACAATAATTGCTTAATGTTCGCAACTGACTGAAAAATTTTATGAACTAGTAAGACATTAAAATATCCTGAATAGGATTTTTCCCATGTGGATTCCTCAGAAATATCTTCTTATCAAAAAAGTTTGGTTAGTTACTAATAAATTCATTCATGAAATTTATCCCCATGTTGGCTTTTTATGGGTTATTCTTAAGAGGTATCACTTCAGTTCATTTTAAGATGTTTCATTTAAATTAACTCGAGTTTTCACTTCTCTTTAATCTTAAAAGGTTTTACCAAATTCAGTTTACTCATATCACCTCAGTAATATTTTAATGCTGTATTTTATACAATTCATGGATTAATTCATGTCAAGTTAGAATCTTGAGTCGTCCATTTCCAGGAACTAATTCAACTTATACTACAGACTTGATAGTCAACCTACACACAACTGCACTGCGGAAGAATATCAGTGTAGTGATGGAACGTGTTTGCCTCTGAAGAATCGCTGTAATTTTGCAGTTGAGTGTCCAAATGGTGACAATTCAGATGAAGAAGGGTGTGGTGAGTTTCATTACTCCTTAATAAATATGGTATTATACAAAAAACTCAAATAGTGGATTAATAAAATGGGGCATTGCATCATGAAATTTAAACACAAAATTTGCCATGCTTTTTACAGTGTCTCCAATGTGCACATTTGAGGATGGTGATCTGTGCAATTGGGAGATCAAAGCAAATCAAAACAAATCAGTGGAGAGCACAGAAAATGAAGAGATGTTCACGTATGTATAAGTATTGATCTCTGCCTATCACATATACCATAAAGAGCCAAAGGCTACTTATGTCTCTAACTGTCCCATATACCTGTATACTGTATGAAATTCTGTAATCCATGGTAGATGCAAGCTCTTTATTCTCCATATCTAAAAGTTTGCAGAAGTAAAGAAAACATCATTCCCAAAATTCTTCCAGTTCCTAAACAAAAACTGTTTTCAGGGATATTTTTTAATGTTTCAGTCAAAATTTTACTGTTTAGTTAGCTGAAAATACTTTTTCAATGTAGACACTTCATTTATTTTTTCACTTCTTGTTCTTTAGTGCATTAAATGATCAATACGGTAATACAGTTGAGCCTCAGAATTCCAAAAATCAGAAATCCGGGGCACACTTTAGAAAAAAGGGCGATGAAAGTTATTGATAAGAAAATAAATTTGGTGCTCCTGGATCACAGGAAAAACTTAAACTGCATAAAAAATAAAAACAAAAAGATGGGATGAATGTTTGAATGAAAAGATGACCAGTAAATTAAAAAATAATATACAAAACACTGCCAATATAACGAGAGCCACAAATGAAATCATTTAAGACTATTGTGTTCCTTGTTCTAATAGCAGTCAAGTCTGTTAACCACTACTGAACTCCACATCCCCTCACACATAACATTTTCATATTTATAAGCATTAAACCTGATTTTTCTCTTACTTTATATGCAGGCGACCTTCACTTTATTAAAAAACAAAAACAGGTTTGTACTGTACTTGAATACTCATCAATAACAGGTACATGTAATCACTTGAGTTCCGCCATTTTCCTTTGGTTCTGGTTCTCAGTAGACATTCCAAAGAGATGTTCAGTGCATCGCTCTGCTCCTTATAGTATACAGTAAATACAACTTAGCCTTCTTATCTCGTTGATTTGTTTTATTACAGTTTTGATTTACGGCAATTTAATTTATATGAGTTGCCCGTTGTAACACCAACATATGCAAAAAAATCATGTTATGAGATAATCAAGGTTAATGTTTGTGTGCATTGTTTTTATCATTACTGTACTCCATAACCAACCAGACGATTTTAATGATTCTGGTGTCAAAAGATAGAGAATTTAATGTAGTTTTACAATTTGTAAAATTATCTTAGGTAGCTAAAGTCTGAATACAGTAGTCATTAGGTCAAGTTTATATTAGAGGGTCACTTTAGAACACTCGGTAAATGTTCAATAAGTATCAATAATCATTCATGCAAATGTTAATGTAACAATCACTAGCCCAAGACAGGTGTACAGGTGTGTGTGGATGACAAACACTAGTTATAAAGAAAATACTGGAGAATCATCCCCTACAATAGCAGAGATCTAAAAGATGTACCTTCTCAAATCATTATCTCATTTATTATTTTAATTATAATTCTTAAATTTCTATCATTATTTTTGTGCTCGGTAAGGAACAAAATCTAACTTTTTGTTTCAACTTATTTTCATATAATTAGGTGGAAGATACTTCGTGGAATGGACTCGATAGATAATGAGGAACAGCTCCCGTTCAAGCCCAAACAAGATCATACACATGGTGATGACTCCAGTTATTATGCATTTTCTTCATCATCTCGTGGAGAATATGAAACTGCAACAGATCTAATCACCACGAGGGCCATTGGTAAGTTTATTATTGCTAGAATATTTTGAGTCAATTGCTAGTATGTACAGTAGTTGCAGTATTAATAAAGCTCATCAGACTAATGAAGGTAAATAAAATATGTGGATAGGTATTTTCATGCCATCTCATAGGTTTATAATTGTATTTTAGAAAAGAGTGTGTAGAATCATTTTCTGTATGACTGTGCTGTCCAGGATTGACCACAGAAAACCTTTCTAGAGTGGCAGCATCTGATGACATTTTACTATTGTCTAAATACCGGTAGTTTATATAAACAAGTTTACAGAGTTATTTATTTATTACTTTATAAAACTGGACAATGAAGGTCATAACAGAGAACAGACTTACTGTCCAACTGGCAAGCTGACAAGTGGTGAAAATGATAAACTGAAAGAAAATGAATTTAAATTTGATTAAATATGGCACCTGACACATGGTAAGTACTGTACTGGTGTAAGCAGTACCGGGTAAGTTTTGCTTGTTTTCAACTGTAAATCTGTAAAATAGAACTCATTAAATTTAAAACTTGTACAGTATTAACTTTGAAGTATAGTACTGTATTGTAGATAAGTTGTATAGTGACTATCATATATATGAATGTGAAACATTTTTTAGGATTCAGGTCAAGATAACAGATGAATACATGAATTAATTTTGGTAATTTTTGGAAACACTGCTCTGGCTATTGATTTCTTAGGTAGAATGCTGTTAGCAATATCACCTGGTGCACATAATGAAATAGGGTTACTGTTTTTTATCATCTGGATGTATAGTACTAGCTGATTGTGTGTTGACTGACTGTGAATAAATCACTAACTCAGATTTTTTGACCATCCCATGCTGGTGAAAATTCTTAGGATAAACTTAAGTTATAGAATGCTTAGCAGACTCCCAAGTGGCATCTCACTCTACCTCCTCCCATTCCTCCCAAAAAATAAACACCCTCCATCAGGAAACAGTACAATCACTTTGTCTTTTCACACCAGTGCCATTGAGTTCAGTCAAAAAAATTTCCTTTTTTTTTAATACAAGAGGAAATTTTATTCTCAGTCTGAAATTATTACAAACTTCGTATGAATTACAACAGGTGAATCAAGTGTCACGTGCCGCCTACATATGTGGTATTGGATGGCTGGAACTGAGCCTGGCTCACTTCATCTTCAACTTATTTCTGCCACTGATGAGGTTACAGAAGTGTGGATGGAAGATGGCGATAATGGAAATGTGTGGAACCTGGTATGGTGTTTATGTCTCCTAATATTTTCTTACTGATATATATATATACTGTATATATATATATATATATATATATATATATATATATATATATATATATATATATATATATATATATATATATATATATATATATATATATATATATATATATATATATATATATATATATATATATATATATATATATATACTGTACTGAAATCAAATACTGACCAGTAATACTGCACCAGTTACTGTATAATTTATTCTGTTTTTACTGAAATCATTTAAAACTTTCAATTAATTTTAATTACCAAGTATTTTTCAATAGTTCATATTATTAAAATACAGTACATTTCTAAATTGTTTTTACTTACACAATAACAGGTAGAAGTACCCTTAAGCCATGTGTTTGAGCAGCGTGTCTCCTTACGTGCACAGCGGGGTGTTAGCTATGAAGGGGCCACTTCACTTGATGACATACAGTTTGTGGATTGTATCCCACCAATAATGCCTCCAAACGGTAAGTGTTGATTGTGGGGTTTCTGGCATATACATATGTAGGTATAAAGCTAGACGTCACATTCTGGACTTTATCACAAAAACTGGTTTTTAGAAAAAAAAAGGCTTTTTCTCTATTCTCACTTAGATATTGAGGCGAGATCATAGGCTGGGCAAATGGTAGACATACCTGTTATGTTCTCTACTAACCAGAGTATTAGGGCTACTAATTATTGCATCCCCTAAAATTACTGGTAACAATTGCCAGTGTCTTTTATCTTAATTCCCCACATTGATTAAGATCATATTAAAGGTGCTCATACAACCTGACCAGAAATGATCTTCAAATAAGTTATAATCAAAGTTACCTTTAAATGAGGTCTCTGCTGTAGATAACATAAAACACTGTTCAGAAAACTTTTGCCCTTATAGGCTTCAAACAAAGATTCACCATTTCACAAACTGTCACCATTGCTAAAGGAATATACTGGAGATTGGAGCATAATGAATAATGAGTTAACTTGAACACAATTCAAGGAAGGAATTTCGGAAGACACTACAGTAATTAAGCTATGTTGATATTTTTTCAATTTCAGGAAAGACATGTCTTGAGCTGAACAAGTACAAGTGCAGGGCAAGTACCTGCATTGATGAAGATAAAGTCTGTGACTACTCAAATGATTGTCTTGATACATCTGATGAGATACAATCCATATGTGATACATACAAGTTCCGGTGCAGTTTTGAGGATGGTTTGTGTAATGACTGGAAAGAAGAAATTGAAAACACTGCTAACTGGGTGCTGTTGCAGGCATCAAGTAATGTTGTTGGTAATCTACCAGCAACTGACCACACAACATACACTACAGAGGGTAATTTTAGTGTATTTGAGTTGTCAAGCTTAATTACTGCTATAGTAATAATTATTTATACACCTGTATATTTTAAGAGCTCTCATTTATCCAAAATTCAAATAACCAAAAACACCCAGCATCCAAAAAAAATCATATACAACACTTATAACATCTTTCATCTATTTATCCAATAAGTTATTCATCATCTGAAAGCTCTGCTATTCTTTCAGAGGCAATCACCTGGCCATTTTCCACTTTTCACCACAGGTCTTTCACCCACATCACTTATATTGTTTTCAACACATTCACTCTCATGCCCTTTCACTCCGTTCTCTCTTTCTATTTCATAAGTTTCTCCACAAACTCTTCATTACTATCTGCCATCAGCATACAACTATGCCCAGGGCAGATCAGTCCCAAAATTTCATGGTAGTGCCTCTTTAATTTTGTCATCATTCTTATATTTTCTGGTAAGTGTTTACTGAACCCTTCTTTCGTTTGATACAAAATCAAATGCATACAGTAATTATTTTGCATATAGTATGTTGATAGCCTTGTTATTAGGTATTTGACATTTCAAGATTTGTAGATGATCACAACTAAAAAATATTAAAAGTTTATGAATGTGCTACCACATCATGAGTATGGAAAATGATTATTGTGGTGTAAACCTGTTGTAGTTACAAGCAATATGATTTTTTAATAATTTGCATGAAGTGATAGGGATAATCCAGATGGATGTCTTGGGACCTTGTTGTGGAAGGGGATCACCATGAAAGAACACATCTTTAATAACAGAGTTGACAAATGACAGAGCATGTTGAACTTAATTTCAGACACCTTGTAATGTTGTGGGAGAGATTTAAAGAGTAAAAGATTAAGTCTAAATGTTCTGTATAAGGCTATCTTAGGCTTTCAGGCAAGGCATATTCTGTCATTTGAAAACTGAGAGCCTGTATAATAAGTGTTTAATGCAATTAAAATTTATCCACAGGACATTATCTGAAGTTTGATGGCAACACAATGGAGAATCGTACAGTTGGACAAATCCGGTCACCAGTTTTGCGTGGTAGTTCTAAAGATTGCTTCTTCAGAATGTGGTACCAGTATCTTGGTGATCAACCTGGGAACATCACTATTTACAAGTTAGTTTAAATACAGCACTTCATTATATAAATTACTGAATACTGGTAAAAAAAATTATGTATAGAAAGTAGTGTATGTCAATTTTAATCACTTCATTTTTTTTTTCTTTTTCCAGGCGTTATACATATTATAGAGATGGGTTAGTGGTTCTTTCAAAATGTGATACTTCTGTCAAAAATTTGTGGCTCAGAGTAAATCTTCCAGTACGTAATGGTTTGGACTACAGTGATTTTGCGGTGAGTGTTTATTTTTTGTCAATTGGATAACTGTTTCCAGGTATGTAGTAAATCCCGATTTATTATTTATAAATATTTATATTTAAAAAAAACAAGATAAGTAAGAAAACATTGGTGATGTTATACAGTTTTGCTATTAGCTTATTACTGCATTTCAACATCTAAAGTCTTTAAGCTCATAAAAAAGTTAGTAATTACCCTAGTCCATCAACAATTAGATTTATGAAAGGTAAAATTATCTTGAAACATCATGTGGTTAACAGCCAGTATACTGCATTTACATCTTATTAAATCCAGATATGTTGCCAAGGACAAGAAGAACTTGAAGATCATAAGTATTATGTACAAATAGGATCACTTTACAGGTTTCCACTCCAAAAGCATATCTGAAGAATAATTATCAATACGTACCTGTGCAGTAGGGTTGGGATATATCGTGAGATAGGGTCCAAGGATGTTTGCTATATACTAAATCTTGATATATAATTACATGTAATCAATGGAGAAAATAGGGTAGATTCTGGAGGCCAATAAAAGTGACTAAGCTTGACATAAAATGGCACAGTCTGAAGTTAGCAAAATATAAATTACATTGCTGGAATCCTTGCAAGACAGCGAATAATTTGAATATAGACATCATACATTTTGCACAAGAGATAAAAATTCAGTCATTTGTACTAAAATGTACTAATTAGTACTAAAACTTTTATGTCTATTGCGAACTATAGCATGTTTATATTCAAACTAATCACTATCTTATAAGAATCCCAGCATGTAAAATATATATATCCCCAGGTCAGTTCAGTGACATTTTATAAGAGAAAAACATAAATTCCCTTAATGACAGATAAATAAATAACCACTAGGTAACCATTGTCTGGCTCCAGCCCAGCTGTCATAATAAATCAACTCCCTCTGACTTCCAGTAAGAGTGACTGTGGTTTTAGGCTAAAAAGTTTGATCTTATAAAATGGCACAGTCTGAAGTTAGCAAAATATAAATTACATTGCTGGAATCCTTGCAAGACAGCGAATAATTTGAATATAGACATCATACATTTTGCACAAGAGATAAAAATTCAGTCATTTGTACTAAAATGTACTAATTAGTACTAAAACTTTTATGTCTATTGCGAACTATAGCATGTTTATATTCAAACTAATCACTATCTTATAAGAATCCCAGCATGTAAAATATATATATCCCCAGGTCAGTTCAGTGACATTTTATAAGAGAAAAACTTTAAGTCACTCTTAAGGACAGATAAATAAATAAGCAATAGACCTTAGGCACCAACTGTCAAACATATCATCTCAACTCCCTCTCTCCCTTCCCTCCTTCCCCCCCCCCATCTTCCCAGCCAGGGTTTGGTAGTTTTAGGCTTTAAGTTTTCATCTTATATAATATCAGAGACTAAAGTTAGGAGAATATAATTTGCATTGCTGGAATCCTTGTAAAACAGTGAATAATTTGAATATAAGCATCATATATTTTGCACAAGAGATAAAAATGAATCTCCTGTATCACAATACAGTAGTAATTTATGAGTTCTAGTGTGATATTTCCTGCCAGATTTACCTCGTGAGATAAAAAAAATATCGCTTTTTATAGGAAAATGTCGATTATTTGGGTAGCCCGTGATATAAACAAAATCTTTATATAAAATCGCTATATATCCCGACCCTACTGTATGTGTGAAATGACGTATTTAAGTGCAATATATAGCGAGGACTCCTTGTATTACCGATGTTTTTTCTTTTGTAAATTCAGGGTTTTTACTATTAAATGAAATACTGTAATGGGATAAGAAAGCCATTTTTTCTAAAAACCAGTTTTTGTGATATGACCCAGAATATGACTTAGCTTTTAACCTAGGTATGTTAATGCCTAGCAATAACTTACCAGGTCAAAATACAGGCAATTAAAACATCTAATAATTACTTAATACAGTAAGTAATATTAGGAGGACACGTCGCTACCTGGCATTTAATTGCAATTGTCGAAATCTTGTAACTGCAAATTTTCTTAAATCAGATCCCCATAAAAGGGGGTCTACCTGTATTTTTATTTCTGTACTGTTGAAACTCGATAAAATAATTTTTTATACTTCGCCAATGTTTGTATCAAGAATTTTGTGAATCTGTATGCACGTGAAATAATTTTCTTATATTAAATCCGAACTGGAAATAATTGTGTTTTTAACAGGTTGTTGTGGAAGGTTCTGCTACTCCTGAAAATTCTGGAAACATGGTGTTAGATGACTTCTCTATGTCAGATACTTGTGAACTGTCTGATAATCAGAGACTGCCAGGAAGTGATGATTTGACAACACCTACACCTATCTGCCCAGATGGTTATGAAGCATGTAGTAATGGCAAATGCTATCAACCCATTGAGGCGTGCAACTTTAAAGATGATTGCGGAGATGGGACTGATGAACGAGACTGCAGTTAGTATCTCCATAGCTAGTTTATTTATCTTGTTATTTTTTACTTTATGTAATTATACTCATGTCGTTTTCATATTAACATATAATATAATGTAATTGCCACACATCATGCCTCATAGTTTTATGTAACTAAATCTTAAATGGTTATTGATGGTTGGTGGATAAAATATTGGTGACAGGCTATATATATATATACACACATATATATATATATATATACATATATATATATATATATATATATATATATATATATATATATATATATATATATATATATATATATATATATATATATATATATATATATATATATATATATATATATATATATATGTATATAAAATTTCACCAATGGACTTGTTACGTGGAAAGCGTAGTTTCATAATGAAGAGGAGGACCAGGGCAAACGCAAACATCTTGACTAAGTTGGGTTTCTTTAGTTACTAACATTTCGGAAAATCATTTTCCATCATCAGAGCCTAGGGTAGATAACAGACAAAAAGTTTTTTAAAAATTACAGGTAATATACAGTAACCCCTACGCCCCGGGCTAGGGTGCCGCTGGCCTTACACTATACGCGGGGTAAATCGAGAAAAGTCAACTTTTACAAAAAAAATTTTTAACTTTTCTAAATGATAAAACAAAATAAAAAATAAGTAAGAAAAACTATATATTGACCCTATAGAAACTTCCCTGTGGCAGCAGTGGCGAGGGAGATAAAGAGACAGTGTTGTTTTGACAGATGACGCTCGTGGTCACTACGCACTTAGCGGCCATTTTCTGCTTGCCTTTGTGTCCGGGATGGCCAGTAATGCATATATTTACTGATCATAATACTTATTTCCTCTAAATAATTCATTTAGAATTTATTTTATTTGCATTATTTTTCATAAAAAGTGCTCGGCGACACACACGCAGTCTGTCGCAGGTTGAGGGTCGACTCTCCATGGCAACAGGCTAAATGCGTACCAACTGCACTGAGCCCACCCATGCTACCCTGCTTGTGGCGTGACCACCAAATAGTCATTCTGGAACCTAATAACCCGCGCTGGTCATTCAAACAATGGCGCGAAAAGGCTCGTGTTCCGGAACCTCAACTGGGGCACCCTAGATGGACGTTACGGAACATCAACCGGGATGTAGGGGTTAAAAATGGAACATTATTCTAAAATTTACCTTCCGCAATTTTTTTAAAAAGAGCATTATAATTTAAAACCAATACAAAATGACGGGAGACCTACATACAAAACTAAAATCAGAAAAAAAATAAAATAAATAAATAAAACATACAGGGGGTATTACATACCTTAATTTAGATAAGCCTTAGTGTAAGAAACACAATAATTCACAGGAAGCCATATCACAAATGGATGGCTTTACTTTATACTGATACAAGGCTTCCATAATGAGGGTCCGTCTCACAGTTACTGCTGCCGAGAACTGAGAAATTAGACTGCGAAAACAGGTGGCCAGGTTGGTGGGCGTGGTTACGGATAGCTGAATGTGGTGGTTGTGTGATAAACTGGCCTGTTCGGACGGAAAGCCAAAGTGCTCATGGATGCGGGTTATCAAGTGTCTTTTTGTTTTACCTATACGTATATGCTGCCCTATAGCTAGCACACGTAAATTGATAAACAACTGAGGATTGCAAGTGTGTGGGTATGGTGTCTAGTTTTAAAGAATTTTTTAATTGAATTCTGGGATTTGAAAACTAGTCTAAGAGAAATTTGTGGATAGAATTCATTGAGAAGCTTCTTAAGTTTGTTTCTAAGGGTGAAACTGAGTGGGCCTGTGTATGGGATGGTGAAATAGATAGAATATTTAGGAACGGTGTGGGACCAATTATCCTATTAAGGGTTTTGCCAAATTAATTATCTATAAATCTCTTAGGGAAACCATTGTTAAAGAGCAGTTCCTTTATGCACTTCAATTCAATGTCCAGTTGGAAATAGCTTGCATATATATTAAAGGCTCTGTCGGTAAGAGTACGCACTAGATATTGTTTGTAATTAAGAGGAATGAATGATGAAAATTTTTTACTCAAACCTGTGAATGTTGGATTTCTGTATAAGGCTGTCTCGAAACTATTATGAAGACGGTGGATATTAACATCAAGGAATGGTAGAATATTGTCCTTTTCTAATTCACAAGTAAATGTGATGTTGCCATGCTTTGAGACTAAAATACTTAATACCTTCAGAACGTTAGTATTTTATAATTACTTTGTAGCCAAGAGCTGTGACTTTGAGGGGGATGACTTGTGTGGTTGGTATGAGAGCAGTGCAAATTCCATCCATTGGAGACGAGCTGGCTTCCCTGCTCCACCTCCCGGCCCGGACAGTGATCACGATCATCAAAACACCACACATCATCTTGCTACTGCCAAAACTGGGGTTAGTGTCAGACATAATCATTCTGTTAGAAGTATTAAGGTTTGCCTTTTATTTCAGCATATGAACTTGCATTTTCATTTCACCCATTAATGCAAAAAATTAACAATGATTTGGAGATTAATATATACTGTATTGTACTTTATTGGTATATATTGTACTTTTGGTATTTTCAACAAATTTGATGTTATCATTTGTGTGTACAATACAGGTATAACTCATTTATTATATTTATGTATTCCTGGAAAAGGTAGTACAGTACTACAAGAAGCAGCTTGATATAACCTGTTTTAATGGAAAGGCATTTGCAACAGAAATATTTCTTACTAATGAGCGATATATGGGGAGTTCTGTGCATCTGATAAATGTATTAAAACAATTAATAGAAGTACAAATTATTTACAGTGATAATGACCATAAGTAATACATTACGTTACATACCCGGTACTTACCAGTTCATTTGGTCAGAGCTTGTGTAAGATTGACCACTATTTGCTGTCTCTGCTAACATAATCCTACTCTTACATATCAACCCAACACTCAACTGCCTCCAAACATTTTGCATTTATACATATATATTGAAGCTTTTCCTTGGCTGCTTTGCCACATTACCAGCAATTTCATTTTTACTCATTTTTCCAGACATTATGGGTCAAATATTAAAAGAAAAAGTAAGTTAATACCATAGTAGAATAAACACATTTTTGTATGAAGCATTCAAACTGGTGGTAAATAAAAATTTCCTTCAGAACAATGATCACCATAATGAAACACCTAGTCTTAAGAGGTAGACTTGTACTGTATGGGTTTAGAGAAAAGATTTTATATTTATTATTTGGTTCCTGATTTTCAATTTTATTTTCATTTAGTTTGTTAATAAAATGTTTGATTGTCCTTTGCCCAATTATTTAGCATAAATATTGTTAGTAAGTACCAAGCTTTGTTATTCAGCTACGTATTCGCAAAATAATTCTTGTATGAACACTTGAAAGTCAACTGGTGAATTTCATTGCAGGGCCCAGGAGGACAGGTTGCTGTGTTAGAGTCTAGGACATTCTCCTCTGTGAACCGTGATTGTACCCTTTCCTTGTGGTACTATTTGGCCAGTAATGTTAGTGAAGAGTCCACTCTCACCCTCCTAAGAAAAACTGAGGAGGATACAGTAAGTATATACACTGTAAAAATAATTTCAAAATGAAAAAAATTTGGTAGCAGGATCCACTTGCATATAATTAACAAAATATTTTCTTTTTCCATCAGTCGGAAATCTTATGGAAGGAAACAGCATCATACCTTGCAGGCTGGGAGCCAAATTTTGTAACCATTTCTGGCAAAAGAGACTTTACACTTCACTTCAAGGCTAATCATGGTCCAGGAGCAGTGAGTGAATACTTAGTATTACCGTATTATTATTATTATTATTGTGCACATGTAACTTACATGTAACCCATATGTACACACAGTAAAAAAAATACCACACGGATTATGTGCAAAATAATACAACACCATGGTCGAGGGATAGTGGAATATGCATGTTGGTCCTGTATTATAGTGTTAGCCCTGCTTTCCTTGCCTGAGGATGTCCTCACATATCTGTTGCTAATGACATATCCTGCCGTATGTATAGGCACGCATACCAATCCTACCTGCACATCAGGTGAGTGTATGGATCATTACGGAAGTCAGCAGAACCCCCCCTGCGCGATACTTTTTTTACAGTGTGTACATTAGACATGCTTAGTATGTCATAGATATAAAAAATTATATGCATGATTTGAGTGTGTATTATAGGGTGTGTGTTTGTATGAACTTCATTTAAATAATTAAAGTTATGTGTGGATAGAAAAACTTAATGAGGACATTGAAATCCACAGAAGAAAAGTTTGAGGAGTGAAGAAAGTGAAAGATATAGGTAGCCCAACTTGACCTTACATGGAGCAGGGATTGATGTATTGCAGCTGGGGTTAATAGAAGGGTAGATGGTGGATTGAATTTCTTTTACAGTGACCATAGAAATTGTCATAAAAAGAGAAAGTGAAGGGACAGGTTGTCTTAACATAAATGGGAGATAAAGAATAAGTGAGGGAGTGGTTGTTGATGATATTTTACTTTTATCCTCTTCACCACTGGTCGGCTCGTTAGCCAGTTGGGTCACATCTCTGGCTTTAGATTGAATTTTGTCTAATAATGATAAGTAGGCTTGTGGTGAAACACTCCATACATGAAAAAGTAAGTTGTTTTGTGGAAGTATGGAAAAAATAGAAAAAAGAAACCTTGTTTTGGAATGCATTCATTTTAACATAGAAATGTAGGAATTACAAAGAGAGACTATTAATTACAGTAACACAAAGGATATTTTCATTATTTACTATTACAGTGGGGTCTCACTTAATGTAACTGAAGCTGGAAGTGATTATTTGTATTAGACAGTGAGTTTGTCTTGGTAGCATTGAGTGTAAATGAATTCCTTGTGCCTCATTGAGGTATTTACTAATGATTTGTTTTTAATATATTATATAAGCAATCTTTGGACTTAATTGAGTGTTTGATTTGGAATGGTTATGTAGAATTTTGTGTGGGGAAATGTCATCAGCAAAAAAATGTGTGCCATAGAAGAACTGTAGAGGAGGTCATTATGGAGTAAAATGTGGTTACACATTTTACTACTTATTATGACTCAAGTTAAGTCATTCCATGTACAGTATATTAAATGTTGGCTTATCTTAATAGCCTTACATTTCTTTTTTCCCACAGACTTACTTAGCTCTGGATGATATTCACTTTAGTCAATGTGCTCCAGACACTGATGAATGTGAGGTCAACACTGACTTCAATTGTGGTGATGGCTCCTGTGTTCCTCTTAAAGATGTCTGTGATGCCAAATATGATTGTTTGAATAAAATGGACGAATATCAATGTCCTCCCGTCAAGGTAAATCTCTTCGTTCTTACCTTTCTTTACCTCAGTTGAAAGTGTGTGTACACACACACACACACACAAACAGATAACCACTAATAACTAAAAATCTACTGATATATTGTGGCTCTATTATTTTTTCATACAATATTCCTCTCAGAGTGACAGCTAAGTTTGTCTAAAAACATCCAATTATTTTTATACTGTATAGGGCAACTGCAACTTTGACTCAGAAACATGGCACCTAGAGTGTGACTACATCCAGCGTACTGATGATGACTTAGACTGGAAGAGAGCAAGTTCCTCAGGTGACCCAGCACTTGGCCCACAACATGATCACACACTTGGTTCAAATGGTAAGGTACTACTGTTTTTTATTAAATGCACTTGCAGACCTTATTTATAGAATTCCTGCAATTTCCTTTTTCTTTTCCACTCGATCTTTACCCAGTACAAAACCACTCTCAATTATTCCATTACCAATTGTGACAATACCTCCAGAATTAAACCCCCTCCCCCCCTCCATCTGGGAAATTTTTAGTTTCTTGTGCATGGTGGGTTGGGAAGGGATCAAATTTTCTTACACATAGGTTAAAAAAATTACAAAATTATAGTTATTTATCTTTTGTAGGTCCATGGTGACTGGGATAGAGTTTAAAATTTGTGTGGTAAGTGTCCTCAGGCTTGGTAGTGAGCCAGAGTTGGTGTTAGCTCTTTCAAGACCAGACTTGACCAACACTGGTGCAGTTACAGATACAATTAGGAGCCAGTACTTGTCAACAGTGCCTAACAAGAGATGTGACCGACCGCCCAAGCGGATAACGAGCCAATCACTGGCAAAGGGGATAAAAGTAAAAGTTGTTTTTCACAAAGGATATGTTCCAGAAACCCCCTTGAATATCACAGTTTGCAAATATAATTTTCAGTCAAAAAACCTACTCTTTGAATGACCTACCTTCATTACATGCCCATGTAAGCATTGAAATACATGATAATCATCATGATAACAAAAAGAATCAAATAAAGCATTAATAATTACAGTACAGGGGTATAGTATTAAAATGCAGTACAGTAATGAATGGTGGTGGTGATCAGTTGACAAATGACCATGAGATGGATAAAATTGAGCTCACACCTTTCATTTGTATTTTAAATTGTATTTTTTATTATTTGTATTGATTTTTAAGTGTTTTTGTTAAAAAAAAATTTTGAGGCATACGTATCATGAGCATTATAATTTCTTGTGGCTAAGTAGGACTAAGTATGACTTGGGATGCACAAATTTTACATACAGTATATGTAAACTGTACCACAAGTCTACAATTCTATATATTGACAAAATATATCATATTAGTCTAAAAATTTAAATTAGTAAGGTTCAGTGTACTGTACAGTGTCTTCAACTTTTCTCAGCCAGGAAATAACCTTATACATATTCCCTACGTTTCCCTCAACTTAACAAACCTTTACGTAAATTAAAAATGAACTTACTCTGGCACTACTTAATTGGGCACTACTTAATTGGATCATTGTACTGTAGTATAAATTTTAAAATACAGGTAATTATTACACCTCTTATGAACACAGCAATTACAATTCAAATTTTTTAACCTTCAATACCAGCTTCCTTAAGACTATATGCTTCTCAACCTTTTTACAGGATATTACCTCTATGTCTCAAACACAAATGGAGAGCTTGGTCAGTTGGCCGGCATGAAAGTCGACTTTTTATACCCGCCCTCTGAGGATATATGTTACCTTCGTTTCTGGTATTACATGCACAGCGATGAAACTGCATCCAATGTTAGTAGAGGAATTCTTAGGGTGAAGCTGGAATGTAAGTTTAATCCACTTTTAGCTCTTACATATCTTTATCATGAAATTTGTATAATATCATACTTATAATATATAAATGTCATAAATCTGATTACGTAGCTATAAGGCATTCTTACAAAATGAGGGAAAGCAAACTTGTGGTTGTTTTGTTTCTCTTATTTTATAGCGAGGAGTGATGGACGAATTACAGCAGCGTCTATCAGCGGTAATCATAATTCTCAGTGGATGGAAGAGATAATACTAATCAACATGGGCAAATATTATTCTGTCATCTTTGAAGCTGAGACTGGAAACCCAATATACACATACATTGCCATAGATGATGTGTCTTTCACCCCAGTGAGTTTACCGTTGAAACACTTGTATTTCAATTTAATATGAAAAGTACTATGCAATATGAATACCCTTAAGCTTAACTATATACATACCATATTCATCACTGAAGATATTATTGTACACCTTCTCCCTTCATCATCATCATCAACTTCAAAAATGTTCATTCAGGGGGTTAGGTCATTGTAGTGTTCACTTATATGAGGCTGCATTTTCACTGGGTTTGCAGTTTCTGACAGAAAAGATAGAACAAGTGGAATTCCATTTCAATTAATTGGTTTTCTGGGTGCACAAATTAGGGTATGCCTTTTTCTTTTGGAGGGAGAGGTGCTCTTTCAGTACAGTAAGTGGAGAAGATGGCTGTTGGACAAAAAAATCATCCATTTTATGATAAAAGTGACCCAAAGTGCAACAACCACCCCAAAACACACCTATGAGTGCAGTATACCCACCCCCACAAACATATCCATGAGTATACCCACCCCCACAAACATACCCATGAGTATACCCACCCCCACAAACATACCCATGAGTATACCCACCCCAACAAACATATCCATGAGTATACCCACCCCACAAACATACCCATGAGTATACCCATGAGTATACCCACCCCCCCTCCCCATGAGTATACCCATAACATATCCCATGAGTATACCCACCCCACAAACATATCCATAGTATACCCACCCCAACAAACATATCCATGAGTATACCCACCCCAACATAACGAGTATACCCACCCCAACAAACCCATATCCATGAGTATACCCTTCAAACACCCATGTGGAGTATACCCTTCCCCCACCCCACAAACAGAGTGCTATCCATGAGTATACCCACCCCACAAACATATCCATGAGTATACCCTTCTCCACAAACAGTACTTTCTTGTTATGGTGGAAAAAAAAAATTCCCCCCCAAAATTATTGCTGCTGGAAAAGTCTGTCTGTGAGAAGAGTCAGTGTGGGCCTGGTGGAAACCAGCTCTCAGATTAGTAGTTCCACACTCCATGTACTGTATAAATAAAATTCTGCTCAGTACATACTACATTGCACCAAGGTTTGTACAGTATATAAAGTATTATTTTGATAAGCCTTATTGATTTTGGTCTTTGTTAAGATAATCACCCATTCTTTAGATGGCTCTTAGTGTAAAGTTAACTACAATGATTCCTAAATTTGCAGGAATGTGAAACAGGTGTTGGTCCCCCACCATTTAATAACACTTGTGATCCTAATGAACGAGCGTGCAAGGATGGAGAGTGTATTCCTGCAACTTTCTTCTGTGACTGCTATTTAGACTGTCTTGATGGTTCTGATGAAGACAACTGTGGTAAGAATTTTGACTCAGAGCATTAGTAATATATTATAGGCATTTGTTGGTTGTGAATTCTTCAATATTTTCTAGATAACAGATTCAGCAAGATGGCATTGCTGATAATCTGGGAGCTGGATAACATCCCGTGTCAACATCCCACTCTGGCAATAAATCTGATATTCTTTCATATATTTATGTTGACAAACTTATACCAAGATGTGAAAAAAGATCCTTACTTTTTAGCAGACTAATTTTTAGAAAATATATAAGATGTGCATGGTCTAAAAACTGGAGCTGCAGTCAGGTACAGAAACTTACACTGTCAAACATATCCTTTACTTAACACACTGAATAATATTTATCTAACTGATTATGTAGAGTCTTCAGGAGAATAAAGCACCACTTTTTATGCCCTTTAGACACACAGAACATGATGCAGATATTATATTTTGTGTTATGTCAAACAAGCACAAGGGAATAATAAAATGTTTAAATAATGTAAATTAGCTGAATTGTACTACATTGTGGTTATCACAGTAGTCAGTGACAACCACACACGACATAATGTGGATGGCGCTTATTTTATGCATCCAGTTTTGAAAAATTTATACTAATTGAAAAGATAATTTAGTAACTTTGATTAACCAGAAATAACATTGTTAATGGTGGTTACAAATTTTGCAATTTTCTTATAATTATATTATCAAAATTATTTTAATTATATACCGTAATAAAATAATATGCATATAAAGGCCTTACATCTCAGCCACACCAACAATTGTGGATTATTTCATGCATACATATAATTTCCTTTGAATTAGGTACCACCTGTACTACACTGATGACCCGTCCTACAACCACTCCAGGATCCACCACCACTACAACGAACCCCAATGCCTGTCAAGATACACAGTTCCCATGTAATGACAATATGACTACATGTATTCCATCTCTTCTCCTTTGTGACGGAATCTCAGATTGTCCCAACAAAGCCGATGAGGAGAAATGTCCAGGTATGTTTTCTGTTAAAAACAAAAAACATTTGGGCAAAACTTTTCTGTACTGAATATTTTTCAGTTTTAAGACTTACTGTATTATATAACTCAAATTTTTCTCTTCCCTCTAATTAATCATCTGATGAGAAAAGGTTTGGTGCATCGATTCTCATTAATTTCATCTCTTGCCCTTGAAAAACCATAGAAAGACAAAATAATTTATTCTTGGGGGTTCCTGTTTGATCATCGTCACCAAAAGGTCTAACCGCATTGCCTCCTGTGCTTGTGGGCAGTGTGCCACCAAGAGGTAGCAAGTACTATCCGAGCTAAATAAAGTTTTGGGCATTAAACACGAAGAAAAATTTAAAATGCATCTGTATAAACCCTGGTTTATTCATATATCAGTTGTCTAAGTGTACAGTACAAGTAACCAATTCTAGAAATCATGTACAGGGTATCACTCAAAGATAATAAATGACATTGTTTGGATGTTATCTCCATATAAATTACTATACAGGAAGTTATAATAACCCTGAGTGAATATCTTCTGAGATACAGCTTATCTTTTTATTTTCAATTCAAATTACAAATTATAAATTTTATTTTTTCTATTATTGAAGAGGTTATATTAATCATGAAGAATCACTCCCCATAGTATGTTGATCCTACAAAAAATATAATATTGAATCAATAAATAAACCTGGGATAGTAACAGAAATATTAAGGAGCAAAGTTGAGGGCAGGAGGACTAGGGTAAAGCAGAGACTGGGAGAATGAAATTATAAACTGGGTCTCCAGAGATATGCAATTTCTCAGAGGATTGGTAAAAACAGCCTGAAAAGGTTTACAGTGGAGGACTATGGTCGCCAGCCCTCAGATATGAGGACAGTACTTTGATTGATAGATGTTATCAGTCATTAAATTTAATACCCAGTCATTGAATTTGATATTGTCATAATGGGCAAAACTACTGCATCATTCGCTGGACAGATAAAACTATCGTACAGTTATTGTGGACAAACTATAATACAGTACACAATATTTTAATTATTATTTTTTTTTTATATGAAGAACACTGGGATGATAAACAACAAGGATTGCTTATATTTATTATTATATTTGCAAATATCATTTTCTGATGCATGTTTCCAGCACAGTAATTATGCCCAGTCTAAGCTGGTCCTTATATTCTTGTGACAATTAAAGTGAGTTTGCTATCTCACAGAGGATGGAAGATGCATGGACTTAGGATTTGGGTTTGAAAAAATTCTACACTGGCCAAAAATGCACCTTTTTTGTTCAATCCAGAATGCGACGTCTAGCTTTATACCTAGGTATGTTAATGCCTAGCAATAACTTGCCAGGCCAACATACAGGCAATTAAAACATCTAATAATTACTTAATACATAATATTAGGAGGACACGTCGCTACCTGTCATTTAATTGCTATTTGTGTTGTAATAGCTGAAATACTAAGTGCCACGAGGATTTTATATAGCATTTTAACACGGTGAGGAAATCGAGTGACTTTTATTTTGTTTATGTCTCTCAGATATTGTGTTTGGGACAATTTTTTATACGGTCTGGTCAGCATGGCGACCACAGCTCGTCTTCTATTATGAAGACAGTAGATCGTTAGTGACTAATGTCCTCTGCTTTCAAGTCACTTAGTGAATGATGTTGTTTATATAATGCACCTTTTTCTATCTACTTATGAATATTTTTCACACAAAAAACATACTCTAATGTGACATTTCATTTTCAGATAAGACACCTTGTGATGATGGTTTCTTTTATTGTGCTGACCCCTTCATGATAGAGCTTCCTTGTATGAGCAATTCTAATCTATGCAATGGCATGGCCAAATGTTTGACTTACAAAGCTGATGAGTCTCTCTGTGGATACTGCCCTGAAAATTATTGCCAGAATAATGGGACCTGTTCTGCTGTGAATGGAGGTCCCCCTGTCTGCAAGTATGTATTTTCTATATTTGGAAAGTTGCATGTACAGTACTGTATATAGAATTAATAATATGTAAATGATACCATTATAATACTTTTACTAGTTTTGCATCAATTGCTTCAAAATCAGTAATGAAAAGGATAAATCTGAATTACAATTACAGTTTGAGTTTACAAATGGATAACAAAGCAGCAAATCTTCCATGCTTATTCTCTGTCTCTCTCTCTCTCATCATCACTATCTGCAGTTTTTAATTTTGTTTTCTATTTTTCTTTTTTCCTTCCTTTCACTATGTCCCTCTTTATGTGAGTTCTGAGTACAATACAGTCATCCCTTGGTTATCACGCCTAATTGGGACCGAGCCGAGTGCGTGATAACGAAAGTACAGAACCTATGGGATTTATTCTAATGGGTTCCAGGCACCCAAGACCCAACCCCAATTTTCCCATTTTACAACCATTTAGACCCACTAAAGATATAGATAATGTAGTATCAGAAACACACATAGGCATGGCTAGGTTTATTACAAAGTGATGAAAAGGGTACGCTCAATACTGTAGTCCACAAAACATGTAGCTATGCTTTCTTTATTTGAGTCCCCTGTCTGAGGAGTCCTTTTTCTCATCGCTTCAGGACGCCTGAGTCCTCCGTTTTCTCTCAATCTTAGAGTGCACCCGAGACTTCGTTATTCCTTAGTAATGACACAGAATTTGAAATTGCAACTGGGGTTGCAATTGTTGAGGCAACTTAGATATGTTTGATTACAGCAAATGTGTTATTGTCAATTTTTAGGTGAAAGATTTTATCCTCAATAGATGTAGGTGAAGCAAATGGGTAAAAACACCTGGAGGCAACTGCGTGATAAAAAAAATTCTCGGCTTGAAAAATGCGCTATAACAGCAGGTGTGCAGATTTTGATGGAGGCGTGATAACGAAAATTGCGATAACCAAGTGCTCTATAATCAAGGGATGACTGTATACAAATTAACTCATGCACATTTGTATTTAACACTAAAAGTTTAAATTAACATCTTTTGGTTTGTAGGTGAATGATTTCAGATTCTAAAAATAATCGTGAGATTATTATTTTAATAAAAATACAGTAAACCCTTGCTATTCGTGGATTTGCAATTCGCAATTTTGACTATTCATGGTAAGCAGATGGTGGCTAGCTTACGAACCTCTCCTGCAACGCAATGAGTCACCTCCATGCGTTCACAGCGTCTCCTCTCCCTCTTCTCTCTTTGTTAGCACTCAATCATTGCCTGCGGCACAGAATATCTTGTGTTGTACTCAAAACTTTAGTGTTTTTGTGTGAAATGACCCCTAAAATACTGCCTAGTGTCAGTGCTAATGATGCTAGTGGAGTGAAATGTTTAGAAACCTCAAAGCCAAAAGAAAACAACTACCAATCACGATGTTTTTCAAGAAAGAACCAGCCATTTTCCCAGCTGATGCATCTCACTCGCTTAGTCAGGTGCTGCTGCCGCCGCTCTATCACCCACCTCCCCGCCACACACCACCCCACCACCTGCCTCCCCGCCATGCTCTTCTCCACCACCCGCCTCTCCACCAACCACCACTGCATCACCCTCTTCTAACAGTTATCCTGATGATCTCCCTATGCTTCAGTTACCAGATTTCATCCTACTGTACAGTACACTTCATCATGTGTGATTGAAGAAGCCGCAAGTCCTGAAAACTATGAGGGCAAACTTTTTCTGAGTTAGAGTTGTGAACTCTTGGAACAATCTACCAGAAAGTGTTGTGACGGCACCGAGTGTGAGCTATTTCAAGACCAGACTTGACCAAAACTGGAGCGTGTTCAGGTACATTCAGGAGCTGGTGCATGCCCAGTACTTGCCAACAGTGCGTAACAGAGACGTGACCGATCGCCCAAGCGGCTAACGAGCCGATCAGTGGTGAAGAGGATAAAAGTAAAGTAAGTGTAGTAGGTAGTAGGCAGCTACCAAACAGGAAGGTACTACCGCCTGAGAAGATATTGGAAGCATATTGTATTATCTAATGGTAGTCCCTGCTGCGATATGGCATCATGAAAATTGTGACCAAGTCCCAGGTTGCTGAATTGACTTTCTGCCTCATTTACACACATTGCAGGGTCTCAATTGTTTCTCTTACCTTTGACAACACAACAAACATATATTGTTTCTCACTTTTGATCTTTTTTTCATTATGTATTTCTTTGTGGTTCTTTATTATTATTACGGTATTATTATTATTATTATTATTATTATTATTATTATTATTATTATTATTATTATTATTATTATTATTATTATTATTATTATTATTATTATTATTATTATTATTATTATTATTATTACTACTACTACTACTACTACATTTTTGCCCCCCAGGCCCCAGTGTGTGTCAGTCACCTGTGCCCGGGTGGGCTAATCCCCGTAAAAAAAAAAAAATCAAAGTTCCACATATGAAGGAGAGTAGTATTGGTGACTTAAGTTTCTCATACACAGTAAAGGTATACAATAGTGCACTAAGGTAGTATAAGTTGCTATTTGCGGTTTTGTCAATTTGTGCCATTCCTTGGAACCTATCCCTCGTGAATAGCAAGGGTTTACTGTAATGTAAAATCCTAAGCTTTCTAGCTACCTGTATTTTGTAACATTTAAGGGCATTATGAAAGAAAATTCGGGTGGAGGTGCATAGGGGATGCTCACTGTAGTGATCTAATAACGTCACTGAGCACAAAATGGTGTCTTATTCCTACTCTGTGGGTCACTTTCGAACTATGCCACATAATCTGATGTCTATAACAATGGATACTCAACCGCAACCTAAAAATGGGCTTAGCGGAGAGTATCCTTAAAGTTGGAAATCCGTAACCCAGAGAGTGCCCATATTTGGACAGGTACTGACAGCGTGAAATTATGGAACTTATTGTGAAATTGCATACAGTATTGTGCTGTCATTTTAGGAAAGTCATGGGGTTGACAGAGCCTTTTGTACTGAATTTTCCATTCAGTCCAGCCATCCCAACCACCATACTTTCTATCTCTCACACACAAAATTTACTTCCTAATTTTTATGTTTATTATTCTATAATTGTTTACATGGAAATAACATTTCCACAACTTTTATGGTTTCTTATGTAATTGAACACTGCAGCAGATGCTACTCGGCTGCAAATTATGAATACCTGTATTTGAATACAGAATTTATTAAAAGAGGTAGTAATAGATGTAGGTACAGTCTCACCCAAAAGTTCGTTAACTCCCAACCAGCTATTGCTGCACTGCCTGCTTCAGATGTTTGAAACTGTCTCAGTACCAACCGGAACATGAAACTGATACGAATGAATCTAAAGGTCGCGAAATAACAGACTCAAGTTCATACATCTGAAGCAGGCAGTACAGCAATAGCTGGTTGGGAGGTAACAAACTTTTGGGTGAGACTGTACCTGTGAATTTAAGAACATGAATTTCTATTTCACAAATTATCCCAATTCCATTGGACTTCTATAGAATTTGTTCTATAATTTTTTAATGAAGTTTTATCAAAATAAAGCAAATAGAACAGATGTAAATCGGCAACTTGCTGTACCCATACTCCAACGGAACCCACTTTTACTAGTAGGAAGCTTTAACTAAGAGGCCACTAATGAGAGGTCACATTGCATTTCCTATTCTCTTTCGTTTCTCCTTTCCTTTCTGTACTATATCTCTCTTTGAGATAGTTCAAAGATTTTTTTTAGCTACAGGCTACCTGATTGTATGCATTTTAGCTTTGCAAATTTTTTCAAGAATATAATAAAATAAACTGATCTTTCTTTTCTACATCATTATTATACAACATAATTATTTTTCAGGTGCACAAACAAGTACACTGGTAATCGTTGTGAGTTGCAAGCACCATTAACCACCACCCCATCTCCAACTACAAGCATCTCCCCATCTACTCCATCTACTACAACGCCGTCTCCTGAGCTGGGCGCAGGTCCCATTGTTGGAATTGTGCTTGGAGTACTTGCCTTTATTATTCTAGCAGGAGTAATTACCTATTATTACATAAAAAAGAAAAGGTGAGCTATATTTTCAAGATATTTTTCTGAGCCATATGCACTTTATGTCTATTTGTTTTCTTTCCAGAATTTTACAAAATTTGTTCTCTTTTTGGAGCCCTTGTGGGGCGAGCGTCTGCCAGCTCCAGGTAAGGGCATTCGACTGAGTAGTGCTCTTTGAGATCCTTATACACCTCAATTAGGTCTCCCCTTGCCCGTTTGTAGTATAAGCTAGGTAAGTTCAGGCACTCCAATCTCTCAGGGTAGCTGAGGTGCCATAGTGCAAGCACCAGTCTGGTGGCCCTCCTTTGGACATTTTCAATTAACTGACAGTCCCTAGCATATCTTGGGGACCAGACGGGGTGACAGTACCCCAGATGGGGAAGCACTTCACTCATGAAAATCGATACGAGCAATGGACCGTCTAGATATCTGAACGACCTTCTTATAAGACCTCACAATTTAGTTGCCTGATTTACCTTCTTCTCGCAATGGCCAGAAAACTTCAGCTCATTGTCAACATACACACCTAGGTCCTTTTCACATTCACTCTCAATTAATGCAGTTTATTCATCCCGTTGGGGCATATGATACGCTTCCTTACGTTGGTACGCCACAGGTGCAGCCTCTTACACTTCGTGACATTGAATCTTGGCAGCCATTTCTTCGACCATTCTTGGAGCTCACAGAGATCTTTCTGCAGCTCTTCACAGTCTGCTTGGTTCTTAATTTCCCGAAATAACTTGGCGTCATCCACAAACATTTGTATCGAGGAATGTACAGTGGCAAGCATATCATTTATGAAACAAACAAACAACAGTGGGCCCAATACACTGCCCTGTGGTACCCCGCTTGTGATGGGTACACATGATGATTTCGTGCGATTAATCACCACACACTGCTTGATACTCTCAGGGTTTACACCTCACAAAGAGGGTGGATTGACAACACTAAATGTACAAGTCAGAAAAGTCCTCAATTGTAAAATGGTAATAAATCTTCATTTCCTGGATTCCAGAGAATACTGTATAAATTCCTTATATTGTTAATAGTGAAATAACATTAGTTGTGAGCTCATTGTAAATCACATTTTCAGGTACTCACCTACGAGAGACGGGAGCAATTGGGACGACCCTCGTCATCAGCCTTACTTTGGACTGGACATGCCACAGCCCACAGAAGACCAATACCCATTAGATGAACTAAATAAATCTAACACTGGTGAGGGCACCTCAAATCCAACTTTCCTTAAGGATTTTGAGGAACCCTCAGTGTCTAATAAACCTACATCAGATTTGTAGGGCATAAATATTATAGGTTTTATATAATTCTTGTACAGTATTGTTGTTTCCTGTAGTGACCATTTACCTTATTTTCTAATGTTACTTGTTAGTACAGTACATACTAGTCTTCACTCTGTGTATTCAATTTCTTGTAGATAGCTAACTATAGTTGAAAGAATTTACAATTGCATTGCCAAATTCAGGACAATTCTATTACAGGTGCTCCTCTACTTAAGAAAATTCAACTTACAAACTTTCAGAGATACAAACATCATCACTGAGGGGGTTACCTGCCAGAACAGGTGTTTAATGTGGATGAGACTGGATTATTTTGAAGAAAATTCCAGATAGAACAAACATTATCTTAGAGAAGAGTGAGCCAAGTTTTAAGGCTGTATTAAAGGATATAGCTGTACTGTACTAAATATCCATAATCTTTTCATTTTTTACAATATGTTTGGTATCTACAAGAGTAAAGTTGGACTTACAAACAATTGGACTTACAAACAAGCCTCAGGAACGTAACTCGTTCGTAAGTAGAGGAGCACCTGTATAATTTTTGAGAAATGTGAATACAGTATACAGTAGGGCACCATCCTACAGCCCTGGCTGTAAAATATTAACTTAGGAACAAATAAATTTCTATATCTTTTTTTAATACAGTATTTTAATTTCTGGTGTACAAAATATTCATCAATGCAATTTTTATGTTTTAAAATGCAATACAGTACTGTACTGTAATTTGAGTGTGAGACTAGTGCTGACAAGGCTATATTGCAGCCCATAAAGAAAGAAAACAATTGACAGACAGACATTTACTTTTGTTCTCTTTACTGGTGATTTGCTCATCAGCCGCTTGAGCGGTCGGTCACATCTCTGTCAGCAAGTACTGGTTCTATAAAATATTTGTACTTGTGCCATGGATGGTCATTTCTCGTGTTAAATGAACCAGCTCCAGGTACATTATATAGATTTTTAATCTGCATGCTCAAGAGTACCTATTCAGGTAATGAGATTTTCACCAAAATTCCAGAGATCAAGATTGGAATTTAATGTGTTTAACAACTTTAATTAAGTACTTCCAGAAGAACACCAAAAAATCACCACGGGAACCATAGTTGGTGAGTAATTATCATTGAAAATTTTTATTAAAATCTTCCAAATGTCATTATGACCACTATTACCCCATATTCGAATTATTTACCATAGATTTGGAATCTTCATGCTCAGGAGTGCCAATACAGTACTAAAATTCAATTTTGGGCCAAAACAGTGGAAACTGTAAGCCTAATAATGGCTTAAGAACATTTGGACTGATTATACTGTATACTTTTCTCTCAGAATTGAAATTTAAGGGGTCTAACTAATTAAGTATTGTACTGTACTTCCAAAATGACACCAAAAAGTCATCTCAGAAACCCATAGTGGGCAAGTAATTAGCATTGAAAAAATTTCATTAAAAGGTAGTCATTTGCATTGTGGCCAACCTTAATACAGGTGCAATATTGTTTATTGTCACGAATCTTCCACAATGTTACCCCATCATTGTTGTTTTTGTAATTCAGGACTTCCTAACTTAAGTACAAAGTTTAGCAGTATGTTTGAGGTAGTTCAAATTTCTTGAGGAATTTTATATATAGGATAAACTACAGCTGTTTCATGACTCATCTTGTGTACCACTCATATTTTTTGTGTATACAAGTATAAAAGAAAATATTTCATACATCAAACATTTATTGGGGCAATTTAACAGGGCAATAACAATTTCTACAGCTAAATAACAACAAATAAATAGTAGCAAAATGCAATAAATAAATCCCTGGCAAGGATAACAATATAAATAAACGTGGGAACAACTTGTCAACAAAAATCATTCGCTCATCCAGGTGAAGGAGCTTCAGTGGTGACCATTTGTACAGTTGTGGGAAAAAATCTGGGGTTGCTACAGTCAAATCAGCAGAAGAAGAAAGTGAACACAATAAATCACATAACAACCCCTTACATGAATATGATTTGTGCTACTGTAAGAGGAAGTTAATAAGACAAGTAGTCCAAGATAATTATTTACAAATATGCAAGTTGTCGATTGTTTTCTCAGGACAAAAATTTATATCACACCCTTCTTTGCTTTAACTTTATCCTTATCATTTACTGACAGGAGGAACACCTGTAACTTATGATTTATGCAGTAACTCTACCGATAAATCATATGAGTATGTTTAGCATTATGAACATTCAGTTTGAAGGCCACTGAGGTAAGATGAAGTGACACTGAAGTCACTGATAGCCAGTAACTTGTAAGCGTCAGGTACTTTCCTGTGAGGTTCCACTCAATATTGTTGAGTAAGTTATTCTCAGATCAGCCAAGAAAGTGTCACGCCACTTGATATGTTAGTCGAGTAGTCGAGGGTATTGGTGGGTACACGTCAAGGGACTTCCCTGATTAGAGAAATCTCTCAAGCAAGTATCTTCTTTGAGGTCCTCCTCCTGAGTAGTAGAACCAGGCACATTAGAAGGACCCTTGGTCATAGACCTTCGAGTAAACTGTTTTTTCTACACCCAATAGAGGAATAAGGAGGACATCAGGAAAATTGATGTCTCCTTACTTGCGGGAGCCCAGGGCCACGTCATTGACGATTTCTAGGGCCTTAGGTCCATCACACCTGCAGGGAAATAGGAGACATTACTAACTAGCTATATGTGAACAGTCAGGTTAGGGAACCACTTTACTATGGGCAAATGTAGAGATTAAGATTGGGAAAACTTTGTTGCGTGAACGATGTTTGGAATCCGCACGAGGATAACCTTGTTGTTGGGAAGATACGAGTAAGTAAGTACTGTCCACAGTCAGAGTTTCTCTTTACAAGTTCATGGAGAACAATGGGAGAAGAGATGTTCTGACCAGAAGATACTAAATTATTTCCTGATGATTTATGAAAGTATAGTTGAGATGAAATTTATTGTCCGGCAGTAAAAATGTAAGAGAAACCAAGTGGTAAAATGAGGATTTTTTCTTTGTTGGTCCTTAACAAGTAGGTAACAACATGTCTCGGTTGGGGAAATTATCATTTATTTTATTTTTTGGTAAAACCCCTAAGTGAAAGATAGAATCTTTACAATTATGACCGATCCCCCAAGTGGCTAACAAGTTGATCAGTGCCAAAGAGTATAAAAGTAAAAAAATAAAGTAAAAGTAATATATACTGTATAGATTTTGATCCTTAGTCAGCTGAGTGTGTATTTCACATTCAGCCTTTGAACATATAAATTTATTTCATCCAGAAAGGTATTAGTATTTTATTCAATTAACCAAAATAAGTTGTAACAGCCACTTTGCCAACCAGAATTTATGAAATCCATTCACTCAACCATAAAATATTACAATACTAACTGTGACATAATTATTAGTACAGTAGTTTAATATTTCAAGCAGATTATAATAGAGTACTTAACCAGATTATATACCTTAACCCAAGTAGTAGTACAGTATTTATAATTCCTTCACCTAAACATAATATAGTACTGTACTGTAGTTAACTTAGCCTTAACCAAATCATTATTAGCTAAATTACTCAGACATCATATACAGAATATTTAAAGTTATTCTCCAACCATAGACTATGAGCACTGTAGTTTAATCATTTGACCACTGAGTAATTTATTAATTTAACTATTAATTGAGTACATCATTAATTTTTCCATTAGTACATGTTAACAGTTTACTCAAACCCAAATAATATTTTCATTTTATTTAATCAATATAAACTAGTAGTTCTTTTTTTTTTTACATAATACATTACTATTACCTTATTCACTCAATCATAATATTTGTTTTTTAATCAACCATATTATTTGCTAATTAGCGATATTAGGTTTACTTGGGAATTATGACACTAGAAATTTGCTTTTTTAATTAACTCATACAAAAGTTATTAGCTGACAAAGTCAGCCAGAATACTGGAATGAATATTAATTAATAAAGATACTTTTTAGAACCAACATGAAAACTTCTATCAAAAGTAGATTTTCCTAATGTAGTTTGTATTATTTCAAACGAATCTGACCTTCATATCCGTTGCAAATGACCCGCTATGGAGATATGACCCCTCCCCTCTATTACCAACAATCATGATTGTTCAAAGTGGGTAGGGCTTTAAACTAGAGGGAAATTGTGGGGTAAAATACTAAAAAGAACGCCAAACAAACCTTTAAAAATCTTACCTAACCTATAAAAATCCTAAAACTAAAAAAACTTTGTGCTACTATATTATGCAGCCTACCGAGCTGTTTTCGGAGTGAGAGTTGTGAACTCTGCCAGAGAGTGTTCTGACGGCACCGAGTGTAAGCTCTTTCAAGACCAGATTTGACCAACACTGGAGCAGGTACATTCAGGAGCCAGTGCATGCCCAGTACTTGCCAACAGTGCGTAACAGAGACGTTACCGATTGCCCAAGCGGCTAATAAGCCAATCAGTGGTGAAGAGGATAAAAGTAAAAGTAAAGTAAAAAAAGTAGCTGTGTCTACTGGGATATTTACACTGCAGCATCCATTAACCTAACCTAACGTAAGATGGGTTAGGTTCACTTTTACTTCACTTTTATCCTATTCACCATTGATCGGCTCGTTAATAGAAGCAAGTGTAAATATCCCAGTAGACCAACTCCAGCTCGACAGATAGCATCCAGCTTAATAGACTGCATACTATAGTAGCACCACACCTTATTCGTTTTTTCGGTGTTTAGTATTTGATGGTGTTTTCGGTGTTCATATAAGGAGGAACCCATAAACAAGGAAGTAATTCTTAAACTTTTTGTAAGTTAGGTTAGGTTTTCAAGGGTTTGTTTTAGTATTTTATCCCCCATTTTCCCTAACAATCAATATTGTAGTTAACTAAGGAGGGTCATATACAGGTACTCGAAAAATATAAATTTGTAACGGAAACATAATGGAATAGTTTTCTCCGTATATAAATAGAATTATGAAGTCCCATGTTGGTCCTAAAAACGAATATTAACCTCATTTAGATCTAATTTCTCATTAATTAAAAAATCATTGAAAACTTCGTCCAAGAATCGTATTTTTTCGTTTGTTTTATTAGTGTACTCACTTGGGGAACATGATGTCACACTGCAGAGTCTCCCAGGCGGTGAGGGAACGCCAGATCTCAGACATGGTGTCCATCTCACGGTTTTCACGTTCAGTCAGTACCTTCAGTCCCACGCTGTAGGGAGAAGAACGTATTTAGTGATACTACAGAAGCATTTGGAATTTAAGTTAATAATCCTAACTTTGGGATGGGGTGATTATTGTAGTAGCACACAAGAAAAACAGGGGTTATGGTATGTGCACATCAGGGCCGGGGGTGGGGATATGATACTACTACTAATAATAATAATAACTAACAAAATTTAATAAAAAATAATAATAAGAATACAATATCAAAAAATACAAAATTAAAAAAAAAGATCAATCGTAAGAAACGATGTAAGTACTGAATGTTGTGTTGTCAAAGTAGGAGAAACAATTGAGACCCTGCAACTGTGTGTAAATGAGGCATAAAGTCAGATCAGCAACCTGGGACTTGGTAACAATTTTCGTGAAGCCGTATGATAGCAGGGTCTATACCATTAGACAACACATTATGCTTCCTATATCTTCCCAGGCAGTAGTACCTCCCTGTTTGATAGCTGCCTACTAATGAGCGTACAGTTCAAGTTTCCAATTCAAGTTTAGAAGCTCCAAAAGTTGTTGGTAGCGAAAGTCAGAGCGGGGAAGATGACAGAGGAAGGAGCAGGAGGTTAGGAAGGGAATTGTAGTGGGAGAGATAGTGCCGTGGCTTTACACGACTGCGTTTATTTGGTTAGCGCATAGCGCACGTATTTGGTTTTGTCTGTGTTGGGTGTGTGATCCTCGGGTCACCACTCCTCCGGATTGTGTCAGTTCAAGTTTAGAAGCTCCAACAACTTTTCCGAATCAAATCGTAAAATGCTAGTGACGGGGGAAGGAGGTTCAGGGGAAGAATAAAGGGAGGATTGAAGTGAAATTTAGGAGGAGAGAATAGGTGCAGTGGCTAAACACCGCTCGCGCGAGGGAGTATAAGTTGGAGGCAGCAGCAACTCGCCCGGACGCGGCCAGGAGGCGACAGGACAGAGTCAGGCTAGCGTCAGGTCAAGCGTCAGGTGCGTGTTGGGTTGGGCCATGGATTCTCAGTGCTTGGTCGGCTAGATTGTGTGTGTTGTTTTCTTGTGTGGAGGAAATGTCTTGGTATTCTTCTTAGCTTGATGTAGATTTTCTTCTAACTCTCCTCCTCTTCTTGCTCTCTTGGAGTGTCCATTCGTTCGTGTTTGGGTCTTGTTCGTCTTCCTCGTGTCTTAAGTCCTCATAGGTGTGGAAGAAGTCGGAGACGGTGAGGTTGACCACGTGGGCTTCAGCTCCACGGGCCTCGTGGTGTTCTTGATTCTGTGTGGCGAGTGTCGTTTCTTGAGTTTTCTTTTCTTGTGTTTTCTTTTCTTGATTTTTCTTTTCTGCTGGTTTTTTCTTGTCTTGGGAGCGTACAGCAAGGAGGGCCTCTTTGTAGCTCAGTTTCTTGTCGAGTCGCGCCTTGGCTATCCTGCATTCCTCCTTCCATTTCGGGCAGGTCCGATCGGCGGAGGAGTGTGGGCCGCCACAGGCAGCGCATTTTTTTACTGTGTTGGGGCAGACCGTGTAGCAGTGTCCGGTGTTGCCGCACAGGGAGCAGGTGTCCTCCTGCGCCTCACACTTGTTGACAGTGTGTCCGTAGTGCTGGTATTTGTAACAGCGTTTCGGTCTGCAGTAGGGCTTGACTGGCACAGTTACCCACGCCACTCTAACCCGAAAGGCCCATACAGACCACATTCACCACCTACTCCGGGTCATCACACGATACCCACCACCCAGATAGCTTAGAAAGCATCCTCTCCCAGCAAGTGTGGACCCCAGTTCGGGGGGCGCGCCACTCCGAAGCTGACCACGTCCAAGAGTGGGGGCTGGTGGTAAGCGTCCACTGATCGGGGGTCCGCTCACACTTGCAACCTGCAGTATCCCTCCAATCTGCAGGTGGGACCACCTCCAATCCCAATCCGGTCTGGCTGCTCCTGGAGCTCCAGCCGGAACCACCAAACGGGCCGCCTATAGGCAAAGGCCCGTGTCGGACTACGGTCCGACAATCTCAACAACAACAACAACAGCCAGGGAGACCATTCTACACTCGGCTACTGGACCAGCAACATCTCTCACAGCTCCTCACCACTCAGCTTCCTCAGAAACCTCCTCGCCCTACGGGACCTCTGAGCAAGTTTCTCCTCACCTAGTCACTCCTAAGCACTGCGCTGTACATCAATATATATACAGAAAGCGCATTGTGAGTTTCTATCCTACCTCATTCTTGAATGTGAGATATCTACATGTACGTACGTTTGTGTGCCCATAAAAAGAGAATTGACAACTGGCCACTTACAGTACGCTACAAGCCCACCCAGCTGGGTAGGGGGTAAACGGGAACTAATAGCCTACAGGCCATGACAAATCTTTTTTTTAACATAATTAGGATATATGAGAATATATGAAGGGGAGAATTCTAGCGCTAGAGGACGGAGCTTATTTCTACCGGACAAACCCAATGCTTAATTTTAACAGCGTAACATTAGGATTTCTCCGTGAGTAAAACTTTGGATTTTATCACTAGTGTGAAGATGTCGGTCAAAGGTCTGTAAAACAGCAGGGAAACTGGTAATTCGCCGCTGGCGTGTGTTGCTGTTCCTATTGACAGTTGTACCTCTTTCGTACTATCATTAATGGGTCCATAAATGGCACATTTCAAGTGGCCTGACAAAACGCACAATATCTGACAGAGTATATGGTAGGGCTAGTTTCCGGAAGCACATTCATATGGGAACATGAGCTCGTTAATATATAAACTGCTGTTACTTATGTTAGTAAACGGAAAACCGCGGTCGAGACTGGCAACACATGTTTTACTTAGTGGACAATATCTTAAAAAACTAGTCAGGTAACTAAAGGAGCACTCCAATATACTCAACGGTTCTGAAATTGAACGAAGGAAATACTAAGCAAAAAACTTGAGTACTGTACTGAGTTTACAGACCTAAAGGAAAAAACAAACAAGTCTAATAGATTATAGCTCCAGAAAATGTAATGTACAGTTTAAATTACGAGGGCCGTTTTCTGCCTCCAACTCTGCGAGCTGAGTACAACAACAATGGTTAGTATCTGTGCCAGGAGAAAATCACAAGTAGCGTCGTACCAATATGTCAGGTTTTAGCTAGGTAATCCTATGATATCGTTGTGCATGATTGAATCCAAGAAGAGGTTCAAGACTGATGAAGTAATCTCTGTACACGAAAGAACAGAATCAGTAAAAAGATTCAATCGGTGTTTTACAGACAACTTAATATAGAACAATATTCATTCAAAATAAACAAAAAAAATTAGACGAGGGTGTGATTACTTTCATACCACGAAGGCTGAAGATACTTTAATTTTGTTGCTGAAGGTGGTCTGGGTATACTGAAAAGGTATAATCACATTCATCCAGAAACAACCTAAATAAACGTAAGTTCCGATTAAATATAGTTTACATTTTTAAACACCTCTGAAAATTATAAATATAATGTAATGAACAATATTTATTTACAAAATGTGACAGCACAAATGGAGGCAATCTTCCATTACAATTCTTAAGTTTAGATAATTTTTCTACAGACTGGTCGCGCTACCCTGGGCTCCGCGCTCCAGCTGTTCAAATAAAAATGATAATCAGCTATTTATTGCCTTAACAGTTGTAACGGTTTTACAACTGGCAGGTTGCATCAACTTTTATTGTTATAAAATTGTGCGGTAAAAATTATCGAAAGTTTGCATGCCTATGGTATAGGCACGCAGCCATATATGTTACTATACACGTGAGAAACCTTATACTGTAGGTAGTTTTTAATACCAGTAATACTTATTCTGCAATTATAATTGATAATCTGAAACGCAACAATAAATAATTGTCCTTTCGTCTTGCCTTGAACAACTAAGGTAGAATTAGGGGTTATGGCAACTCCGGGCTCATGTTTTTGGCACTAGTCTTTAGAATAGCGAGATTAGCATCACGTTGTCATAGGCTGCTGGTTCCTTTAATACCCGGTACCTGTCCACATTTCCGGCAGAATAAAATGAGATAACCGTAGCGAACATCTGTGAGTGGTTACATTACCTCTTGGTACTGACTCACGACGCCTCTTTGTTTGCTTCTCTTCCCAACTGTGTATCAATGTAAAGAAATAAAAAAAATAAATAAAAAAATTACGATATTGTGATCGAGTGAACAAATAACATTAATACGTGCCACTGCTCGCACAATGGTCAACGAGTCGGAACACCAGTGAGTCAAAATTATTCCTTAATTAATCCTTAGAGTGACGACTGACGTGGGATTAACAGAGTTTTCCGGTTCCCAAACTAGAGTCCTGTATGTCAAGTTCTGCAGGAGACTCAAGGGTAGGCTAGGAGATCCTGGCTAGGTCAAAGGAGGCCCCAAGGACTAGTACTACAGTTATTGGGGCCCGGCAGCATTAAGAACAGCTAGGCTGCCCAGGACTCTACGGGGCTACCCTCGGGTGGGGCAGGTTAACCTGGGACGGTGGTGGGCTATGTTGGAGAAGAGTTAGTGTTAGTGGAGTCAATTTGGCCTTGGGGGGGATGAAGGACAGTTAGTTGACAGCATAATCGCGTTGAACATTATATCTACCTTTCTGCTCGCCATTTGTGTATATCAATTATTACTACGAGTGGAACAACTTAGGATAAATCAGGATAACCATTTAAAGTTATCCATAAATTACTCACATCACCTACCGTTTTATTACATTAACGTGCTTCAGTACCTAAAATCTTTAAGTATGTTTACTAAGTCAGTTCTTATACTAGACAACAACTGTTGAAAATTAAGGAAGACATTAATTTTATGTGTGATAGACAAAATTACAGTATATGGGATGAAAAATTAAGATGTTTAGGTATGCTGGCTGGTGATTGGGGAGACAGAACATTAGTTCAGTAAATCAATCGATGAAGATCCCAACCCTCTGATTCCTTTTCCATGAGCTGGATACTCTGAGGGTCTTAACGTTAGATTTTCCTTCATGTGATATATGAAAACATGTCTCACTTGCTCACTCATTAGATTACAACACG